GCTATCCAGCAAGGAGTCGTTAGTCTGGGATCTTGCAATTCACAAGAGCATATTGCATCGTGCAGGAATTCGCATCACTTACCCTCAACTAGAACTTTTGTCGCCTTCTGTTCTGAAATTCCCTTGATCTGCTCCAGTATTCGCTTCGGTCTAGAGTATGACCCATTGTGTCAGCTGTTTGTAATCGAGGATAAGGACTTGGATGCATCATAATTGACGTACGTATAAGCAACCGCTTCGACGGTGTGGTAACCCGCATCGACAAACAGCTTGATATCTCTCGCAGTCAAGCCCGCGGTTCCCTAACAATTGGAGTCAGTCGAGGATCTTCAGCAAACAGTCCTGACTCTGCCTCTGCCTCTGGCTATAACTCACCTCAAGTGCGGATAGCGGGGTTGGCGCACCAGGACCTGGAAGTCCATCCTCGGCATAATCGCCTTGTGGCTCTGATTCGGTCGTCATTGTTTCAGGAATCCTCGTGATTCTATCGAGATCAAGTCCAGGGTATTGGTGGTCTTTTTCCGGATAGGTTCAACACGGGGAGGAGCACGCGTCAGGAACGAGGGATAAGTGGTTGGTTCCTTGGTTGCTCAGGGTCTCTCTGGATCAAGACGAAAGAATGTTGGTAATCAAGGCAGTGTGAGTCACCAGATATCCGCTCACGATCTCTGAGCCTTCTGTTTGTTTGTGGCAACTCGTTGGCAATCGCCTTTGAGCCTGTTCGGATTGACTTTCCTGTTGGACGCGTCGAGGCTGTCGCGCGGTCACGTGAACCACCACCAACCAGGCAGCCACTGCTGAAGAACTGCCTAATTCTTGATGTCACATACTAATGGAAGGTTCTCGTCTAAGAAATATCCTCGGTGCTTGTGCTTGTGCTTGTATTTGTGTTTGGTGACAGATGTGATCGATTCATCTTCTGCATCGCTGAACATGTAAAAATGCATTTTATTTGGCATACACTGGAATATCAAAAAGTCCCATCACAAAGTTGCGATATCATCAAGTCTTATCCCAGAGACAACTGATGACCAGAACTATCGAAGAATCATGTACGTAATTCCCGTTCATCATTCTCACTGGCTTCAAGAGAAGAGCCCCCACTTTTCAGTATGATACTTCCCAACAAACCGAATAGTTTTCACGAAGTCGAGTCCTCAGATTGGAAGGGCCATAGAATGGATCCTCTCTTCCGCCGCTGGTCCCGCACGCTTGAGCTTAACTGAATTTCGTCAAGCGACACGTTCATGTGGATTCGTTCGTTGAAGATCCCGCTCATTCTGCGTCTAAATTCTTCGGAGGAACGGCGACGAATGACTCCTGTCGAACGTGTTGGTATTGGGGTCGGGGTTCTTCGGAGGGGTTTAAGGGCAATGAACGAAGAACAAGAGACTTACGGGCTATCCGAGAAGCCCGATGGGACTCGTCCGGCTGCGAACCAGAACCATTGCTCGTTGTGCCCAACTCTGTTCTCTCATGCTCGGTGGCCCCGGCAGAAGAACTCTTCTCAAAGATATGACTTCCTCGTTTGATTCGGGCGTGGAAACTCGCGCGCTTTTCGCTACTGGGAATAACTGGAAACACCTCGGTTCGGCGATAGAATCGGCTGGTTTCGACGCTCGGTAGAATCTCGCTTCGTCGTTGGAACCTGCTATGTCTGCTGGGCGACTCGGATTTCTGGGATGTCTGGGATGTCATCACAGGTGAGTAGATACCGCCGGGTCTCTGGGGCTCGTATGTGTATTTGTTTGCGGTGACAATGTCAATTTCCGGGTGATGTTCTTGGTATACTGGCCGAAGTGATTGGGGTGGAGACGAGCGATGTGTCGGGAGGCTCTGGCTCGTTGGGACACAGTTAAGGGCTATCGACGACGAAGTTGAGCTAGAAGAGGGAAGCATGAATGGTCTTCCGGCTGGGCTGGGTGGTAGAGTCTCAAAAGGCATCCCTGGTAGTTGTGGGGACTGGACCGGAGTGTTGGGGTTTGAAACCCAGATGCCCTCGATCCGAATACCTCTCTCCAGGGCCCTCGCACCAAAGGGTATATCGTCTCTCTTTAGCATCGGAAATAGCTCAGCGTCCTCTTCTTTTTGGCGCGCCTCGACGGCTGCATATCTCCGCATTTTCCACCTGGTGTACACGAGGGAACAGTAGGCGTATACGAGGACGAGTGCCTGGAATATCGGTCAGAAATGCCTCCATGTCAATCATGCTTGCGATGTCGTACGATCAAAAAGATAAGAACCTAGAAGTGCCAGTCAGCTATCAGGCCCATGACAAGACTGCCTTCATTCGACATACCACACTCAATTTCTCCCATAGTTCCCAACCAACCCAGAATTGCATTGTGGCTACACGCCAGGCCGGGAGGATGTGCTGAATGTGAAAACAAAGACAGGTTCGGGGGGAAGGAATGATGTTGGAGATGGGCTGTTCAAGGATCAAAAAGACGCAGGGCGTCGATCGTAGGTCTGTGAGTGCTTTCATCTGCAATGTTTGTTCAGGTAGGAAGGCGTGGTACCCGTGTGGGAAGGTGAGGTCAACGGTACCTTGGTGTGCTAGTATTTTATCCCCTTTGTAGGTATTGGACCCTTGGTGTATTTATCTTGCCATGACCCATTGGATGCAATTGATCTACTGTCTAATATCATACTATAAGCTTGGAGAATAGCATCTTAAATTCTCCTCCAGGGTTCAACAAACAACGCTGGAGCAGTATTCGCGGGTAGTTGCGTCAGCCCTATGCCAGAACAAAGAAAAAACAGACATCAAGCCTTAACTTTCGGAGTATATACAGGCCAAGAAAATAATAAGTCCTAGTTATATTGTATCCTGAGTGCCAAAAAAAAAAAGAGAAAACTGCAAAAAGAAACTCTCCCTCGGGGAATCGAACCCCGGTCTCCCGCGCTTATCGGTTTTAATGACAAGCGGAAATCATGACCACTAGACCAAGGAAGAAGAAAATAGTCGAGTTACTGCTCGACCACTTGGGGGTGGTTGATGTTGGCTGCCCATTTCATTGCTTCATATGCCATCTTCTCCACTACCATAACTTCATTCTCTCAAACTCCATTTCTACCTTTCCAGCCCTCGAAACTAAGCTAGGGTTTTATCGATCACTATAATTGGCTCTTAAATTCCATAAATATTGTTTGAGTTACCGTCACTCGGCTTAAATTGATAATTTTTAGGTTTTCCAAAAATATTGAAATAATGCATCTCTATATATATACGTATCTGGTGCTAATCCTAGCCCAGGAAAACCACAAGGGGGTTTCGCGACCACTCCTGGCCTCCAATGTTCAATTTAAAATTCATGTATATGTTTAAAGGATTTGACTGTACGTAGTAATTAAGACCCCGCATACCCTAGAAAGCAGAATGAGGACCATTCCCTCAAACATAATCTCTACTAGTACCGCCGGGCGTTGGAAACTCGAATTCATCGGAACGTCAATGCTCAGTAGTAGGCACCTCCAGGGCTCTAGAGCGAGTACAAAAATACTACCTCTCACATTCATGTTTCTCAACTTATCTACTGAAGCGCAAAAATCACAGAATTGGACGATCTACGAAGACGGATGTGTGGTGCAGCAGAATACGGGGACTTGAAAGCATGCATAATGCATATCTATCTAGAAAATACTAGTAGAACCCTGTGTCACGAACCAAGCGGGGCTCACAGAGCCAAGAAATGAAGTGATAAGAAAGAATCTTCCCGGTGGGATCTACATGCCAGCGGAAAAATGATTGGAATGTCCGTCGGGGAATTGAGGCGAGTTCAAGTTGCAGATTTGACTTGGGGTAGGTTTGCCGGACGCGTCTTCGAAAGTCGCGACGCGACCCACAATTAATTATCCAAGGGGATGTTAAGTGCAAAATGGCTCAGAACACGAGTTTTTGCTTTTTTATTTTGACTCCGTATTTACTTCGTGTTGTTAATTCATATCGCATTACCTTGGGGCCATTCACGGATATTATCAACTGGAGTCGTACAGCGGGAGTTTAGACACTTCCCAATAGTTAGTTATATCATTCATGTGGACGCCTGGAGCAGTTATGCATACTGAAGCTATTGTTGTATTAGACGGAAGTTGGCCAGTGGATCTTCGACAAAGTCCCCTTAAAGGCACCGCGAAAAGGAGATCGACAAAGATTTCGAACCGGGAGATCTACTGGTGATCATTCAGCATGATATCAATGCTGCCTTGTTTGCCTCAGAGTGGTCTCCAGATGATGCAAGCATTATTTCAATCCGGTTATCAAATTCTGTACGTCTCCTATCCAAGCTTGAATTAATTGTAACCAGCGGTGACAAAACAATCCAATAACACCAAAAGAAGCTTGATTCCCTCATGATGCGCTCCATTTTGCCAATGAAATTTCTGGCTATCATGTCAATCAAGTAGCCAAGGTGCCGAGAAAATTGACAGGCGGAGGGGAAAAGCCTAAATAATCCCTTTGGAAATACCAAAAGCATGACGAAAAGCAACGAAACAAGATTTACGGGGAATAGCAGCGACCTATCAAGATGATCGTCATCTTCACAAGATAGAACAACCGAGACATCATTATACGGAACTAAGAAGAAGCATTCTCCTGCGGTTCCACATGTCAAGCTGAGTGGTGGTTATCTCTCGTAGACTCCTAATAGACCCTCTCTTCAAGGGGTGCTTCAGCTTCTCATATGGGTTAATCCTGCGGAGCATGCGCAGCTACCCACTCTTCGGAATGCAACGCTCACTTCCCGTTCTGCCACACGTGTAATATCACAGCAGAATAAGGATTTTGAGCATTGGAGAATCCTCAGAGCATTACGTGCTATCAAGCAGGGGATAACTACTTCACAGGAGCTCTCTAGGGCTCAGTATATACTTGCTATGGTTCCCACTCAAATAGAAAGAACATCTCTTCGGATTAAAATTTATTCAATGAAGTGCTGGACGAGAAAGATCATCCAGCTACATGAGATTCTACTGATATAATTATCCCATAATCGCAAATGGCCCATCCCGACTGGATTAGTCGGCTCCGTGGCCAGCAGTCCCCCCACAGTGAGAAAAGCAGTAACCCAAGGGATCAGCCTTCTAAACTAACCGAAGCCCCAACTGTGACTGTCCCCAAATTATCCTTATCGAACACACCGTCAAATGAGCTGGTCTCCCCGACCGATACTGAAGAGAGCATTGCCTTGGAAAAACTCCCTCAAGAGTTCGGTTCTCTGAAGAGTTGGCGCGGGTCTTTGATTTTGCTCGTCACATCGGGCTCCCAGTTCCTCGACAATGTTTTCATGACTAGCTCCAACATGGCACTTGCGTCAATCCAGGAGGAATTCAAGGTTTCAAGCACCGATTTGCAATGGATGATATCCGCATACACCCTGTCATTTGGAGGTCTTCTGCTACTAGCTGGATCATTATCCGATCGGTATGAAAACGTACCCCCAAAGCCCATTTTAATCCGACGCTAATTCCTACCTGGCAGATTTGGACGAAAAAAGATTCTTTGTCTGGGCCTCTTTTGGTTAAGCCTGTGGACTCTCGCGGTCGGACTCGGCCAATCTTTCATACAACTCACGGTTTTCCGTGGCATCCAGGGAATCGGAGCAGCAATGACAGTTCCATCTGCGATCGGAATTATTAGCTCCTACTTCACAGGTGTGGATCGGACTCGAGGACTTTCAATTTACGCCGCCTCTGGGACATTGGGATTCTGTGCTGGTCTTATACTGGGTGGGTTTCTGACCTCTTCATTGGGGTGGAGATACATCTTTTATCTTATTGTCATAATGACCGGCTCACTTGGTACCCTGGGAATGATTGTTCTTCCCAAGGATCTCGGTGCCGATGAGAAAAAGCCCAAAATGGATTATCTTGGGGCATTTCTTTCCACGGCTGGTCTCATTTTACTGCAGTTCGTGCTTTCCAGTGGGGGTGTTTACGGATGGGACTCACCGTTTATCATTGTCCTCTTGGTATTATCGGTCGCCCTCTTGGTTTCTTTCACTCTGGTGGAGAAGTATGTCAGTGACCCGCTCATGCCTCTGTCCCTGTGGAAAATTAGGAATTTTGCCGGTCTATGGATTGCAGGTTTCAGTGAGTTGCCTCTTGCCTTGATTGAATCATTCTACGTTTCTTTAACTAATAGTTCATCCAGCTTGCTATGGTAGCTATCAAAACGTCATCTACTACATTGTCCTGATGGCTCAAAAAGTAGACGGTCTTTCTGCAGGTGATACAGCCATTAGGTTCTTACCAATGGGTGCCATTGGCTTCATTGCTTCAATGGGAACGGGAAAGATCCTCGAATACACGAATGGGAAATACTGTCTTATCGCGGGCTTAGTGCTTACAGTATTGGCCCCCGTGCCGAGTGCATTGACCGTGACCTCGTCGACCAATTTGTACGTTATGCGTTAACCAGAGGCCGTTGGAAATATGCTGATAATCATAGTTGGGTCAATACCCTTGCGACATCACTGATTAGTATCACCGCGGTGTCGCTTATTTTCGTTACAACCAGCACGACGATTTTGACTAGTGTTCCGGTCGATGTCAAAAGTTTGTGCGGGGGAATGGTGAGTTTATATCACTTCATTCGAATCATCAAAAAAAGGAGAATTACTCACGTGTTTATTTTTAGCTTAATACGGCGTTCCAAATTGGCTCTGGAGTTGCGCTGGCTATTTCTGCAGCGACAACTGAAGTCGCGGATATCGAAAAAGGACACGACATCACTCAACAATATGCTACAGGTCTCTGGTGCTCTACTGGTATAGCTGGCCTAGGACTGGTTATTGGTATTCTGGCAGTGCGAAGGAAAGGAATTGGCCCTAATGATAGAATGGGAGAATCTGTGACATTTTGATCATTTTGAGTTTGGCAAAAATACATGGCGGAAAATATAATTTTATTGGGTCAATTAGTATAGCGAGCGCTGATTGCCACTAGATCGTTAAAATCCAAATAGCAAGATACAGTAGGAGATTTTGATCTTTCGTTAAAGAAATATTATTTTTCGCTTTTTATTTTTCTAATACTTTTATTCCCCACCCCAATAAATGATGAGAAATCGGCAGGATCGCGAAATTTGCTTCGAATGGAAAGTTTACGGATAACCGTAGAGGCGCGGGGGGGCCTTAAACCTGGAAGACAGCCTCAAAGGGGGGGCCTGAGATGTCAGATGTAGGCCGCCGGCGGGGCGATGATCGGCGGGGGCCCTTGGGATGAGGCCAGCTATTTAGCCTGTGTGGGGACTTCTGGACCTCGGGACTCATAACTGGCGATGGGGCTCCTGGCTGTGATATGGGCCCCACACTAGTGCTTCTAACACTTTCAGTCAGCTGGCTTACTATAGGACAGGGCTACCTCGCTTGTCGTTGGTGAAATCGGCTCCAGGTGATATAAGATCAAGAATTCCCACCTTGCGATATCTCTACTAGATTCTTGATCCTTCATTACATCCATTCTAAATTAGAGAAATTCACGCAAAGACGTATCAATCGCAAAATTCATAGTCTGAAAGATGGATACCAAGCCAAGACTACTTGCTAACGTCATAGAGACGAAGGCAAAGACAATTCCTGACGCCCCCTGGCTTCTGTATGCCAAGTCATCTTCATGGGAGCACGAAGGAGGCTACAAGACTATCACATGGAAGCAATGTGCCAATGCAATAAATAAGATGGCTCATTTCCTGGACGAAAATATTCCTAGGCAGAGCAAAGCTCGACAAACAATCACTTACCAGGGCCCAAATGATGCAAGATACTACATCATGATGGTAGCGGCGGCTAAATCAAAGAGGACTGTAAGTGTTTCCCCGGCCACAGAGGCTTATTTACCAGGAATCTTGGCTTACGTATCCTATCGAAGGTTTTTATTCCCGATGGGAGAATTACTCCAGATGGTATGCTCAAGATTCTGGATGAGATAAAGTGCAAAATTTGGGTTTCACCGGACGACCAAGGCGCTTTCCCGAAGGGCCAAACTAGTCTGAAGATTCCATCCCTGGAAGATATCCTGGAACAGCCCAACAGTGGTGATATCCAGTATACTTACGATGAATCTTGGGAACAAGAGAAAAATGAGATAGTCTGCATTATCCACACCTCTGGCACAACTGGTAAGCCCCAGGCCGAAAGAAATAAGGATTGACTGGCCAGCTTACCTATCTCCGAACTAGGCAATCCGAAGCCCATCTACCTTCGCAATGGATTTATGTCGGTTTTTGACTGGATTCTATTATACGAAAGACACTTATCTCCCAAAATTACCTATCACCATTATGAGAACTCCTTGACACTGACAACCTGCGCTCCTCAATGGCTGGGTGGCTTTGCGTTCACTCTGAATACAGCAGCCTTTGTTGGTATGATTACCGTTCTTTTACCGCCTGACATGAAATCGCCTCTAGATCGAGAGTCGGTCATAAGAATTTGCCGGCATACGGGGGCTAAGAGTATTGTGACACCTCCATCTCTCATTGAAGACTTTTACAATGATGAGTCTGCCTTCGAATTTTTGAAGAGCCTTGATTACGTTTGCTGGCTAGGAGCAGGGCTAGATAGTGCCATTGGCGACGATCTAGCACGGCATACCCATCTATTTCCGGTGATTGGATCTACCGAGCGTGGACCTCAGCCGTCTTTTGAACCGCGTGATGCGAAAATGTGGAATACCTTTGAATTTATTCCCGAGTCCGGGCCTAGGTTCGAGAAAATTTCCGATGACCTTTATGAGCTACAGATCGGCCGTACGCCAGAGCATGACTTCTTCCAAGGAGGGTTTTATGTCTTTCCTGACCTCGATACTATCCCATCATCGGAGATCTATTCACCAGTTGTTGACAGTTACGGTTCTACCAGGTGGACTTTCCGTGGACGCACGGGCGATTTGGTAAAGCTATCCTGGCTTGCCAAATTTCATGCGACACATATCGAGAGCGCCATAAATAAGCACAGCCAAGTCAACTCGGTGGTCATGGGTGGAGAGGGACGTGATGTGCCCTACATCATTGTGGAACCTAAAGATCACAACGAAATTCAAGACCACAAAAGATTCATCGATGAGATATATGACGCGATGATACTATCCCTGAATGAAAAAGGTCACCAAGAGATACAGATACCGCGAGAAACAGTCATGTTGTCTGATCCGTCATTGCCATTTCAACGAACATTGAAAATGACAATCATTAGACAAAAGGTGGAAGATTCTTACAAGCAGCACATTGATGCGATGTACCAACTATGGCAAAGCAAGAAAGGAAAACAGGCCCCGGGGCAGCCATGATCGAGACCTTGTTTTTTAATTTCTGGGGAAAATTCAGAATTCCAAGATGTCCATTTTCTAGGAAATCGGAATTAAATTGGATGCGCTTCTTTTGCCTCGACTTAGTTGATACCTCCGTCTGGTTTTCTCGTTAATATCTACGCCTCCATGTAATAATTATCCGTTTACCTAGGTACTCAAACTCAATGTATTGGCTAGTAAGGTCGGGGATGATCGCGGGTGAATCACTATCGAGGACTAATTAATCTGCAGCATAGGGTTGTATTTTTCCGATCGGCCTCCGCTCGATGCTACTTACAAAATCCCTCACCCCCGCATCAGTTCGGTTTCCATTTACCATTGATCAAAAATGACTCTTCTCGCGGTTTTATTCCTCCTCACGAGCCAGGCTACTGCTAAGTGGCTATGGTCGAGCTCGCCAGCCAATGCGTCTGATATTATGCGGCAGACATACCCCCTGGGCAATGGTCGCTTAGGATTCATGCCAGCTGGGAATCCTGGATCAGAATTTATAACTATCAATTTAGACAGTCTTTGGGCAGGTGGGCCATTTGAAAACGCAAGCTACTCTGGTGGTAACCCCCCCCGACGGCCGATCTCATTTCTTGACTGGGATCCGCGAACAAATCTTTCGCAATGGGGAGGGGAACGTTGACGGACTTCTAAGTCCGATATCTTCATACGGAAGCTACACACCCCTTGCAAACTTAACCATCGATATAGATGGAATTGACGGAACTTCTTCATATTTTCGAGGCCTGGACCTGACCTCTGGAGTCCATTCAGTGAATTTCACCAGTGGCGGTCAAAAGTATAACAGTTCAATCTTGTGTTCTCAGCCAGACGATGTTTGCGCCTACAGTATCTCCTCGAACCTGCCACTACCAGCTATTTCTTTCGGATTACACAATAATTTTCTCGATAAAAAACTTCTGAACACGACTTGCGACCGTGATCGACTAGAGATATCGGGCCACCTGGCACAGCCTGGTATGCAGTTCATTGGGTTAGCCCAATCAACACGTCCCACGGTTTTGATTTGCAGCGGGAATCAATTGGCACTCCCAGCCAATTCTAGTCATACTGAAGTTACTATTGTGTTCGGGGCTGGTACAAACTACGACGCGAAGCATGGAAACAAAGCAGCTGGCTATTCCTTTCTCGGAGTCGACCCAGCCCCATCAGTGAAAAAGACAGTTTCTACTGCTGCATCAAGGTCATACGAAGAAATTATTGAAAGACACACCAAAGACTACAGAAGCCTCTTCGATTCCTTTGAGCTTGTGCTTCAAGACACCGCCAACTCTGACAGTGTCGAAACAGCCAAGCTGCTCTCAGATTATGACACTGCCAATGGGAATCCCTTCGTAGAGTCACTTTTTGTTGACTACGGACGCTATCTTCTCATCTCCTCATCCCGAGAGAACTCTTTACCTGCCAATCTTCAAGGCAGATGGGCGGACCTACAGAATCCAGCATGGAGTGCTGACTATCATGCGAACATCAACCTACAAATGAATTACTGGGCAGCACCGCAAGTGGGTCTTGGAGCTCTTCAACAACCGTTGTGGGATTTCATTGAGCAAACGTGGGTTCCATACGGCGAAGAGACTGCGCGGCTATTATATGGCGCACTTAATGGTTCATGGGCGATACATGACGAAATAAACATTTTCGGCTACACTGGAATGAAGAATGAAGCCACTTGGGCAGACTATCCTCTTGCGGGTACTTGGATGGCTCTACATATTCCAAACTGGCTGGAATATTCAGGCGACACAGAATGGTACAAAAAACAAGGATACCCATTGCTTAAAGGTGCAGCACAATTCTGGCTATCACAACTTCAAGAAGATCGATATTTCAATGATAGCACGTTGGTCGTTAACCCATGCAACTCTCCCGAACATGGACCCACAACCTTCGGATGCTCTAATCATCAACAGCAGATTTTTGAGCTATTTGATAGAATACTTGCTACATGGTCTATTAGCAACGATAATGATGCCGAGTTCCATAAGAACGTGAAGAAGGCACTAGCGCGCCTAGACAGAGGGATTCACATCGGATCCTGGGGACAGTTGCAGGAATGGAAGCGCGATATCGATACTCAAAATGATACGCATCGTCATTTGAGCGGTCTGACAGGCTGGTATCCCGGATACAGTGTATCAGGAACCGGTGACTCTCGAGTGACAAAAGCCGTGGAGACGATGTTGTGGTCTCGCGGTACTGGAAAGAACAGCGAAGATAATCCAGGATGGGCAAAAGTGTGGCGATCGGCATGCTGGGCACACCTCAATAACACAGAGCGCGCAAACTTCGAGTTGCGATTCAGCATTTCGGAAAATTTGGCTGAAAATGGGCTGTCGCAGTACTCAGGACATGATGCGCCATTCCAGATTGATGCTAATTTTGGGTTCGTTGCTGCAGTGGCTGCTATATTGATTCGTGATTTGCCTCAGTACCATGATGATGGCAGTGTCCACGAAGTACTCCTGGGCCCCGCAATCCCCCTTTCATGGAGAGGTGGCTCGGTTCGTGGACTTAGGTTACGTGGTGGTGGCAGTGTTGCATTTTCTTGGGACGAGGAAGGCATAGTGAAAGAAGCTACTGTAAATGGGAGAACAAAACCATTGAGAATGATCAATGTGAAAGGGCAAGAAATCAACACTTGATATTGGTAGCGGGGAGGTGATCTAGTAGGTATATTTTTCTTTATTTTATATTGAAGGTTCATCTAAAGCAATATCTATCCAATGTTCTTGGGCTTGGCCCTTTTTTTAGTATTATGACTCCCCTTCTAAGTATTATATATGCAAAATTTGAAACTGATTATATCAATTACCCGGGTGGACTAGTGGTGTGATTCGCGCTTAGTGTTCACCCAAAGCATTGACTGCGGGAGGTGCCCGTCGATCCCGGGCTTGGGCCAATTCCTTCCAAGGTTTTTTGCTTTCTGATCTTCGTCACGAAACATATGTCCCTAATTTTACATTTTAGATTTTAAATTTCTTTTCGTATCTGAGATCCATGAAGAATCCTGAAAATTCGCCAATCGCAACCCATTCCTGTTCAGTATGCGAGCCCATTCGCGGTTGGTGTCCAGCGGTATAAAGATAGTAGCTCTCTCCGCCGTGCTTTGTGTTCATCCCAGGAGTGGGGACCAACTTGCTGGGCATCGTATAGCATAGATCGGAATACCTTGCGGAAGTTTTTCTGCATGAACATCATAAACTGTGCTCTGAAAAAAAGAGATGAAATTTTACGAACCTGAAAAGTTGTGTCTAGAGTGACAATGCTGACTTCGTGTGCGCGAATGATGGTCTCGCAGACTTCTTCTACAGAGCTGTTTGGGCCAAGCTCTGGCATACGGTCCACGAAAAGAAGAAGTATGAAACTTCCTTGTAGAAGATAAATCCCAAAGAGGTAGGGCATGAAAGTCATTTCGGGATCAAGAGCCAGAATTTGTGAGATTACCTCAGTCGCACTCAGGGCGTGGGAGGCACATGTCAAAAATCTTTCCGAGGTGATCCAGTCATCATTGTCTTCAATCATCAAGATGGGGTCCCACTTTCCATGAAGAAGTATGTAAAAGACATGTAACAGATATGTACCGTAGGCTTTTACCAAAGGAAATCTTGTTTCCGAAGAGGCACCACTGCTGGGCGTCCCGTAGCTTTCTGTGCCGTGTGAAGAGGACCCGCTGGTTTGACGTTTAAATGGCGTCGCACATATTTCTTCGGGGAGAATGGCGCCAAGTTGCCTCTCAAATTCTACCAGCTCCTTCTCGCGCTGAGAAATCATTGATTCAACCCGGCGGATAGCATCATGTGCGGCGATTGAACCAAGGGTGGGGTGGCTGCGAAAGTGATGCAGGTCGATTATGTGGCCTAAAATGGTAGCAAGAGGCAAGAAGTATTCGAAGAATCCGCAACCGGAAATCTGAATAGGCGGGCCGATTGGGGAGGTCTGAATGATAGATAGATCGGTGGTCTCAAGAGACTGCCAAAGCTTTTCAGGCAATGGTACTCGAACACAGAATGTGCCTTCCGGGATGCTCAATCGCATATTAAAAGAAAGAGCAAGATGTCTATCGAGACAATAAATAAACCAAAAGAGTCGCCTACGCTCTTCTTTTGCTATCATCCATCGGCGGAAGGTATCGTCACCATTGTATAGTCCGCAGAAGACAGGGCCAAGGTCAATGTCTTGATCTTCCAAATTCAGCCCACTCGCCCTGACTAATCGGAAGAGCTTGTCTATCCATTTGAGCGAATCTGCTTTATAATGACCGCCGGATATTGTTATCGTTAAGATAACGACCGCGAGAATAGTATCTGTCGAACCAAGCTGCCTTGGTAGTATTGTTTTCCCGGATGGTTGCCGATCTATACTGGGAGGAATGCTGTTCGGATGAGGATGGAGCTGCCAACCCTCTAAAATAGTCAGGTTTACAGCATAAAGACCTGGTAAATTATTCAAATAAAGACATACCGGAGGTTCTGAAATAATTATCGGGATCTTCTGATTGAAGCAAATCAAGTGATAGGCGATAAAGATCCATGCTCGTACGTTCTCGTGTTCCAGGTGTATCGAATAGACTTATATCCGCAGTCTGTGCAACAGAAAATAGTATCACAGCCAGGAGTGCTGGGGATGTTGGGCGAGGGTCTGTAGGATGAAGCACAGACGATGGGTGCAAGACATGCACTAGCATATAAGGCGAGGTGGACTTGAAGGGAGAACTTCCCCCATCATTGAAGTAAATCTCAAGCATTTCGGATGCTTCATCAGGCGACAAAATACCTTCCAAGGAGAGCAAAATGGGCTCTAGACAGGGGTATGGCTTTCGCAGCGAGATGCCGCTGGAAAGCAAGCTTGGAACAGCCTCGTATATTGGTTGCTGAGTGACGGGAAGTGGGACTCCCGTGTCAATTGACGTCTAACCCGCAAAAAGATATTTAGAAGTATTCCCGTGAAAAGAGCCGCTTAGTGAATACTAACCTGGCCGAACGCAAGTGTGGCATGATTGACTTTGAAGCGAGTGTCGCTTAATGGGGTTGAGAGGATGCCATCGAGGGTGTTTTTCGATGGTGCAGTGACTCGAGGAATTCCTCCAAGTGCTGCGCTAGCCGAGCTTTCAAGTTGCGTTGCATCATCGGCATCGGGACTTAATTCAGAGGGTGAACGTTTCTCTGGACCTGCGCCATATGAACCTCCCTGCAGCGATGCGCTACTAGACAATAAGACTGCACTTGTTGGGCTTGTAGCTAAATCTTGAGGAGATTCTTGATCAAAAGAGCTAGGATCCTGGGGATTGAAATCGAGCATTGAGCCCGAGCGCGGTCGTCGGCCGCGCTTGTGGACAGTTTTGAAATAGTGACACGAGTCATGGCGCTCTAATGAAGATGTAAGAAGACTGTATTCTGGACATCGGTGGTGTTTGAGGGGCTTCTAGAGTACCTGCGCAACGACGGCTTTAGGACAAGGTGTTTTAGCTTCAAGCCATGGCGTTTTGAAATGGCACTCACCATGGTCTTTGTCCATCACATCGTTGCTTTGAACGAGTACATGCATCACAGGCTCGTAGGACACGAGACTGATTTCGACGGGGCATACTGGCACTCCGAATTTGATCCCACGGAAACAAAAAGGAGATGTTGATGTGGATGTGGAGGAAAATGCGGGGAGATGCTGTGGGGTGCTACCACGCGATGAGATTCGGCGGGTCCCTGCACAGCAGCACTACCAAAGCATAATCGAGGCAGAAAAGTTATGTCAAACTCACTGAAACAAATCGAAAGTTTATCTAGTATTCTATAAAAGCTACTGTATCTTAAACTTCATCACACAATCTTCGGCTTCTTCGTTGACACATCCCATCCGTCTCCTGGGCTGGGAAAACAATAACCACACCATTCCCCCAGAATATTCTTCACTGCTAGACTTAATTCTTCGTCTTTCTTCGTCTTGAATGGATCAGCCTCCACCCGAGACCCAGAATCTGCGTTCCAAAGCCAGCGTGGCTGGTCTGACACTTGAAGAACAAGTCCTGCCGTCGCAAGATTTTCCTCTAGTTCAGAAACTGTCGTGATCCCCATAATTGTCGTCACTCTAAAATCTGGAGTGGATAAAGATTGGGCACGACGGATTGAATATCGCAGCGCCAGTGCTGCCAGATCGTCTCCTTGTGCCGCAACATAATCAGCCGCTTCCTTCGCCGCTAATCTCAATCCTCGAGGCGCCGGATGAAAGTCTCCCAAGTCCCCAACTGGCACGCCATTTGATCGAAGAAGACCGATAGCCAGGGGGCTAGAGCTGCAGACACAAGAGACACCGGCCTCTTTGAATGCCTCGAGGCCAACTTCCGCCAACGTATCATTTTGTAAAGTTAACTGTGCCCAATTCTGTACAATGTCAAGGGATCGAGAGTATTTCTGTTGGACTCGCTGGGCGATGCGACCGAGAATATCAATTCGGTAGCTTGATATCCCAACATATCTAATGTGTCCTTCCTCCACCATTCTGAATAAGACACCCACAGCCTCGACAACTTCATCTTCGGGTACAAATTCAACATCGTGACAGAACACAACATCAAGGTACTGGGTGCGCAAGCGCTCTAAAGAACGCAGGACCGACTTTCGGATCCAGGCAGGAGAATAGTCGAATTGTTCGGCTGTGATACGTCCGACTTTGGTCATGAGAAAGTATTGGTCGCGAGTGTAGTGGCTGGTAATGTCGGGATGTGAGAGTGCTTCGCCTAACAGGATTTCAGATGGGTGATAATATGCCGAGGTATCAATGGCTCGCAACCCTAACTGAAACGCGCGCTTCAAGACCTGTAGTGCTTGAACCGAATTGGGGTTCCGATGAACTTGGTGGCTAAAACCGGCACCTCCAAGAATCATGGGAGGGAGAATTCGAGACAGGCTCATTTTGGTGTGGTGTTTCCTGGAGGTTGTGGAACGATGGACTGACTATCCGATGATTTAGAATTTTGATTTCTGCGTTGAAATAGGCTAAATAGCCGGATGATTGAAAGATCCCATGTATCTTGCCCGTACTTCCACCCATCCAACAGGACAGCCTCAGATTCTAGAATACAAACTTGAAGTATTTTTTGCTGGCCATCGCTCCAAGTCCGACCAGTTGAGAAATACCCCGCTGCAAATACCCGTCGGAAAATTGATGATTGGGCATTGCGAGCGGTGCCGATCAATTTAGTCTCCACCAGTGAGCGAGTAGGGAAATACCCGATCATTGTAATGTTTGTCATGAAATCCCATGACATTTGATTCTCAATGGCGACGAGAGCATACGGAATACGTTGGCTCTGATGAGTGTATCAGAGCGCCAGTTACTCGCTCATAGCTACTACTAGTACTAGTAGTTAGATTCTCCGTTCGACCCAGCTATATTTTATAGAAAAGTAGTAACATTTGGAGACCAAGAGTTGATTTCGGCATTCCGAGTCAGAGACTCCACGGCTGATGTTTTGCCGAACAAAATTCTGATTTAATTAATTTTGATTTCCAAGCCGCCTTGTCGCTAATTATGGAAGCTCATCACATACAAATGGTCAATGTTTTTGCACCATCTTCGAAAATGAAGGGGACCTCGGAAAGAGCAACTCTAGTTATAGATGGTTGAAGGCAACCAGGCAGCAACTATATGGGTTTCTTGGACCCATGAAACATGGCAGGCAACTTGCAGTTCCCCAAGCCAAAAGAAGATGTAAAAAAAGGGAGAAAATGTCAGCAGTGCCTCCGGCAAAAAAGATATCTCAGGTAAGGATTGTAGGAATAGCCGAACGGGGGGGGTCGAACCCCCAACCTTGAGATTAAGAGTCTCACGCTCTACCGATTGAGCTAGCCCGGCAGGGCTGTTGTTTGGGATCGCAGAATATGGCTACATGACGAGAAGCCATCTTCGATGAGAATCATAGCTGGCAAGATACCTCGGGAGTCCGAAAATATCCATGATGGCAATCACCTGGGGATAATAGAGATTTCTCTTTCTGTGCAGGTGGCTGGCCGAAAATTACTGGTACCATTCTAAGCTTCAATGATTAGGGGTCCGAGTCTGATGGGTCAAGGGTCGGTCATTGTACTAGTAAAAAGGAAAATGATATGAGATGGTCTTACTAGTACAACGGTATTGTGGTTAGGAGAAAGAGTCTGGAATTTTCAATTATGTGCGAGTAGACGAAGTAATGAACTGCTATGCCGGATAAAACCAGTAGATATAGCGCCGAGGGTATCTATAATAATGCAAAGATGAAGATGAATCTCAAAACCCGTGACAACAACCCATATCCACATCATGGAAAACAAATATTCACAACTTTTGAGCCGGCCGGATTATATACAACCCAATCCAATGAATCCTTTTTGAAACGAAACAGCACCACTTAAAGAGAACCAGCAGACCACTTTCCTCTCGCCCGTATCCTCTTTCCATAAATATAGAACAAATACGGAATCGGGATAAGGGCAACAGAAACGAAGCCAAGAACACTAGCAGCCCAAGGCACACCCATATTATGAAACATAGCCGATGTGAAAAGCGGGAACGCGCCAGCAAATACAGAGCGGAGGAATGTATTCGCCGCGACAGCCGAAGCAGCAACCGTTTGGAACGTATCGATGAGATAATTCAGCGCCGCTTGGAAGATAGTGAAGAAGCCGAAACCCATCATGACAGCTCCGATGATCGGTCCAATCCAGTGGATGTGCGCTGGGCTTGTCCAGCCAAAGACGAACATTCCCGCGGCGAACATTACAGAGCCGAGCATCATTGGCGGGAGGCGGGCTTCGGGCACTGCGCGGTTGTTGTTGGCTTTGAAACGCTTTATGTAGAAGCGTTGGTTGAAAAGGTTGATTGCTGCGCCGAAGAAAATACCGACTAGGTAGGCAAGGAAAGGGAGGGCGCCGACAACTTGATTCCAGCCGCGCACCTCTTGGAAGACAATTGGGAAGGCTGCGAGACTGAGGTAGAGGATGCCGTAGACGAAGGAGGCGTAGAGGGCAATTAAGAAGCAAATTGGAGTTGCGAGAAGTTGGAAAGGTCGGATGAGGTACTTGTTGCCCAATTCTTTGAAAGTGACGTCCCATTCTTCGTGACGGGCGTGGAGGGCCCAGTTGCCGCTTTCGAAGCGAAGGCGCCGGGCCTTGTAGACCAGTAAGACGGGAGGATAGCTTTCGTCGACGAATATTAGATCTAGCACCAGGAAGAACATCATCATGATTCCGGTAAGCTGGGGATATGTTAGTTGCTAGCCCTGAACTTCCCCGACAAGGTGAATTTGAGTAGAACTTACATATTCGGTCCACCGCCAGTGTAGATAGCTTTGGGTGATAGCACCACCAACAATTGGACCCAAGACAGGCCCACCAACAACAGCCATCGCATAACCCACGATAGCAGCTCCACGCTCCTCGGGTGACCATATATCACCTAACACCCCGCCGGTATTCGTGACCGGGGCGGCGCCAAAGAAACCAGTAAAAAATCGAGTGATCATAATCGTTTGAAGATCCTTCGCGGTAGCGGTACCAAACGACATAATAGCCGCAATAAAATAAGGAGCAAGGACTGCCGGCTTGCGACCAAAGACCTCAGAGAGAGGCGCCCAGAGCAACGGGCCAAGACCCAAGCCAAACAGCAACAACGAAGTACCAAGTGTAGACACCTCCAACGAGACCCCAAACTCCTCACTAATCTGTTCTTGACCGGTCGAATAGATAGAACTTGCCCATGTCGCACCTATGATTTCAAATACATATTAGCCACCAGATAGATCTTCGGCTTCCCCGCATTCGCGAGGGGTAGAGAAATTGAAATTGAACCCAACTCACCCATGGTCGTTAATCCATACAGAACCGTCGTCACGGCCTTCTTGGTAAAACTCCAATTCAGAGGCCGATACGGATCATCGGGACCTTCAAAATCAACAATGACATCCTGGCTTGTCTTGGTATGTGTGAGTGGGTGACTGAATGCGGCCGTCTGGCCCGGTTCCCGACTTCGGATGCGCGATATCGTAGCTTGCGCACGCTGTTCAAAGACCGATAATCCCGAAGAAACGGTGCTTTGCTTCCTCAGTGGAGCTATCGTGCCCTGCACATTATCGGTATGGTGACTGTGGCTGTGGCTGTGGCTGTCGCGCAACTCGATATCATCGTCGGAGGTGGAGTGGAGATCGTGCTCTGTTCGTTCGGCCATGATTCCGATCCGCGCGCGCGGCGCAAGGCAATCTGCTTAAGGCTCTGATTGTCGCTCTGAGCAAAGAGTGTAGGGAAAGGAGGAAGGGCGATCCAAAAAAAAAAGATAAAATCGAAAACCCAGATCGTCGATGACAATTGTTAGACGCGCATAGAAATTCGGCCTCGAGTTGGAATGCGCCGAGTGGAAAAAGTTATTGCTAGGGACCGTGGACACCGTTAGACGTCATGCCCTTCGGCTGTGGAACAAATTCGCCGAGTATGCGGGCCCGTTGCGTGGTTCTTGCTGTGACACTTAAGTACTCGAGTAGTTTAGAGAGTTGCAAATGGAAAATTGCTTGGTGGTATTCGTTTATATCCTTCATCTTGACTGTCGCTTGGGGCCGATAGCTCTTTTATTCAAGCCTTCGGACGTCCGACGCCGAGCAGAACCAAAGCCGTGTTAGCCGGTGGTGGGGCGTGAAGCTCGGGGTTCTCAATCGGGTTTGATCCGACCTCGGAGTGGCGGCCATAAGGTCACAATGATTGGCATCTTCGTGGTAGTTTTGATATCTGATGATTTCCGACTGCTCGAGGTTGGACGGTGGAAGGTAGGATGTCGGCGATGCATCAGCTTCAGCATGTAGCGGCATCAACTCGGAGATAGCACGACAAATAACGCCTCAACTCCGAGCTGTCAGAGAGGGGCGGATCGGAGGGGAGTGGGAACTGATGGCGACCCATCTGAAGAAACCAATGGGTCCAGCCAATGGCATGAGAATCTGAAGGGCGAAGCATTACTCGCACGGGGAAAATTGCAAAGTTCTCCAAATTGTATTGCGTGGTCACATGACATGCAGGTCTCTATTGTCTACGAGAGTTGAACATCCAAGATTCTAATGATACATCGGGAATGGGGGCAGAGGGCTATATGAACAGAAGATTGGGAAAAAGATGGAAATCAGAGCAAGGTGGGCTACTCCGAGGCTGGCAGTGGGTGCATATTCTCCCATTTATGCACTGCCTCCATAGCAGCTGTCACTTTGAGCCCAATTCGAGCATCAAGCTCGTAGCTCTCCCATTTGGCCGCCTGCTCCAAGTAAGTCTTACACTCCTTGACCAGTTGTCTTTCATCCGGCTGCTTCTTAGACTCATCGGCATCAGTCGAGTCCTTCTCCGACAGTTCCTCATCCCTCGTTACTGCTCCATGTAGCTCTCGGTAGGTCGGGCGCTCCATCCAGAGGTTGGCCGCCATTTCAAAGTGCGCAACAGGGTGGACCCAGTCGTCCTTCAAGTGGCCCTTGAAAAGAGACTTATCGTGGACCAGCACACGGGTCTTGATAATGTGTTTTGCCTTCTCATGGTTGCGCAGGGATCGGAACACCGCAGCCCGTAGCAACTCTAGGATCACCTTCTCCTCTGTTCCCTCGCGCGACCATGTCTTGTTTGCCTCGCTCTCGCACCATGCGAGACGAGTGAGGGATTCTTCGAGTTGTAGGCGCGTCATGCGGCTGTGACCGTTCCAGAAGAAGATCATTTCTTCGATCGGGTCGACGCCGATCGCGTCGACTAGTGGTACATTCCACTCCTTGGCTCGCGCTTCCCATTTGGCGATCTTGCGAGTGACAAAGACGTCGAATGGAAGCTGGCGGGCCATGAAGCGCTTTTTCCCTGCGTGGGCGGGAGCTGCCCGGATATACTCGGTCGCTTGCTTTGCGTGAAACTCTGCCTTTTTCGGGTCATCTATGTTCTCGCGGTAGAGTGCGACATGACAGGATCCTGCGATGTAGTAATATAGTGACCGGGACCAGGAGTTGAGATCAACGCACTAAAGGAAGAAAGAAAAAAACATGATGTTAGCTTGCTGATCATAGTTATAAATAGTTGATTCTGCCAGAAGCAGAGAAAAAAAGAATAGGACTTACCTCGATGAATGCCTGGGAGCACACCTCATATTCATGAAGGAATAAGGCATTCAGACTCTTCTCAAAGACCCGTAGAGCTTCGACCTGCTGGAGGGGACTCTTATTCTTCCCATTCAGGAGTTCCATTGCGCCCTCAAGGTCCTTGTTGGCACCCATCATTCGGGACTCCTCCAGTAACCAGAGCTGACTGTTCGGGAACCGCGTGCGCATCTCGGCCAGCAGTGCCGTCAGTCTCTCTTGGGGAATTCCCTCCACGTCATCTTCACCAGGAGTCGGATCGGGCATGATATCGCAGTAGCGGACGAATCCATTATAGTAACCGAGCAATGCGAGAGCAGCCATGCCACCAATCAAATTGTGGAACTTACTCGCCTGCCAAAGCATGCGCAAGCCGCGCTGCTTGTCGCCGTGGAATCCGATGATAGACAGCAGCTTGCTGAATGCCGGGGGAACCATGGAGATGAGCAAGAGGAGGATACCGAAACAGAAATTAGCGCCGGAGTGCACGAAGATATCGATCTCGTTTTGGAAAATATCAGAGTCTGGGTCGTGATTGATAATTTTCGTGCCATTCGGGGTAGCAGAGCGAGGCGAGCCATTCGAAGCGGGTTCCGGGGTGACGGTCAAGTCAGACAGTGTTTGCGACAAGTCTTTTCCGTCCGTAGGTGTTGCCTTTGCGCGGACGGAGGCGCCCTTGATTGAGGAAGCGGAACTATTCGACATCGGGGTATCTGCGCCAATTCCCTTGGTAACATCACTAGCACTGGGGAGAAGAACACGGCCGGGATCCTTCAGTTCCATGAATTTTTCTTCCATTTTCAGAATGGCGTCTAGTGCAATATATGCCTTTCGCAGACGATAGAAAGCCTTGATACTCTCCGTCAGGCTTTCGTTCAGCACACCCACCACGGCGCCCATCAGTTGGGCAATGGCTTGACACAAGGCATACTCGGTCCCGGGAGTATAGATCTCTGAACGAAACGCATTTGGAGCATTGGAATTATGCTGGGCTCGGTGCTGTTCACTGGCAGCTGATGTTTCCGCCTCGTATAGGCGATCGGATGCTGTTGTTAATTAGAGCCCGTAGTCGCCAGAGGGAATCGGTGGATGATTTCAGTATGCCTACCTTGTCGCATAATCTCCTGCTCAAAGCCTAGGGTAGCACGGACAAAGGCGACGACACCTTTACCCAACTACTCGTATATTGTCAGCCCCGTTCCAGATGTATCTTTTGCCTGGTATCACTCTCGCAGGGCCACTACGTCATCTGCAGCAGCCCGGATTTCACGCACATTATGAAAGGTGGAGGTGCCTTCGGAGAGGCCATTCTCAGCCGCGTCGACGTCGTCATTGAGGATATTGGTTGCGGCTATAGATAGACAATGTCAAACGAAGGGTTAGAGTGGTGGATTGCAGTGATGTGTACCTTTCATCGCCTCATCCACTGTAAGTCGTGGTCAGCACATGTTAAATCTGGAGTATTGAGGGAGACCCGGGGTGCACGGATCACAACGAGGCTCCGAAGACCGTTGAGTTAGTACTTACAGTCCTTCAACTCGGTCAACGAGTCCAGCGACTGGGTCGAGGCATTGGCGGGCTTCTTGCCGTACAACCATGAGCCGACGCGCAACATTGTGCACCGGTGTACCTGGAAGACTGATAGGGCGTCGGGGAAATAAGGAGGGAGGGTAATCCTGGGGAAGATACAAAGAAGAAACGAAGAAGAATAGAGGCTCAAGGCCCGAGGAGCAGACGGATCGGGAAGAATGTCAACGGGCCCATGTGCATGTGGATGTGCATGTGCGTGTGCGGACAGGGGATTTCCGAGAACGGGGGAGAGTAGACAGGGACAAGCATGAAAGGGATGAAAAGAAATGGAATAATGAAAAAGAGCACAAGACCCAAACTTGAATACGGGCAGAGGGAGAAATCTCACCGTGGGGTCAAAACCGGGCCAGACGGGGTCCGATGAGGCGCATAAGCCTTCCGGAGGGGCCGGACATTCACAAATGATTATCATAAGTCTATGCTTAACATGGTAGTAAGTATATCTATATATATCCATAGATTTATACTATTTCTGACTATAATATTCTGTATTAATTCTACTTCATCTAGAATACCTAGTACTCCAGAGTTGTAACTGTATCATTCCTCGCCGATCAACAATACATCATTGGTCATCTGACTAAGACTTCTCTCCGCTCAACAGCTCTCCCTCACACAACTTCAACCACAACCTCAACTCCTCCTCCTACACTCTCTCCTCCCCACCACATCATCCATTCACAATGTCAAACTCTACCTCCGCCCAGAATAAGGTCGAGTCCGACCAGCCTCAGCAACAAAAGCCCCAGGTCCTAGAGGAGGACGACGAGTTTGAGGACTTCCCCGTTGAAGGTAGGTCAACTTCGCTCAACCCTCCGCACCCACCGATCCCAGCCCAATCGACATATAAAGTCTTGCAGAATACACGAACACACCTGGCTAACAACCATCGCCTCCCCAGACTGGCCCCAGGAAGAAGCAGAGCAACCCTCCGGATCGGCAAACGGCACCAACGAGCACCTCTGGGAGGAGAGCTGGGATGACGATGATGCGGCGGAGGATTTCTCAAAGCAGTTGAAGTACGTCCGTCCAGATCCATCTATACCTTGCCCAGACCATCACTAACACCATCCGTCAACAGGGAGGAGCTCAAGAAAGTTGAAGCCTCATCCTAAACCATCCCCCGCACGAACAAAACAATCCCCGACCAAGAACCCACCATCCCGACCGGTCACCACTCTGCATCTCCGTCATCTAAACCACACCAAACCACATCACCCCGGCATACCCGCTCTTCTATACCCCATCTTGGATATCCGGGATACGGTCACTCACACTTCCACTTACACCGACACGCACACTCACACCGGTATGGCAGATGCCACTCTCGAACACGTTCCAGTCCCAGTTCAATTCCAGTTTTAATTCAATCCGATCCGCCGCCGAGCCTAGTTCAGTCCTCGCCTCACCTACAGCCCCCTACACCATTTCATATGTCGAGTCTAGCCACCCTATCTATACCCTAGTTTGATCTGGGTATCTAGCTATACGGACCGCAGTCGAAACTAGCTTAGGTCGCGATGGGAAATGGAAATGGAATCGAAATCGGAATCGGACTAGGCTGGTCCTACCGAACTAGCGCTAGTGATTCTGAATTAATGAACTATTGAGGACTGCCTCGCGCCATAATTGCGAATTCTGGTCCATGATACATATCCTTCTTTCTTCTTCCAAGGTTCTCTCGTCTCTTTTTTATTCTTGACGGGAGGTCTGAACGTGTAAATCCTCATTCCGATGTTATCTATAATAATCTGGGTATCGGTCGCCAGGTTACTCGGCCTAGCCATTCATTCCCTAGCCATCCATTCCCTGCATGCGTCAAGGGCTCCTTGGAGTACTAGTACTAGTACCTACGAGCCACGTTCACACATCCCTGCCGGACCCTTAAAGCTTTGGTCTCGTATCTGATCACACAAAGCCTATGGTTAGTAAATCGACTTAGGATATTGGTATAGGCTTGAACGCTCGCAAATAGAGTAAGTCATAGAAGGGAGGATTTTGGAACAATTTTGAGATTTTTTGTAATTCTTTTAACCGGAGGAAAAAATGAAAATAGGATAGTATAGGAAAAAAAAGGGAAAACAAGGATATTGGCTGTGTACATTACAGATTCGTGAAAATGTAAATCCAAAGATGAAGGGGGGCAAAGAACAAACATTATTTGTACTTTGACTCCGGGCGTTGTGTGAAATCGATCATTCAATGAATCAACCCCCTATACCATCCATTTACTTACTCGACAGAGCAGAGACACCGGGCAGGTCCTTACCCTCGAGGAGCTCGAGAGAAGCACCACCACCAGTGGAGACGTGAGAGAGCTTGTCCTCAGCGCCGAACTTGGCAGCCGCGGTGGCAGTGTCACCACCACCAACGATAACGGTAGCACCGTTCTGGACAGCTGCAACGGCCGCGTTCAAGGTAGCAACGGTGCCAGCCTCGAAGGCCTTGAACTCAAAGACACCGGCAGGGCCGTTCCAGAGGATAGTCTTGGAAGCGGCAATGGCCTTCTTGTAGGACTCCTGGGTCTTGGGACCGACGTCCAGACCCAGGGAGCCGTTGGGGATACCGGTCTCATCGGTGGCAGCGCCGACATTGGCGTCCTCGGAGAACTTATCGGCAGTGACATAGTCGACGGGGAGGATGATCTCGACATTGTTCTTCTTGGCCTTCTCGACGATGTCGCCGACAATCTTGCTGCCAGCCTCGTCGAAGAGGGAGGAGCCGATCTTGACGTTCTCCAGAGTCTTCTTGAAGGTGAAAGCCATGCCGCCGGTGATGATCAGGCTGTCGACCTTGGGGAGGAGGTTATCGATCAACTGGATCTTGTCGGAGACCTTGGAACCGCCGAGGATGGCGAGGAAGGGACGCTGGGGGTTCTCCAGGGCCTTGGCGAAGTACTCGAGCTCCTTCTTGACAAGGAAACCGGCCGCCTTTTGGGGCAGCTCGACGCCGACCATGGAGCTGTGGGCGCGGTGGGCGGTGCCGAAGGCATCGTTGACGTAGACGTCACCCAGGGCAGTCAGGCCCTTGCGGAACTCGGCGACGGCGGCGGCATCGGCCTTGACCTTCTTGCCCTCGGCGTCCTTGGAGCTGCCTTCCTCCTCGGCGTGGAAGCGCAGGTTCTCCAGGAGAACGACCTGGCCACCGGTGGCCTTGTTGACGGTCTCCTCGGTCTGGGGGCCGACGCAGTCCTCGGTGAAGAGGACGGACTTGCCCAGCAGCTTCTCGAGCTCGGCGACGACGGGCTTCAGGCTGTACTTGGGGTTGACCTTGCCGTCGGGACGGCCCAGGTGGGACATGAGGACAACCGCCTTGGCGCCATTCTCAATGGCGTACTTGATGGTGGGCAGGGCACCGACGATGCGCTGGTTGTTGGTGATTTCCTTCTTGTCGTTGAGAGGGACGTTGAAGTCGACCTGCGGAAGAGCAATTAGCAATTGGGTTGGGCATGGGCATGAGCATAGATATGGACATAGGCATGAGGTATGAGGTATAGCTAGAGCTGGGGAAGAATTGAACATACACGGATCAGGACACGCTTGCCCTTGAGGTCGACATCGGTGATGGGGAGCTTGCTGGAGAGAGACATTTTGGAGAGTCTATGATGTCAATGTTAATGTCAATTCAATGGCAGCTGAGGAGGACGTATTAGGGAGGGGGGAGGGGAAGGGTAACGTACATTGACGGGCGTAAGAGACGAAGTAAAAGGGAAGCCAGAAGGAGGAGAGCGGGGAGTGGGGAGAAGTAGAAGAAGAAGGATCTCAAACAGGGCGACGGTGAGTCGCGGTTTGGCTGGAGGAGGGGCACTTTTGGTGGTGGGGCAATTCCGGTGAGTCCACTGAGTAGACCGGAGGAGTAGTGTAACTATAGGATACTATAGGGTAGCTACGGGACACTAAAAGATACTTCGACAGACACCAGAACATCCGTTTAATGCAAGTATCCTCTCTCTCTAGAGTAACATCCTCTGCAATCTTCTATACTCTTGTCCGAGTTCCCCCGGCTCACAACGGGCTGATGCGGGACTGATGTCAGAGCTCCCCATTATTGCGGAACAGGCCGGACGGGAAGGGCCATCAAGTAGTGAATAGCCTCGGGGTAATTGGTTACGTTAGTAAGGATTGACGACTCTATTGGCCGGGAATTGTACATAGCCGCTGTCTAGTAGTACTACTAGTGACTAACAGCTCCTAGTATTCCAGTGAAATACCATGTGAAAACAGTATGCAGTTGAAATTGAAAAGCCAGAGCAATATATCCCTAGACATAAAAGACAACCATGCCGATTAAGCCGAATCATAAGCAAGAAGAGAGAGAAGCATAAAGAGAGAGAGAGAGAGAGAGAGAGAGAGAGAGAGAGAGTGTGTGTGTGTGGGTGGGTGTGATAAACCCAATGAAAGTAAATGTCTCCCGAATTGATCGAATGATCTTCCCAATGCATAACCCAAACACAAAAAGAACACAGAACCTTAACCTTTTAGAACGCAAGTCGTTTTCCCCGCAAAAACAAGAATGAATGCCATGTACACAACAAGCCAGAAGAAAAACGGGAACCGAGACCGAGACCGAGACCGTATCCGAACGCCTGAAAGAGAGAGACCGTCAAGTGAAGTAACGTGAAGCAAAGCAAAGGGAACCAGTGCAGTGGATAAAAGGGTAGATCGTTAACGTGACATTCGCCGAGACGAAGTGATTCAAGACTCCTCGGAGGAGTTGGTGAGCGAGAGATATGCGGTCCACGCAATACCAATGCATGAGACAAATGGCTGTCAACGATCAGTATTGGTTCCGCACAAGAGAGACACGGAGAACCGAGAGGAAAAGAGGAGCAACATACAATCTGGAACTGGATGGGAATAACCCGGAAATTAAGGATCTGCACCGCCGGCCACAGCACAAAGTTGGCCTTCAAAGTCGGTAGGTAGACATCTCGGAATTTCTGCGTCAACGCCCGCTTTCCGCCGCCCTCAGCAATCGTCATGTAAGTGAAGAAGCACGCCAGACCTATATGATTACCGCCATGTCAGCACAGCACCAAACTTGGCAGAGACTTGCGAACGCAAAGAAAAAATCACTCCCACATACCGAATGGTGCAAAGATGAACTGATCAAACGCAACACGCTTAAACACTGGCGCCGTCGGATTCTTCTTAGTCAGAGGGAAGGCCCTCGACAAGAACCCAAACCACTGGAACTGGATCGGAGCCATGAAGAAACCATACGCCATGAAGCGGGTTAGACGCTCAAAGTCGAACGGCGACGGTGAGCGGTGCGCATAACCCAGTTCCCCCATTGCTGGAGGCTTCTCTTTATCAAAGTCTTCGAATTCTATCGAGATAAGGCCGTCTCCTCCTTCGGATCTTTGTTGCGAGCGGGATTGAAAGGCTGTTATCAGTTGGGCCACGGTATCGGCGACTCCGCCCAAGACCTATATATCCATGAGAAATATCGTCAGTCATGAGTTCAGGACAAGCGGATGTTGAAATTTGGTATTTCTGAAGATGAGGGCGAGATGTATATGGATTGGCGACGTACCGCGTTGGTGACCATGGTTGTGAGCACTATCAAGGCAGACATATTAGCGGACAGCCCCGCGGGAAAGAGAACAGGTCAAAGGACAAAGTGTAAGATCATACCGGGCTTCTCGGCATAGTAGGTATTAAATTTGGCGGCTATCCGAGTAGCTACCGCCATCTCGATGAGGAATATGATGGTGTGCAGAAGGGGCTAGAATAGAAGGGCACACCGGGTGAGCGCGGGTATATCCAGGGTAAAAGTTGACAGCAGAGCAGAACTTGACAGCCCCGGGAGAGAGGAGGGAAGGCCTACCACGCGACCGTAGATGTATCTCCTGTTGAGTCCATCAAGGACTTTGCGCTTTGTGGCGGCAATCATGGTAGAAAAGTGGGTTGGCCGATGACCTGGGGGGGATTGAGGCGAAAGTTCCGGGTGGGAGCTGCGGTTGCTGCGCGCCAGTATGACGCAAACTGTGACTAGTCGGGGGAGGTACAGAGGTGCCACTGGTCGATTCTGGTTCTCCGGCCCGAATACCCCTGGGTTGAACAGGATGAGGAGGAGGGAGGAGGGAGGAGAGGAGAGGAGATGATCAGAGAGATCAGAGAGATACCCCAGATCAGATCCAAAGTCCAGAGTGGATGATGCGACGCCGACTCCGCTCTGACTAACGCTAATCATTGGGGCGGTCAGACTTGAACGAGTGGAGTACTAGGACTTCATTACTATTCTATTTTTATATTTTACATTTGATCAGTGTTTTACTTGCTTTACGCGCCGGATTATTCTCATTATCTTCGTTGATTGATTTGTCCACTATGCTTTCATCTACTATACATCATGACACCGCGGCTGATCCTCGGCCAGAATGTCCGGTAGGTCGCGAATGTCGGTCGTTTCGTTCGTATTTACATCCACTAGGCGTACCGCCTCGAGATGAAGGGGCCCAGTGGCCAGAGGGAGTAGCTTAATCTCCGTAGCGTGGCAAGTTCCAGGCAAGAGGGGACTATCGATGGTTAGTTCTATACATGGGATCGCATGGACTGCAGCTTTCGCCTCTAAAAATTCACTCACCCAACACGAATGTCAGTACTCAGACTGATCAATTCAACCTCTTGGCCTGCAACGCTCTTTTGCATGGCATGTACAATATTGTCGTCTGTCACGGCCTCCGCCACCCCATCTTCCTTCCGACTGGAGATAGATGCAGAGGACGGTCGCGCAGCATGTCCTCGTGGGTCTAGGCGCTTCCGCCGGGGAATCGCAATCAATGCGAACTTTCGAGGTACATTGGAGCGGTTCACAATAAAGACATTCCAAGTGAACGGTGCCCCAACTTCGACGCTAACGGGCCCCGAGAAGGAAATCGTCACTCCAATATCTGTAACCGAATAAGCTCGCTCGCGTAGAGAGCTACGGTTCGCTGCCGCCGTCGCGGTCGCGGGCCGACTCGAGTTACCCGGAGGCATGGATAAGCTTGTCGGGCGATTATTCCTTTGTAGCGCTGGACTAGGTCCCCCATAGGTGGGATTCAAAGCCACAGAGAAGTCAACATTGGTCGTCCATCGCATTGAAATTCGAGGCTTGCAATCATCCGACAACTGAATCTCCGCTTCTAGAGCTATCTCCAGTATGCTCAGCATGACTGTAGAGGAGCCATTGGTCTCGGGGCCGTATTCAGGTGTCAGCTTATAAACCAAGGTCACATCATCTCTGGGGCGACATGTGAGAGGGAGAGATAGACCTGGAGTATCGGAAAGGGATTCGAGTGTTCCTTCTGATAGCTGGAGGTCTGCTTTGTCGAATACCACTTCACTGTTCACGTAAGGTGTGATCTCGAAATCCAAACTGGCAATGGTTGTAGGGAGGCCGGTATAGTTATTGAGACGGGAGTAGCGAATCCTAGCGCTTGCGGCGGGGACGACTCGGAAAGGGTGGCCATGCTGTTGTTGAATATTGTATATAGGATCCTCAATGGAGGTAGTGGGAACCACGCGCAACAGTCGCGAGGCGGGGAGAAAGGGCTCTCTGTGCGTAAGCGATTTATCACCGGCTAAAGGCTGTAGCATATTTGTAGATGCGGGTACGAGTGGAGGGAGGTAGTCGTCTTCCGGGTCTTCTTGTCGTGCGGCTTCAGCGGGATTTAGACTTGCGGAGGCCATAAACAAAAGCGAGGGATTCTGGATTCGGTTGCGAGGACGCTCTTCAAAATAGTTAGTTGGGTGTTTGCACTCGATTGAGGCAAGACAGTCGGTTTCAACTCACTGAGGACGGTCTCAGTGGTCCATATCAGATATACATGATTTCCTATCCCATCCTCGCCCTCAAATTCGTTGAACACCACTAGTGGTTCCTCTTCGGTGTTCACCAGGCCTGAGAAAATCACTTCACGAGTTGGGGTGGGATTCTCGGCAACATTCTCTGCTGGGTCTACGGCATAGACATCAAGTTTGACTTCGAGGCGGGGGAGGTAATGTTTGAGGGTTGTCTCTGTGCAGTCGGAAAGTCGCAAGACGATGCGAACGGGCAGAAATTCGTCTATGAAGCTTGATGTCAGACAAAGACAGAATGCATAAATATATAATTGCAGGGCCCAAAACATACCGAAAAATAACAGTGGCCGCTGAGAAATTGAAGCCAGCACGGAGGAAAGGTCATCGGCTCCGTCTTCTAGAGCCGCGGTCAAGGAACCTTCAATATCGACCGTTGGCGCATAAGGCACGACGGTGTCAAGAACTGCATGCCGAAGAAACTCGCCGGGAATTTCCAAACCAGGCATTGCGACAAATCCTGTTGTCGCGCAGCAGTGTGAGAATAAGAATAAGAATAAGGAGTACTTTAAAGTACCCATTGGGAAAAGGGAAAGCAATGCGATAAGGCGGTGTGCAAACAGATGCAAACATTGATGCTTTTGGGCACGCGCTGAACTTGCTGCTTTTCCTCTCTCTCTCTCTCTCCTCAACCATCAACCATGAATCCTCCGATCTGGCAAGAGGCGCGCAATGCGGAGGGTCGCGCATATTACTACAATGTGCAGACCAAAGCCACTCAATGGCAAAAGCCCGCTGACCTGATGACTCCCGTCGAGGTTTGCGATCCCAACCACCAACTTCTTTGAACTTTGACTGACACCTTATTTTCTCATTTTTCTCAATAGCGTGCTCTGTCGAATCAGCCTTGGAAAGAGTATACTGCGGAAGGAGGTCGCAAGTATTGGTACAATACAGAGAATAAGCAAAGCACATGGGAAATTCCCGACGTCTATAAGGATGCGCTGGAACAGGCTCAGGCCGCTCCAGCTCCAACTCCCCCAGTTGCGTACGTCTACGATCTTGTCGATATAATTTTGATCTTTACTAATGCCATTGCAGTCCAACCTCTTTTGTGGCAGGGGGAGGTAGCTCCTACCCACAGGCTCCGCACCGGGAGCGCGAGCGTGACCGTGACTACCGTGACCGTGATCGTGATCGTGACCACCGTGACCGCGATCGCGATGATTACGACCGAGGATATAATGACCGCCGCGGAGGATATGGGTCCTACGAATCGAACGGGATGGTAGCTGCACCGGCTTTGGTGACTCAGTCCGAGCCCGATTATGGATCGGTCGAAGAGGCTGAGAGCGCCTTTATGAAAATGCTCAAGCGACACAATGCGCAGCCCGACTGGACCTGGGAGCAGACCATGCGTGTGGTGATCAAAGATCCGCAGTACCGCTCGCTCAAGGATCCGCGGGACCGCAAGGCCGCCTTTGAGAAATACGCGGTCGAGGTTCGCATGCAGGAAAAGGACCGGGCGAAAGAGAGATTCGCTAAGCTGCGCGCAGATTTCAATACCATGCTGAAGCGGCATCCTGAAATCAAGCACTACAGTCGTTGGAAGACTATTCGTCCCATAATCGAAGGAGAGACTACTTTCCGGGCCACCAATGATGAGAACGAGAGACGCCAGCTCTTTGAGGAGTATGTTACCGAACTCAAGAAGACTCACATGGAGCAGGAAGCTGCGACACGCAAGGAGGCCATGAGCGAGCTGGCCGGTATTCTTGGATCTTTGAACCTTGAGCCATACACCCGCTGGGCTGAAGCCCAGGCGGTCATTGAGTCCAACGAAAAGGTCCAGGCCGATGATAAATTCAAGACCCTGAGCAAGTATGACATATTGACTGCGTTTGAAAACCACATCAAGACCCTCGAGCGAGAATTCAATGATGCCCGTCAACAGCAGAAAGCTATTCGCGCCAGAAAGGAACGCCGAAGCCGCGAGAAGTATCTGGAGCTTCTGAAGGAGGTTCGCTCTCAGGGAAAGATCAAGGCCGGTAGTAAGTGGATGGACATCCGCCCGCTTATCCAGGATGATGCTAGATACCAGGGTATTCTTGGTCAAGCTGGATCGACACCTCTGGACCTCTTCTGGGATATGCTTGAGGAGGAAGAGCGCTCGCTCCGTGGTCCCCGCAACGAAGTTCTCGATGTTCTTGATGTAAGTTCATGGCCCTACAAATGCATTGCGATTGCGACGACTTGCTAATCCATCATCTAGGACAAACGCTTTGAAGTTACCTCTAGCACCCCGTATGAGGAATTCAGTTCAATTATGACCGCTGACCGCCGCACTTCGAATATCGATGCGGATATTCTGCAGCTCCTTTTCCAGCGTATCCAAGAGAAAGCAATTCGCCGCGATGAAGATGAAAAGCATGCTGCCGATCGTCACCAGCGCCGGGCCGTTGATGCTTTGCGTTCTCGCATCAAGCGCCTCGAGCCTCCTGTGCGTGTCTCCGACACCTGGGAAGAGACCAAGCCTCGACTCGAGAAGTACGAAGAATACAAAGCTCTCGAATCGGACGAGCTTCGCGAGTCCGCGTTTGAAAAGTACATCCGCCGTCTTAAGGAGAGGGACGAAGACACCGACCGAGACCGCGAAACGAGAGACCGAGATCGCGGCCGCCGTGACGGTGACCGTGGTGACCGCGATTATCGCAGCAGCCGCGGCGAGCGACGAGGCGGAAGCCGTGCCAGCCGCACCCCCGAATTGGATGTTTACGAAGCAGAGCGCCGCAAGGCCCAAGCAGACCGGGAACGTTCCTACCGCAAGGTCAGTGGATTCTCTCCATCCCGAGATCGCCGTGATGACCGCGATCGCGATCGCTACCGCGAGCGTGATGACCTTGACCGTGAGCGCGATCGTGACATCGGCCGACCCCCTCGACGCGATGGTGATCGTCGCGAAAGCGAGCGTGAACGCCTCTACCGCGCTCGTGGTGACCCACGCGGCGGACGTGATGAGCTTGACTACGGTGGTGAAAGCCGCAGCACGGGCAGTGTCCGGCGTAGACGAGAGAGTGATTCGGAGAGTGTTGCCAGTCGCTCTGTGAAGCGTTATCGTCGTGATAGTCGTGAGAGGGATCGTAGTAAGGGTCGAACGGAGCGACGTGAGCAATCCGCCATTCCTGAGGAAGTTATCAAGAAGGAGAAGGCTGTTCATTCTGGAAGCGAGGAAGGGGAGATCGAGGAGGATTAGAGAATTTGAGATGGGAGATACTTCTCTATCGTCAGTACCTTTTTGTTATTACATCCAAAGATTGCCTCCAGGCACTGATTTGAATTTCCAGAGACGCCTCCTTTGTAATAGTATTAGTATATGCGTAGATATCCATGCCGATCGATTCAGAGCCTGAATAAATGAACCAAATCTGGACGTACTAATAGTGAATACCCACTTGGGCATACTATAATGTAACTTCCAGTATAACTACTCAGACAGCAGTAGTTACGACCGCCCCAATCGGAATCCTCAAGTTGGCGCTAATAGAGGGGCACAGCAGAATGCCGAGGTGGGGGCTGACGATCAACATTGTACATAGCCATCTGGAAATCTTTCTTCAGCATTTGAAACAGGCAACCTTGGAAGTCTTTATTTTTATATCTACTGCTTTCTGCGTCATTAAAAGACGCCGGTTTATAAGAACCACCTGAGGTATCTCATTTTATGCTCGAAGCCCCCCTCCCCCTCGTGAACCCTACGTATAGTTATAAGACACCCTCACAATGGCAGTCCAAAGATCCCTCTGCGAAGATGCCGTCTGCGAGAAATCTTGCTGGCAGGAAGCATTGGAGAAGTTACAGACAGAAAACCCCGACATTCACCAACAGCTAGAACGGATATTAGCGACGCAGAAACAACCTCTCTCTCGGTCAAATATGTCGAGCCAGATAGCCAAGTCCATCCAAGCCAATCAAAGTCGACTAGAAGAACGAAGTCTACCAGGTCGCTGGCGAAATCGAGACGAAGGCGGAAAGGCCAAAGTGCGAAAGGCCATGGACAGGATTCTCAAAGCCGTGGTTGTTTTCCGCGATATGGGGAAGGTCTTGGTGGAGATTGAACCTTCGCATGTTGGGGTTGCTTGGTCGGGTGTGAATTTGGTTCTACAGGTAAGGTACCTAGTAAGGTTCAAGGTTGAATATACGTCCAAGCGAATTATGATCTAATTTATAACAGATCGTTTTGGGAGGACCCGAGCAAAATGCTGCTGCAATTGAGGGGCTCGCTCAAATCTCACTTATTATCACGCGCTATGCGAGAGTTGAGGAAATCTATATCGAACAGAGACAGCAGAATCAAAGCACAACTCTCAGCAAGGACTTTAGGACACAAGTCGTTGACCTTTATGCCAAAATATTGGCGTATCAGGTTGCGATTATCTCCCATTGTCAAAGACAGACTATAAGTGAGTTGAATATGGGTCGGGCGAGAATCTTTCCTTTCTTATCTGATGGTGTTTCCTTTTTTTGCTCTAGCGCAATACGTCAGAGCTATTCCGAAACTTGACGATTGGAGTGGACTGTTGGAAGGTATTTCAAAGGTGGATGCAGAGTGTAGAAAGTTTACTCAAATCTTTGACTCTGAAGGTATTTATCTGCTTCAAGTTGTACCTCATTACTAAAATAGAACAGGTGACTGATGATTCATAGACAAGATTGTTCAACATCGTGAACTCAAGCAGATTCTAGAGGAACAGGATCAACAGATGGATAATGTATCAACTCAGTTAAGCCAGCTTTACGAACAGAATCAAGTTCTCATCAGCCAGGCTCAGCTGAGTGGTACGTAAAGACTATTGGTCTACAGTTTGATCGAAGCTAACATGCTAGCAGAGAATAGGACAATTCTGAACTGGATCTCCCCCTCATCCCCAAATGATGACCATACACGTATTCTAGAACACGGCAAGCTGAACAGCGAGTATGCGGGCTCGGGTAGATGGCTATTTTCTTGCCCGGAGTTTCAGTCTTGGAGTAGTGTTGAGAACGAAAATGTTTCAACGCTATGGTTGCGCGGTCCTGGTAAGTTGGATGTATTCCGCTAATTATCACAAATTGCTAAATTAATTTCTTTGGGAATCTATAGTCGGCACAGGCAAGAGCTCTCTTGTGTAAGTCAAGTCATCTGTCTTATAAGAGCCTTTACTGATTGTCTAATATGAATCCACAGCTGTCTCGCCATAGAAAAGTTTCTCAAAGGCCCGATACTGGAAACTAGCCTTATCGCATACTTCTACTGCTCGAAAAAGCAAGGCATGGGAGACGCGAATAGTCCAAAGGCTGTACTGCAAAGTCTCCTTCGACAGTTAGCCTGGTCAACAAGCGACCTCTCGATTTCACCGCTTATCAAAGCTAAATACATGACAGCACAGCAAAATCCGGCTGCTGGAACAAGTGGACTATTGGTAGATGACTGTCTTCATTTATTGAATCAGCTGATCGCAGGTTATCAGCAAGTCACAATCGTCATCGATGCCCTGGATGAATGTTCGGACTTTTTTGAACTCTTGTCGCATCTGGTGGATATATCTTCCGCATGCGAGGGGAAAGTTCGATTTCTTCTTTCAAGCCGAATGAATGTCCCCGTACACCAGTTCTTTTCAGAAAGCGCCACAATCGAGGTCGGGCAGGATGGCAAGGAAGATGTTGATTTCTTCATTGCAACAGAGATGGAACGGAATCTGCGGCGTCTTACACAGTGCAATGCACTTGATCTTAAAGATAAGATGACCAGAGTATTGAGCCATCGAGCTCAAGGAATGTGAGTACTGGAGCTGGAATATTCTTCCTACGCATGTCTTGGCTAATGTAGAGGAACTAGGTTCCGATGGGTGGAGTTGCAACTGAATTTATTTTTCAATACAAAATCTCCTATCAAGCGACGGGATGCTTTCAAGAGGAAATTGGACAAACTTGATGAGCAAGGTGGTGTTCCGGTGCTGGCAGATGTTTATGATGACATCTACGACATCAACACCCCAGAGCCTGAAGATCGCCAAGTTGCAGAGCGAGCACTAAAATGGGTGATGTGTTGTGAGAGACCACTGAACATTGACATGATGGTCAAGGCGGTCTCTTACTATGACTGCGAGGGGAATGTCGATGAACAGGTTACTGTTGATTATATCCTTGACATCTGCAGCAACTTCATCATAGTGGACCACAACCACATGGTTCAATTCGCGCACTTGTCCGTTCGAGAGTACCTGATGAACGACACTAAGCTGAATTATACCAACATCGATGCGAATATACAGGTGGCGAAGACCACTCTCGTGTATCTGACTGCATGCAGTACTGATAGTACTGGTCCTTCCAGCAACGCTAAAACCGGCAAAAGGGACGATTTGCTTGAATATGCAATATTATACTGGCCGCATCATTGCAGCTGGCTGCTATTGCAAGAGGAAAAGGATGCTTCGCTCCATAAGCTTCTCAGCGAGTTCCTAGCAGCTAATCCGCCCAGCGATGGCTTTCTGCTGTGCTTGGATACTTGGCCAGAGTTACTACCGGAGATTGAAAATTGGGAGGAGCGACGTAAACTCGAATTCAGAATGGTGGCCAGCCTCAGTCCTTCAAAGTCCCCAGTTTTTACAGCATGCCGTTGGGGCTTCCAGGAAGCCGTACAAGGGGTCATATCCAGCGGATTTGATTTGAGTGAGCGAAATAACGCGGGCAACACAGCGCTTTCTGTAGCGGCGCAAGCTGATCGGATGGAAGTCATGAAATTACTCCTTGAAAATGGCGCCGATCCTAATACAACGGGAGAAGTTGACGGAGTTACCCCGCTACATCTTGTTTACTATGACATCGACAAGGTCAAGCTTCTGGCCGAGCACGGAGCGGACATCACGAGGGCTGTTAAGGGATCTATCAACAGTGGATGGATGCTTTTGCACTTCTCGGCATGCCATAACGTGAAGGAAGGGGTCGAATTTGCTTTGGACCATGGAACAGATGTCAATGAACAAACCAGCACGGGTCTGACAGCTTTACATCTTACTTCAACACATGCTACAGATAAGACGATTGAGATCTTCAAAATGCTTCTGGACCGTGGTGCTGATCCGGAGATTCGATCCGAAGATGGACAAACGGTTTTGGAAAGAGCAGCCATACATGGAAGCAATGAGATCATTCGTCTCATACTCAAGCATCAGGGTAAAGAGAACGAGGCTGAGAGGTGGTTTCGACAAGCGGCATTCCACGATGCTGTCTGTCAAGGAGACGAAGATGCTGTCCAACGGTTGATTGAAGAAGGCGTTAACTTCAAGGTGAAAGCGAACCGCGGAGAGCTTCCAATTCACTGGGCTATAAAAAATGGTAACGCAGGTGTCGCATTAGTACTCTTGCGCGAAGGAGGTGCGGATATTGATGCCAGAGATAAATTTGGGGAAACGCCACTTGCTATGGCCTGCATGAATTCTGATCAGGAAATGATGCATTTTCTTCTTGATCAGGGGGCTGAGATAGATTTCATACTGGGGGAAGGGGATGCCGAACGTACTCTGCTCTCCAGGGTGGTTACTCGCGGCGAGGTACTGTTGGTAGACCTACTACTGAAGCGAGGGGCCGATCCACGAAAAGTCGACCTTGATTCTTTGGAGCGAGAAGGGTTTGTCAAAGTGGACGACTTTGACGCTTGTGTGAAGATGGTTCGTTCTCATTTAGTCTAATGTGCTTCACACTTTGCCGAGAGATAGAAGAAAATAAAAGGCGACACGGACTTGGAAAGTGAAGATAAAGCAGAATCAGAAAGAATACCAGTAAATCGAATCATAGTAAAATGTACCTAAACGATGTCGACCTGATGCAAAATAAAAACCATAGCTATTTAACAATGACCATCCTCCAGGCCAAATCACATTTTCAGCCAGTCCTAACAGGACAAGCTTCATCTCTATGCCAATCATGAAATCATGGGAAAGCTTTTGATAATTCAAACCATACCCGATAAAAATAAACAAAACTCCGATACAAAATTATGCCGAGAAGAGATCCCTCGACCATATGTTCATCGAATGAAAAAAAAGGGTCTTCGGTGGATGAAGGTCAGACAACGAAGTTCGAACTATCTCGTTGCCAGAAATTCTGAAAGTTGACAATGGCCGAAGGAACCCCCGGGATTGTAGCAGGTAAAGAAAGATGATTGGGCACATGACAACGACGGGCATAGGATGAAATGATGACGTGAGTCTCGACCGGTGATGGTGAGTAATGACCTGGAGGCGGGTGAATCAAGTCACAGCCTGCTAGCCAAAGTCCTCATCAACACCGTAGACATAATCAACATCACTTCCCTCGTCGTAGTCGCCGTCGGCCGCATCATCATCCGAAAGGCCATCCCCTTTGCCCAAAGGCAAGCCATCGCGGCAAAGGAGACCACTGCTCTGAGCCACCGAGACCCGAGAAACTCCCAGGAACGCCATTAACCACCCAATCCCTCGGTTACCGCGGCGCCGCTTGCGCCGCCGTTCAGAATCGCGGCCATCACGGTTGTGACGGCGGCGGTGATGCTCATGAACAATGCCCTCTTCAGTTCTCTTCCTCCAAGAAGTAGTAGTTACCCGCCAACTTCTGCTCCTGGTCCATCTGACTGTTGTACTTGTTGATACGAGGGCGGTAGCTGTTGGGGTCACGACGGAAAGTCACGTCCAGGCTCTTCAGGAAGCGGTTGCAACCGGTGACCAGGGACTCGGGAGACTTGGCGCGAGCATCGATGGAGGGCTGTCCGTCGAAGACAATGACACGGTCAGCCAGGTAGGTGGCCATGATGAAATCGTGCTCGACGATGAAGGCAGTCTTCTTGGTGTGCATGATGAAACGCTTGATGACACGGGCAGCGATAATACGCTGCTCGGAGTCCAGGTAGGCGGAAGGCTCGTCAATCAGGTAGAGATCGGCGGGCATACCCAGAGCCAGGACAATGGCGACACGTTGCAATTCACCACCAGACAGGTTCTGGACTTCCTGGTCGATGAAGTCGTCGATCTTGAGAGGCTTGTAGACATCGGTCTGGAACTGAGGAGACAGGAAAGCGGTCTTGATACGCTTGAAGAAGAGCTGGCGAACAGTACCCTGGTACTTGGGAGTGATTTTCTGGGGCTTCATGCTGATGTTCATCTTGGGGACCTTGGTGGTGCCGTCTGGCTGGATGGCACCGGCCAACATCCTACAGAAAGTGGTCTTTCCGGTACCGTTCTCACCCATCATGACGAGAATCTCAGAGTCGGTAAAGTTACCGGGCTCGATGCTGAGGTGGAAGTTACCCTGGGTCTTCTCCATGGCGGGGTAGGCGAAAGCGCGGTCCTTGTCGACAATGAAATCGTCACCAGCCTCAGCGAGACGGAAAGTTAGGGAGTCCTCACGGAATCGCAAGTTCTCAGTGGGAATGTGACCGTCCAAGAAGATGTTGATACCCTCACGGACCGACGAGGGCAGAGTCACAACACCATAGACGGCGGGACGACCGTAGAGCACGCAAATGAAGTCGGAAAGGTAATCAAGAACAGACAAATCGTGCTCAACAACAATGACGTAGTCATCAGGGCGGAGCAGGCCACGGATAGTACGGGCAGCAGCCAGACGCTGCTTGACATCGAGATAAGAGGAAGGCTCATCAAACATGTATCTGCAGAGGTGTATTAGTAACCGAGAGCTGCGACGGATGGATAAGTAGAGAATCCCAACTTACACATCAGCCTGTTGCACACAGACCAGACCAATAGCGAAACGTTGCAGTTCACCACCAGACAGGTGCTCAATCTCACGGTCAGCAACCGCTCCAAGCTCTTTGAAAATTATCAGCATGATTCAACCATTAGGCAACAGACACGGGGGAGTTTTCATACCGAGAACGTCCATAATTTCTTCCAGGTTGCCCAATTGGTTGCGTGCCGAGATGAGATCCCTGACCTGCTTGACAGGACCCTTGACGGCGCGAGGGATCTGGTCGACATATTGAGGCTTGACGACGGCCTTCAGGTCATCCTCCAAGACCTTGGTGAAGTAGTCTGTTTTTGATTGGATCAGTATTCGTAGCAGTACACAGGTGCGTGCGATTTGAGAAGTGCTTACTCTGCAGCTCGGAACCACGGAAGTACTTCAGAATCTCCTCCCAGTCGGGCGGGTTGTCGTAACGTCCCAGGTTGGGCTTGAGTTTGCCACTAAGAATCTTCAAGGCGGTACTCTTTCCGATACCGTTTGTTCCAACGAGACCAAGAACCTGACCGGGGCGGGGCATGGGAAGTCGATGAAGCTTGAAGCTGTTGGCCGAGTAGCGGTGGGTGACCTGACTTTCAAGGTTGGTGGGCAAGTTGATGATGTGAATGGCGCCGAAGGGGCACTTCTTGGGGCAGATACCGCAACCAATACACAGGCTTTCGGAGATGAAAGCGATCTTGGAGGTGTTGTCGACTTCGATGCAGAGTTTACCGGTACGGACGACGGGGCACGACTTCTTGCACTCTTGACGACATTTCTGGATGAATCAGTTATGATGAACTATCCGCAAGTGGCAACTGGATCCCATACCTTCGGTTTGCACTGTAGATCGAGAAGACATTGTGTCAGTCGGGCTTGAATGAGCGAAAGAGATGCGGTTAGTGGGGTATTCGACGAACCTTGTCAGTGTTGACAATGGCAATACTATATAGAAAAATGAACCGTTAGCGATGCGCGACTCTTCTACCAAAGGAATCTCATCCAGAACATACCGGGTCAGCTTGTCAGACATGGTGGTGGGTTGGCTTCGTGAAACCGGGTGCCAGCGTTAAGAAAGTGGGTAGCCAGGGACAGGTGAACAATCTGATCGGTATTGCGTGTAGTGTATCGAGTACCGCGAGTGTAATGGGTGGCCGAAGAGAGAGGTGTAGGGAAGCGCCGCGACTAGAAGAGAAGGGTGCAAAGTAGCACCAGTGCGCAGGCTTAAGCTGAAGAAACAATGGCTTCAGAATGAGAATGAGCCGTCGAGGGGCAGAAAAGGACTTTCTTTCTTGATTGTGGGAGGGCGGCCTGAGGCGGCAACCTGCAGCGACCGCCTTGAATGCCTGCATTATATTGGACGGCCGCTGATTGGCTGGCGGGAGGGGGTCAGGAGACATGCTGACAGTCGCGGCACGTGATTAGATATCCACGTGAATGCACGTGATTAAGCGAACCAAATTAGATGCCTTACCGCCTTACTGCCTGAAGGGACAGGCCATCACTGCAGCTTGACCAAAGTACTGTGACTGCCCACCACTCTACAGCCGCCCGTTCTCCCCCCCAAATTCACCTCCAAGTCTTTCCTCCACTCGTCTCTTTCTACGCTCCAACCCCATCATCGCCTTCCCCCCCCCGCCCACCATTCATTTCCCACATTGATACCCTAGTTCCCCCTCTTGCGGGGTCACCACGCAATGGAGTGTAAGTCTTCTTTATTCCTTTTTCTTGCCCTGCCATCTCCATCGATCCCATTTTACCCGAGTACTTCTCCGCGTTGCTCGACCCACCATACCATCCTTGGATTTTCCAGTTTACACTGAGAAATCGGGGAATTCGATCTTTGGAGTATCTATATCCAATCCGGCCTTTTCCACTGGGCTGCTCATTGTTGGTGATCTCCTCCTGGATCTCTCGCGACTCGTGCCCGCGTCCATCCCACCCGTCATCAAATTCCATCATCACCCATCAAGCATGATATCCAGGCTATATCTACTATTCTCGGTCTTCATTTTGCTTCCACCTGTGTCGCGGATACTTCCTCTACCATTCTCTGCGTCGCTTGACCCCCGAACCCGCAGAATTGAGCTACAATGCTAACTGCCCCTCGACTATAGCCTCCAGCATGGTGATCCCATCGGGCCTAGAACCTCCTTCCTCTTCCTCAATGCCCAACGGCTATAGTCACTCAATGGCTGTCGATCATGATCCGGCCGAAGTCGACATAACTACCAAAAGCGAGCCCAGTTCACCCGAACCTGACGAGTCCCATCCCGCCTCCGAGTCCTCCCCCGAGCATGATGCCGCCGATGATTCATATGATGCAGAGTCTCAGGCATCGGATCCTGAAGATGGAGATGTTGTGATGGGTCACAGTGGCGATGATCTCAATCCGTCCAGCCGTGAAAACTCTTCATCACCGCACCCCGACCAAGATGGGAAGCATAGGTCGTCGCCGGCGGACGAAACGGAGTACATGCGACAAAATCCAGATCTTTATGGTTTGCGGCGCAGTGGTCGGGCGCGCCCAACCCGCCACATTGTCGAATCGTCAGATTCTGACTCCGACGCGGTTGCATCTCGCCCGAAGCGCCGGCGCAAAGAACCCTCCCAGCAGCCCTCAAAATCCTCGCGGTCGGCCACTGCCTCATCATTCTCGGAATCGGGCAGTGATGAGTATGGTGGGAAGTCAAGCAAAGCTAGGCGCCGTCGCATGAAGGAGGCAGCAGGCATGGAGCCTTCTCTCAGCGAGGTCCGCTTCTCGACGCGTAATGCTGCCAAGATCTCCAACTACAATGAAGATGACGAGGACGAGTCAATATTTGAGGATGACCCTGAGGATATGACTGCGGACTATTGGGCTCAGAATTATATGGAGGATACTCGGCCTGCCGTGGACGTGGTACTCAACCACAGGCTGAAGGACGGTATTGACCCCAAAAACCCAGACGTCGACCGCCATGACTTTGAGTTTTACATCAAGTGGCAGGACAAGTCACATTACCATTCCACGTGGGAACCCAATGAGGCTCTCGCCAACTACCGGAGCACGCGTCGTGTAGACAATTACGTTCGTAAGGTGCTGAATGAAGACCTCCGCCTCCAGCATGACCCCTACGCCGCACCCGAAGACCGCGAAAAGTGGAACCTTGATCGTGAACGTGATGTGGAGGCAATTGAAGATTACAAGCACGTTGAGCGAGTAATTGGTGTCCGGGAAGGCGAGGAAGGCTCCGAGTACCTTGTCAAGTGGAAGCGCCTCTTTTACGACTCATGTACCTGGGAGCCGGAAGACATTATTAGTGAGATTGCCCAGCATGAGGTGGATCGCTTCCTAGATCGTTCCTCTCGTGTCCCCGTTTCCGACAAGAACGAAACAAACCCAGCCACACGCAAGTCATTTGAGGCTATCCACAGTACGCCGTCCTTCCTCCAGAACGGCGAACTTAAGGATTTCCAAGTCAAAGGCCTGAATTTCTTGGCTTTCAACTGGGTCAAGGATCGCAATGTCGTGTTGGCAGATGAGATGGGTTTGGGCAAGACGGTCCAGACAGTCTCATTTATCAATTGGCTACGCCATGTTCGACGTCAACAGGGACCTTTCATTGTCATCGTTCCTCTGTCTACAATGCCCGCCTGGGCGGAAACGTTTGACAACTGGACCCCAGATCTTAATTATGTCGTCTACAACGGTAGCGAGAAGGCCCGCCAGGTCCTCCGCGATTACGAATTAATGGTGGATGGAAACCCTAAAAGACCAAAGTTCCATGTGTTGTTGACCACCTATGAATATGCCATGAATGACTCGCCGTTCCTGGGACAATTCAAGTGGCAGTTCATGGGTGTTGATGAGGCCCACCGTCTGAAGAATCGTGATTCGCAACTGTATATGAAGCTGGCAGAGTGGAAATGCCAAGCTCGTCTCCTCATTACTGGCACACCGATCCAGAACAATCTTGCAGAGCTTTCGTCTCTAATGGATTTCCTCAACCCGGGTCAGATCCATATTGACGTGGATATGGACTTGAACTCTGATGCTGCCTCCCAAAAGCTTGCCGAGCTGACCGATGCTATCCAACCATTCATGCTACGTCGGACCAAATCCAAGGTTGAATCCGACCTCCCTCCCAAGACAGAGAAGATCATTCGTGTCGAGCTGTCCGATGTCCAACTCGAATACTACAAAAATATTTTGACCAAAAACTACGCCGCCCTGAACGATGGTGCCAAGGGCATGAAGCAATCTCTCTTGAACATTATGATGGAGCTTAAGAAAGCAAGCAACCACCCCTTCATGTTCCCTACCGCCGAAGCGAAAATTCTGGAAGGGGCCACCCGGCGTGAGGATATTCTGCGAGCTATGATTACCAGCAGTGGAAAGATGATGTTGCTCGACCAACTGCTCCGCAAACTCAGGGGAGATGGCCACCGAGTCCTTATTTTTTGTCAAATGGTGGGCATGCTCAACATTCTGAGCGAGTACATGGAGTACCGTGGCTACAAGTATCAACGATTGGATGGAACCATTCCTTCTGCCGCTCGACGCCTCGCTATTGAACATTATAACGCGCCTGAAAGTACCGATTTTGCATTCCTTCTTTCTACGCGAGCCGGTGGTTTGGGAATCAACTTGATGACTGCCGACACCGTTGTTCTGTTTGATTCGGATTGGAATCCTCAAGCCGATTTGCAAGCGATGGCCCGAGCCCATCGTATTGGACAAACGCGGCCCGTCAGTGTGTATCGTCTTGTTTCAAAGGATACAATTGAGGAAGAGGTCATTGAGAGAGCCCGAAACAAGCTTCTCCTTGAATTCATCACCATTCAGCGTGGTGTCACTGATAAGGAAGCCTCGGAGATGCAGAACAAGATGGCTCGCGTTGTTGCCGAGCCGAATTCGACCGATGACATCTCACGCATTCTCAAGCGCCGTGGCCAGAAGATGTTCGAGCAGACCGACAATCAAAAGAAACTTGAACAGCTTGATATCGACTCAGTTCTCGCCAACGCTGAGTTGCACCAGACGGAGGAAACCGAGCAGATCCAAGCAGATGGTGGTGAAGAGTTCTTGAAGGCATTTGACTTTGTTGATATCAAGGTCGATGATCTTTCCTGGGATGATATCATCCCCAAGGCACAACTCGAGGGAATCAAGGAAGATGAAAAGCGCAAGGCGGATGAGAGATACCTGGCTGATGTGATCGAGCAAAACCGGCCGCGCAAACGCCATGCGCCAACGGAGGAAACTCGAGACTCTAGGGAAGAACGCAAGGCCAAACGCCAAGCCAGAGCACAGGTTGCTATTGATGACGTGGAAGACGAAACTTCGTTGGATCCGAAGCGTCCTCTTGGTGAAAAGGAATACCGTTCTCTCTCCAGGGCTTTCTTGCGATTCGGTGATATGGCTGATTGTGAGGAGCTCATTCTTGAAGATTCTCGCTTACAAAACCGCGATCGAGACACCGTTCGGGCTGCCCTTCAAGAAATCACGGGCAAGGCTGCATCCCTCGTTCAAGAAAACCTGCAGCAGATAGATGCGCTGAAGCAGTCGGGCAAGAACGTTACCAAGAAAGAACAAAAGGCTGTACTGTTCGACCATCAAGGTGTCAAGCGTCTGAACGCCTGGACAATTGTTGACCGACCCCCTGACATGCGTCTTGTGCGCAGGGTGACTACCTCTATATCCGACTTCAAGAACTTCCGTCTTCCAGAAGCTACGAAACCAGCGGACTACAGCTGTCCCTGGGGTGCAAGGGAAGATGGGATGCTTTTGGTTGGTATTGGTCGTCACGGGTTTGGTGCTTGGACCCAGATCCGCGATGACACTGAGTTGGGTCTCGCTGGCAAGTTCTTCCTTGAAGAGCATCGCGTCGAGAGGAAAACCCAACGAGCTGCAGGAGAAGAAAAGTCCACCAAATCTCCCGGTGCTGTCCACCTGGTCCGCCGAGCTGACTATCTGTTGTCAGTTCTGAGGAATAAACATACTCATGGAAGCAATGCGAATGCCCGACGGGCTGTCGATAATCACCACCGCAACAATAAGCGCAACGCGCGTCTTGGTAGTGGAAGCGTCTCTGCATCTCCTGCCCCATCCGCTCGAAAGGGCCACCGCGAGAATGAACGCTCACGACCGCGCTCACACACCCACGGCCGGGATGATCGCCGAGATGACCGTCGCAACACACCCAATCACGATCGGCCCAGGTCCGGGAATGATATCAGCCGTCCCCGCCATCGTCTCTCGGAAGCACACCACGACGAACGTCGTCGGAAGAGCCATGAGAACGGTGGTTCGAGTCGAGAAGAAGATCAGGACTCAAAATTCTTCAGACCCATTCGGGATAATCTGAAGCAAGTCGCGACCATCACCTCGAAGAACTACCCCAACAAGGCTGATCGAGCTGTCAAGCTTCGGAGCACCATCGAGAAAATTGGCGAGTTCATTCACAACACATTGGGTGGTGGTGACCCTATGCCGTCTTTAGAGAGACGCTTGTGGGATTACGTTGCCGTCCACTATTGGCCGAACAAGGAAGTGGGTGGTGCGAAGCTTCAGTTGATGTTTGAGAAGGTCAAGGCTGCTAGTAAGCCTTCGCAGCCGTCCAATGGAACTTAGATTCAATCTTGGAACTATTTTGTCACTATTTCGATACTAAACCAAACAACCCACGGTTCTTTCGTGGAGTTATGATATCAATATTGGATTCTCGATTCGCTTCTTGATTGGCTACTTGGTTGCTCTTCCTTTTGTCTCTCTCTTTTGGTTTTGGATTCGGCCATTCCAATCCATCCTTACTTCTTGAACCCAACCTTCCCTCGATCCTTCGGTCAATCCAACTCACCAGTATCCTCACACCCCGACATCCCCCTATACCAAGGCCTTCGAGATGGAAAAACAAACACCCATGAATCGTCTCATTGAAAAAAGAAGAAAGAAGCAAAGTACATATGGATGCAATGTGGTTGAATGCATGGCATTGCGAAAGGCGTCGAAATGGTTTTTTTGCGCAGCTCATCCCTGAAAAGAAACCACTCACGCAAGAAAAAGGAGAATCCGATTTTTGAGTTGCAACATGATTTTCGAATGTCAAATGATATTTGCATGGCGTGCTTGGGGCCTTTTGGAGTTTTTGTGTTTATTTTTTTTATGTCTTGGTGACGATGTCTTTGGGGAAAAAGAAATCGGCAGATCGAGCAAACTTGAATTACCCCCATACATTGCATTTGCATTTGCAATCGCGTCTTGTTTCAGGGGAAGGATTTAAAGCTGGATCTGATCTGCCTCCCTTTTTGTCTAATTGCACCTCCTTTTTATTGGTTACTGCTTCTTTTTGGCATCTTATACTGGTTAGGTCTCCCTTTTGCAGCGCCAGTTGGGGGGGCTACGGCCTCTCTACTTCATTTCTTGTTCTTTTTGTATTTTTCTTTTGGACCAGCACATGTACCCTATGGAGTGGCTACCACGGCGTCGATTGATTTTTCTGTATCTGCAAAAGATCATTCAGCTGGTCGGGAGCGACTATTCGTGATGCCCCCCTCTTCTTTTTTTTTACTCTGCTCTTCTAGAACGAAATGGAATTGATCTGGCTTGAGACCTGACCTCTTGAGTTGTCTGTCTAAGCTTGGATTGTCAAATATTTCAATCAGCTTTCTACTACTAGAGTAGTAGTAGTAGCTATTTCTTAGATTTTCTCGTGGAACTCGAAAAGTCGGTTCAATTAATAATATTGACAATGTTATTGTCTCTGGATTTGATAAACGATATATGAACTCATAAATCCGAACTTATTTGGAACAGAATCCCGGTATAAGAAGAAAAAAAAGACAGAAAAAGAGCTATTCGTACAATTGTTCATTCCTTTCTCCCCCTGTTCATTTCAAGCCCATGAACAGACACACACAATCCCATCCCTTCAAACGCCAAATACACCAAAAAGAGCACACGAAAAGAAGAAGGACACTGCCTGTCAACAGACACGACAATAGTCAAAGCTCTCAAAACGAAGACATAAATATAAATCAGACGTAGATGGTCCAATTGTTCATTCAAGCAGCGGCAACAGCCTCAGAGGCCTCGGCCGTCTCGACTTCGGCCGTCTCGACTTCAGCCGCATCACTAGCCTTCGCCTGCAATTGATCTTGTTGATGCTTAAATTCCTGCTGCTGATGCTGCAATTTCTCCAAACTAGACGCCAGACTACCAGGAGCTGGCGCAGTCCCATTAGACGTCGACGATGATGTCCCGGGGCCACCGACAAAGGTACTGAAGAGCCGTAGCTCGCCATGAATAAGGTCTTCGAAGATAGCTTCCTTCTCAAGCCAGGCGTGTTCACGCTGCGGGCGTAACCCATCCCACTCAGCGCGCATTTGAGCGGATTCCTTCTCCGCCCAGTGAATTTGTCGCCGCAGGACGCGGTATAGATCGTGTGGGTGCATGGCGAGTTCGTGGTCGCTGAAGTCGAGGTCCGGCCCGAATTCCGGCATTGTGGTGTCGTCAGGGTCGATTTCTGATCCTATCGCGGCGGAGATGATGGGTGCAGTGGGTGCAGGAGGGTGATCTGAATCACCATTGCCTGGTTCACCTTTCGGTTGTGAGAGCTTCAGGCGGATGCGTTGGAGTTTTGACACTGGGGTTCCGGCTACGCTGGCGTTGCCGCCGGAGATGGATTTGGGGTCCGAGGGGCGGACAGTATCGGCTTCGTGGACGGAGCGCATGTGTTTTGTTAGGGCGTCGGAGCGAGTGAAATTGCGATCACATTCTGGGGGGCGTTAGTATTAGTGTGTTGATTCCAAGGGAGGTGGAAGACCGCGGACTAGTCAAGTCAAGTAAAGTCAAGTCCAGCAAACATACCGGGCAGGGTGCAGTAGAATGGCTTCTCTCGAGTATGGCTCCTCATGTGAGCGCGGAGTGCATATGCGCTGGCGTGCGTTTGTCCTTTGCGGCTACAGTCTGACCACTCGCACGAGTACCGCTTCTGTCGGCTCCCGATGTGCTCAAAGTGCAGATGCTGCACCAACCCATCCATATTCTTCAGGTCACCGACGGGACATCCGTCCCACCGGCATACGGTGACTTGATCTGTGCTTTGGCCGGTGTAATCGTCGTCTTGGCTATTGCCCAGCGCACCGACCATGCTAGGGGAGTTGGGGACATCGCCGTCGGTATCGGAGGAGATGGAGGCGGTTGGCGAGGGGGGGGGGATAGTCTCATCATGCACCGAGGACAATGGAGTGTGTCTGTCCCAGGATGCTACACCTGTGCGACGGCGCTTTGAGGGAGGCAGGTTGGAAGCTGATGGGGACTGGGCGCGGCTTTCATGCTTGATGGACTCGTGATCTGATTCCTCGGCGGTGCCGACGGAGGACAAGGGGGAGCCTTCACGCGATACCATGGTGGGTGAGAGGAATGAATAGGGAATCCAAGCCGAGTCAATCAAGAAAGTCCCAAGGATGTTGTGTTTTGGCAGTTTGGCAGTTTTGGGGGGAAACCGGGGATGTCGTTGAAGGTCGGCGTAGTTGGAGAGCTGAGCTGTCACGTGGACCGCGCACTTCCTTCCTCTTTTCTTCCTGCGTTTTCTTTCTTTTCTTTCTTTCTTCCTCCTCCACTCTTCTCTCTTCTCTCTACTCCCATCATGGACTACTAACTCAACAGTATTATCCATTAATGACTCACTTATGGTATGATCACCTTTTTCTTCTGTTCTTTTCACCTTCCCTCCCCCTGAACTACCTACAAGATGAACAAAACGAAGAGTTCTGCAATTCCGACAATCTCCATGCCTGTACTTTCGGGTACGCCGGTGTCGTGAGATTGCATGTCGATTTTTCTACACTTGATCTGACTATCATTAATCTCTTGCATTGTCATAATTGCTATCTATGTTGCTCTAGTTCAATTGCTAACAAGCACCAGTATCTTCTTCTAGGTCCATTCCCTCAGTAGCGGGGTCCGGCCACCGTGTGTTTCTTCAAGATCGCTTCTATCTCTGCCAATTCCTCATCGGAGAGCAGCTTCACCCCGACCATGTTCTGAACAACCTTGTCGGTGGTCGTGCCGCCGGGAATTGGGATGATTGTGGGCATGCCAGGCTTGTCGCTCAGACTGCGAATCCAGCCCAGGGCAATTTGAGATGGGGCAACACCCTTGCGCTCGGCCAAGCTGTTCACGGCATTGATCAACTTCAGGTTTTGCTCAAAGTTCTCTTCCTTGAAGCGGGACATGTGCCGGCGGATATCTCCCTCGGGGATGTCGGCCAGTGAAGTCACTGCACCGGTCAGGACGCCTCGACCCAGTGGGGAGTACGCGATGACGGGGATGTTCAACTCGGCGCAGGCCTGAGCAATGCCATTCTCCAGGATATCAGTGGACCACAGGGACATCTCAACCTCGACTGCGGCAATTGGGTGCACCTTGTGTCTGAAAAAAAAAAATACTTAGCTTTGAGAGTTTCCAATTGAATCTTCATTCCAATCACTTACGCTCGTCGGATGGTCTCAGCATCCACCTCACTAAGTCCGATGCCTCCAATCTTACCCTCCTTCACGTATTGTGCAAGTACCTCCACGGTATGCTCGACCGGGAAGTTCGGATCTTGTCGCGCACACTCGAAGATATCAATCTTCTTCTTTCCATCCAGTAGACGAAGGCAGTTGTCCACACTGCGACGGATATTTTCTTCGGATCCATCCGGGACCAGTTGGCCGACCTTGAGGCCACCCTTGATGCTCAAGACAATCTTCTCCGCGTTCTCGGGGTATTGAGTGAAATATTTGTTCAGGAGATGTAGAGAGTTGTAGTCGGGTGCACCGTAAAGCTCGCCGCCGTTCCAGAAATTGGCACCCAGCTCCAAGGTCTTGTTGAGGGTCTCGAAGCAGACATCTTGAGCTGGAGGGTGCTGGACCCAGGTCATTCCTGAGAGAGATTCAGTTAATCGACTTGTCCGAGCATCTCTACACGCTCCTGGTGCCTAAGCGAGGAGATTCGTACTCATAGTGCCATAGCCGGTCGGGCCGATCTCTTGTCCAACGAGACTGGGCATTGTGCAATGGATTATAGAACAGAGTTAGATAAAAGGATTGTTTGATGTCAACTTGAAGTGATGAGGCTAGACGGTAACTTGAAATTCGGATATGCTGAACTCTTTATATATTCCCAGTCCACTAATATTAATAACCCCCACCACGCGAATCCCGGGCTTCTGCCAAAATCCGGCACTGCGGATCACTGCGGATCCCAAGGAGAGCGTGCTGTTCTTCACATTTTCTGGCCTATGACAATCGATCCTCAGATCCAGTGAAAAAGAAAAGCATTTCGAAACCCTTCTATGTTCGGTCTCCGACCTAAAAGACGGGGTTAAGTGAAGAAAGTGACTAAATTGTGCGTGGCGCAGATCCGGAGTTAAAAGTGGGCATCAACCGGAGTTACATCCATTAAACCGCAATGCCATCGCGAGAGTTCAGTTTTACTAAGAAGAATCTTGGAATACTGGTTAAAATTTCTTGGAAAGAAAAGAACCGAATTACAGTGGAAACTAGTCATATCGTACACGGGCAGTATAAAAACAGGATTACCGACATCAAGTACATCAAAACCGCCATTATCTCCCATCACCCATCCATCATCCCCCTTTTGTTTAGAACCAAACCATACTTCCATATTTCTTTACAATCCCAGCTCATCAGAACTGTCGACCATATTGCGGAACCGACTCTCCATATAATCATAGAGAGCATCAAAGATCACAGGTAGATCCGAGGCTCGCAATTCCTTCCTGCCATCCCAGCCAGATCCAATTTGAACATTCTCAGTCGGCCTGTCGTTTCCGTTGTGGATCACAGTGGTAAATGTAGCCCCTTGTCCTGTGGAAGATGGCGTGGCCACGCTGTTCACCGGTTGGTCTTGTTCGGCTGTCATGGTAGGGGTAGGGGTAGGTGTGGAGGTGGCCTGAGTAGAGGTGTCGGTCTTAGGATTGCCGAAACCAAGGCTGTCGAGGATATTGACCAGATAGTTCTCAGTGTCAGGAATTATTCTCTGGAAACAGAGACTGGTTAGAATAGGCGTTGTTTTGAGCCATCGCTGTGATGGAGAACGTACCGGGTCTCGCGGCCCTAGAACGCGAGTACTCTCTGCTTCGCGAATGGGTTGGGCGTAAACAGATGCAACGACAGAAAGGCCCAAGACGACCATAGCCATTTTGGGTATCCTGGGCATAAGAAACGACATTTTGCGGATTCGTGATGATTTCGTTGATTTCGGGACGCGTTGAGTTGAAATTGGTGATCTGCAGGTTTGCGAAGAGGGAATTCGCACCAGGAGAGACTTAGAGAGATCTTTTGCACGCGAGGGCGATCAGGATCCACTGGCGACTCATGTATTTTGACATTAATAGTCCTGTATTTTCGAGCGATGGGATATTGGTGTGATCCTGTGGAATGCTACCCACCCATCGAATATCAAATGCCGACTCTCACGCATGCTTGACTCAAATATCATTCAATTTTCAATGTGCGTCATACATTTACATTCAATCCAGATCTTAATTGAATCTTGATTATTTGTTTCTTGTATCCTCTATGTTCTTTATGTGGCCTACCGTTGTTTTGGCTTCACGGGAACACGCCCTGAGATCTAGGGATGCCTGTGCACAACAAGGTGGCCAGGAATGCCGACCCTAACATTCCAAAAACCTTACAGCGAATAGAACGAATATCAAGAAGGTCATAATGACACTTTTACAGGAACAAAAATCGTCAATGTTTCGCCAGAGTTATGGCACAGGGTAGCTCAGAATGATAGGGCGTTACTCTCTAGAAGCCTGGCAACGGAGACTGGTAAATATGCTTCGGATTCAGGTACTCAATTTCATCAGACATGAGATTTACTCAAAAGGCAGCAAATTGTATAATACTTGAAACAATTCGAATCAATCTTAGAAGGGTCATGTGCAAAAATTATCTAGAAGTCCCAGAATTCAATATCGTACTTGTCACTAAACACCGTCATTGAAAGTGTAGTGATTCATCCACCTCTGCAAATTCCGTCAGTTTACTAACCACATCGAAAGGTACTTTTTCGGGACGTGTGAAAATTTACCTTGTCAAACGGCTTTGAAGAATCGCAGAAACGCAGATCCGTCGCGAGACGAATTACATTCTCGGGGTCATGGTTGATACCAGAAGCGTGAATCTATCGCCTGATATCAGCATTGCGAAAAAAAAAAATTATCACCCAAACAAACATACCATGTGCGGCTTATGCAAAACGACATCGCCCGCCTCATAGGCAGACACCAACCAACGGCGTCCATGATCGCGGGCGAATTCAGCAGGCGTTTCAGACAGCAATCCAGTCGCCATCATATTGGAGTTAAAAGCCGACTTGGCCTCCTCATCGCTCAAACCCGCCTCCTTGGCTTTTTTGAAGAATGCTTGCTCCTGTTCCATTCCGATCTTATCACCGTCTTCCAGATAAATCAACCCACCACCATTAATTTTGATATCGCCCATCGGAACCCAGGCAGTCACACTAGTCGGATCACCGTATCGCAGGAAGATCTGATCATAGTGAACACCGATCGGTTTCGAACCGGGGAGGTTATTCCTCAGTAAAGTGCGACGCAAGCTCAGTGTGTTTTTGCCCCAATCTGAGAACCTGGACACGAAGTCGTACAGGGCTGGGTGGTTGCAGAATTTCTCCGCATACCACTCTTGATAATGGGCATCCAGGGCGAGGTCGACAAACTGCGCTGCTTTATCTCCTCCCGGCCGCCCATTTCCATCGACATGCCCGGCTCCAATGCCGGGGTATTCTAGGTGGCTCTTGGCTGGGTCGAAGATGCCTTCCACGGGCTTGCTGCCGGGCTTTAGGATGCCCGTTTTCTCGAGGGAGGAGAAGTAAGCATTGCGTGCGTCGAGGACGTCTTCGCGGGGGAGGATTTGCTTTAGAAATAGGTATCCGTCTTCTTCGTAGCGCTTGCGAAGTTCTTCGAGTGGGAGGGAGGGGTCGGATGGGCGAAGCAGAGCGGCGTTCTCTGCGGTCAGAGGGCCATCGCTCACGGCGAGGTTGTCTGCAAGAATGGCGACCATATTGAGAGATATCGTACAGTCTCAAGCAACAAAGGGATTTGGAAAAGAGAAAGAAGGATTTCGGCCTGCGGGAGCTTCATCTGGATTTATATTTGGCAATGCCATCATCCCGTTCCCCCATATTGGCGGGGTAAGGGGAGTAAGCAAGATGGAGAATCATCCAACCAAAGCTGCTTGAATGTCACTTCTGCCCCGCAAATGAAAATCATCGGTATTGTTCATGGGTCTGATGAGTTGTGCGTTACGATTCATGGCTGTTTGGTGTTCTGTTGTTGGAGACGGGCGGCTAAAAGAGTAAGAAATTCCGCAAATTGCCGGGGATTTTGGCGGGATTGGGGGAGGGTGGGGTAAACTAGGAACGCTCCGTTGCGGGGAATATTACTCTTTTGACTGTTGGTGGATATTTTAGTAGAATAATGGAATCATTGGTGCGGCACGGGGTATTCTTAAAGACCCACGTGGATTTGAATGGCAACTGGTCGTCTTCTCGAATGGCACAAGTGTGGGTGACATTGGGGTGACATTGCAGCGATGTGCAATCAAGGCAAGGCGACAATGCCTTTCGGTGCAAGATGACTGATTCAAGTTATGAACTCTCCGGAAATATGAAACAACTTGAGGTATGGTGTGTTAGTAGTATTGTATATGCAGAAGTGCTTGTTGGAAGTTGTGAGATCAAAGTTGCGGCGGCTGGGAATGAGGCTCGCTTTATACTCTACGCGTAACGGGCCACTTTACCCTGTCCGGGCGTTCAGAGCTTGCCGCTTCTCGATTGCGGTGAGCCTGTATGTAGATATACTTCAAGTTTGATCTGGGCGAAGCTATTCTCGACCTATCTACTAGTACAGAAAAGGCTAGACGTACATGACGTTATTTCAATTAATACTATGGCTCCGACTTCAGTCAGGACTCGAACTCGGAGCCCATCATGGATTGAATACTCGTATGCCCAGTTGATGGACCTACCTAGTAGTAGTACTAAGTAGTTACAACCTACCTAGGTAGGACTTTGAAGTAGTTCAAGTTTCGTCAACATTTGTGGATATATTTCTCCGAGTCTCGAGGCCATCCTTGGAAAACGCCTGGGCGCAAGTAGTACTAGTACTGCCCAGGTGCCTTACTACTACTAGTAGTAGTGATTAGGTACCGTTTACTACTAGTAGTGAATAACTTGGATATCCTACTTGCTACTTGTTTGTTCTTCAATTTTTACGCGCCCTTGTTTCTTAGTAGCAGCCAATAAGCTTGGAACCAATTTCACTCGGATGTGCCTGAAATGCAACACAGCACATGACGTCACTAGGTATAGGTTTGCGACAAATAAATAGGAGTTTTAACTATTCCATAGATATCTGCCTAAGTTGAGGCCGAATATAGAGCGAAGAAGGCAAAAGACGGAGAATTAAACCAAGCCGACGCCGATTAGATTCCTCCGGTCGGACATGCTCGCGCCCGAGTTACCCCATCCAGTAACCTTCGGATATATCGCGCTTACTCTTCTCGGCCAGTATACGGACTTCCAATGTTGCTACCTAGAACACAGGTGGAATATTGAGTGTGTAGAAAGAATGACTGGATTCTTTGCAGAACATAAATATCTTCAAATTCCCTCTAATGATTTTCTATAATAAACACACACTCATCTTTCTCTGCTCCATCCAGCAAAAGACAATCCAAAACTTGAAGCTATAACTTGAATCCATACAACCAATCTCCAAACTTCAACAATTGCTAAACCAGCCAACATGACTCGTTTCGATATCGATTCGTCCAAGGTTGACTCCTACGTCTCTGTTGAAAGCATCGACCATGAGAAGGCCCAAGAACAAACTCAGGAGCAGTAAGTAATTAAATATATCACTCAATATCTCGTTGACTCAGCTAATCATCGTTGAATGATAAGTGTAACTTCAAAGACACCCTGCGAGACCCACGGATCTGGCACCCCGTTTATTGATCGTAACTTGCGAACTGCCCGGGGACAAGAGGCCATACGCATCCTATCAACTGCATTGACTGACTTGGTCGATGAGAACAAGTGTACTAAATGCACGGTGGAAAATCTTGTGCCTTTGCTGGAGGGTCATCTCAAGGACCTGAAACTTGCGAAACAGAATGGAGAATGGTCTAAAGAAGACAAAAAGACTCTCAAAGCTGAGTTTAAGTCTCTCTTCAAGCCTGCAAAGAAGAGTCTGAAGAACATCCTGAAGGGAAACTAGTGGGAGTATTTTCGATACGGATCATTGTTCAGAATGGGCGGTTGTACAGTATGTGGGGTGGAATTTAATGGGTATTAATGGGGGGAGAATGATTTCGGATTGTTTTATGTTTTAATGAAATTCCTATTTAATTAATGCTCGTGACCAAGCAAGCGTATTTTCTTCTATCTCTCATATTCGAAATAATACTTCGATATTTCCCTGGAAAGAGGAATCGCCATAACCAGATGACAAGAGTATTGACCAACCTCAAGCAAGACACACATGCAATCTAGAACAGAACCTGCGAAAGGGTCTTGTTGTCCTGAAGATTAACGTTTCTCATCATCCACACCCAAATAATGGAAAGCCCCATAATGGCCGTGCCGGCAATCATCATGTTGCGTTGAGTAGAAGCATATGCATTCTGAATGGCAGTGCGAGTTGCCGATCCAATAGGGTAACTTAACTGCACACTCAAATCTTCATAAATACTCTCCCATTGGTCTTGCGTCTCAGCCGGCAAGAGCTGCTGTAATTTCTTGGGGAGCGTGTTAGTCCAGACGGCCCCAGAAACACTGCTACCAACAGCTCCACCGATGTTGCCGAAGGTGCTAAGCAAGGCTAGCATGGCTGCATAATCCTCGTGCTTAGAGACGGTCAAGACAGACACCTGTTCGATGAGAATCATGGTTCCTCCACCCACGGCGAGGAATATTTGACACATGCACATGTAACCGACGCTGAATCCAGGCCTGCGGAAATAGATCATCAAACCGCTAGCCAGAAGGTAGAGTGGGACTGCACAGCACAGAATCCACTTGTACCGACCAGTCACTCGCATAAGATAACCACACCCGATGAGCCAGATTGGATCCATTAGGTCGAAGATGGCGCTGATATAACCGGCTTGTGTGACACTTGATCCGTAGACAACTTGTAAAAACGACGTGTAGTAGGTAGCCCAACAGTAGTAGGAGATTTGATACGTGATATCCAGAAGACCCGCGCCGATAATGGTCCGATCCTGGATAAGATGGTATGGAATGAAGGGCTTCGGTGCACCCCAACGCTCATAAGCCACAAACGAAAGCAGCGTGCAAAATCCGACAACGATCATGGCAATAATCTTAGGCGACTTCCATTGTCCCTCGGTATTTCCGGCGATGTTGAAGGCAGTGAGGAAGAGGATCAAACCCCCAATCATAAGAAAGATCCCGACGACTGCGTAGGAGAGAATTCATGTTAGAAAGCTTGAAAGCAGCGAAGAGTCAGAGAAGGAACCCACCATCGAATTCAACAACATAGAACCAGACACTTTCGTACCAGGTACGAGTGCTTCGGGGCTTATATTGTAGTCTTCCCTCCTTATCAGATTTCTTCTTGGCGAGTTGCCAAGTGACGATCAAGGGCATCGCTGCGATCGGGAGAATAATGCAGACGGTTCCATACGCCCATCGCCAGTTGCTCTCATGAAACTGGTTGGACAGGGATGGTCCAGAGAATGCCGTTATGATATAAGGGGACGAGGTAAAACCGTACGCAATTCCTCGATTTCTAAGGGTGGAGGTATCGGAAGTCATAACGTCGACGCAAAAAATAACACCGGTGAGGCCCACAGTATAGAATGACTTGGAAGAAGAGCGAGAACGTCAATGTCCGAATACGATCCGCATGTCGCACAGGGAGATGAGGGGTACTCACTTGAGCGGCGCAATACGTCGCAATATTATTGCAGGCAGCCATCATGATCAAGCCCATCATGGCGATCAGAATCATAATACACATGCCCAAAGTGCGGTCCCAGAGGTTGAGCACTTTAGCGATGGGCAGTAAACACGAAGCGCCCATGACACTTGTCACGACACTTATCACAGATAGTAGCGAGTGGCCTTCAAAACCACTCGTGATATAAGGGCTGAGATTTGTAGTGAAGTTGTTGTTTAATCCATTGACGAAATAGATGAACCACATACTTCATATCCTTAGCAAATATCCGCGACGAGACAATCAATTTAATGACTTACGAGGCATAGGTTATGATCAAGGACCTCTTTGACCAAGAGGAAGTCACAGCCTCAGCAACTCGAACACCATCTTGCTGGTCGTCATGGTCGGATTCAGTCTCGACAAATGGGCCAGGAGACTCAAAGTCGGTTAAAGTTGGGTGATCACTAGCAGTGACCTCAGGGGGAGGTGCGCTCTTGCCCAGAGACATGCTGATTGACAAAAAAAAGTATTCTTGTCAAAGTGCCAAGTGAATGATGGAACTTTCAGGGCAGGGCCGCAGTCTTTTAAATCCCGACATGGGGCCACTGTCCACCTCACATATCCACTGCATCCGCGGAAGCTTTTTCGATCGCTCTTCTCCACCCAAGTGGCCATCTAAGAGCCAAATTATCTGATTTGCGGACGGATCCCGACCGGGGAAACTGGTTGTGGAACTCAAGGCTCTTTCTGTTAGGCCTTGAACTAGAAAGCAAGATTTGACAATGCGCCATGGAAGACCTGAAAAATACTATAAAATTAATCTACCTTAATGCATCGACGTGTATCGGTCAAAAATGATCAGAATCGACAATGGAATTCGCAATGATTCATCCCGGCTTAGCCCATGTCTCATGATTGCACGCTCCTAGTTACATCTGATTTGCGCTCTAGGCATGCATAATAGTTAACCTCCACCGATCCGCCACCAAAGGGGCCAGCTCCACTTTCAAAGACCCTCAATCAAGCTAACAGACCTACAAGGTCACATAAAGCGACAGTGGAGGGTGGCAATTGGTTGTACAAGGATGGTCCAAGCCGATTTCGGCCTTGGCGACAGTGTTGAATGCTCGTGAGAGGTTAGAGTTAGACCATCAGGGGCCAAGCTCGGGCCGAGATAAGATCTAAACCATGAATCAATGCTTATAAGATTGGAACAAGAGGTTGATTGGAGTTTTCAGGCACAGAGTTGGAAGAAGTATGGTTGTGTGTATTTGTCCTTCGGGGTTAACTGTAGCAGGTCCGCATCTCAATCATACTAATTGTCAAAATATTTGCTCGATAGTTTCATTTCTCACGAGAATTGAATCCTTATTACGAAAGAGAAATACAAATGTCGCATTCCTGAAGCTCAATCATTTTTTTCGACGAGATTAAGTCGCTTGCGGCGGCCGCCTGCCCAAAAGGTATTTTGGTGGCTTCGATGGTACGTAAATCAGACGGCGGACGAGAGTTCCTATTGGGGCAAGTATCAGCCCCCGGTCTTTTAATTAACTCCACCGGACCCTGGAGCTATCTGATCCGATGTAGCATTCAGGCGAAAACTATATTCTAGACCAGCTCTTGTGGAAACAAAGAAAAAGACACAATGTGGCTCTTGCAGTCCGTAGTATTAAAACCAACGAAACTCCTTTAGGCCTCAGAATTCCAGAATCCAGAGACCCCAAAGATCTCGACGACAGCGATGTTGAAAATTGTGAGCAGAAAAATTGGCCCTCGGAAAACACTCAGAATACTTCGGTTGATGCCGCTTGAATGGTTGCCTAATGGAATGTTCCTCGTCCGGCCCCATCCGATCCCCACTGTAGATTGATAAAGCCCGGTAAGCTCCACCACCTGGCAGGGCATAAGCGAGAGGTGGGTTCAGTCCTGGCGCTCCAAGTGGGAAGATCTCGTGCTGCTAACTCCAAAAGGTCCTTAAGGGACCCGCGGATTCCGTCTGGAAGTCACACTTCGGCCATAAGGGCGCGAATTCACATATCCGATTACATTGTCGCGTTTTCTACGCTCCTTAACTAAAGAAAATCGATCAATTTCATTTCATGGGCTAGCCGCCCTGGGATGAGTTGTATTGTTTCTTCATACTTAATTTCCCCTTGATAGATTCTCTCATAGGCATTTGGCACCACGGTACATGGGATAGGAGGGTAGGGGGAAAATGCATAGCCTGTGTGGTATCTGTCGTGGTGTAGACAGAGACGAGGTGAGAAGAGGTTATCTAGTACAAGATCAACAACAACCACCGCTACAAACGGGAAACAGTCATCTTCACTGACTGAAAGATTTCGTAGAACAGACCTTCGCTGTATTCGTCGTGCCTCCTATCTTCTCTGCCAAGGGCGGGTTGAATACCTGGATCTCTGCCAGAAATCCAGGATCAAGGCATATGGGTTGGGTCTGAAACCTGCCTCCCGCACCTCAAAATAGACCTCCAAATAGGCCGCGGTGTAGGCTTCAAGACTGTTGTAATCCGATGTGCCGATAGCTGTAAATGCCTTCCATGTTTTGAGGTCGTAATAGACATGGCGAGGCTGGCACGTGGTTTTCAAAGCATTCCACAGGTCGTCTGCAAATGTCGGCTCATAGTGTGGAATCTGTATCTCATCATACAGGGCGACTGAGATGCTCCTGAGTAACCACGTCGCAACATTCATGCTGCAAAATCGCCATCTATTGGCCGCTGCGTCCCTTGGAGCGTACTGGGGGCGTGGGATTTTCTTGTCGATCAAACCGTGGAAAGATTTGCTTGCCAGGATACACTTCACCTTGCGTTCCCATTCCACCCAATTGGCCTTCCCGTCAAGAGCGTCTTTGATTTGAGGAAGTTGGATCGGGCCTTCTGGGAGGTTTGTCGCTTGATTCAAGTCGACTGGCATTTCATTTACCTCTGTTTCTGCATCGTCCCGTTCGGCGTAGATTGGATGAGTGGTCAGCGGTTGCTCTGGGGGTTTCAAGGTCCAGCAACAACAGCGGTTGGATTCGCGTTACAATCACCTTCGTTTTCAGCCATATTAGTGTTGTAGATTCTGTTGGTGATGTTGGTAATGGGTATGAGACTGAGAGTAGATTGTCCCATACTATGGAGAAGTCAAGCCTGCCGTTGGCCAACTAGCGATCAGCGCCATCACTCCCAAGATATAGCCTTCTCTATAGCTCAGAAAAGACAAGGGAGTCCTCCTCTTCACTGATCCTAACTTTGACTCTCTTGGATATGGTTTCCACCTGACCAAGATGGTGTAAATGCGCGATTTTGTGCTCCTCGGCAAGCTGCAACCGACTCATCAATAGCGGAAACACAGAGGATTTCCACAAAACTCGCTGAGGTCTGGTTACAATCACCATAGTCACAAGTAGGAGAATTGTGAAAACGGGCAACCCGATGGGAAGTATCAGCCAAGGCCAGCTAACCTGCACAAATACAAATGTCTCGGAGCGGTAAGCCTGGCCATTAAGACGGGTGGACATCGTGCTTGAACGGATGTTGTCGGTCATTCTATCGGCCATCCGGCTGATAGAATTGGCGACGTTGCCAGCTGGACGCCGAGTCCTGCTACGCCGAAGGCTTCGCCAGCATATGAAACCAGAGAGGTATTGAATAGAGGTACCATCCCATAGAGAAAGTTTTGATCGCTAAAAACATCAATTCTATAACTTGTATCATTCGAATATGTCCTGGTCCCGCTTTGAGGAAGAAGTGAGTATGTCGCACCAATTTTATAGGTACTTAGTTGTTTCAAGTACAATGGTTGGGCACGTGAAGGCTCGAAAGTGCGGTTGTTAACCGAGTTATAGTCCAAGTGGGTGATCTGCTTTTCACAGTAGCGGATGGAACATTGTGTCATGGATGGCTTTATTGAATCGACGGCGCTGGTGTTGGAAGAAGTATTGGCGAGGCGGCGTGTGATTTTTGCTTGCAAAAGCAGCTCTGTGCTTTGTAGTAGCCACCACCCGATCGTTTTTTCGCATGGAAAAAGCACTTCTTTGTACCGGCCTGCAGCCCACCAGAAATTTAGTGAAAGAGTCTTCTTGAGTGCTTATAATGTGATGAATCTATAGCTAATGCAATAACATAACGCCAACCAGGACCAAAAGCCGGTTACTGGATGATTTATCTCCATAGATGCCCGCAAGATAACGAAAAAACAACGTCAGACGGGATCATAACTCATGCCTTCTCCTCCCAATCCCCGATAGACCAAGAAGCCACATCATCTTCAATAACCAACTTCATCGTCGTAAATGTGATATTCTCATATAGTTCTCTCGCCGCCACTCTGGCCTTCGCATGCCAAGGTCCACGACCACCAAGTCGGGCATCTCCCCGACTGCGCCAAATGCCTACGCAGACCCATTAGCAATGCAATTCCATTCCGGATCCAAATTTACCGGGCTAGTACTCACAAGTTGCAAGATTCCTCCTCTCCTCATCCTTGGTCCCAAACCAATACTTCAATAACCCGCCACTCGCCACAGCCTCCTGATGCGAATATGCGTCCAGGGCATGGAGATGGTCATTATCTACGCCGGGGAGAAGTATAGACCGGAACGCAACGACGTAGAAAGTCTGCGCCGTCCAGCTGTGGCCCTCGGCGTCGGCAAATGATTTCACCAGGTTAAACACTTCGTCCCAATTGAAATTCTCAATATAGGGCGCTGTCGCATAATCCGGACGAATGGATGTGAATGAGGCCAAGGCCAGTGCGAGAAGTCTGCTTTGCGTGTCGAGGGTTTCCAAATCTAGGAGGTGCGGAATATCGTTGTATGGTGACGAGATTAGACGGGTATCTGTTTCTGTTTCTGTTTCTTCTGTGGTGCTTGATATCGAGGTCTCAGCAGAAGAGATCTCTTCATGCTGTTTCTGCTGTTGCTGCCATTTGATTTGGCGGGATGCTGCGGCGTGGAATTTCAACTCGTCGAAATCTGATGTCACTTCATGGTATGGTCGGAGGTCCTTGATGACTAGGCCGGTGGCGGCTTTTTGTAACTTCGGGTCATCGAGTGGACCGATTTTGCCGGCTGTGCCTGGCGTCGGGGTGGCTATACCCGGTGCCATACTTTTGAGTTGAAAAAAAAGAGTGAAACCCTAAGTTGGGAATTTGCCACGGCACAGATTCTTTTCCCGCGGGTAGAGGTGTTTCAAGATATCGCGACGGGACAAATGACTTCGCTTTGAATATTCACTTGAATTCTTTGTCGAATGAGATGGAACTGAAAGTGTTTTGTTCTGGATGACGAATATATATATGTATAATGGAAGGAGGTACTGATAGTACTCAAAGTGAAGAAAGGGCGATGTTGAGGAGGAGGTGTTACTAGTACCCAAGTAAAGTGTATAACAGGAAACCCTGGAGGAAAAAAAAGGGACGCAGCAGCCAACTATTAATACCATTGACCCAAAGACCCAAAGACCCCAAGCACAAAAATTTCTTGACCGCTACCAAAGGATTCAGTTTGTACCACATTCCCAGAGATTGCGAAAGACCTGAGCAAAGGACGCGGCTCAAGCACGCCATTCCGAAAGAGCCCACGAAGTATGGGTCAATGAGTCCCGCAATTTCCTACTCTTACTCTTACTTTCATCTAGAATTATTCAAATGGACTCACTCGGAAGAGAACTACAGTCCCATGACAGTGGTGAATGCATTATGTCAAGATCAAAAGTCCCCGAAAAAGTTCACAAGCAAAGCGGTACTGACGTGGTTTTCCACGTGTTGTGCGCAAACCCTATTTCGATTGGGAAAATGGCGGGGAGGGTTGGCTGCAGTGCAGGGCGTCGATGCTACATCGGGGTAAGTTGGGATTTGTCTCTGACAACGCAGTGAACTGGCTGTTATATGTACTGTAGTTGATAAAATCTGAATTTGATTTTGCGTGATTGGCCACTCGGCCACACCGAAAGAGTATAGTGTGAGAGAATACCTTCAACGTCATTCTATCGCCGGGGATAGCTTTCGTTAAGTAAGTGAAGCAGAGTTTTAATATCGTATTTCGAAGCTAGGCTGCATTATTATGCACTAGAGAATTTAGTCAGGTACCTACTAGGCTTCTTAACGGGCAACAAGGGATAGCTAGAGGGTTAGAGGTTCCCCAATAGATCCACTTAGTGAGGCGTCAATGCTACATCGGGGTAAGTTGAGGATTGCGATTGACAATGCAGCTAGCATAGTCCAAATTCGGATTTTTACGAATTTTAGACTTCGTGCGATTGGCCACTCGGTCACACCGAGGGCAGTAATAGTTAATGTACAGCAAAATAAAAAAATGGTATCACGTATAGCGCAAAACGGTCCCGACCTTTCCCCTCCGATCGTCGCCCAGAACGCCTGGAATGAGAGTTGTATGCGAATGTTCGAGTATAAACGGCAACCGCACGCGACATCCTAAGATGCGCAGGACCTTGGGGGTAACCTAAGGCCTAGGCGGCGGGCCCATCTTGCCCGCACCGGTATCGACCTTCTTACGGGCCGGGATCGCTGGCACCTTGAATCCATCGCTATCTTTGCCTTGCGGTTTAGTGCTGCTTTGCGCACCGCCAACTTGCGTAAATGTTCCACTGTTGAACCAACGATCTTCCTCCGCCTTGCGTTTGCGGTTCAACTCGGCTTGAACCTTGGGATCCACCAGCTCCAGTCCCTGCACGGGCGTAAAGGCAATCGTACTAGCCGTACCGGCAGTGGCGGACATTGATCCCACTCCAGATGTGCGCAGACCCTTGGACTGGAGCACGCTGGCAGTTCCACCCGCACTTTGGCCGAATGTGCGTAGCGACGAGGCCGTGCCGCCGGCCGGGGTCGATCCGCCCCAACCTTTGTTGTTTTTGCTGAGTTTCGCGCGGGTGCGCTGGTCGATCTGCGTGGCTCGGATTCGGCCGTCGTTCTGTTGGCCCAACATGCCGAGACCAACGGTACCTTCGCCCGTCCCGTATCCAGACTCCTTTTCTTCTTGGCCGAATGCCATGCGGTTCTGGGCTTTGCGTAGCTCGGTCATAGCGACAGCTTCCTTAGCCTGACGGGCTCGTCGACCACCTCGTTTCCGGGCTGGCTTATCGTCCGGAGCGGGGAGGGCCTTCACGCCAGAGTTGGGCGCAGGCTCGGTCAATTTCTCTAGGCGCTTGAAGCACTGCTCCTTCAGGTCCTCGCCTAGCGAGCCGTCCTTGGCATAATTTGCGACATCTGAGCGAACGGCGAGGATCATTTTCGCGGAAACAATGCGGATTGCTTGCTTCTGCAGGTCGTAGGGAACCTCTTGGATAAGAGGTGAATCGTACAAGAAACCTTTCGCACGCACACCGTGGTTCGTGGCGAATCCTAATCCGCCTTGTCGCCTAGACCCCTGCGCTCCTAGGTTGCATGCTGGGATTTTGGCCAACTCGAGTAAACCACCGGATTGGTTGAGGAATTGTGCGGCAGTGTGTGATCCGATCAAGGTTGCGAGATTCGGCGCAATCTGGTTCACGCGGGATCGAATGCTCTCAGTAAGAGCTGTACGCTCGCGATCAAGTTTGATGATGCGATCGCAGGTATCCAGAACAATCTTCAATTCTGCGTCGGTCATTTGGCGGCCACGGGTTGTGGTTCCTTCCAGTGCTACCGTCATGAGGGAGGGCCCGTCAAGAACAGACTTGAGGGACTCGCCGACCATGTTCTCTGCGGAGTTGGAGAGGGCCTTGATATCGTCGAAGGGGCCATTTCCAAGGATGGCGACCGTTTTGGCGTACTTGATGGAGCTGGTGACGAGGGTTTCGAGTTCGGGGAAGCGGACGGAATAGTGATCGCGTAGGTCTTTGTGTAGTCGTGTGAGTTGATCGGCAGTCTCGATAGAGAGGTCAAAGTCATTGGTAGCCTTTGCACTGGCATCCTGGGGCTGTTCATCCTCGACTTCTTGTTCGAGGCCTTCGGCTTCCTGGTCCTGGAAGTCTTCGTCGTCTTCAAAGTCGCGCAGGAGATCCTCCGCGGCGGACATGTTGGGCGGCTATGAGAAGAGAAGCTGAAGTGTGTCTCTGCAGGGAGTAACCGAGGACGTAAAATCGTCTCAGATAGCAGAAAATGCAACGCTGTTGACTGACAAAGTCGAATGTCCAAGGTTCAAGATTCGCGACTGCTCAAAGTGGCAGCCAACGGCGATGAGTCAGCAGCAGCTCTTTTTTTACGGGCGGCGAAGAAAACCAAAAATGCAGATTGATTTCATCGGGCGAGAGCAACCCAGAAACATCAACTCCAATCAACCGGTGGTTCTGACCACAAAAAGATTCACCAATCCCTCCGAAATCGATACTTAATACAACCACCTTCCCCACCCCATCGAAACCCGCCATCATGGAGGCGTCTCGCGGACCCCCTCGGGTCAAGAACAAGGCCGCCGCGCCCGTCCAGATCTCCGCAGAGCAGCTACTGCGCGAGGCAGTTGACCGGCAGGAGGAGGGCCTACAAGCGCCGACACAACGATTTGCCGATCTGGAAGAGCTGCATGAATACCAGGGACGCAAGCGCAAGGACTTTGAAGACTATGTGCGGCGCAACCGTATTAACATGAACAACTGGATGCGCTATGCGGCCTGGGAACTGGAACAGAAGGAATTCCGCCGCGCGCGATCAATCTTTGAGCGTGCGCTGGACGTGGACTCGACCTCTGTTATTCTGTGGATTCGATACATCGAAGCTGAGATGAAGACTCGGAATATCAATCACGCTCGGAACTTGCTTGATCGCGCTGTCACCATCCTCTCCTCGGGTCGATAAGCTCTGGTTCAAGTACGTCTATATGGAGGAGACGCTCGGCAACATTCCCGGCACGCGCCAGGTTTTTGAGCGCTGGATGTCGTGGGAGCCGGAGGAGGGTGCGTGGGCGGCTTATATCAAGTTGGAGAAGCGGTACAATGAGTTTGATCGGGCTCGTCAGGTTTTCCAGCGGTTTACAATTGTGCACCCAGAGCCGCGGAATTGGATCAAATGGGCTCGTTTTGAGGAGGAGTGTGGAACTAGCGATCTCGTCCGCGATGTTTATGGTGTCGCCATCGAGACGCTGGGAGATGATTTCATGGATGAGAAGCTGTTTGTCGCGTACGCCAAGTTCGAGGCCAAGCTGAAGGAATACGAGCGCGCCCGCGCTATCTACAAGTTCGCCCTCGACCGATTGCCGCGATCCAAGTCAATGGTCTTGCACAAGGCCTACACTACATTTGAGAAGCAGTTTGGTGATCGCGAAGGTGTGGAGGATGTCATCTTATCCAAGCGCCGCGTACAATATGAAGAGCAATTGAAGGAGAACCAACGAAACTACGATATTTGGTTCGACTTTGCCCGACTGGAAGAAACTGCCGGTGACCCAGAGCGAGTTCGAGATATTTACGAGCGAGCGATTGCACAGATCCCCCCCTCGCAAGAAAAACGACACTGGCGCCGGTACATCTATCTCTGGATCTTCTACGCAGTCTGGGAAGAGATGGAGGCGAAAGATGCGGAACGAGCCCGACAGATTTACCAGGAATGCATCAAGCTTATTCCACACAAGAAGTTCACCTTTGCCAAGGTGTGGTTGATGAAGGCGCAATTTGAGATCCGACAGATGGAGCTAGGCGCGGCTCGGAAGACGCTGGGTCAGGCGATCGGGATGTGTCCCAAGGACAAGCTTTTCCGCGGATATATCAATCTGGAGCGACAGCTGTTTGAGTTCGTGCGGTGCCGGACATTGTACGAGAAGCAGATCGAATGGAACTCGTCGAACAGCCAGTCATGGATTCAATATGCAGAGCTGGAGCGTGGTCTGGATGATTTGGAGCGCGCTCGGGCGCTATACGAGCTGGGTATTGAGCAAGCGACGCTTGACATGCCGGAGCTGGTATGGAAGTCCTACATTGATTGTGAAGAGGAGGAAGGTGAATACGACCGAGTGCGTGCTCTGTATGAGCGTCTACTCTCAAAAACGGACCACGTCAAGGTCTGGATCAACTATGCCCGATTCGAGATCAACATCCCCGACGACAGGAGAGGAGGAAGAAGAAGAAGAGGAGGAGCGACCGGTCAGCGAGGAAGCGAAGATACGTGCACGGGCGGTATTCGACCGGGCGCACAAGGTGTTCAAGGACAAGGAGCTCAAGGAAGAGGTATGTTCAAGTTTAAGCCTTGGTGACCAGTTTTGCAGAATTGAAGCTAACTCTTTCCAGCGCGTGGAACTACTCAATGCCTGGCGGTCGTTCGAGAACACGCACGGATCGCCGGAGGATATCGACAAGATCGAGAAGCAGATGCCTCGGCGGGTCAAGAAGCGTCGCAAGCTGGAGGACGACCGGTACGAGGAGTACATGGACTACGTGTTCCCGGCGGACGACAAGTCGGCAGCGAATCTGTCGAAGCTGCTCCAGCGGGCGCACGCGTGGAAGCAGCAGTCGTCAGCATGAGGTGGAATTGGGATTGGAAGTGTATGATTTGGAGTGGAGGACTGTCTTGGGTATCATAAGTATCAAGGCTATCAATATCAAGGCTATCAAGGCCATTATTATGAAGTTGAAGTCCCACCGGGGCCTTGGCGTGCAAAATGGGACCGTGACCGACCCAACGAACGAATGGAAAAGGGTCGAATTAGTGTTATAATACATAAATCAATTTACATATGGAGTTCGTCTCCACATCCAACGTGGGCGAGAGCGAGTCAGGGTCCGTACGGAGTAGCAAATACATAGTACGCAGTGCAGTGTACATGAATACGAAGATATGCTCCGGAGGACCTGTGCTCTCCTCTCACTCCAGTTCTTCATTTTCATTTCCATCCCCCCCCCGAACTCTCCGATTGCAGGGATGTCCAATTGCAGGATCGTACAGGGGTGGCGAGTATTCGGACTCTGTCACTCGCCCGCTGAACGATGCCATCACCGATCAGCCGTCCCGCCAAGGGAGAATGTCCCGAATAGGACTAGACTGGGTAGACTGGCGTAGAAATGGAACCTATCGCGAGGGAGAAGGGGGTCCAATCTTTTGATCTGTTGGTGGAGGACTGTGCGACTGGAGTGGGATCGTGCAATAGGTGCCCGGGTGGTTCCTGGATCCTGATTTTAAACCGGATTTTCCTAAGGTTGGCTTGGTACCTGCATGGTGATACAGTCAGAGTACAGAGGATGAGAACTCTGTGCTGAGTGATGGTACCAGTGCCAGTGCCAGTGCCTGTACCAGCCAACTGGATCTGATCAGTTAATGTGAAGCACTGGAGGCTGGGCTTATTACTCGTAGTGCTCGGTTAGCTGTTCTAGGCATAGAGGGATGATGTTCGAGAAGGCGGGTGTTTCGCCCGTGGCCCACTTTAGAGTGATGGGAGTGGTGGTGGTGGATAGCCGTGACTTTGGAAGCGATACGAGTACTCTGTACTCCGTATAGAGACTGGATAGGTATACTCGTGACATGTATACTATAGGGAGTACCGGAGTCTCGTGTACCTCCGTACTCCTTATACCAATGGGACAGTGGTCAAGCCAATACCCAAATATCAATATCCCAATATTGCGGGCGATGATGCTATTGCGTGCACGAGCCATGTGATTCCACGGTTTCAGACGACCAACCGTGGTTCACTCAGGAGTAAAAAGAGTTAAGGGGCGTGTTTATTTTCATTATTTTCATGGTGTATCCGTACTTATGAACCCCTTGCTATTATTATCAGCAGGGAGGAGGGGAGGAGGAGGGAGAGGAGGAGAGGAGGAGAGGAGGCTGCAGACTGGACCCCGGGGCCGCAGACTGCACTGCAGGTACTCCGTAGTCTCCTGGTGGGTTCCTACTGCCCGAACAGCCTTGTACGAGTATGCTGTGACAATGGTATATGGAGCACTATTGCATTATTGACCATCATAGTTGGCTATAATAGAGTCAAATATACTCTATTGCTATAGTAGACCTATACTACACCCATACTATGCTCAAGTACGCGCCGAGTTAAATTAGCATGACCGAATAAGCCCAAAGGGGGATGGCGGAGGTGGAGGGAAAGGGAAGTGCATGTCTCACCTTGGCACCGCAGCACTTCCATGTCCACTCCTCCTCTTTTCTCTCCTCTCTCCTCTCCTTTCCTCTCCCCGATTGCCCCCCTCGCCCTCCCTCGGTTGTTGTTGTGTCTTGTCTTGCTTTTGTGCTGTGCACTTGTCCTTCGGTGTGTCGCCCAATTCCTGATTTCTGATTTCCGATTCCTGCCACCCCATCCGACTCCAACACTAACTCCTATCCAGCTTTCTTTCGCGACTTGTCGCCCCCATTCTCTACTCCCAAATTCTCACCATCTTTGCATCTTCAATTTTCGATTTTCGACTTTCGACTTTCGACTTTCGATTCTTCACTCCTTCCATTCACCCAATCGCCGTCTTCGCGATCAACCTCCACACAACTTGAACCCCTGACTATCCCGAGCTGGACTTCTCATTTCAATCCAATCCCATACTATCTGACTCAACTCGACTCGACTCCGCCTGACACGACCGCCCCCAATTGCCTTGGCTCGCTAAACACAACCCATTCGAGTGTACCAGCATCCCTCCGTCTTAACCTTGATACCCCGAATGCGTGCGCGCCGCTGCTAAATCCCGGCCGAGATGAGATAGTGCTCTGGCAGTCACCATTTTCAATTATCGACCTGATTTCTCACCGGCTGGCTATCCGCAACTCCCTCGCTTGGTCTGGTATCATCATATTTCGTTCTTTGCATTTTCGCCATCTCCCAATCGACATGAAGGTCCCCACCCCCGACCACGAATTGAAGGGCCGTTGCTCCGTCATTTACAACAACACCCTCTACGTCTTCTCCAAAAACGGCCTCCAGTATATCGACCTCGAGAAGGATGCCAAATGGCATGCGCCCACAAGCTACAAAAGCGGGGACCCTGTTCTGGTGGACGACGCAGTTTGTATGCTAGGTGGCGTCGATGGTAATGAAGACGAGCAAGCCCTCTACGTCGTCGGCGGGACCGGCGGCGACGACAGCTACTCTGGCATGCAGCGATATTCCTTCAAGGATACAACCTGGTCAACCCTTGGCCCCGCCGGCGTTTTGACCGGACTCACTGGCCATGGCGCTGGATATATCAGTTCAAGCCACAAGATTATCGTGTTTGGTGGCAGTTCGTCTGGTTCTACTGTTCCCACCGATCAGTCATGGACCATTGACACCGTTCCTCCATATGGCAGTGGTTCTCAGCTCAGCCATGGTGCCCCAAACTCCAATAACCCCTACCTTATGACATGGGATTCTTCCAATGTTGCCATGATGGGCGGCCAGACGTCGAGCGCTGATGTTTGGACTTTTAGCGACACGACAGGATGGACAACATCAGGTGCAAGCTTGCCGTCACCAAGTAGTGTGTCGGACACAACAAAGCCTATTGTGATGGACGACTCCTCTGGTGGTAAGGTTTTGATGACTTTCAAGATGGATGGGTCCGCCGACTCCGTCCAGAGTTATGCCTTGGTGAATGATGAGGGCAAGGCACAGGCTGCTACACCCCTCACGAAGCGCAGCTTGAGCGACTATCCCACATACAATAGTTCAAATGCCCCATCGAAGAAATGGACGGAGTTTTCCCTCGCCCAACAGCAGGGAATGGTTGTTGTCGCAGGCGGTAGTGGCGATGAAACATTGGCCATCTTCAACCAAACCTCCAATAGCTGGGCCAATGCGACCGAATTATTCTACGGCAAGCCACAACATACCTTGAAACATCACACCACGACAACTTCGTTCACATCCTCGACACCGACCTCGACCTCGACATCCATCTCTTCCAGTTCCGCCTCTGTTACCCCAACGTCCACTTCCTCCTCCACCCCTGCCGCGGCTGCTGGTGGAAGCACCTCGCACGCTGATTTGAAAACAATCCTGGGTGCGACGTTGGGTAGCGTATGTGGTGTCGCTATCATTCTTCTGCTCTTGCTCTTCCTCCTTCGCCGCAAGAAGCAACAGCAAATTCAAAATGGCCAGCGGCCCAATGACAGCAAGGACCGTCTAAGCTTCCAAGACCGAGGCTTAGGTCAAGACCAGGGCTTAGCACCCCTGGCTGCAGGTGCCTATCCAATGGCCAAGAGCCCAGTCCCCTTTGCTGCCATGTCCAATGACTCGCTCGCCATCATGTCTGGCCGTGCCACCGGAGAGAAATCTCTCAAACCACCTCCCGCCAACAATGGCTACGGTCTGTCATCAAAACCTCGCGATAGCAGCCCGTTATCACCTATCCCGTCCAGTGGACTTGCGCCCTCGAGTATGTACTCCCAGGGTTCCGAGGTCGCTGCCATTGTCGCGGGTGGAGCAGCGGGAGCTGGAGCAGGAGCAGCAGTGGGATCCAACAAGGCTGGTGATCGGACAACAGACGAAGGATGGGGCAAATACTTCGAAGATAATAACGATACATCCAACCTCGGCATGCCCGCTGATCGGTCAACCGTCAGCTCAGTCTACACCAAATCCGACTACCGCGGGAGTGCCTGGCCAATGACGAATCTCACCCCAATCAACTTCGGCTTCCTCGACCAACCCAAACCACTAGGCCAGGTATATAGCGGCAGCCCGACAACCGAGAGCTCCTCTTCAATCGGGATCGGCCGCAGCCTCGCTATTCCAGAAGCACAATCAGCGCGGATATCTAGCGCCGACTCGATTAGCCTCATGTCGGACGATGACCCCCACGACACAGCCTGGACAGGCGCACATAAGCAGAGTTGGCTGGGACGACCACCCAGCAGCAATTACAGCACCAGTTTCTATGACTCCAGCACACGAGATCTGCAAAATACTGGTTCGGGGTATTTCCCCGATATGGACAACCGCCAATCCCACGGTCGGAGGTCTAGCGTCATCATACCGGATGATATCGATGAGATTCGCACACCAGGTCGCACTCAGAATGTCAATTCCGACATGAGCTGGTTGAATATCCACGCCGACCGCTAAGCTGAGGTTGAGCTGAACGGTTATACCCACCACCCACCATGGCGCCCGTCTGTTGATATCTCCCAGAACTATCCTACCCTCTCACCCTCTCTCATACCATCTTTTCTACCCTCATCAATCTCGTTCTCTACCTAAGTCTATCAAGCATAGACTCTACATCCAATCTCTTCCTCTTTCCTGCATGGCGTCCGGCATGGCGTCCTTGTAAAAGTTCGTGTCGGTGCATCCTCCGCATTAACAGTTTCGCATTCGGTCCATTTCTCTTCATTTTATTCATTTATCTGAGTGCGCGAGCGATTCTTTAGCGTTGCCTCACTCTCTCTGTGTCTTCGATTTTATCTCCGATCTGATCTGATCTCCTCTGAACATTCATATTCTTATACCTATTCCCCATACAAATCCTCTCTGTGTGTTTTGTTCCGCCTGTCAATACGCGATGCGGCCTGGTCCGAACTCCTTCTTTTCAATGCTCACTCTTCGTGCTGGTTCGGGTTTCGACCCCTGGTCTTGTACATATTTCAATCTATGAGGTACCTGGGTACCTTTGATCTTTTTACTCGTTTTCGTAGTCCCTGGCCACTACGTAGCAGAAGCGATCTCCGGTGAGTGGAGCTTTGCCATCTGCGTTCCGGTACAATCTGTCAAATTTTGGAAGATACAGAGAAAGAATCTTGCTCATAAGTGGAAATTCACTTCTTACATCTGGCGCCTGGGCTTCCCACCTTGATTATCGAGTCAAATTCACAGTTGATTATACACTGGCATGAGGAGTCCCGGGGGGGGGGACCTTAGTCGATGCAAGCAATGGTAACTACGGCGCTCCATGGCGGCAATCGGCTCAGGGGTGTTCTCTATAATTAAAGCTTTGCCATCCCCTCGGTGAAGCTATTCTTCCCATACCGATTGCTTAATTCTAACAATTCAGGGTACTAGGTATATGACTGGGCAAGATACCAAGTAGTATACTAATATCTTTCAGATTGTATCTCTAACATTGTCCATCCTGCACAAGTTCATCAAGCACGTTTCCTCATGGGTCTGATTTCAAAAAGGAAGGTGGTGATTGTTGCTAGGAAGTCCTCGACGGCTGAGAAGGCAGCGAAGACGCTCGAGGCTGCGTTTCTGGAATTGGGGTATCCTCATGAGTGCCAGATCCAGGCAATAGGTGATGAGAATGAATATGGTGTCTTGATACTGAAACGTCCATCATTAAGGATATCTCTCGCACATTTACCAGGATTACTGGCAGGTCTGCTCCGTTGTGTACTAGTATCATTGAGGACTGGCTGAAATGAAGGGTTGTCTTGCCTGCCACGAAAGTCCGAGTTAATTAGTTGCAAACGTCCTCTTCAGTAATACTCAAACTAGCGCTGATCAGTGCGATCATGAAAAGAACCTGATATGAACTAGGAATTACTGGGCTGCTGTGGGCGAAATTCCCTTCAATCTCACCAATCACACAGCTTGATGTGCCCGGAAGCTCCCCCGCAAAGGAGACAATCCCGAGCCTCGTCAATCTGACTCAACTGCAACAACACCCCCACCTGCGAGAATAGAAGAAACTCCTCCTTAACTTAAACTGGGATGCAATGGCTAGTCCAGCCCCATCTATGGAAATTAAAATGTCGACACTACCAACAAGATCCGACCTAGTCCTACGACCCCACCCAAGACAAATTACTAGCAATAACGACAACACCAACGAAAGGAACCAAATATCCCACTTATCATCCCTCCCAACCGAGCTGCTTCTTCATATAGGCACACACATCGAAAAAGAAGGCGACCTGAACGCACTCATCCAAACATGTCACCACTTCCACAACACCTTCCAAGATGCTCTCTACAAAATGTGCTCGGACCCGCAATCGAAATTCCTTTGGGCATGCAATCACAACCACATCCGTCTCGCAGAGAAAATGGTATCCCGAGGCGCGATAACGCGCGTCCCAGTCGTACCTGGTAAACCCCTACGCCGAGTCGGACGCCGAGGTCGCTCTGAATATCTAGAAGCTCGGCCGGAATCTCTTCCGCTCATGGCGGCCTCGAGGAACGGGTATGTGGATATGGTGCGCTTTTTGATTGGGAGGGATCGTGGATTGATTTATTTGTTGGATGGAGTTGGATTTTCGGCGCTCTGTTATGCGGTTCAGTTTGGGCATGTGGATGTTGTGGAGGTTTTGTTGGGGGTGGATGAGGAGGACGAGTATGGGTCTAGTGTGGCTCATATTATTCAGAGGGGTAATGGTATGGGGATATTTTTGGGTAGGAGTGCGCTTAATCCGATTAATATCGCGTTGGAATGGGGGAGGGTTGAGATTTTGAAGATGTTGTTGAAGGATGGACGGAGTGGATTCGATAAAGATAGTCTTTTGGCTGCGGTTTTGGGGGGCGAGGTTGAGTGTGTTCGGGCTTGTTTCGAGATTGATACCGTGGGAGAGGGGATGGATGATGCGTATCATGTTTTCAGGGAGGATGAGTTGGCGGAGGCCTGTGACAGAGGTTATGAAGATATTGTTCTTCTGATACTGGATTTGTCGAGGGGAATCGATCCGAATCGGGCTACGGGGCGGCCTCGGGGGGAATTGAGGACTCCGTTGATCAGTGCGGCGAGAAGTGGCCATGAGGGTATTGTGAAGATCTTGCTTGCTAGGGATGATGTTGATCCTGAGAAGCCGTCCAAGTCTGGCCGTACGCCGTTCTGTTGGGCTGCAGTAAAGGGACATGTCGGGGTGATGAAGCTTCTGTTGGAGACTGGGAAGGTCGATGTTAATTCGCAAACAGATGATTTGGCAACGCCGCTGTCTTGTGCTGCTGCTGCTGGGGAAGAAGATTCCGTCCGATTTTTGCTCTCACTTGATGAGGTCGAAGTCGAGTCGAGGGATATCTATGGCCGGACGGCGACTTTTTTGGCTGCGGCGAAAGGTGCTGCGGGTGCTGTGAGGGTGCTGTTGGAGTCTAGAAGGGCGGATCCTGAAGCCAAAGATCAGATCCATGGATTTACTCCTCTGATTGCTGCAATTGATCAGGGGCAATTTGCTCAAAAGCCACGTTCTAGTTTCTTTGCCCATGAGCTTGGTGGTGCTCCCCTTCCCTCTGCCTGTCAGGATATTCTCAATTTACTGCGTGACGCGGGTGTTCCTGTTTCTTCGGATTGGATGAAGACGGAAGAAATGGGTTACGATGATCTCGACAGCGAGAGGAAATTCGTGGCTCGCGATGCCCTAGAGGTGATGAGAGTATTTCTTGCATGCCCGGACTCGGTGAACCCGAACACATCGAGGGACGATGGCAAAACGCCTTTGATGCATGCAATAACCAGACGTCAAGTTGATGCCGTGCAGCTACTGCTATCTTCAAGCAGGATAGATGTCAATATTACGGATAAGAATGGCCAGACCGCGCTGGAATATGCGAATGAGATATATAGGCCCGATTCTCGACATCTTCTGCGAGATATCCGCTCGCCGATAGGGCACCGACCCGGGGTAAGCCGCCGACGACACGCTCGAACGGGTGAGCTGGAACCAGTCGAGCTGTGAGAATACTACCAGTTAGTACTAGTTAGTAATACCAATGCCATCATTCCTGGAACTTGAGGTTCTAGATAGCGAGCTGCTTGGAGGCCAGAAAATTAAGTGTAAGGCGAAATGCCAGGATGTTCAAACAGTACACCCAAAAAAGCAAGATATAAATAGAATACAGATTAAATCATGGATATCATTCGATAGAAATTATTCTTTAGTGATTAATAAAACTTCGCGAGGAATGATCCTCGCTTCGAGACACGCCGGAATTCATTGACGGCAGGGCTCACGGGTTTCAAAGAGCTATCGTCCATGTCCATCTGTTCAACAGCCCGGTATGCAGTAGATCGCCCACTGCCGAATGCACTTTTGCCATCCGCCTTGGCGCGGATATAATAGTGTGCATCATCTTCTTCCATGCCAATAAACCAACGCTCTTTCAGCTGTCGGCCAACAGGGCCACCGCCACAGGCGCCATGAAGCCGCGCGCTATGTGGACTGTTCATAGCCAGCGCGAACAGGTTCTGGGGCTCGGTGAAGTCTGTGATTTGATGGCCTCGCGCTTCGAGGATCATAAAGCCGAAACAAATGAAGCTCGTGATGAAGCAGAAAATTAGAATGACGTAAAATACACCTTGCCAGCGCTCTGTGCCACCGGAAGCATAGCCGACGGCTTGGACCGAGGCCTTGAAGTAGTGGTAGACCGGCTCAGGAAGGATATTGTCAGTCACGTTGTAGTTCCAACCCTGAACGAAGGGGGTATCTCGCGTGCTGAGAATCAGAGTACTGCCAGCCATTACGGCAAGGGCTTCGCCGATAGAAGGGAAATGCCGACTAAGGGAGTATGTTTTTGAAGACTCATCGTAAGATGGCATCATCTGCATCAAGAGGCGTGCGTTACTGGCTGCACCGTCTGTGATCCCCGCTCCGAGACTGAGGGAGTTGGCCCATTCCGATGCGATGTTTTTCCAGTCAGGATCCCATCGGCCCTCCCCAAAATCTGGGTGATCACGGTTGTATTGGAATGTGTTGTCGGGATCCTCGCATTTTGAGGTTAGAAAGGCGCCGCTGGACGCAGCACTATAGCTTGTAGAGCATGCGCCAGTTAATTTGGCGCGGATTGAACACATAACATAGGGCGGGTGAGAGACGTTTGGCTTTCCCAGCAAGTAGATTGAGTCTGCGGGCCAGGGGCCTGTTATGTTAAGGATGGTGTTGTAGGTTTCTGGGAATTTGCCGAAAATAGGAGGGCGCTGGCCATACTTCTTGCCAAAGCCAAAGATGTCGTCGACCACTGTGCTATTTAGCCACGAGGGTACGACAGGGATTTTGTCAGATGGACTGGCCATCCAGCTTGTTGCGTTGAAGTCATCCGAGTCGGGCCATTCGGTGTACACAATGGGTGATAGCTCTGACTTGTTCATCCCCACACACAGTACGTTGACTGCCGGTGATGGGACCATGGCTTCAAGATTGTATTTGCCTTCGCCTGAGGCATCCTTCGGCTGCTTAATATCGTTTCTCCCGTCCATAGCTGCACCCGGAATACCGCCATGGGGCATTGCCATGGTAATGTTGTTGACCATGCGACTGTACTTGCTCGAAAGCTCTTCAGTGTCTTTGACTTCGATCCAGCTTCCGGTAACTGTCGTGTTATCCCAAATCGATCCGCTGGGATTCCGGCGGTGGTGAAGCTTGTCGGATGTTCTGTTGTCGCCCTGTACTAAATCGCTCCATTCCGTGATCCACTGCTGGTAATTATGGTATGCTGAGCTGACATGCTCAATCTCGAGACATGTGTTATTGCGGTTTACAGGATCCATTTCCAAGGGGATTGGAGTTTGACAGACCGACGCGAGAAAGTGGGTGTTGGCGAAACTAGACTGGACTTTCCCCGCCAGGGTTCTGTTTTCAGATGATCCCATGGAGAGTTTTGGTGATACTGGAATGCGGGTTAGTCTTGATCTAATTCATCACTCGCCACTAACAACATGGACAGACAACTAACTCACCCAAAGCTTCCGCAGCGGTTGTGTAGAGCATGGCTACAAAGGTAGCAACCAACGCGATAGTGCCAAGGATTGTTAGTCCTGAGTATCGCAATGTCTCCCAGTGCACAATCATCGATCCGGGCTGCATGATCCACGCGCGCATACTCATGTCGGCGATGCTGATACCTCGCGAATCCCTTGTCAACGCTCGGCGACTCAGCACTTGTCCTAAGAACGCGACGCAGATGGTGACATAGGCCAATTCGATGGTTTTGGCAAAGAAGGCGCACAGTAGATTGGCGGTGGATGGGGCCAGCGCCTGTTTGTCATTGATGATATCCCACCGAGGCTTCCAAAATGCGACAATGAGGTAGATGCCGGAGAATATGGTCGCATAGAAAGCGAGAACGAGAATCGTGATCGGAACCCATGACAATCGACGCTGGAGGATCGTTCTGTGACTAGGGCAGTTGGGCGAGTGTGGCACGGCAGGTGTTTCGGGCGTTTTCAAGAAACCTGGAGTGTCCGCTTGGCTGTCTGTACTCGAGACGGAATCTCGCCTCGATCTACCAACAGGCAGGGTTTCCCCAGAGGGATTGGTGATTCCCAGGCCGACATCGCGGAAGACTTCATTAGAGAAGGTGCGCGAGGGAGAGGGGATGTGGTGATAGTCGAGACTTGGCGATTCGGAGCGGCCGAGTGGATTCCAGGAGCGAGCAGGGCGAGCATTAACGAGGTCTTCCTCTGGCAGCAGCGAGTGCTGAGATTCTCGCGACTCGGCCATCCTGGCGCTCGCGCAATGGGGATGAAGCTGTCAACGGAGCATGAAGAAAGTGGCCAGCCTTAAACCGGAGCTCTAGGCCGTCAAATGGTTTAAAAATAGGAGTGTCTTTGCAGAGTGGAGGAAGAGGGAGGCCCCTCGTGCTTATTTTCTGCGGCTGATGCTCTGCGGCAACGGGGCTGGAGGCCCAATCCTAGGCACTAAGGTGGAGCTAGTCCTTAGGGTCGGAGTTGCGGTGACTCTAATTTGCTCGACCATATTATACAGTGGAGCCTCAGGGTCGCAAATGGATCTTTAAGATGATCAGGTCTCCACTGCAGCGCTGCCATTGGGTTGTAAGCAACGGTTTGGCCAGGGTCTGGCCTTGTTTCTTCCACGCGATTGCAGGTGGGCGTCGTGGGCGTGCATGGCAGTGCAGAGGCTGCGAACCTTTACTTCCATTTCTGGCGAGAATAAGGCTGATCGGATCGGGGATTGGTGGGATTGGGTTGGATTGGTAAGATTGGCGGAGAAGAGCAGAGATGAGATGAGGTCAAAGCTGAGTTGGGGGCGGAAAGACGGAAGGAGTGGGCAGATGAGCAGATGACCGTGGCAGCCCTACTTTGGATACTCCGTATCCTCCGTGCTATGTACTCTGTACTCTGTACTCCACAAACTATTGTATGTGGCTTGGTCAATGCAGTCGAGATTCAAATTTGCGAGCAATTATCTCGTACTGATCTTTGAGTCAAATACTGATTGGTATATTGAACTTGACAGTGACCTCATTAACTTTGAAAATAGCCGACTGTGTTTCGTACTCGATACCAGGATTTGATCTTTATTTAGCGTCGTCATCAATCTTGCTCAAGGTGACTCCTTGTTACTCACCCATGCAATGAAAAGCGTGGCTTTGATGAAGTTTTCAAAGCATAGTATTGGCTCTTCGCATGTGTAGACACGTCATATAGATTGGCGATGTTGCTTCAAAGCAGATTCGAGATATTGAGCCTTGTATATAGACAAGTCTCGTGTCTACAGGGGAAAGTCTTCGTTGGTTATGATGATGTATGAGATTGTTAGAGAGAACATCGCGTAAAGAAGGGGCTCATGGCCGATCGCCAGTCGTGGGATATCGTTTATCCACTCTTCCCGATTTTGTACGAGATATAAGCCGGGCAGGGTATGCGAATTCTTAATGACAAATATTTGCATGAGACGAAGCTCCATGAGACGACGGGATTGACTTTCTGCGAGTGGCATCGCAGTCCGTGAGGCACGGTAGCCTGCGGAGCCGCATCGATTGCCAAGCTCGGTAGATGACGGAGATTCCGAACGAAAATGTCATCGTATGAAGCATCGTATTCGCAGTCTACTTCATGGCGTGTACATGTCCCCTGTGGTTTCTATTAGCTTTCGGCCGTCCAGAATCAATCAATATATGACATACGCAAGTAGGCCTAGTCTCATCGCACTGTAAGATCGATTGGCAACAGATCGCCGAATTGTCAAATTGTGCATCACCTTGACGCGTCGAGCCTTGCAACGAGCGCATCCGCCCTTTGATTTTCTATGATATAGCCGTGGCATGAGGGGTGGCCCGCGGGAGCATTGACACAAGGGTAGTCATCTGGGTGTGTAGATTCCACGTTCAGGCTGCGCCTTTTTCGCTCGCAAGTGTGTTTGGGGATAAAAGGGGGCTTAAAACCATGATTCGTTGTTTGGTCTGTGTTTGCTATTTGCCATCTCACATACGAGCAGTATGCCCTTATTCTGATCCAATAAAATTACCGACCACTCCACCTTGGCGCAGCTTATGGTGCAGTAGCTCAGCACGGACTTTCAAAGACAGAATTAAGTCCGCTAACGTTGGATTGTAGCTCGTACTTAGGTTGAGCCGCGGATAGGACTTGTGGTGTCCAGCCTCGCCGATAGGTGCTTAACTGAAGCTAATAGTATATAAAGTGTCCTGAATGATAGACAATTCCATGCATGATACGGAGTCTGAACCAGGCAGCAGTGTGAAATTCTAGTAGGACAGTCACTTCGTTCACTTTGCATAATGGTAAGAGAACTGGGCTGCTAGATTTTGGAAATGTGGAAATGTGGAATCAAACTCGGAGTTTAACGACCCAAGTAAATAATTCTGGGGCAGCTTAGATATTGTATAATCGTATAGATTGAGCAATTGATTCGAGTTCTGTTTGATACCAATAACCAGTGGCCATCGTCAGATTCAAATAAGAGTCAAAAGAGCCGCCGAAGAGTCCGGGATGTCGATCGAGACTGTTCCGCCGCGAACCTCGACCATCTCCTTCTCCGAGTGAACAGTCACTGGTTTTCCACGTCTGAGATCATAGTCATAGGAAATACCCCCAAAAGTCACGTCGCTAGTCGAATCACTTCCAGGAGCAATCATACGTTCGACTTTCACACGATCATGTCTTCCAGGGACTTTAAACTGATATTGCCGACACGGCCGGCCTCCGGAAGTGGTCTCGTTGAAAGCTTTCATGTTCATGACAACAATCTTGGACAGCTTCTCTCCGTGATAAATTCCATACGCGGCCTCAGTATCCTCTTTCAAAGGAATATTAACCACGCGGGAATTCTCGGCACGGCCCAAAGTTGCAGCGACCATGATCTGACCATAATAAGGTGGCCTTGTGGCTATGTCTTCTCCTTTACTGGGAATGGGCTGCCATGAAGTATATCGGTAGTTGAGACCTTGGTGCAGATGGAGACGCTTAATATTCTGCCCTCTTTGTCAGCACTATTCACGATGGAAATGAAGTTATTGTCAGGATTATCTTACATGTGCCGCGGCCCAGAGGGAAAAGTCGACCATCCATAGGGCATCCCCAAAGACGTTGGTTTCCCCGTTGCGTCCCTGCCCCGCAATTGAGTTCATTTCACCTAGGGTGTAGAGGTGACCTAGATATGCGAGATCTTTAGAGCGACCAATTTGAGGCGCCAAATTTTCAATAATACTAGTGTGGTTCATGAGGGTTTCTGTCGTTGTTAGTATGGTATATAACTTTTCTGAGATCCGTAAGGGTCATACTCTGAAGGTCATCTGCTCCGTTGCTAGTTGGATCAAGGTTGACACCCATGTAGCTACACGAAGTTATGGTTAGTCGAGGAATCAATGTGAAGTGAAGTAAAGGGACTCACTTGTGGAATGAGAATTCCTTGGTCAAGTTCTTGTCATCATATCCAAGATTATAAAGTTCTTGTACAGTCCAGCCGTTTGTTTCGACAGAATCCAATAAGACGAAGCTCGGTGCCATGAATCCTGGAAAAGGACCCGGGCAAGCCTTTTGAACAGCAGATTTGACTACCGAAGACTTGTAATTCCATTCGTGGACATAGTCCAGCAATGAGTAGTTGGCCGACCTATAGCTGCCTGGTGCAAAGTTCCACTCATTTCCCAACTCAAAAAGATGTAGCTGCGGTCCAATTGCAGTACAGGCTTCGATGGCAGCGCCCTGAAGCTGTTTGATAGACCGATTTTGGTTCTGGTTTAAACCATGCAAAAACTTGACGGGTCCAAGTGTATGGTAAGATTCAAAGAATGTTGGTCCATAATTGATTTGGATCGGTTGATCATCGTCGGGATGCTCGTATATAAGCTGGATATTATCTTCCTGTTCCGGGAAGTAGTCCGAATGATCTCTGTCATGGTTTATATCAGATATAGTGCCAGGGATATTTAAATGGACCTGAATACTCACTGAGAGGTTCCTCCAACTCTGACCAATGGATATACTCCAGTGAGGTCCTTAAAGTTCTCCAATAAATTCTTGGAGAAATGGTTAGGGTGAGATTTGTTCCCAGCATAGTCTGGAAAGAAAGCAAATTCAATTGAAAAGGACTGCAGATCTCTGGGAACATATTTAGCACCGGCATTTGGCCTCGGGATAACTATAGACTCGGAATTTTCGAGTCCATGGCAACGACCGAGGAACACGGCCATGCCCATCAACGGAAAGAAAGATAGCATTTTGGCCAAATAAAATTTTATTGACTGCCAGTGCGAGTAAGAATAGAAGATAAATCTCTATTGTAAAATTCTCTCAATTTATGTTATTTTTCGTCGGCTATTCGCCATCATCGGTTATTGAAAAAGCTCGTAGGATGATTATAGGCTTTCTTGGCTTGGGCTCAGCCGTCATTCATAATCTCATGTAGGAGAAATGCGGACCAATCCTAATAGATTTATGTAGTTTATAGCAACCATTCCGTCCCTTGAGGTCTTCTGGTATTGTAATAGACTCACCGATCGAAATATTGCTATCATTACCTATACTGCCACGTAGAAAAGTTAGTCTGCTGTACCTATCGGATAGACAGACACGTAGATATCAAACAACGTGTCAATGGGCTTCTAATTAATGGAAAAAGAATTTCATCTAACATAGCCGATATTCATAACCCGATTTCCCCGCCTGGGGGGGGGGATTTTTCAAACTTGTGATGCATGGCAGGCGGATGGGCCTGTTGATCCCCAAAATGACCTCCACATCCCACAAAATCCCCCACTTCCCCGGCATGTACCCCACAGATTACCGACTCGGATTATCCGGTTGGGTATGTAGCGGGGTTATGTCGATCAATATACAATATTTTAGTGTATGAGCCAGGTATACTTAAAGTTCAATCACGGAAACATTCCGGCCACCAACCGGCGTTTTTGCTCCCACTTGCCATGTAGAGAATGCTATTTCAGCAAATGCCGAGAACAATAGCCTTGATCAAATAACTTTCCTTGGAGGTGACCCTTGGTTTATTTGAATGCTTGGGGCATTTTGTGACGCAATATTTATTGAATGTCATGTCATTGGTAATGAAAATGTTTGAAAATCTACATACATCATTACATATTCCCATATATTCCAGGACTTGAAGAAGTTGCGTATTTCATTATCATTGCTTTGTTCTAGCTATGTGAGTTACTCAAGGCAAGGTCCTCTCTATTGTATACATAGGCTTGACCCCCTTGAATTATCTCATCAAAGCGTTTGCTGATGCGGGTATAATTCTGTCCATATCGACCCAGCTCACGCAGTCGAATGGCTACCCAGTCCTGATAAATCTGATCCGGAGTCGCAATTCCAGCAAGGAATAAAGGCCAGGCAATTCGAATCATGAGACGGGGTCGGCTGCGATGGAGTTTCAGGCTCAGCTCAAGAACCTGGGATACAGCCGTTTGGGAGAGACATGAGATTGTTGCGAGCTTGCGTCGCTGGATATTTGTTAAGAATATCTTGAAAACAAAGGTGAAAGAAAACAATAGTGCTGTGGAAAGTTATTACAGACCAATACACGGTCTCCATTACTCGGCGGTTATCACCAATAGATTCACATGAAGGCGCTGCTCTAGCGGTGGTTAGAACTGTGTCATATTCCTGTGTTGGCCAATTAGTTGAATTCTTTTGAGGCAAGATGAATGGATTGTAAATTGCCTTCTTTCACTCACCATAGATATTGTGTTTATCTCATCGACAATCTGTTGATAGGGCGTTTCAACTCCAGAGTTGACTCCATTAGGCACACCCTGTTTGAATAGCTCCGTGATTTTAAACTGTGCGACGTGGCTTCGATGGTACAGGGTGAGGCCAGGAAGGTTCTCCATATCATCTAATTGAGAAGACAGGGGGTATTTTTCGCCCCAGAATCGGGCGGGAGACTGCCTACTTATTCGGTAAAGCTCTGGAAGAGAAATCTGCGTTGTGCTCTCACTCTGAGCTCCCAAGAAGAATTGAAAGATATTGGTATCCAGTCTTGTAGTGGCAGGCCCGAAAAAAAGAGCTGCAGGTGTGAAAAAGTAAAGGGTCCAAAGCAGAAAGAGAGGCACTGATGTGCAGCGAAGTCCTCGCAAAGAATCCGGAATTGATGTGGCAGCATCAGAAGTCCCCTCAGTGCCTATTTCGTCCGAGGGCATTGGCTGGATATCAACATGTCTCTTTCGTACAGTATCTTCACCACTCGATATTATTGCCGCTGTAGACGAGCCCCCGGCCCCTTGGCCTTGGGAAGCGTCCCCCGGTGCCTGGAGCAAAGGTACAACATGGTTGTGCAGAAGACTTTCAATACCACGGATGTGAATGTTAATTGCAGTCGCTCCGTTACCGAATCGATTTTCATAGTCAATCATGAGCCACAGCGTGACGAATATGGCTTCTATCTTCTGTGACGATTTAACATCTTGTTTAAGTGCATGGCGCAGACTTGACAGGGCGCGACCGTAGTGCATACGTCCATCTAGTTCACGATTTTCAGTGCTCAGGGTTGGTGTAATTGAAGCTTCTTGGTCATGAAGCCGGGAACGATGGATTTCGCGTGCAGTGCTGGCTAGAATCATACTCATGACCATTGGTTCTTTCACGCTAATCTTATGATAGGCGTAGGACACTGTCGACCATGGCCAGTGTTTTCCCAAAATCACGACAAGTGTCGAGTTCTGAAGATAACCAAGACAGTCTCGATCAAATGCAGACAGGGTGAGAGAATTAGCAGCTTGTACCAGGTTGTTGTTTCCCAGGAGGCTGGGATCACGCGCGGGCATCAATGGTGCATTGCGCGACAAAAATGTCGATTGACCATGTGGCAGGGACGGCCTTCGAACCATATGACTAGCATCGTTGGCACTCTGTGTTGTCCCATTTTCAAGGCCATTGTCCAATGCAGTCGCGGGGGAAGATGAGGCTGGCTTTGACTTGCGTGGAATGGGCCCACCCCTCCACTCGCATCGGATACCGGCGACAACGCATCGTTTACAATGTGGTTCGTTCTGTCCTTGGACCAACTGCTTTCCCTCGTCACATTTCACCTTGCGAATGCGGCACGTTCGACACCCTTGTTTTTGTCAGTCCCGTGATTGACGCAAGGGTTTCAATTGTCAGGGTGGTAGATCCATACCTGTCTTAGAACGCGTCTTTCCAGACTTGTGCATATTAGGAGATGTTGAGAGCTGCCCCAAAGAGCCATTCAGGGTCCATCTGGTCGTACTCAGGGTCCCAGCCGCGCCACTAAAGACCTCAAAGCTGGGGCTATCAGGTCACACTAATCGTAGAGGACCTATTAGTATGGCGAGTAGAGAATAGTTACTCGGCAAGAAGAAATGTGTTGAGGGGAAAAGTGGAGGCTGGGGAGGCGTGAGACCTTATCTGCCGAGCGGAGAGATCGCCTGGCTAAGGTCGATTCTCTGGGTCGTCCCGATTGTTGAATGCCGATTGGCTGCGTCGGCAAGCATCGCTTTAACTCAATCGAGCAGTGCCATGCGTCGCCTAGAACCTTGGAAAGTATAACCTTCCTTTGTCATGGATGGAGCTTTGAAATTTGCCGGATTACCGTGGATGCCGATATAAATGACCTATTTAATCATCAACATTCCACGATAAAATTCATCAAACGCCTCGCATTCCAATTGGTCCATTTAAAGCCAAGCTATACAATATGCATGTCCCCGAATCCCAGCGAGAATTCCTCGACAAAGTACAGGAAGTTCTTCGCCGATATGATGCCCAGCTAAAGGACATCAATCACAAGGTGGGTTATAAAATAGAATTATTCGGCATTTATCTTCTCCCAGCTAATATTGGACAGATCTGGTCTAACCCAGAACTTGCGTATGAAGAGTACAAGGCTCATGATCATATTTGCGAGCTGTTTGACAGCCTCAAGAACAATGGTTATCAGGTGCGCCGTAAAGCGTTTGGCTTGGAGACTGCTCTCGAAGTTGATTATGTCCACGGCAACGGGGGTCGTGTTGTTGCATTCAACGCAGAATACGATGCTCTGCCTGGTATCGGCCATGCCTGCGGCCACAATCTGATCGCGACTAGCTCCATCGCGGCCTTTATTGCGACCTGCGAGTCTATGAAAGCCCAAGCATCTTCCGTATCTGGATTCACAGTTCGTCTGCTTGGAACACCAGCCGAGGAGTCTGGCGGCGGTAAAGTTAAGCTTATCAAGGCCGGCGCCTATAAGGGCGTGGACGCGTGTCTAATGGTTCACCCCGTTCCAATGATACCGGGAAAGCCGGATCTTCATTGTATGGCTACGGTCCAGGAAGGAGGGTTCCTCGCCAACGATAAGGTCAAGGTGACTTTTACTGGAAAACCGGCCCATGCCGCGGCTGCTCCCTGGGAGGGTATCAATGCTTTGGATGCGGTAGTCTCGGCATACGTGAACATATCGATGCTCCGGCAACAGATTTTGCCGAGCCAGAAGGTTCACGGTGTCATTGTCAACGGAGGCGATCGGCCAAACGTGATTCCTATGACCGCTACAGTGGACTACTATATTCGCTCGCCCACAACCAAGACCTTAAAGACATTAACTGAAAAGGTTATCAAGTGCTTTGAGGCTGCTGCCACTGCCACCGGGTGCAAGGTTGATCATACCTGGTACGTGAAAATAGCCCCATTAAATGATTGAATGGTGACTCAACGTGCATATATAGGGGTATTTCGTATGCTGATCTCAAAACAAACGTTCCAATTTGTGAGAGCTATGTCTCAGCAATGAGATCAATGGGTTATCATACTATCTTTGATAACTCAGAGCAAAAGGGAGGGCTTGGGGGTGGATCTACTGATATGGGTTCGTTTCCATGTTTCAATGTGCAGCATATGGATTCAATTACTGACCTTTGGCTTAGGAAACGTGTCCTACGAGGTTCCTGGATTCCATGGAATGTTCTGTATCCCAACCGAAGGCGTGAATCATACCCCTGAGTTTACCAATGGAGCTGGATCACCAGAAGGATTTGAGAGAGCAATTGCCTGCGCGGCAGGAATGGCTGTAGTGGCATGTCAGGTTCTGGTGGACGATAAATTTGCCGAACAGGTGAAGGAAAACTTTCAGCGTCAGTGATATAAGAAATCTTGAGCAAAATATAGATTATTAGGTAGAAATGCCGCGATATCGAAGTTTCGGCCTTAAGAATCATACTAGCTCGCTTTACTCAAGATAGCCACTCTAACTGTAGTCCATTCGTACACCCACTCTTGTTATCTGGTATCTGGGGAAATATAACCTAAATTACTCAAAACACCAATCAGGGAAAAGGGGACCGATGCGCGGACCTTTCTAGTTCACTCTCGGAATGCTAAACTCTTTAGCCGGGGCTCTAGGCCTGCCAAGCCTCGACTAACTTGCCGATACAACCAATTGTCCGCAATATTGTGACCCTTCGCCACGATTTTCTTTATCTATGTCTGGGTTATTGCGGGGTTGAAGCTGCAATGTCGTGACAGAAGTCTCGCTTGCATTTGATACCTCGGCGGTCATGAGACTATATTGAGATAGTATAAAGGCAAGTCTTACCTGTCACAACTTGAAGTTGACAGGAACTTGCTTCATACTGATTATTATTATTATTCTTCTTCCTCTTCGTTCTTTGTCAATCATGGATGACCAAATTGAAAAGAAATCCATCGGAGATCACAATGCAGAGGTGGAGACCCGGAGTTTTGACAATGGGGCTGCTGAGCAATTTCAGTCATCGTTCGAGTTCTCACCTATTGCAGAAAAAAGACTCGTTCGAAAAATAGATCGAAAGTTGGTCATGCCTTGGATTATCTTTTGAATTTCAGAATTGGCTAATCAATACTTTTATAGAATTCTGCCCATCATGGTCGTGGCCTACATGATGGCATTTCTAGATAAACAGACTCTCGGCTATTCAGTTTTGATGGGTCTGCTGCAGGATCTCCATCTAACAGGAACTCAATATAGTTGGGCGTCTGGAATTTTCTATTTTGGATATTTGTTTTTCTCGTAAGATTATCCCACCGCGAAAAAGGGCGTCGAAAAGGGACATTGTTCACGCTGAAACCGACCAGTTACCCCGCATCACTACTAATGGTTAAATTCCCACTGGGAAAGTATCTCGCGGTCAATTTGTGAGTTTTTTTCTTCGTTTTAAAAATCTCGATCTAACATGCGTCGAGTATCCTGTGGGCAATTGTATTGGCATGCCATGCGGCTACCACCAACTTTGCCACATTAATGGTAGTTCGGTTCTTCCTGGGATGTACAGAGGCTAGTTTATCTCCAGGATTCACTTTGATCACATCGCTATGGTACCGCACATCTGAACAGCCACTCCGTGCGGGCATTTGGTTTTGTGGAAATTCTTTATCTCTCCTGATTGGAAACTCCATTGCCGTTGGTGTTCTCGAGATCAAGAGTAAACTTGGTGCATGGCAGGTGAGAGTCAAGAAAGCGCAAAATACCCAAACAAGAATGACTGATCATGATATAGTGGCTTTTCATTATATTTGGGGCTCTCACTTTTGTTTGGGGAGTTCTCATGCTCTTCCGCTTGCCAAACTCCCCAACCGATGCTCCCTTCCTTACCGAGGAAGAAAGAATGATTGCGACCGAGAGACTGCGGGCTAACCATACTGGCTTCAAAAATACACATATCGACAAGGGCCAAATTATGGAGGTTTTTCAAGATCCGAAAACCTTGCTCTTGGCGATCATGGTCCTAACGGCCAACATCCCAAACGGGGGATACACTACCGTAAGCTCACTGTCCTATTTTTACAATAAAGCTAATTTTGAAAAGTTCAATGGACTTGTTCTCAAAGGATTTGGCTTCGATACTCGCCATACCTTACTACTGGGGTTGCCGGGTGGTTTCATCGTCTTCCTTTTTGTGTTGAGCGGGTAAGTGAAATTCAAAGCCCTTTCAGATCGAGCTTTCTGACCAAACAAGCGGTATTCTTTCTTCCAAATTGAAAAATAGCAGATGTCTTGTTATGATTGGGATGAACATAATCAGGTAAACTAAATATATCCATAGTCTGAAAGAGTGTTGGCTAATTCAACTGAAGCATTGTCGGGAGTGTACTTGTCTATGTTTGCAAGTCTGTTGGGGCTCGTTACGCTGGTTTGATCCTCATGGGAGTGTACTCGACCGCCATGCCAATTGCGTTGACAATAATCAGCTCCAATGTGGGTGGTTTTACGAAGAAGGCTACCGTCAGCGCAGTTTTCTTCATCTTGTACTGCGTTGGAAACATAATTGGCCCGCAGCTATTTTTTGAGAACGAGGCCCCCAAGTACCAGGTAAGTGATGCAAGTGAAAGTTGAAAGTATAGATCTTACATCTAACAATACTGTTTAGAGCGGGTTCTTGGCTATAATTATATGTCTTTCGATCAATGTCGTCGATAGCGGAGCCCTCATGTATTATCTCCGATGGGAAAACACACAGAGGGATAAGAGAGGCTCGGTCTCTGCGCCGGACAACTCCCCTGAGAAGCAGTTTAGCACATCCTCAGGTGAGTTGTCGGACATTACTGATCTGAAGAACGATAAATTTCGATATGTCTACTAGCATATATGAATCATAGCTACTCAAGCCCTGGAGCTAGAAGAGAAATATTATTACGGTATCGGTCTGGCTGAACAAGTACGCATAGTCTATATTCTTTTCATAGTAGCATATCACATGGAAATCTCCACCACAGGTCCAGTATAAACGTGCCTGGCTCTGATGACATAGTACAGCGTAGCGAGGAATATGACGCCTCCCCAACCAACGACACTGTAGTTCATATCAGTCACGCTGGGGTTCATTGCGGTAGGCCAAAAGCTCCAAAAGATCACAATAATAATATAAATAACGGCAAACCCGTTTACCAAAATACCCCAAATACCAGGGACGTGGAATGGGCCCCAGACCAGCTTTTTTCCGGGGAGATTCACAATATCATCGTCGTTATCATTGTACCGAGAAATGTCGCCTTTGATTCGGCGGAATAGCAGTAGAACCGAAACGATAAGATAGGAAGAATATAGACCGGAAACTGCCATTGACAGAACATCATTCAGGGCGACCGAGGAGCCGATGTTGATCAAGGCGAGCAGCAAACTGATGAGCGTTGTAAGAAGGACCGACCACATGGGCAATCTATTGGTAGGCGAGACCTTAAGATAAAATTGTCAGATATCGGTAAATCTAAAAACAATTTAGATTTGTAGTACACACCTGACTCCAAAAACGCCAGCCTGGGACTCCTCTGTCTCTCGCGAACGACCAAAATTGGCGGGAGGTGGCTGCTAGGAGACCTACAACCGAGCAGACGGCAATTATAAGAATAATTGAGCACATGGTCAAAGAGCCAGCCATAGAACCTGTACCCTGGTAGAAGACTTCAATAAATGGATATCCAGTGGTGGTGTTCAGAGCATCATCCATGTTTCCAAGGCAGAAAAGCATCGCAAGCAACATGCCGAATCCCAGACAGCCATTGATACCGACACTCATCATCAGAGCGCGAGGAATAACAACAGAGGCATTATTAACCTCTTCTGCCATCTATTCAAGAGATTAGCACAGCTAAAAATATAATGCAGAAGGAAAATACATACGTGAACGGCGGCGTCGCCTCCCGCGAATGCAAATGCACAACTAGTCATGCCAACGAACCAAGATATTCCTTGTGTTGGAAATTCTCCACTGTTGAGGAACTGCAGAAATACTTCATCGTTGCTCTTGTGTTCGGACATGTAGACCAGGGGGATGAGGATCCCAAAGAATCCGACAATATGGACTACCAGGATGATAGCTTCGAGCCGGGGCAGGAATTTCCCACCGACTAAGTTAGCAAGAAGTGCAGCGACGAGTGCCGCCCAAACAATCAGTGTTCCATGCCACGCCTCAGGCTCGTAGAGTTTATGGGCTAGAATCGCTGTTCCCTGGATCTCAGTTCCGCATAAATATGAAGCTGATGCGAAGGCAGTTTGCCAACCCATCACAGCCATCCAACCTGTCGTTAACAATATTTTAGCTTGACCGACCTTTCCAGATATTGGGTAAGGCTATAACCTACCAGTTATATAACTGAGAAACTTTTGCTGCTTTATTGGAGCAAGCATAGCACACCAGTGGTACTGGCCTCCTGATGTAGGTGCCCTACTTGCGTGTCAGTCCTATTGGGCGTTTCTATCGGCTCCGTAACTGACATAGATCCCATTTCACCCAATACAACAAAGGTACAGGCAGTACCGACCCAAGCAAAAATGTAGGCATAAACAGCACCTCCAGATCCACCACTGTTATCTGTCAGACATGTCGAAAAAACGATGGGATAGAACCGACTTTTGCAAAGGATTGACGAATGTACTGGAAATACGTTAGATAGATACCCATGAGACCGATGAAACGAACCTACCCGAGAAGACCTTCCCAAGTACCCAAAATGGTGCAGCTAAAACCAAGAATTGAGAGAATTCCGAAGTTTCGCTGCAAGGAATGTTTAGTTATCAAATCAGCCGCTGGGTCTCGACGCGGTCGCATACCTTGAGAACAGGTCTCTTACCCAGCCGTTGCAGTTGAAGATTATCTCGGTCTTGGATAGAGTATTCCTGTTCCCCGCCACGGGCTGTGATCGAGGCCTGATTCTTCAGCTCGTATGCCACCATGTTTGTTGTTGAGGAGGCGACGTGGGGTGAGCCAAGGGAGGAAGTAAGCGACGCCGGGAGGGATGGCGGGTTAAAAAGAGAAACGCCTGCGAGGCAAACTGGAATGGAATGCCCGAAAAAAGCGGAGCAAGATGCAGTATTGCTGTTGCATTGCTAGGATCTCAAACATGCGAAAAATGACACTAATGCATCTGGCCCTGTGTTGAGTTGAACACTTGTGAACTGTAACGAGGGCTGGCCCGACGCCCAAGGATTTAGGGGCCCACAACGCGCGATTGCGATGTCGATCCCACGCAGAAGGTTGCTGGGAGGCTCCGCCAGGGCCAATTGCGCTCTTGATTCGCACCGATTGCGGGACCGATGTGGTGCGAATATATTAAAGCCCACTGCTTATAGGTTATTGGGAAGCCCCAGGGGCGAGTGAACTAAGCTCTAGGCCGCTGTTGCACCGACACGAGCTGGGGGCGAATCCTTCGGTCCAATTTCTACTCCATAATAAATGCAGCCCGGTGAAGTCTGTTGCTTAAAACTTGCGTAATATTCTTCGAAGGATTTGTGCATCGGGATAATGAAAGTTACAAAGTCTCATCAAAAAGTGCGCCTTGGCTCTAGGCCTAACGGACAAAGTGGAACTTATCGGGTATAGGGGTCGCAACAGGACGATACTCAGCTTGAAACGGGATCGGAATCCTTGAGGGGCAGATGCATATTGTTCGGCCAAGACCCGACTCGGAACCTTGTTCAGTAAATGATACGATTTCGCCCCCTCAAGTCTGGGATCTCCCGGGTACGCCCAGTAAAATAGAATTCAAACCATTCGGCCCCTGCAGCAGCAACCACAAGAGGTCATCAGTGATATAAGGCGGCTTATTACTAGGAGCTCCCCTTGTCACACTTATCTATATTGCCTGCTAGACTTTATTGTTATCCTCTTTCTTTCACGCAACCAGCATCGATGGGTACACGCTTCAAAACGGAATCCAAAGACCCCGCTGTCAATGTCACGACATGGGTTCTTCTGGTCGTTGTCATTCTGAGCGTCAGTGCCCGGCTGGGAACAAAATTTAACTTATTCCACAAATTGACGATAGATGACTTGTTAATTGTGGCTTCTTTGGTATAAATTCTTGCCAGTTATCCTCATCGTGAATATTTACCGGCTTTCTAACTCCACTCTTCACGACTAGGTATTCTGCATTGTGCAAAGCGTGATCATATCCATGGCTGTGGCCTCTGGGTATGGAAAGCACTTTAAAGATGTCTCTGCTCCGGAATTTGATCAAACCATGAAGGCGAGCAGTTGTCATTTCGATTTTACCCTCTTCAGACCCCGCTAACCATCGATTCTACTCATAGTATCTGTACGCCGGGTCGCTTCTATACCTCATTAGCCTTACGTTATCGAAGTTATCTCTCGCTGTTTTCATCCGGAGCTTAACACCAACATCAAAAGATAGAAAGTATGCTCGTCTTGTGGAGGGCATGATTTGTACATGGGCTGTCATCACAATATTTGGTACTGCCTTCCAATGTTCCCTACCGCGGACGTGGGATTTCAGGAACGGCAAATGCTTCAATGAGGTAAAATCTCTGTCTGCGGTCATTGATGGATAATAGTACTGAGCTTTCTACGTTTTCCAGATGGCATGGCGCTTCTTCGTCACCGGCTCCAATATCGTCACAGATCTTATAATATTTTCCCAAGCTATGATCCTCATTTCTAGCATTCAGACTTCGTTGAAACGACGTATGATATTCGCCGGTATATTCATGCCAAGACTCCTGTGAGTTCTTCCTAGTGCCTTTACTATGCTTCTTCATCTCCAAGCTAACGAAAAATCTATATAGTGTCTCTGCGGCTGGCATTGGCCAGCTTGCGTTGATTAAGAAAGGTACCCAGTCACGCGATCCCACTTATGGCCTGTGTGATATTACGATTGTGGAAGTCACTGTGCAATGCCTGAGTATTGTAACAGCATGCTGGGGTCAGCTCAAGCCATTTCTCTCATGGATGAGAACCAATGGGCTCAAAATTGAGGGCGTGGACGATCCAACCAGCTCGAATTACAAGTACAACCGGTCGCAAACAAATGCCAGGTCGAGCCATAGGGGTCATGGCACTTCGCAATTTTCTATGAGGGATCAGATTCTAGTCACACAAGACTGGGAGGTGGACAGCCAGTCTAGTCGGGCGCAAATCATCTCAGAGAACCAGCCTTGGTCTGCGGGTGGCAAGCGATCTACCGATCGACTCAGCGGATGAACTTTGGCCAGTGCCCGCATGTATGGGGCCGAATCCAAGTTGTACACTGTAACACAGGGGCCAAAAAATATAAATAGCCAATCAAGTATCTGTATGTCCTCGTATGTAAATGCTTAACACATCCAGTACCTTCATAATAGAATTGCTGTTCCCTGCGAGGAGAAATACTGCTTGTGGTATCTGAACCATACCGATTTTTCAGGAGGTCTAGAATGATAGAAATCCACCATTCTTCACGATCACACGATTTGTCCCACGAGCCTAATTTAGATGAAATGATATCGGGTCGGCTATTTTCCCGGGCAGACTATCCGGCCAATGGCAAGAATGGAATCGATCTGCCGCAAAGTCTTGCATTGCATCGTAAGACATTCTGTAACTCTTGGCATGTAGAGCAATGGGGCCGCGAAACAGGCAAGGTGCTCCGCAAATACTAACCTACCACCTGCCTTAGTTTCCCTTGTGGCTTGGAAGATAATTAGACTTTACCTCCCACTCGACATCGTCCTGACGGCCCCCAATGGGTTGTGGGTCATGTTCTCGCAGAGCTACCCGTCTGGAGAATTCTCCACGATCGTCCCCTTGGTCGCGTTTTCAGGCACCTGAGGCCAACAGAAGTTAAATATCCAGAACTAATCACAAGCGATCATTTCCAGGAAAACATGCCTCGTGTTTCGTATTTCCCCGTCGTGGATGACAGCCCGCTACCCCAGAGCCCCAGCATACTCGGTTGGTTAAACTTGACAAGATCGGAAATATGAAAACCTGCGGGTGACTTTCGAGATGAAATTTTATTGATTGCAACTTCGGGCCGGATAAGAGTAGGTGAAAAGGGATCAAGATTTTGGGAAGCATCGAGGAGTTAGGCAGACCGGGGACCGTGGAGTACTAGTATGAGCAACGAAGCTCCAGGGCTCTGAGTCCTTGCCCGTATGGCGAACGATAGACGACAGCGAGCGGATGCTTGATTTTTAACAGTGTGCTGCCAGACTTGTAAGGCAACGTTTCAGCTAAACGAGAAGAGGGACTACATCACTCTCATTTTCTGGTAAAGACAGAGTATATAGATCGTATTGTAAATAGAACTAGTAGCGCTTGTTTGTAGTAGGAAGTATGCAGCCAGTTATCTTACTAGTTCTCGTTGTCTAGCCTATTAGACTATAACTTCTCCCTCTCCTTACACATGCCCCTGCACCTACAGGGCCCACATCGAGTGACACTTAAGCGCTCGACATTGCACCGTCAGGCGCAAGGCGGGGTTCTAACGGGTATAACTCTAGATTGGGAGGTTTCAAGCAAAGTGTTAAGTTGCCAGGTAATCCTTTTTTCTCAATTGGTCAGTAGCCTCACTGTCCTGGTTTGACCGTGTATTTAGCATTTCCTCGGTAGCTGAGATGCTATGATCCCCCAGGGCTCATACTCCCACAAGATATGCAAAATGCAATCTTATGTTCGCCCGCAACATGCGCATTTGAACAGATTGCTCTATTCCAGCATTTCATAGATCTCCGAATTTTTGTTTCAGCTTGATCGCACTCTCCATGCTGCAATGATATAAGGGTTGGCCAAGCTTCTTCATCGGTTGAACGACCTTTCTATTTACGGAAACTTCGGCCGAACTTCAACTCAATTCCCAAGCCGTCGGTCGGATTGATATCCCGACACGGTTTATTTTATCTGATGGCCCACATCCATAGTTTGTGGGAAGACCATGTCGGAAACTAGCATTAACACTTGAAGATCTTGCTTTCTTTAGGGCTCATGTCCTCTCCACTATGCATCAATCCAGCAAAGGCTTTAGGTGTTAGTCCAGAATTACGGGTCACACTAACATCTCCGTAGAACAATCGTCAGCAGTTTCTCCACCAAGGTCTCCCTCCAAGCCTCCATCGCTGACCAATGTCTCCGACTTATCATCGATAATATATTTGTCGAATATGAATATAAGTTTTCCGTGCAACCAACTTGAAGCCTCAACACCTCTTTTAAGTTATCTCCTCTTTTTCCAGCTATTCCAGTGTCGTTTTGGACATCATCTGAATATGTTCAAGAAGCTTGCCACCGCAGCTGTGCTGTCTGTCCTTACTGGTGCCTGTGCTGCGGACGCAAATAGCAATCCTCCTGCGCGAGTGTGCACATGATTCTTGCGCGCGGAACCACGGAGAGCTACCCCGGCCTTTTGGGTTCTTTGACTGATCTAGTTATGACAGCCATCCCGGGCAGCAATTATGAAGATATAATTTACCCGACTACTCAGGAAGGTTCCACCTCTAGCTATGAGGAAGGTATTTACAATGGCACCGCCCAGTTGAGTGCTTATGTCAAAGCTTGCCCAGCTTCCAAGGTAGTATTGCTCGGCTACTCTCAGGTAGGGAATACCCTGAAAGCTCTATCAACTTTAGAATTCCGCTTACTCTGTATAGGGAGCCATAGTCGTGAGCGACATGTTAGCCGGTGGTGGCGACGATGGGACCCTGGGCAATCTCACCAGGCCCTCCGTTAACCTAATACAGTGGGCTCGCACAGTACGTAACATGTACGATCAAACTCCCTCATACTAATCAAACGTAGTCGCCGCTGTTCTTCCCTATGGTGATCCCCGCCACATGCCTAACGAGACATACAATGTTGGAGATGTCGCCGCGACTGGTTCAAGTACCTCTATAGGAGTCTTCAGTTATGGAGCGATAAGCCAGAGTTGACATAAAAATCTGCACAGAAATATCCTCGTACTGCTGTGCAGCTCACGGCTTTGTCGAAGTATGCCAACCGGGTTCATGACTACTGTGATAACAAAGACGGAGTTTGCGAAGCCGCCGGAATGAACCACTCAGCCCATATGGCTTATGCCACCATTTTGGATAATACTGCGGCTACTTGGGTTGTGAACAGGTTACAGGCTGAGTGATTAGATCAATCCCCATGACCCTTGGATTGCCTAGGTTGTACAGCCCTAAAGCTTCAGGCCTTGAAAACTTGAAGAACCGACCCGGGTACCTCGAACTTCCCGCCGGAAGATTGAAATTACTAATCGCTAGTATCTTCTAGATCGTCGTTTGCCTACTACCAGTGTATATAAATTCGCGTCATCCATTGAATTCCAAGGTTGTCAAGGACTATGAAGATATGGAAACCTGATATGCGTAATCTTGGAAGTTTAGAGGGCCGCACGATGACCAATCTTTTCTATCCATTTGCCAAGATTCAAAATAGCAGATCAACAATGTGATGTGGTATTGAGATGTGGTTGTGGTAGTGGCAGTTGATTTGCCCGAGTGACAGCAATATGCAGATACCACCGCCTCAACGGAACATGCCCAATAACAATTGCGGAATGGGTAGTGTGTTGGGTTAATGGCCACGCGTGCGGAAGTTGAGGATCAAAATGTCGCTGGTAGAGAGATCGAAAACTGACGGTGATGGAATTATTTTCTAAGTAACCGCGGCTATCCAGGCCTCACTTGGGCGCTGGTGACACATGATCCCTCAGACATTCACTGCACCAACACATGGTTGGAACTGCAGCTCTCAATCTCTACGAAATCCAATCTTCTGGCAGGCTTCTTTACGACTGAAATGGACCGAAAAAAAGCCCAGGTGGTATTGCACCTGGGCATCTGAGTTGCAAACTTGAATAACTTGAAGGTTCGTACTAATGAATATAGTATATTCTTCATCTTGGTATATTGCCAGTGGCATTCTGAATGCACTACAACTCCCGAGAACTTCAAGTTGAACTTGCTTGGACTTGAACTTGAACTTGAATCCCAAGGTTTATGTAACTGAGGCTCCGAGGCAAAAACCTACTATCACGCCTACTGCCAAAAGTGACGGAAGGATCGGACAGATAGGGGAGGTGTACGTTAATATTTCTTTTTATTTCCGGTTCCACGCATCCAGACCTACGGGTATTGAAAAGGGGCATTGGATACAAAGAAATAGCCACGTAATCCGAGTTTTTGGAAATTAGAATGACATCTGGGCATGTTTCATCCAGAAAGATCCGGGGTGCTTATCTGGCCAGTTTATGTGTATATTGCTTTGTGCAAGTTGGTTCTTATTACTCTAACCGAAGCAGCGTTGAAAGTACGGAGTAGACACTTGAGGTATGGCTCCACTTAAGCTTGAGCCTTACAATCTATTTTAATTCACCGCCATTTGCATCAAGTTGTTCCAGAACCAGAACGGTTTATTCAAGTTGTTACTTTGGCTTTTGGAGAGCTAGACTCAGCGAGAAGTGTGAGACAGAATACAGAGCATGTTGCATTAGCTGAATCAGCATCAGCTCTAACGTCACGCTGACTTCGGATCGAGGCAAGTTTTGGAATGCCATCTCGATTTGGGAATCAACCCGTGAGCCGCGAGATTAATGAATCGACAGACTGCAATTTCCGCTGCTCTGGGTCTAACATCATAACGTCGATCACTTTCCTTTCAAAGTAGATGGTACCGAGGTACCTAAAGCTATCTGGGTCATATTATTCTGCTCGCAGGGTCTATCAGCACTTTCCCCTTTATGTTGCTCGCGGGGGTTCGAAACATGAAGCTGTGGAGGCCTTTTTTACCTAAGGTTAAGACACCACTTTTACAATGTAGTAAAGCTACCACTTCACCTTACGCATCGAATGGATGCATCTCCAGGTTCAAAATAGACATTTGCCACATTGGATCGCGCTAGTCGAATAACCCCTCCTCTTTTATCCACACCCCGCTTATAATCTCCAGTCCCGAATACGAAGATTGCAGCAGTCAGGTTCGAGGAAATCCAATTTTGAGCACATGGTCAGTCTAATGGTTCGTCGAAGTGTAAGCAATGCCCGTTAGTTACTGCGCCTCCTCCGGTCATCCTGGTAGTTGAGGATGTCCATATTTGTTCTTTGAACCATATCTGAAAATTGTTTACATCTCCCCACGCAGACCAGGCCGAAAACAGGATTGACTGGTATTCTGTGGGTCCCGGTTGCAGCCGCGAAGCCTCGGATCGTCAACCACAATTTTGTACGATCCGATAACGCCACCCGGGGCTGGTGAGAATGAATTGAGTGATAATTATCTGTGATAAAAATTCTTGAGAAGATTAAAAACATTGGAACGGTTCTTTTAACCCTGTAGTCGGCTCTATAAACCGATCGCATTGAGTAACTCATTTGTGTTCTCGATCCGTCGGGAGCTTTGTTTACAAAAATGCGAAGAGTTGCATAACGACACGAAGAGTAGAGGGATATTTCGATGAAATCGAGTCAAAATGCCCGAAAAAGGCCCGCCAGGCTAGAATAATGCAGGATCATGTGGCTTCTGCAGGGTCCTGGCTCGAGATGCGGGGTGCCAATCCGCAGCACAACAGCCTTGATTGGGTGGGTCTCGAAGATGTCTTACCTTGTGCAGAGACTCTGAATCACCCCAGTGGCCATCTTGAGCTCTGCAGTCCTCAACATAGACTACTCGTACGTCCGTACCTCATAATGATGTCTCACCGGTCCACTTCTAAGACATCGCTAGCACATCGCGGGTTATTTCCAGCCTCTTCACCCAGTACTGTTACATGCACTAATTCTTAGTCCATTCTATTTCAAGGAAGTACGATGGGAGATCAGCAGAGGTATTAGCTATTATCGATCGAGCTGCCTACCTCGCATATACCTGACTGTTTTTGTAGAAAGAATATAAATACCTTCCTCCAGCCCTACGAATTCATCCTCATCAATCTCAATCTCCATCTCCATCTCCATCTCCATCTATACAAACATACTTCCACTTCACCACCAACCAACCACACCACAAAACAACCGCCGAAATGCAGATCACTCAAGTCCTCTTCTCTACTCTCGTCGCTGCCTCCGCGGTCATGGCCGCCCCGGCCGAGACCAGCAAGAACATGATGGCCGCCAGCCCCCAGTGGACCATCCGCAACCTCAAGCGCGTCTGCAACGGCGCCGACACCTCGTGCACCTGGAACTTCGGCATCCAGGTTGGCACCGCTGCCACCAAGTCCTGCACTTACGTCGTTAAGGGCGCCACGGCTTCCGAGCGTAACGGTGGCCCCTCTGCCTGCGGTGTCTACACCATCACCTCCGGCTGGAGCGGCCAGTTCGGCCCTGACAATGGCTTCACCACCCTCTCCGTTGTCAACAACGACTCTCGCCAGATTGTCTGGCCCGCTTATACCGATAAGCAGCTCGATGGCGGCAAGGTTGTCAAGCCCGACCAGGCTTACTCTCCCGCTGCTCTGCCTTAGATCAGCACAGTGTGATGGGGAAATGGTCGTGTATAAATTGGGCTGGAGAAAGGCCCAGATTCTATAATGATGGCTCATCCATGACATGATTGGTTAGCCTTGATGTATTTAGCTCTTTTTTGAAAGCGAACACTCCTTGAATATATTCGATTACATCATTTATCTTTTTCTGCCCAGTGTGTGTGATGCGCACGGTACGTATGGTTTAAACCACTTCATGTCTCTTCCACAGAACTGGGTCTCGTTCAAAGAAGCTACTTCAGAAAGTCAGAAAGCCCGAGTTAGCTGAGGGATCTTCAAACATTGGAGGATTTGCTGGTTTGATAAAAGCCGAACCAGAGAGTAATTCGGAAATATATGAGTGAGAAGAGAGTCCAATTGGTTCCGAGATGCCGAAAAGGAATAATTGGAGTGATGACTATGCTGTGATTAAATTGAGATACCGTGCATTCAAGTTGCCTACTGGTTTTTAGGTGCTGTACTTACACATTTTGGGTATCTTGTAGAGATCCAACGATCTCGGCATCTGCTCCACTCTCAATCACCATCTCCATCGTCGCCCTGGCGCAAAGCTAGAAAGGGAATATTTGGGGCTATCATGTTCACTTCTACTGGTATTGATATATTTGCCTTGTGTCCATATTATTCTATCTCCACTGGTAGTGCTACTTGCTCGACCGCGCAATGCTGCCAAGTACTGAATTATAAACATCGTCCCATCTAGCTTTACGATGCCCTCTTCAAGTTTTAAGTGTACATTTCATTTCCCTTGAACGGGAAGTTCTGTCGTGATAGAAGTACCTTATCATGAATTTCATTTGTTTATTATTGTGAATGGTGATTGAACGATATTTAAACACCCATCCTCATACCGCCATTGGCGCATACAACACTACCAGTGCTCCAAACACCATCGGGGGTGCATAGCATACAGACAACGCCAGCAATTTCACTAGTGAATGCCGGTCGACGACCACCCATCTTTTCCTTGATCAAGCGAATCTGCTCCTCAGTCAACCGGCTCATAGTCGACTCATCATCCACATCCAACTTGGTCATGGGCGTATTATCCATATAACCCTGGATATCATTCCAGAAAGCCTCACCGGCCTTGAAATACATATCACCAATGACAGGGCCAGGGTTGACCGCGTTGACCGTGGCCCGGTCAGATAATTCCCGCGCCCAGGTCCGGGTCATAGACTCTAGAGCCGCCTTGGTACCGCCATACATAGACTGACCGACGAAGCCCATTGAGGCCGACACACTGGAGATATTGACAATTCGTCCTGAGCGGTCCGTGGGGAGGAAAGGGGCGACCGCTTGGGTGAGCAGCAAGGGGGCTAGCACGTTGATGGTGTAGTGCCAGTTAAAGTGGTCAGCAGTGATTGGGCCGCGCTGGGCGTCATTCAGATCTCGATCCGCCGAGACACCAGCATTGTTGATGAGGATATCGATTTGCAATTTTCCCGAGGAACCAAAGTGCTGGTGCGCAGCGTTGAGAATGGCGGCCGTGGCTTCATCGGGCTTGCCCAGATCCGCTTGAACGAACTCGCAGCGGACCTTGTGCTCAGCGGCCAATTCAGCGCAAATCTTCTCCGTGGGCGCGCGTGATGAATCGGAGGTATAGTTTAGGAGAAGAGAGACGCCCTTCGAGGCCAGATTGCGGGCAACGGCCTCGCCGATTCCTGGATAAATTCATGGGTTAGCAGAGCTGGTTGTGGTTTTGCCGGGGGGGAGAAAGATGGAGGAAATGAAGTACCCCGCGATCCGCCAGTGACGATGGCCAGCTTTCCTTCCAAGACGCGCGACATTTTGAGGATGGTTTTAAGGATGTAAGAGATTTTAATAGGAGAAAGAAAAGCAAGTCGTAATTGAATAAAGAAAGGCCAGCGATGCTTTGCTTTGTACTCCCCTCGCAATTTAGCCGACTGGCGGCTTCTCCACGGCGGGCTCAAATTGCCCGAAGGGGGCCAGTTGGGGAAGGTGGGTCAGCAGGGTCATCCTAGGATGCAGTGGTGAGTTACAGTAGATATGGTAGAAGTATAGAAGAGAGACAAGAAGAATGTGTGTAGAGGAGTAGAGTTGATGAGAGATGGTGTTGAGATTCGTGGTCATGTGCTCCGGACTCTTCAACTACACTTCCTTCCTTTCCCTCTTCTCTTCCTCTGTTGATCTTTCTCTCTCCCACACACTCTACCCACGCCTCTCTCTCTCTCTCTCTCTCGGCTAATTAATCTTCAACCGCTTAAATTCCTCCGCATTCTCTTGGATCGCAACCTCCACCGGCAATCGCTCCATACTGCTTGCCCCAAAGAACCCATGCACCCCCCGAGTCCTTGACAGCACAAACTGAGCGTCTGCCGGGCGTGCGATTGGCCCTCCATGACAAAGAACCAGCACCTCCGGGTTGATTTCAACCGCCGCATCACGAATCGCCTGCACAAATCCCACACATTCCTCCAGCGAACGCCCACTACGAGCCCCGATTGAACCCGCCGTCGTTAAGCCCGCGTGAGCTACCACAACATCCGCGCCCGCCCGCGCCATCTGCACCGCATCCTCCGGGCTGAAGACATACGGCGTTGTCACGAGTCCCTGTCGGTGCGCCGTCGCGATCATCTCCACTTCGCGATCATACCCCATACCGGTCTCCTCTAGATTGGCGCGGAACTGTCCATCGATCAACCCGACCGTCGGGAAGTTCTGTACCCCGACGAAACCGAGACGTTGCAGTTCGGTTAAGAAGGTTGGCATCGAGCGGAAGGGGTCAGTACCGCAGACTCCGGCCAGGACAGGGGTATTTTGCACAACGGGGGAGGACTTCGCTAGCCTATATCGAAGGAAAACAACCGTTCTCGTTAGCTGGCTTAAGGGTTGGAGGGAACCAAAGAGCTAGATGGAACTATACCATCTCCACTACGACCTGGTTCGCATCCGAGTATGGCATCAACCCGGCCAGCGAGCCGCGACCAGCCATGCGGAATCGACCGGAATTGTAGACCAGTATCAGATCACAGCCGCCTTTCTCGACTGCCTTGGCTGACAAGCCGATACCTTGTAGACTTTAGCTTTCTCCATCGAAGCCATGGGCTACTGCAACACTGTGATCCCAGCACTCACCAGCTCCGGCGCCAACAATAATGGAACCATCCGCGACCGTCTTACGCAGACGCGCGAGGACTTCCTCTCGATTCACCGGTCGGGGCATAGTAGTATTGAATGATAAAAAGGGGAAACCGACTCGGCCTCGAAGTATAGTATTGGTCTCACCGAGTATAGGGGAGAATGCAGTTGGATGTTGCACTGAAGGGATGGAGTCGTGGTATACCCCTCCTCTCCGCCCCACGAATGACCTCAGGCCCGCACACTCAAGTAGCAACACACTTGGCCATCACCATCGGCTACCTGGATCATCCCTGTTTCACCGAGACCTTCGGAAGGTTAAGGCTCGCGTCTCACACGATGCATCCCACACCAAAAAATCGACGACTATGCATCCCATGGTTGTGCTTTATTGGCGAATTTGGTTACCGGGCTCGTGGCCTAGGACCATGTATCGCGTCAACCCCGGCCGCAGAGGATATATAATCCGAGATTTGGACTTTTCTCGGGGAGGACGCCGTCTTTGAGGTCTTGGCTACGTTGATTTGCCTGGGCTTTTGCTGCAGGTGGCGACTGCTGTGGTTCTAGCTTTTCAAACTGCAGAGAGCTCCTTGTTGCACGGAAGCAAACAATTATGAACTTGCCTGAGTATTATTTCAGCTGGTCTATCAGTGAATTCAAGGTATCTAGCGATTTTTCCTATCGGTTTCTAGTCAAGCTGAAAGAACTGGCGTGGTATGCCAGGTGGTTTCATTCAGTTATACCAAGTGTCACCTAGGCTGCCTACTAGCGGAATATCGACTCGGGATATATTCGACAATGGCACTTATTTGAGACTCGGAAAATAATTCAACCAAGTCAGCAGAATGTGAATGCAAAAAAGACTTCATACTAACTTGAATTGAAATATCCACCAAGGGTGACTAGTGCCAGTGGTATTTGGTGTATAACTACTGGTGAAAATTTATTCTGTGGTCCAGGGCTTCAATTTCAAGTTTTCAAACTGTCCGCAATTTCGAAGATTACTAGTATTTGCGGATATACTAGTATAGTTATACCACTGGTCGAGGTTAGAGAGATAGTCACTAGTTACTAGAGAATTGCAGCAGCCCGGGAGTGGGAGGATTTGAAGTCCTCCAAGCCAATAATTTCCCCTTTATATTGTGTTTGCCAGATGCCCGAATCCTGCGTCATTCCATGAATTATGATGAAACTGATGAATTTGCAAATCGCAATCAAATTGAAGACCGCTGCTTGCGAGAGCGCTGGCCCGTCAGATGTCATCAGAGTTCAAGTTTATGCGCCTCGGCTCGTCAACGGAGGCCAAGATGCGACTTCTGTTCTTTCTGGGATGGGGGGGGTTTTCCATGCTTATCGTTTCCAGTTGTTCTGCGTGGGAAGGAAAAGCAAATAGGTATGAGGATTTGAAAACGAGGATTGTGGTATGAACCTGTTTATCAGACTTGGCTGTTCCAAAAGTGTGAAAGGTGGAAGTTGACGGTGGAAAACGTGTCGACATTCTTGGCCGGTACTAGGTCGAATCGTATCTAATGAGGACTAGTTATCACCAGAGTTAGTTATGGATTGAATAGAAAAGATGAACTGAATCATGACGGTTCAGTTGGTCCATGAATCTCACTGTCTGCTCTTCTCCTCAAGATGTGAGATGATCTTGAAACTAGTGACGAGCCTTGAATTGACAATCACGGTCATACTAATCCCAGGCGCCAATACAGCACAACGAAAACAAGAAGATTCTGTTTCGGAAGTATCACGCGATCAAAGTGACGCAACTGAAAGGACCACAAAAGTATACAGCGGTTTCAATCTCCGGCATCAATGGCTGGGCGCTTGTCGATTCCACAATCAACCCAATCAGGTTCCAAAATCAATCCAAGAACTGAAGGAATGATGCATGCAGGGGCAAGAGTACGCCGAACCAGTTCCATCTGGCAGAGCAAAGACCAAGACGAAACCAACCTTACTACTAGCACCTAAACAAATAAACAAGAAACTATGGAACCAGCGCTCCACGTAACTGATTCGCACGGTGCCATATCATCAAATCCACTAACTATGCAGGGGTTATGCCATTAAGCTCTCGAGTAATCTCCCTCAGCTTGGCGCACGCCTCTCCGCAGTGAGGATTCGACATCGCGTGGAGTCTACCACAACCCACCTCCCGACATGACGTTTCCGGCTTACGCAGCTCTTTGCCCGGTCGAATTTCCCAAGTAGATACTGGAGCGGGGTAAGAGGTGCATATTGAGAAGATCGTTTAGTAGAAGAAATCAATTATATTCAAGTTTCTATGACAAGTTCTTGCCCTAATGCCTAGGATTGCAGGCATCTGTTACCGAGGTGGAAATCGAAGCTCGCTACGGAGCCATATAATTGGGCAGATATGCACCTTGTAAACTGTATGCACTGAGTAGGATACCTAATTAGTTCAGAATCGCATAAAGCAAGTGCAGCAGTCACATGTGGGTACGCTTGTAAATATGGGAAATCTTTCAAATTGGAAATGTTTTGTAAAACGCGTATGTTATAATCTTTACATACCTTCTCGTAAGAGGGAAAACACCAATACAGATCCAAGGAGTACAATCATTGCTAAGCCACAGAGCATCATATTTGGTTCGACATGCCGGCTGTACATACAAATGTGAGTGCGAATGCGAGTGCGAGTGCTGCCTCGTCACCCTACCACAACAACCACTTGCTGAGTGGATATCACTCCCCCACTAAAATTACCCTCTCCACTTGAGCTCAATTCGGCCGGACCCTATGCGGGCCGGTCGAATGAAAGAAAACCATATTGCGCTTGGCATGGGGTGATAGCAATAGCGTGTGGGTTTTTCTTTCCCCTGGGACCCAGTGATATTTGGAAGATAGGTATGGAGTAGTACTGAAGACGTTGGCCGTGCTGGCGTGTGCATCTAATCTCCATACCAGGACTAGTTCCCGCCCGAGGGAAGGAATTTGCTGCGGATGTGTTTGTCTCAATTAGAATTCGGCTACAGACAGACAGTTATTGGATCGCAAGCCGAGACACACAGCTTGAAGTGTCTCGGCACATGAGCTGTCGAATATTCGATGGGGCGGTGCAGTGCGGAGCATTTCGTGCTGTGTGGTTGAAACCTGCATGGTACATCTGTCCGATGACTTCATTGTGGCTGCGCCCTGCAGGCTTGAGGAAGCTTTTGATACAGAAATCTCTCTATGGATAGCCCAGATGGAGTACTACAGATGTCGTTCGTGACTACTGACTAAACGGAGGGTCACTTAGTCGACGGATAGACAACGTACGTGTACGTACCCCAGTAACTAGGCCATGCACTACGAGTACGTCGATCAATTCGATCAACTTCTGAGGCGAAGGAATACCCCGGCGCATAATGTGCTATAATTCCCACATTGTATGTATGGAGTACAGGTACAAATTCCACAACCATATTGCCCAATAGTGGATGGGATTTTGTGGTCGGAAGTCGGCGGTCGGAGGTCCGATTGAATGAACTCTCCTCCGTACTCCGTAACAGCAACGGAATGAACCCACTTGTACAAAGTACTAACTACTAGTTAGTTGGTTGGTTCACCACTACTACATTATGTATATGATCACCCCTTTCAAGGGGGACCATCAATATCAAGACGATACTCCGTTATCTTTTCGATAGCGCCATCGATAGCGGTGCTATTTACAGATTGATCGGCACATTCGCCAGGTTAGGTACGCGGACCACCGAAAGAAGCATGGGGCAGGTGCCAGAATAGGACGATCGCGATCGCAAGACACCGCGCCACAGATCGGAGCTTATTCTGTGCTTGGGATAGATGCCAGGTGTACGGAGTACTCGTAGTGTGACTCTCCCGGATGACAGCGGAAGGAAAAGCAAAAGATGAAAGTCACTAGGAAGGGAGGCGTAGCGCGAGAGCTCTAGGCAGTAGCATTTTCTTGTCTTCCATATCCATCAGATTGAAAAAGTGTAGATATTCAATTCCCCGTACTTGTTACATACCTACTCGTTTTCGGATATACTGATGTGTACTCCGGACGGCCATGTGTGCTGCTGCGCCCCTTTAGACTTTGGTCAGCGAGTCGGCAGGCTGAGACCCGGATCGTCTCTAGAAAACCGGCGAATAGCAATTGCCGAGGCAGGCTAATGCGGATTGGCTTCAATAGTGCGATTGTCCCCGCAGAGTGTTCTTGCTGGAGCGTTCTGGAAGCGCTTGCGGTAGGCAGCACTGAAGAATGTGAATGGGGTTGTGGCTGTGCGCATCCACTTGGTGGAAGCGAACAAGGAGAAAGCGTGGCAGCCTAGAGTCAGCAAGATCTTGATGGAGTAGAGTTATCGCCATCTACATAATTGACGAGTCGGATTTATGAACGGATTGCGGAGAATGGCTGTGCACAGGACAATGACAGTTGTGACGTCTGTCATCAAAGGGGCGGATAAGGTAACTTATCTCCGAGTGCCCAGGTGTAATTTAGATTTATTTTTGAGTTCGGTCGAGAATAAGACTGTATGGTGGTTTGACAGATTGCTCTCTCCTTGCCCACCTGCTCCGACGTCTTGGCCTCGTGAGCAAATTTTTTTATTGAATTCCCACTCACTAAGAGGGGAAATTTTGGGGTCCAAATTCACGAACGACAATCGCCCTGTTAAAAAAAGACAGGTCCCTGAAACTAGCATTTAACTAAGCGGAGCGAGGAGGGGTCTAGCTCAAGCTCTCGTTCCACGGAACCCAACCGAGTTAAGAAATTTCCAGCCACGATGAGGATAAGGCCGCGTGGGCGTGGCGGGTGTACATGAATGATCAATCCAATCCGCCCTAACGATTCCCATGATCCATCGCACTAGATGTGAATCGGGGATAGTGGATCCCAAAAATTGCAGCTTGAAGTCCGCACCTAATCTGCTCAGAGTAAGCCGATGGGGATGGGCCGCGAGTCCCTGCATGGGAGGTAAGAGAAAAGGGTTAAGAGAAAGGGAGAGCGACTCTAGTGGATGACGCTAAGGCACCATTAGGGGTCTCTAAGGCGACACTCGGTATTAGAAGCTGGGTAACCGTACTCGTAGTATGTTCCTGGTGGTATTCATCACAGACGCTAGGGAAGCCGAGGACCCTGACGGGGGCGTTTGGCGTCAGCTGCTAAGGGCTAGGGCGGACGCTTTGAGCGAGCGGCGTATGAATCATGGAGAAGCCATCCGCCGGCTAGAGTACTAGCCCTGTCATGGTGCCGGTGGATATACGTAGGCTGCATACGTATGCCCCGTCCAGCTGGCTGGCGTAGAGCAAATCATTGCTCGGCATCAAACGCCCAAAGGGTCTTCGAGCCTTGGATGAACTTCGCGATCGTGGGCTAGAAGCTTGACTGATCGGCACACGCCATGTGTTGCGGTCGATTGTGTGGGAGACGGAATTGGGCGGGAGAGTGAGAGAGTGGGAGACGGGGATGTGGATTAGATAGTAACCATGTGGTTGAACAAGGATGCGTATCCGAGAATGGGATACGATGGAGCTTTCCCCGCCATGAACTTCAAGATAAACGAAATCGTACCAGAGATAAAACGCTTTTCATACTCGTAGTCAAATCCACCTAGGGGAAGGAAGATTAACTACTCGTACGTCTGCGTCTTACGTAGGCTGGCGGAGAGCCCCCGCGGTGGAAGGGCGGGGCGGCATTGGACGCGTACGAGTACGAGGGTTGCACGGGCCAATTTAAGCCCTAAAAGCATAGGGCTGTCGGCTTGGTAATTTATCTAATTTCTCTTCCATTTATTCCGTACAGGCTATTATCACTATTTGGATGACAAAGGTCATATGCATACGTGGACGCCCATATCAAGTCGGAATGACAATGTCCGTATCACTCGTCACCGTGACTCGGCGCAGAATGCTGTTTAGAGAACCGGTGACCGGGTAAAGGTCGGAATACAAGGCGTCGGAGTGAGGGGAGTGCGGGTTTGTAAACAGCCCTACAATTTATGTATGTACATACGGATACTCGTACCATAGATGGTGGGCAGATAATCACTGACATCGGAAGATTAGACAAAGGATATTTAAAGTTCCTAGGGCAGGGAGTGGAGATGCAAAGCAAAAATAAAAACGAAAAGCTTCGGGATGAAGGTGGGTCCTTTTCTGGATTTTTTTTTTCTCGTCGGCGCTACCAACAGGGCCCTGCAGTAACACAGTCGGAATCAACCAGCTAGCCAGTGCACCACTAAGGGAACGTACTTGTTCTTACCAGGATGGAGTACGGAGTTACGGGTACCGTGTACCGTGTTCCGTGTACGATGTACGATGTACCGTGTACCAGATTTCGGGCTAGCTGCCACTGATTCGCAAGCATGGACACACGCTGTGGCACTCGCTCCACTGACCCTCGGAGCCGGTCATGATCTCCCGAAGCGGCGTAGTGATGAGCGTAACATCTTACGTATGTCCCCAGACTCCAGTGGCTCTCGCCTTGTTCGCGATCTACTGTAACGAGCCACACGGCTCAATTGAAAGTGTATGTACAGTATACCGTTTGAATATACTCCGTACTCCGTACCGAATAGAATACTGATACTGATACACGATCCGGATTTCCCGGCTCATGCCAATGAGGGTCTAGGGGCCCCCCCTTTCCAGGGTAAACTCTAGTCCGTACCGAGCAGGTTTCTTGGAGGCAAAATTTCTGGGTTTCAGGGTCTATGGACTGGTTATGAGCCTTATCCCGATTATCAAACATCTCCATAGTTCTACCGATATGCCCTGCACCACCCTCAGTGGAGCATCGCTTGGGCCAACCGAAGCCCTAGTTGGGTTGGCAATAATCTAGGGCGGAGCCGGAGTGGAATGGGTCGGATTGGAAGAGACCGTTCGATAAGTGCATACAGCACAGAGGAAATGGGAAAGAGGGAAACATAATTAAACTTGAAATTAAATCCAACGCACAAACCAGAAAGCTAGCTGCTAGCTTCTAGCCATAGAAGGCCTAAATAGCGAGCAGATCTTTTTGGCTGACGACTGTCCCCGCCAGGGTCGATGGGGCGGGCCGGAAGAAACGGAGCCTGGAAAACGGGTCTTCACAGAAACCACCGTAGTTCCAGGGGTGGGTTTCGTGGTGGATTAGGGGTCCCTTACTGTATCATTTCTAGTTCTCCGTACTGTATTGAACTCGTACCTGGACTGGGGAGAGCCTCGTAGAGACCCTTGAAGCTTGGCCTTGTCCTATTTAGTATGATGAGTTCCTGAGATACGCAAGCCGCGGATTTTATTTTTGATTTCTTTTATTTTCTTTTCTTATTTTTACTTCTCCATCTTCTTCTCGACGACTTATCTCTACTTCTTGACTTTGTATTCCTCATCGTTTTGATCTCCCATCCTCTATTTTACTACTTCTGTTCCTTTGCCTGCTTCCACCATCCTGCCGGCTTGTTACGAATCTCTTTCCACCCCCTCCTCCTGTTACTGGACCAACCCACCTGGCTTATCTCGTATCGGCACATCCACCACAATCAGTGGCTACTTCGCTCCCTCATTAAAAAGTAGCTTTCCACTCCAGGCTACTCATCTGCACTTCTAGCTTGATCAAAAGACCTTCCTTGGAAGAACGGGACTTGTTCGTGGTTTGACGATCTTAGATCCCGGCTACCCCTGCAATATCGCCAGGCCGGTTTGCAACTGCCGTTGAGAATTGTGTTCCCCACGTCGAACCAGGTAGACGCAAGAAAAGAACAAAAAGGGAACCAAAGTCTCTCAGGATTATTTTGTTCCTCCAGCAAGGTCGAACGCCCGGGGTTCAAGACCCTGCTTGCGCTAACTCGCCCCAACGTCGCCCGTGCGAAAAGAGTTGATCGGGGAAGATATCTCATAGCGACAGTATTCCGTCTTGATCACTAGCCGACTTGCTCGCTAGTTTGTCCTGACCAAGGTCAACGGTACGAGATACAAATTAAAACCCGACATTGTGCGTCTTGCCAGCAGCGGCGGACCTAATGTTGTCGATGTGTTATACGACGCAGAGGCCAAACATCTTTCGAGAACCATCTGTACGTCATCTCCAGCCTATGCAGAGGAGATGAAGAAGGAGGGATGCCAGCAACAGACCCCAGGGAACGGAAGTTTTGCTCCTAGACTCTTGTCCTCTGTGCTCTCTGCCGTCTCCCTCCCCCTCCTCCCTCCCCGTTCTTCTTTGATTTTTCTCCTCTTTCTATCGACCACCACTCTGGTCGAGATCGGATGGCCTTCTGGGTCTATTTGGCTTTTGTCCAGGTCCCGCTGGCGAGGAGTCTTATTGAGAATATTGAAAAACTAACCATCTGTCGTTAATTTAGTATACATTTCCAGCCTCGGTCAACTCACATCGGGGCGTTGAGGAGGATTCCAGTTGCAGCACGAACATTGTATCAATCTTGAATAATGATGACCACCCGTCGTTTGCCGTCCGGTCCAACCCCAGACATACATCCAGCCAACCCTCGCCATCATTGAATTCTCAGCCAGAACAACTTCCCCCGCTCGCTGGCGAGGCTCAATACAACCATCATTCTCATGCCTCATCAGCATCACCAACAGCATCACCACGGAGTACTCGCCACACAATTATGGAACCCATACAACCCACCTCCCCGGGCTCATCTGACGGATCCGCCTATGAATATCTGACAAGCCACGCCCCTTCATCCGCCTACCACCCATATGCCCGACAAGATTCGCGACGCGATGCCTATCGATTTCCATCAAGGGGCCCAGTGGCGCCTCGCACGCCGCCAGAAATCCAGTCAACATCCGGGGCAGAGGCGAAGTCATCATCATCCGGAGGGACACGAGGCACAGGGCCAAAGAATAAATATCCATGTCCTTACGCGGCCAGCCACGGGTGCTCTGCTACATTCACAACATCCGGGCATGCAGCACGTCATGGGAAGAAGCACACGGGCGAGAAGAGTGTGCATTGTCCGATTTGCAACAAGGCCTTTACCCGCAAGGATAACATGAAGCAACACATTCGTACGCACCGCACGCATTCGGATGAAATGCGCTCGACGTCCGAGCCGGAGGCAGACCCGCGCTGGGCCGCTGTGTCGAGACCTGAGTCTGGCTATACCTCTGCGCATAATCGGACTGTCAGTCAGTCCACTGATGCTAGCAATGCTAGTGTGATGCCTCCGCCGGGCGCTCGATTAAATCAGCATCAATCCTGATTGAAAAGTCCAAAAACAGAACGTCTCTCTGTGTCTCTTTTTCCTTTTTCTTTCTTGGATGTCGGTATATTCGCTGGTTACCGTCGATGTATTCTTTCTATCTCATCTCATCTCATCTCTCTCATGGCCCGCATATGGATACCCCACGTTGTTGTGTTTTACTTGCCATTTTTCTGCATTTGCTTTTGTATTTGTTCAAGTTTTTATCCTGGTTGATTTATTCTCATGTTGTCTTCTTGCTACTCTTCTTCTTTTCTTTTCCTTTCCCTTTTTCTCTTTGCGTTGACCTTGTCAGGTCACGTGTGTCCTGATACACTCACTGCTGCGCAGTGTGGTTACGCTGTCTGCTTCCGAAGCGTTTTGCTCTTTTATCGCTTTTCATTTCTTTTTCATTTCCTGTGTCATCATCCTTTGAAGGGAAGGGCACTTTGTTGTACCAAACGCTCCCCTACTTCATAAGCCCATGAGCGCTTTGCAAATGGAATGGCAAAGAGACACTTCGTTACCCGTCAGATGATTGCAAATCTGGGGGAGAGGGGTCCAAAGTTCAGAGTCCAGAGTCCAGAGTCCAGACAGTTCGGTTAGCATATCCGGGAACGATGAAGCTCCTATGATTATGTGATCTGTACGTTGTGCACTGTTGTTGTACCTTGGTTGTACTGTTGTGGTTTGCCTGCCTGTGTCATGTCGGAAAGGGCATCATGCGCTTCCCTGCGGGAGGCCTGCAGGGTGATTTGTCTCGTTGGGTGACGTATATTATTTTGTATAGGAATTAGCAAGGATTTCCATGAATGGAATGACCGTGTGCGACCAGCTCTGGCTGCACCAAGCAACAATATTTTGCCACGAAGAAATTGTAGAGAGAAGCGGGGGAGGGAAGCTTCTGGGCCTCGGGGTAGAGAGATAGGCAGAGGTTAGCGATGAAAAATAGCGAGGGCGAACAGTAGAAAGAAAAAGAGTAAAGATGAAAATGAAGAGTATGTAAAGGGTAAAGGATAGAGGGAACAATGAACCATGGCGGGACCAGCCGAGCAGAGCCATGGAAATGGAGGGAAACCCCGGAATTGATCCTTGGAAGCACTCAACATCAACAAACATCAGCATCAGCCACATGTACAGGTGTACAGCTAACTATGGCACCACCACTTCCACAGTGGCGGTCTAAGCCGGTCATGATGGCGTTAAATCAGAAAACCAACTAAGCGTGTTGGGGTAGGGCTGTCACTGTCACTGCCTTGGTCGCCGATCTGCAGCATGACGTCGGGCGCAACCATTAAGCAAAATCGACAGGGCCATGGCAGCATCCGAGAACCGAGCACTGATTCCAGAACATTTGGGCACTGGCATATTGGAAGGGGGTAAAACACCCTTAACCTAAGGAGGAGGCTGGCACGACGTCATATGGAGGGGAGAAGAGGATCCAGACTATTAGTATATTAGTATATCAAGAGATGATGGGCGCAGGACCTCCAAGTCCAGAATTTCTTCCCCTGGTACTTTTTCTCCTTTTACTAGTAATAAATATGCCTACACCCTGGTGACTCTCACACTCACCAGCCTCAGCCTCAGCCTCAGTCAGCCTCAGCTAGCACCGCCTCCCAACCCTTTCACTTTCACTTTCACTTTCACTTGCACGTTCAACCCGCTCTCGAGTCCACCTCGTCCAACGACGTCACGCCACCTGCCCCGCCTCCTCTGGGCGCTTTCTGTTTCTGAATCCTCGACCCGTTCTCTCTCTTCTCTCTCTCTCTCTTTCTCTCCATCTCATCTTTATTTGTGATCTACAAGATTCACCAAAAACTCGACTTTTTTTTTCTTCTTTTTCTCTGATTGTTTCTGTCTCGTCAAATCCCACACCCAACGATGTCGTACTACGACGATCGTCGCTACAGCGCACCCCGCGACCGCGCCCGCGGCGGCGGTACTGCAGCAGATTATTTTGACAACCATCCACGGGGCCGAGATGCAAGGGTCGAAAGAGACGCATATCCCTCTTACCGGGATAATGGCTCGATCGAAGAAATCCCTCGCGATTTCCCTCCTGGACGGGACTATGTCTATGAGCGCAGTTATGAAGCCCGCCGCCCGCGCCGACCTGTTTACGAAAATGTGCGCCGTGCGTCTTCTGTAAGCGGTGATCCATACTACGATAGCGGATATCATCGTCGTTCACGCCCGCAAAAGTCCCGGCGTTATGATGATCGTCGTAAGTTGCCTCCTTTCCGTCTCCTCTTACCGTTTGAGATGGAACCCCTGCTTTGTGTTTTATGCTTTGTGCTGAATACTCACATTTTGCCTTCAACAGCTCCTCCTCGTCGCTCCAGATATGATTCTGTTTCCTCCAGTCGCTCGCCCCCTCGTCACAGTCGCCGCAAATCTATCGGCGACGCTGCCTAGGTGCCCTCGGTCTCGGCGCTGCTTCCAAAGTCAGTTCCCGCAGTGACCGTGACCGTGATCGTCACCACGGTCGTGATCGAGGCCGCTCGTACTCTCGCCATGGTCGCTATTCATCATCCTCTCGTAGTCGCAGCCGTGACCGCCACGGCAGCAAGCGTGACAAAAGCGAACAGCGCATGATGCAGGCTGCTCGTGCAGCTCTGACCGCCGGTGCGGCAGAGGCCTTCCGATCTCGCAAGGATCCTGGTGAATGGTCCGGAGCCAAGGGCAAGCGTGTTTTGACTGCAGCTGTCACTGCAGCCGGTACCGACGGACTTGTCGACAAAGATCCAAAAAAGCACGGCACGCGTCATGTCATCGAGTCAACTCTCGCCGGTATGGCTACTAGTCACTTCATTAATGGCGGCTCATCCAAATCTCGCGATCGAGATGGTCGTGGTCGGTCCTCTGCGGGTAGCGGTCTTAAAAACCTCGCCGCAACGGGTGCACTAGCTGCAGCCGGGAAGGAGATCTACAATCGAGTTTCTCGTTCGCGATCGAAACCCCGTGGCCGAGACGATAGTCGTGACCGTGATAGCGATGATGACCGTCGTGGATCCAAGAAACGCAGCAAGAGTGTCTCGGACTACATCAACAAGGGTATTGCAGCCCTTGGCCTTGACGAGGGCAAAGATCGCGGCAGCAGAGACAGGAGCAGAAGCAGAGACAGAGACGATCGATCAGATCGCCGAGACCGCCGTCATCGCCATGACCGCGACAACCGAGACAGAGACAGAGATCGAGACTCCCGCTACGGCGGCTATTCAGATTCAGATTCAGACACAGAGTATGGCAGGGGGTATTCGCGACGAAGCAAAGGCTCGAGAGATGTAGGTCGAACGCGTTCCTTGAACGGCGGCAGAACCCCCCCAACCCCCACGCAGCGGTGGAACAAACGGAAAAACAGCAACCACCGCACGCGGTGGATCCTCCAGCTCCGAGAGTGATTCTGACTTAGGCGACAGTAGTGATGAGAAAAAGACCCGAAAGAAGATGAAGCGGGACATGCTGCTAACATCAGGCCTGGCGACCGTGGCAACGATCCATGCCGGCCACAGCGTGTACGGATCCGTGAATAAGCGCAAGGAGCGCATGGCCCAACTGAAGAGTGGTGAGATTTCAGCCGAGGAAGCACGCAAGCAGCGCATGAAAGCGAATGCCCTGGATGCCGCGAGTATTGGCCTTGCGGCGCTGGGTCTTAAGGGTGCCTACGGCGAGTGGAAGGAGGTCAATGAGAAGCGCAAGGAGACCAATAATTTCCAGCAGGAGTGTGTTCGCAGGGCGATGAGGCGTGAACTTAAGCGCAATCGGAGTAACTCGCTTCCTTCTTATCATCGCTGGCCGGATGAGATTGAGGATGCGGGGGCTCATGATGGGTATGGTGGACATGGGAATGGAGGTTTCTCTTATCATGATGGAAATCCGTATGGAGCTACGATGGATGCGCCGGCGATTTCTTATTAAGGTTGTTTCTAGTGATGAAGTTATGATTTATGACGGATGGGTGGACAGGATAGGATACTTTGAGGGCTCCTATGTTTGGATTGTTACTTTATTTGTATTAACGTTTCCATTCACTTTTTACTTTTCCATCTGTCCTTGGTTTTTCTGTTACATTTAGATAGTTCTGATGAGCATGGAAGCTCTGATTTCTGATGCTACAATCTATCAAGGTGTCTACCACCAAGGTATCTATCTTCCACAAGGTACTCCATACCATAGAGTAATAGAGTATTCCGTGTATCTATACTCCACTGTGTGCTCTACTGTAGTATACGATCCAGTGTATCTATACTCTACACTATACTATGCTGTCTACTGCGTGCCCCACTCGGCAGCCACGCTTGCCGAAAATCACGTGGGGCTCACGTGGGGCAGCGCGGGGCCCTGACTCGCTGAGTCAGCCACTTGACTTTTCGGTGCCCCTCTTTGCTCCTCTTCTCTGCTCGACTCCTCCTTTCCTTTTCCCCTCTTCATCCCCTACTTTTTGGTTGGTTTTCCCCTGAAATTTCTCTTCCATATTCAATCCTAACATCTTCCAGTTTTATTCAATTCATCATGTCTGCCCCCGCTCAGAAGTTCAAGGTCGCTGACATCGTATGTGCCCCTCCTCCCCTCCCCAAGGCTTACTACCTCCAGCTTCAAGCTTATGCCAGCTTATTACCCCTTCAATGGCTAATATTTCCTCTCCTTAGTCCCTGGCCGCTTTCGGTCGTCGGGAGATCGAGCTCTCCGAGGTCGAGATGCCCGGTCTCATGGCTATCCGTGAGAAGTACGGCCCTGACCAGCCCCTCGCTGGTGCCCGTATCGCCGGTTGCCTGCACATGAGTATGTCTTCCCCCCGCCAATTCCGACCTCGTACGATCCCATCCTGACCCACTCCTAGCCATCCAGACCGCTGTCCTCATCGAGACCCTCACTGCTCTCGGTGCTGAGGTCACCTGGACTTCCTGCAACATCTTCTCCACTCAGGACCACGCCGCCGCTGCCATTGCTGCCGCCGGTGTCCCTGTCTTCGCCTGGAAGGGTGAGACCGAGGAGGAGTACCAGTGGTGCCTCGAGCAGCAGCTCCACGCCTTCAAGGATGACAAGAAGCTCAACCTCATTCTTGACGACGGTGGTGACCTGACCTCCCTCGTCCACGCCAAGCACGCCGACATGCTCAAGGACTGCTTCGGTGTCTCCGAGGAGACCACCACCGGTGTCCACCACCTGTACCGCATGCTCAAGGACGGCAAGCTCAAGGTCCCCGCCATCAACGTGAACGACTGTGTCACCAAGTCCAAGTTCGACAACCTGTACGGTTGCCGTGAGTCCCTCATCGACGGTATCAAGCGTGCCACTGATGTTATGATCGCCGGTAAGATCGGTGTCGTCGCCGGTTACGGTGATGTCGGTAAGGGTTGCGCCCAGGCTCTGCACTCCATGGGTGCCCGCGTCCTTGTTACTGAGGTCGACCCCATCAACGCTCTCCAGGCCGCCGTCCAGGGTTACGAGGTCACCACCATGGAGGAGGCTGCCAAGATCGGTCAGATCTTCGTCACCACCACTGGTTGCCGTGACATCCTCGTTGGCCGCCACTTCGAGGCCATGCGCAACGACGCCATTGTCTGCAACATTGGTCACTTCGACATTGAGATCGACGTTGCCTGGCTCAAGGCCAACTCTCAGTCCGTGCAGAACATCAAGCCCCAGGTTGACCGCTACCTCCTGAACGGCAAGAACATCATTCTCCTGGCTGAGGGTCGCCTGGTCAACCTGGGCTGTGCCACCGGTCACTCTTCCTTCGTCATGTCCTGCTCCTTCTCCAACCAGGTCCTTGCCCAGATCGCTCTGTTCAAGGCCGAGGACGCTGCTTTCGGCAAGAAGTACGTCGAGTTCGGCGCTGGTGGCAAGAAGGACGTCGGTGTCTACGTTCTGCCCAAGCAGCTCGACGAGGAGGTCGCTCGCTCCCACTTGGCCCACGTCAACGTCAAGCTCACCGAGCTCACCCCCGTCCAGGCTGAGTACCTTGGCCTCGAGGTCGCCGGTCCCTACAAGGCTGACCTCTACCGCTACTAAGCGGAAGTCGTTCATGACATTAACTCATAATATTTCACCTTTTTTTCCAATTGCGTCCGACATATGAGTTTCCTTTTCTTTTCTTTGAATAGACTTTCAACATGAATTTTCGACGATGTTACGATTGGCATTCGGGTTCTCTATCAACTTAGAACTCAAAAGTGGTTGTCCTTCAACGGCATAAAAAGTTGTCTCCACATGGGGGTGCGATGTTCTTCTGTTTACTGGCGTGGGTCGACCTGGGTTAGGTCTTGCATTCAACACTGCGCGTACGGATGGGATTTTTTCTTATTGATACCTTAGTCCTGCTGGCCCTATCGTCGGTCAGATCGTGGCTGCACAGTTAAATATAATCTGAGCACCAACTTTGAGCTTCTTGTAGACTCAGTAGATGTAGAATTTGCTAAAGTGTTCCGTTATGGTAAATGGCCCTGTTGAATAGCAGCCCTTTGCAATACTGCAGTACTAATAGACCAGTAATGTCCCAGAGGTTCCAGCTCCATGGATGGGTGCCTTCTATGCTTATACTCCCACTGCACTTACTATCTATCTCGAGACTTTTATCAAATCTCTCAACATCTCCGCTGCAAGTTTCGCAAGCTCCGGGTGATTAATATCACGCCCATCCTTCACAATCTCTATCCCACTGTCAGACAGTTCCTCTTCAAGAGTAGAGAAGAAATCTTCATCAACATCCGGATTCCAAAACGGCTGTCCAGGAATATCAACCATACTCACACCCCCAATCGGCAGCAAGACCTTTGTCCGCGAAGAATCCCGAATATTCCTCGCGATAACCCTCGCAATATCCCGACATTCCTCCACAGTAGTCCGCATAAGCGTAACAGTCGGATTATGCCGATGAAACACCCGCTGCGCTCCGAGTCTTTCATTCGCAAATTTCTCCGGAATCGAATCAAAGGTGCCAAAATTGACCATGTCACAGGCACCAACACTAACCACCCGCGGTATATCTCTCTTCGTCGCAGCAACCAGTCTGTCCGGCCCAGCACTCAGTACTCCGCCCACAACCTCATCCGCAATCTCAGTAGTCGTCAAATCCAAAACAGCATCCAGCTGCCCCTCAGATATAAGTCTCTCCATAGCTCGACCCCCAGACCCGGTTGCATGAAAAACATACACCTCACAACCGGGCAGTATAGACTCGAGATGCTTTCGAGCAATAGTAACAGCAGGTGTCGTGACGCCAAACATGGAAATCCCGATCCTCACAGTACTAGTAGCTTCCGAGTTATCTTCACCCTCGATCTCGATACTCGCAGCCTCCTGCTGTTTAATCTGCTGACAGTAGCAAACACGTCCCATCCCAGCAATAGCACCGGCCGCATTCCGCAACACCATATCCAAAACTCGATTCCGACCCGCGATATCAACAACACTATACATCATCGCGATATCAGTTTCCCCAATATAAGGCCCAACATCCCCAGATGCCATGGTCGAAACCATCAACTTCGGAAATCCAACCGGTAACCCATCGCGCAGGGCGCCGGTAGCGAGCGCCGTGCCGCACGATCCCCCCTATAGCGAGAACGGCGTGAATTTGCCGGTTTGCATTCAGTCTGGAGATATACCCTGCTACGTAGGGCGTTAGGGTTTTGATATAGCTATCGCGATCGAGGGTGTTTATTTCTTTTGATTTTGATTTTCCCGATGTCGGTGGCAGTGGTGGCGGGGTAGTTGTTTGTTTGACATCATGGTGTAGGAGTGGGGCGCCGAGGAGGTCGGATTGTTTGATATCTACTTCCGAGGAGGAAGAGGGGATTCGGCCGATGTCTAGTATTAGGACATTGTTTGGTCCTTGGGCGAGGATGGCTGATTTTGTGTAGAGGAGTTCGGGGAGTTTGGTGTCGCATGTTCCTAGGAGGAGGATTGTTGGTGTTGATGTCATTTTGAGTGTTGATCGGGGGCTTTGGGATGGTATTTTTGGGCGGTTTTGTTACCGCGAGTTGTTGGATTTTTCTTTTCGGACTGTGTGGTAGCTTAGATCAAGTTGGAAGTTGGGAGTTGCCTGAGTGGTAAGGGGTTGGAAGATACGTAATGTGACGATGTCTTGTTTGCTGCAGCTGACCTGTGGTTGCAGATGGTGGGGCATTCGTTAAGTGTTCAAGTGCTTTCACGCTTCAACTTGAATAAATTTGTATGGCACCATGGTTTGAGCCGATTTATTCCTAACCTAAGGTTGGAAACAGCCAGCTTTTTATTAGTGTTCACATTTCCAACCTTTTCTTGATAGTGACCCCTGGAAATTCCCAGTCATGTCTGTCGCCTGGCTTCGAATTTTTGACACCGGAACTTAAATATCTTCCTCTGCCCACATAAATAGTAACATTTCAATTTGAAGTTGGCAGTGATACTAGTAGTACAAGGAAAGTTCAAATGTTGACTCAGAATTCTGGTTTCCAACCTGGGCATTCAGGTCGCAAATGGATATCCGCTCCAAAATACGTGGGCAACAGAGTAGCTTCCTACTGGTGACCCCAGAACTATTGTGGTCGCGGTATTTGAATGAATCTGCAATCATATCTACTAGTACAGTGTGTCAAGCTTGGAATGCCTTGCTATCCTCGCTGGTCAAGATTGGCTAACCCCCGCGCGTCAGCAGTTGACTCATAATCGAGACAAGCCACTAGTCTACTCCGTTAATAAATGGTGAGAAAAGGACGATATTATCCTGGTATACAAAGTGCCTGAAATTCCGTTCACCCTTCCAAATCATCATGGCCTCCGAATCCGCACCCCCATTCCCGCCGGGCTTCCACATCTCCACCTCGCGACTACGCATCATCCCTTTCGACCCCGCTAATCAAACACACGCGGAATTTCTAGTCCAACTCTGGAATACAGAAGACTTCATCAATTCCTGCGGTCGCACATCCATCTCCACTTCTGAAAAAGCGTTAAATTTCATCCGACAGCGTGTTGTGCAGCAATATTCGGTCAATCAATATGGCATGTTTCTGGTATCACTGAAGGAAGGAGAAAATGCTCTCGTTTCTGCCATAGGCACCGTGTCGCTCATGAAAGGTGCACCCCCAGACCCGCACTTTTTGGCCCCAGACATTGGATTTGCTGTTCTGCCCGAGCACAGTGGCAAGGGATACGCTGCGGAAGCAGCAAAGGGGCTCCTCGAATGGGCGCGTACTGATCGTGGGATCGAGGCTGCGTTTGGATTCTGCGACCCGTCAAATCGACGTAGTCGTAAGGTTCTACAAAAAATTGGGATGGACTTCAAGGGGACCGCAGAGTTGCAAGTTTTTGGAGGGAAGAAGAGCGCTGTATATGCCTTGCCTGAGATGGGCGATGACCTGGTAGTTTACGGACTTGCGGAACCAACCTCCCCAGAATGAGCGCCTTTCTATATAATATTTCTGTCTAGTCGACGCACAACGCGCTGGGCTCGTCCGTGTCTACGCAACAATACTGAATCACTAGATCCCTCCGGAGATTATCGGGCTTTACTGTCGGAGTTAGACGGGCTTCCTTCTCTAAACCCCAAATTATCCACTTGTTAGGTTGTCTGGCCAGGTGCTTTTGTGTTCAAACACCCGGGCACACAGTAAACTCAAGCTATCGCTGTATTTTAGACTGAGAAAAAGCCTCGTAATAACGGACCAATTCGTCCGAAGTTGAAATATAGATTACGCCCATATTGCCCCTATAAAAGCTCTCGGCCACTCAGTTGACCAGACCCAATCAATAAATTATTCCATTGATTCATCTACAATCAGTGAAATATCTCAAATAACCACGATGCCCACCAATCGCGCGGCCTGGCAAGATGCAGCAGGGAAGACTCTGACCATCCGACCAACACCCTACCCAACAAACCTATCTCCTACCCAAATTCTTATCAAACCATCTGCCTGGGCTATCAACCCATGCGACTACATGCTTCAAGATACAGCCTTACCATTCGTAAAATATCCTTTAATCCTAGGCGAAGATATCAGCGGCACTGTCATCGAGACAGGCAACTCCGTGACCCGGTTCAAAGCCAACGACCTTGTCCTAGCCTTCGCACAGGGTGCCGTCCGAGGCGCACATATGGGCGGGTTTCAGGAGTACGTCGTAGCTGAGGCGAGTTTCGCATGCCTTATTCCCGAGTATATGAAATTCAGTGATGGCGTTGTTTTCCCTCTTTGCTTCACCACCGCCTCGCATGCGCTATTCAACAGCAAATTCCTAGCGCTACCAAAACCAGGTCTTGATATTGAGCCGGGAAGTTCGGGGAAGTCGGTGTTGATTTGGGGTGGTGCGTCGGCTGTTGGGATGAATGCGATTCAACTTGCGCGTGCGGCTGGGGTGGAGGTTTATGCGACTGCGTCGCCGCGGAATTTTGAGTATCTGGCGAAGCTCGGGGCTAGCCAACTATTCGATTATACGAGTGAGAATGTTGTTGCGGATATTGTGGCTGCCTTGAATAAAAGTGTTTGTTCTGGTATTTTCCAAGCTGCTGGGGCGGAGAGCTCTGTCAAACCATGTTTGGATGTTGCGGACAAGACTGACGGGGATATATTTGTTGTGACGACGACGCCGTTGGCGGAGGGGTTGGTTCCTGAAGGTGTGAGGGCGAAAATGGTGTTTGGGGATGAGCATGACGATATCTTGGAGATTTGGGAGAAGTTCTTGCCACAGGCCCTGTTTCAGAAGAAGTACTTGATTGCACCGGAACCGGTTGTTGTTGAGCAGAAGGGACTGGAGGGAATCCAAGAGGGACTTGATATGCTTAGAAAGGGTGTTTCGGCGAAAAAGGTCGTCGTCGTTGGCGATTGAAGTCCGAAATTTGCCCAGGTGTTGGAAAATATATTGGAAACCGTAGTAGCTTCTTATTACCTACTAGTATACTACGACTCTAGATTCAATTGAAGACCTCGGGATATATACCGGCAGTTTCCAAGGTTTTCGATCGAATTGTCTATCTTAATTAACGTCATGTTGAGATCATACAATGACCTTGCCTAAGGTTGAAACTAACCCTCGTCACGACCCACGAGTGGCCCAAACGACCTGAGCCGCGATTATACTTCAGGTGCTCACTTGACTCGTAATCCGGCGGATGTAGATCCGGAGACTGTCCACAAACATCTTGTGGGTTGAGTTTGAACAAAATTGGCAAGTGAAATGAAAAAAAATGGACTATATTCCATATGATATTTCTGGGCTACTAAAGTATAGTTATGTGTCTTGTCTATAGACTACTACCCTTGAAAGATGACCTCTACGCTTTATTTTTGCGTCACATATTGGATAATACTTCAAATTCACAGCACTGATTGCCAAGTACTCAGTGTTCGAAAGGGTAATGGGTGCTGGTCTGAAAATCGAACGGAATCATTATCTCATATATCATACTCATAGCGAAGCATTCCTTCATCAAACGGTTTTCAGGACATTTCTTTGTAGAGCCGATCACCGGGACCAGGGTGCACCAAGAAATCCCAGGGAGGCTTCTCAGGCAATTGATTCTTCTCCACCCATTGACGGATATCTTCGAAATTTTTGCATTTGTGATGTGTTTCGAAATCTAGATAGGGCTCTGGGTTTTCCGGGTAGATCCAGACCTGGCCGACCACACCGGTGTCGACGGTACACATAAGTTGTTGCCGAATAATATCAAGACAGTAAGCTGAAGAGAGTGAGAGGGAGAAGTTAGCTTGTGTGAATCTACTTGCTAAATGTATTTGTAAACTCACAAACCTGGCGCCGTGCGATGTAGGTGTTGTTGCCGAGCACACCCTCACCCATGCTATGATAATAATCATAGTTATAGTAGAGTGATTGGCGAAGAACGTTCTAAAATTAGGTTAGCGACGACATTGTGAGATCAAAGATACCCACCAGGCAATGTAAATGGTGGAAGCCTTCTACTTCCGCTGGAAAGCCCCCGCCATATTTATCCTTAATTCTAACCTGATCAACTGCAAGACCAGACTCCTCTGCATCTGCGGCGGGAACGCGAATACCACGATCTGTGACGAGATTAGATACAGGACAGTTATTTGTTCTTGCCAGGGAGCAATGACACACAGTTGACACCCAGAGAATCCCAGGCTGCATCGACTTCCGGGCTTGCATCTTGTCGAAATATGGATTCTTTCAGAAGAGATCCATTGAATGATTCCAGATTGTATTTAACATCAAGATCTTTCACAATAGGGGCTGAAGATTGTAAGCTTTACTGTATTTGATTGAAGCGGACTGACAGGCTTCTCTCTCACAATATCGAGAAACATGCCTCCCACATAGACCATCCAAATCAGCTCGCCAGAAGAACCCGAATAAAGCTCCGATTAGGAAAACTATAGCCAAAGCTGTCAATTGAAGAAGAATGGTCGTAATTGAGACGTAGACGTCAGAATCGTCGTCCTCTGTCCACAAGATCCCCTCTTCCTCAGCGAGAAGGTGTTCACTCGACTCGTAATCCGGTGGACGAAGATCTGGAGACTTGTCAATAAACATCTTGCGGGTTGAGTATAAACAAAACTGGCGGGGCAAAGATGAAAGGGAGAAAAGATACTATATTGCTAAATTGAATCTGAAAAAATACCGCAGCGCCCCTAACCTACCGCTTAGGTCCGAGCAGACCGCAAGTCCAGGTGCAAGCTGCACATGGTTTACTTGGGCAGCTCAGCTTTACCATTCTCGACTCTTCATACTACCGAGCCATCTAGATTATTCTGACGTAATGACCTCTGCATGTCTTACACGTTTTGCTGGTCCCATGAGCACTTCAAAAGCGTGGTGCATGGGCGCCAGACTGCGCAGGGAGGGAGGCTGGCGTCACATCAATCACCCCATCAACGTCAAGCGAGACAAACGCGGAGTCCTGAACAACTCTTGTCAGGATACATTGCTCATGCGATTACCTGCGGCTCCCGGACCCCGGATCATCACTGGAATGTAATTAAGCCCCTTCGGGGACGATCGACACTCCCGACACGCTATTTTGTGTAGCTTCATGCGAGGTTCATCATGCAATAGCCAAAAGGTATACTCGGTAAGACACACAACGCTGGGAATTATCTTATTCGCTCATACTGATCTGGCTTCAATGGATCTCTGAAGTCATTGCGCAGACCGTCAATTGCCCGATTCTCATCCCCGCAAGGCAGAACGATCACCCACTGCACGTTCATCCTGGGGTCCCTTGCAGCGAACACCGAATCCCGGCAAAAGTCAATGATGGGGATACACGGCGAGCTCAGACATTGCCATTAGTGGCCATTGGAGCTCAGCAAAAGCTACGTTCGAATACGTAATTCCAAGGCTTGGAGCTCTCTCAGATCGAATATAAATACGAGGACATTCGACGGTCAAATCAGTTCTCTATCTCAAAGCAAATCACCCATCTCTCTAGCTCAAAAGATCAAGAGAGAATTCTTCAGACAAAAGAAAAACCCGAAACCTCCAACGTACTAAGAGACGACCTTCAAAATGCGCTACACTTTGATCAACGGCCTTCTTCTCCTGGCCGTCTCGCCTTTCACGGCTCTTGCCCTTCCAGTCGACCCCAATGACCAGGGTGGTGTTTGGGACCCCAGTGGTCAATATCGCAAGGGTCACTACGATGGCCAAGGCAACTTCATTGCCAACAACGTTGGTCAAGCTGGCTACGAGAACGGTTACCAGAATGAGCAGTGGCGCAATGGCCAGAACCAGAATGGTCAATACAATCAGAACGGCCAATACAACCGGAACGGCCAATACAACCAGAATGGTCAATACAACCAGGATGGTCGCAACACCGAGGCTGGCCGCTGGCAACGACGCTGGATTCCTGGTCAAGATATTGCTGATTCTGCTGCTCTTCACAACCACGGCACCCACTTTGGCACCCCTCGTGTTGGTATTCCTGGCACTGGCATCCACGCCCGCACTTGGCCCTACGATAACAATAACGACGATGGCGGCTGGACTGATGCGAATGGTCAATGGCACGCCAACAACCAGCAAGGAGGCTGGACTGATGCCAATGGCCAGTGGCACGCAACCAACAACAACAACCAGGGCGGTTGGACTGGTGCTCAGGGACAGTGGCACTCCAACAACCAACAGGGTGGCTGGACTGATGCCAACGGTGTTTGGCACAACAACCAGAAGCGTGGTTTCGAGCCAACTTCCACCACCAACCTGGCTGCCAACCCCAACCTTCTGAATCAGGCCCAGGCCTCCAACCCTCTGAATGCTGCTGCCGGCCACGGAAATCTCGCTGGTGTCAATGCTGGTGCAAACAATGCCGCTGGAATTCCCCATGTCCCTCGTCACTATAATCCTGACTACTATGACAATGACCGTGATAATGACCGCTATGAGGATGGCTATGAGGATGGTCGCTACAACAATGCCGAAGATCGCCGTGTTGCTGAGAATGTCGTTTCAAACATCCTCACTCGTCGCATCTGGCCCTTCACCAACTGGAACAACAACAACAACAACAACTGGGACCGTGACTGCGACCGTAACGACTGGAACTGCCGCAACCGCAACAACAACAACAACTACAACAACGATGACAGCTATAACTACAACACTGGATCCGGCTATGACAAGTGTGAAGGCAACGATCGCTCAGACCGATCTGGCTGGAGCTGCCGCAGTGATTGGGACCGCACCAGCGCTACTCCCACTCCTCGTGTTTGGAATCGCAACTCTCCCATTGACAACACCAACTACGACAACAAGAAGGTCAACCTCAACGACAAGGACAACACTGTCACCCCTACTACTGCTCCGGTGGCAAACACCGACTACAAGAACGTTGAGAACAAGGAACTTGCTACTTCTACCAACAAGGAGTAAACAACTACTACCCGCTTGCATTGCCAGTGGATGATAAAGGTATGTGAAAACCCCTGCCTCGCATTGCTATTGTGCATGACTAACTTGAATCTCAGACTGCACTGGGAAAATTTGAACAAGATTGCGATGACTTTGATATTGATGCATTTGATGATTTGATATGAGCACACGAACTGTATACACTCCTTGATGCTGACGAAGTTTGATGGCGACGCAAGTTGATGTTGGTGGCGAATTTTACCTAGTTAGAGCTAGCTAAAGAAATGAAGAATAGCGTTTCACTTGAACCGAACGTCTTCGATACCCACTCAATTCTTCTTGTGGGGATAAGTAGATCCAATATCTCCCCAACGAATATTGGAAAATGTCACCGAAGTTTCAGGATGCTGTGCTTGAATCAGTGCAGGATTGCCTTCGGTGCTATTGCAAGGACCAGCGTTGCCACTGTCTAACCAGCTCATAAACTGACCAGAGTCATTCCAGATACTGAAGATCAGAACCATGCCCCTGCGGAGTGCGTTCCCCATCTGCTTCAGGCCGCCCATCTTCTGGAAGTAGCTGGCGGAGTTCTCACAAAGGCCTTCGGTAATTGAATCCACTTCGCTGCCCGAGACCTCTGCGACTGCATTGTGGATTACTTTTCCATTCTGCACATAGAGACGTCGGATTTCCGACAAATTTCCCCGCGGTGTGTGGTCGTCAGTTATGAACTGGGTGACAACGGTAAAACCCTTCTTGGTGTCTACCGTCATGTCGTAACCATAATAGTCTTTGTCGCCGAGGGCATAGGGGTTATATCCACATCCAGACTTATCACAAACTCCACTGCTGCCGCAGTCATCGCCATCACACGCGAACAACCGGGTCACATTGCAAGCGTGAGGGGTTAGAGCAGTGGAGCGAGCGTTTGCCTCCCATAGATCCATTTCATTGCAGCACGCGCCGAGAGAGTCAACATTGGCGACGCCATTAATCCATGGGCTTGATCCACATTGTGCGTCGCAGTAGCCAGTACCATATTGAGCACCCGCGGGGTTGAGCTTATTCCGCCCACCAGACTGCAACATCTCTGAAAGATAAAGTGCGCCATTCATGCCACAAACAAGTGATGAAAGCTCAACGTCAAAACTGATCTCTTGGTTTAGTAGCTGCAGCATGTCGTAATTCTTGCCAGACTCATCTAGCAGATACACACGCGGCGAAACGGCGGAAACAACTCCATTCGACTTCTTGTACTGATGGAGAATTAAACTGTCGCCTTTGGTTTCAACACCATGGGAAGCATAATCGACGCCGTCCAAGACACAGTTCTTGGCGCATGACTCTTTAGTTGCGCAGAGCTCTTTGCTTAAACCACCGTCCCCGGTTCCGCATGAGATGCTGGCGTTGCCTACGGCATGAAGTGGGTGGGAAAGCGCATCAAGAACGACAGAAGTGCTGTGTTTGACGCATCCATTTTTCGTAGAGCATTTCCATGTCTGGAGCTGAGGGTGAATTTCGGGGATTGAGCCGATGCGCTGCGCTGTCGCAAGTGGAATCAAGGCCACGACTGCAGCCAAGAGCATTCGCGTCATCATGGAAAACAATACTGCGTTTCGCTAGATATTGTTTGTCGTGAGAGACAGCAGATTTTGAAGGAATTCCGAGAATAAATACTTTGTTGATAGTCCTTCTCAGTGAAATTGCCCGGCGTCGCGCATTTCTTCAGCCGGGACGGTAGTTGGTTTCAAGTAGACGGAGAAGGCGCATTAAGCCTGAATGACGGGGATTCAAAGGCCACAAATCAGAGAAAAGATTGGAGCTCCTTTCCTTTTTTGCGGCCCGATGGTCCGGAAACAAGTGTCTCAGGGTGATGAAGGGTGGAATGCCAGTTTCAAGGGTCTGTTTACTTCCCCGCCTTTCCCGCGATCCCCTGAAGAATTTAGCCGCCAGTCGACGCGATTCTTCACGGCAATTTCGGTTGAAGTATTTTACCCTAGAGCCTTTGTGAATCTTGAACACGGTGTTGTCTTACTTTCCTTCTTCTGATAGCCAAGAGTCCGATAAAGTGAAGAAATGGTGCGTGAATTGCCACTGATTCAGTTTACCCTTTGATTCATTATTTGCAGAAGGACAGTCAAAGGGATAGCCCTGAATGCTATTGATGCTTTCTTCCCTGAAAGCTCTTTCAGCATTTTTGTAGTAGACAAGCTTGGCTATTGCTACTTAATACTCTCATGTAGTTGTATTCCTTTATTGTAATTATTTAGGCTGTCCTGCTGTTCACGCGATTCTCATCGCATTAGCATTACTGCAAAAACCGTCATATCCACTCAAACCACCAGGTTGAAACAGGTCAGTATAGCTAACAACACCACAGGCACTTCCAAAATGGCCGAATTACCAGATTTGGTAGGGGCAGCTGCGATGCCACTAGTCGGTGATGCCGTGTGTTTAGTATTGCTGCTGCTACTGCTGCTGAGGGGGGGTACCACTGCTTGTCGCATTGCTCAAGTTTATCGTGTCACCAATCTGATCCCACAATTGGCAGACTTGAAAGTCAATATAACCAGATGAAGTTGAGTTATCGAATATCATTCCTGGTGTTTGAGATCCATTTCTTGTAATTTGGAATTCAGGCCACTTGACACCTTCAATTGCCGGTTTGGCATTCTCTGCCATTGCGGTCCACAAACTCGTCATCTTCTTGCTAAGATCCCATTCGGCGTTTGTCCCATTGCAAGTACTGTTATTGGCGGGGAAATCAAAGTCCAGGTTGCCGAAGACATAGGGAATTTCGGCAGTGTGAGCAGCGCCGAAATATTTGAGAAATGCCGAGGGCATTGTCGGTAACCATGCGCAAGTCGAATTGTGGGTAAATTCGTACACCCATACCGGCACATTATTGCGAGCGGAACTCCTGGCGCTCTGATATCCTGCGAATTTGAATTCAGAGTCGGTCAGAACTGTTGCTATAGCTTCGAGTACTCCAAATTCGGTTGATCCCGCAGCGGCGATGAATGCAGACAACGGATAGTACTTCTCGATTATCCGAGAAGCAGAGCCGAAGTTCCCTTGGAGGAATGTCTTGTAATCAGTTGCATTAAGAGCTTTGACAGCTGCGGCAGAGTTATACTTGGTCAGGGTATCCATCATTCCCTCTTGTTGGTCTTGATTCAAATAGGATTAGCAGTTTATCTTATATTTTTATGCCAGGGGAAGTGCTTACTGTATCCAATGATTGCGGGAACTTGTGCGCCACGATTAAGAGGATTCTCTTTGATGATAGTACCGTCAACATAAGGCCAGAACTTCGGTGTTTTGCCGTTAGGAACACTTGTCCCATTTAGTGTGCCAAGTCCTTTGTACATATAAGGATCGGATGTCACTGCACTTTGAATGTCCTCGATAGATTTGGATTGTAGACACGATTTCTATTGAGCGATTAGTGTATATGTCGGAATTGGGAAATATTCAACTCACGTCATTGAGATCGCACTTAAGAACCTGTGCGACTGATGCACTAGTCTTTTGCAGAGTGAGGTTTGAAACCAATGAAGGCAGAGCGATCGATTCCGCGATAACACTTTTGAAGAGCGAAGGTGCTTGGGAAAGTGTAGCAATAGTAAATACATCCGTAGCGCCAGCTGACTGCCCAAAGAGAAGGACCTTTTTCTACCTAGGGGTAAGCCATTTGTTAGGAAGACCTGTTTTAGTCAATAGACTTACCGGGTCACCACCAAAGGACGCAATGCTTTTCTGAACCCACTCTAACCCCAGCAGGACGTCTTGGATTCCTTGGTTCCCATAGATTCCCGCAGTGTTAAGTGCCATGAAGCCGAGCGGACCGAGTCTATAGTTGATTGAAACAAGTATTGAGCCATCATTCGCCATGTTGCAACCATCATATAATGGGTAACCTATTCCACCACTTGTGTCTGATCCACCGTAAACCCAAACTTTGACGGGTAGCTTTGAGTCTTTCGTGGCTGTAGCAGGAGTCCAAACATTCAGATAAAGACTGCAGATGTGCGGCATTTTATTAGCAGTATATTCTTGGTCAACGGTCACAAAACGGCATACCAATCTTCAGACTTCTTTCCAGATGGTACCATATCATCTCCAAATTGAACGCAAGTTGGAGCGTTGGTAGTCGCATTCAATATTCCATTGGAATACGACTTGGTATAGGTTTTGGGCGGTTCGAATCGTAGGTTCCCGATCGGCGGTTCAGCAAATGGAATGCCTTTGTAATAAACTGCATCTTTTCCATCGCCGCACTTTGCGCCTTGGAGAGTGCCAGCCTCGATTTTAACCGATGGCGAGGCCAGGACTGTACCCAAAAAACTATAAAGAGTAAAAGGAAAAGTCAGCTTCATTATGGCCGATTCTTGAGACCGACGCTTGTGATGAGGGATGGGAGAGCATATCTTGTTGTGCTAGCAACAGACCTTTATATAGACATCCTACATGTTGCTTTCTCCTGTTGGCTTCCGCAACAGTCGCACTACCTACCCAAAAGAGCCCGGAGGCTGACAGTATACCCACAATTTGGCCCCAGAGGAACATCTGGACCGCAGATCCTTCCGTATCTATTCACGTCGAAGAAAGCTATAGGTAAGCACAGGAAACTAAACGACTCACTGGAAATTATGCGGGTCTAGTCCTATTTTGGTAGTTCGTATGCTCTACCAATCAAAGCTTCACGCATTTCGTCAAGGAAAAAACAACAATTTGGCGAGTCAACAGCCGGAATAGCTGCACAAGCAGAACAACTTGGGGCTGCCCCGCAAGCAATCTACGCAGTACCAGCTGCAGCTGCAGGTGCGGGCGCAGGTACAGGTACAGGCACAGGAGGTACAGGTAGAGGTAGAGGTAGAGGTACAGGTACAAGACGAGGCGTCATTCCTCCCCCTATACCTCCTTGCCCTGTGCCTGGGGTGGGCGTGGATGTGTGAGTGGGGCTTGAGTAGTTCCTATGGCTTTCGGTTCGAGTGGAAAGTTCGTGCGTGTTCTTCTTCAATTTTCTTTGGATAAATTGATTTGTTCCAAGGTTTATTACAAGTCTATTATTTTCGTTAATTTAAGTCCCATGAATATTCATCGACTATGCTGGAAAATATTTATTGAACCACACTAGTAGTTCTTTACTCGTAGCTGCGAGAGTAGTTGGGAGGCTCAATAGCTAACAGTTAACATCATGATACTAGAATTTTGAAAGTTGCCAGTTCATAATATGGGGCCAATTCGCCAAAGAACTCGAAGGATTTGCGGTCAGACCAACCGAAGTAGTCGTATGATCAATGATTTCTCGGCGATGTAATCATGCAATGTAAACCTAAATTGGCACTCCTTTAATAAGAGCTCCAGAGTACTACTAGTATTTCGTGGTAAGCTTCCTCAATCTTGGGTCCTGGCTAAATCCTTCAACACTCAAGTTCGTTGCGTCAAGTCACATTTTTACAACTCCCATCAAACATACCCAATAACCCACACAATATCAATTGACTCTACCATCTTTGCTTTCCACTCTTCCCAAATCACTAATCGTACCATTGCTGTCCCCTTAGGGCAAGAAAGGTCAGCCCACCTGGAACCCAACGGCGCCTATCAGCACGTGATACCACACTACGTCATTTATGATAAGGTGCGTCGTTGAGCCACCTTAGTTCTCCCTGTCGCAACAAATCAACTTATTCTCATTCTCACTACAGAACAGAACAAAAAGCATCAATCAAATTGGGAAGCTATCTATTCCACGCAAAAATTCAATCAATTGCAAATACCCCAACCGCAACAATGTCATCACCTAGTCTCCGCACCGGAACACGCTCGCTCCGACTACGCAGCATTCGAACGAACCCGCCGCGAACAAGCACAAATACAAGCACAATCTCAGTCCCACGCGTTTCAAACTGCAATCAATCCAGAAACCTGACCAGGGATACCTCAGCGGGGATTAAGCCTCAGGCTCGGGCTCAAGCTCAGGCTCGGGCTCAAGCTCAGGCTCGTACCGTCTCCGTGCCATTGCTAAATGCAGCACACATAAACCTCCGCGCACGCATGACAACAACATCAACTTCAGCCTCAACCCCAGCCTGGATCTCAGCGTCCCAACTCAGAACATACGCTACAAGCACAAGCACAGCAACAGCAACAGCAGACAATCTAATCGAAGAACTCCAAGACCTCTACGAAATCGCCAAAGACGAATTCGAAATCGCAACCGATTCCACAGACGGCTCAACGATCTACGCCGCCTCAGACCGGGAGTCAGCGCGCGACGCGCTGAATCAACTCGTCACAGTTTATGAACTTTATACCGGGGCCAAGGTTGCGAAGACACATGCTGATGGGGATGGTGGTGCCGCTGCCGCTGCCGCGGGTGAGAGCGGGGCTGAGGCAGGTGTTGTTGAGACGAATTTTGATCCGGAGGGGGTTAGTGAGGAGGTTAGGGGGGGAGGTTAGGAGGAGGGTTGGGCAGAGGGTTCGGGAGTTGAAGAATGCTGTTGAGATTCTTGAGGAGAGGGCTCATGATGAGTAGGGTCTTGTTGTGTGGTGTGGTTTCTAGCCTAGCTCGGGGATGCCGGGTGTGACTGTGACCGTGACCCTAGTGTACGCTATTACGGGTTGAGATTGAGATTGAGATATGCCGATGTGATGGTACAGGCAAGGCTATTCTTATCAAGGGGGACTTATTACAATAGTGTGGTACTAGTATTCGTGTATAGGTATCTTTATTGCATGTCTGAGATGAATCCTGTGATCGTTTTAAGGTGAACAAGATTCAGTCTTCGACCGTGGTATCAAGATCATTATTAACATATCATCATTGCCAATATCATCACTGCAGTTGAATCCAGTACATAACACGCAGCAGTAAGGACGGCAGGTTAAAGATAAAATAGAAATAGCCAGGATAAATAATCCCTCTCATAGATATAATCCAGATAAAGCGGAGTCTGGATGTCGTGAAGTTTTCTCACAATATCAAATAACGCCAGACCACCCGGGGACCTGAGATGAGAAGGAACACGCTGCTATTTCAGAGTGGTTTGTTCCAGTGACTCAACTCCCCCATCCCAGAAAGCCATGATATACGCCTTTTCACGCACAGCGCGATTTCAGTAGTCGTAAGAGTATGCCGGTAATGCATGCTACTATTCGATGGGTATCATTGTGGAGGTTTCAGGATTTCGTATTCGTTTAGACAACACCGAAAGGTGTAAGAGCGAAGTCTTCGGGACTCGGTGAAAGAAGCGACGAGGTCTCTATTTTGTGTGTTGTTCTTTGATGGCGCTTCAATTGGTCTATTGATAAATATAGGAGTTAGAGTAGCACTTTCAAGTAGGGTGAGATGACAAATACCTGGTCGAGTAAAACTCTTAGTACATCCCGGGTAGAGGCACTTGTGTTTTCGTTCGCCATGTGTCAACCTATGACTAGACATGTTTGATGACTATCGGGAGGTTAGTGATATGCGACAATTGGGGTAATCTTGGAATACTCACATCGCCAGTCGTGAAGTTACACCCTGGAAACGTGCATTGGAACGGCTTTTCACCACTATGGGTTCGGGAGTGTGTTTCTTGAAGAGGTCAGCTTGGTACATGAGGGGAGAGGGGAACAGGACATACTTAGTTCACTGCTATCGGTAAATGTTTTCCCACAATCCTTGCACCTATACGGTTTATCACCGCGGTGACTACGCTCATGTCGATCTAGAGTTGCCTGTCGAGCGAAAGACTTTCCGCAAACAGAGCATTTAAAGTTTTTATCTATAGAAGATGAGTTGTCAGTGAGTTGTCAGTGAGTTGTCAGTGAGGGAATAACGAGTAAAGTTGCCTCACAGTTACTATGCGTCAAGAAGTGACCCTGAAGCTTTGACTTTTGAGAGAATGGCTCGTCGGGCCGATGGCAACCTTCCCAGCAACAGTAATACCCATTGCCCTTGGCGCCATCAACAGTGTTCATATGTGTCGAAACAAGATGATCTTGCAGAGCACCCGAATCTGTGAAAGTGATCCCGCATGGTGCCTTGATCCCATTGATATTGACAACCCATTTGCATGTATGAAAGTCGCTGTCCTCGGCGGAGAAGTCGGGAGTCGTCAAAACTGACGAAATGCCTCCGTCCAGCGGCGGCGGGGTCTCCCCGGGGCTTGACATGAAGTGCGAACTAATGCTCGAACGGGAGTGGCGGGAGTATGGCGAGTAGGGGTGGGAGTGGTGATGATGAACTCTACACCTATGGTGGTTGCGAAGAGGTCCTCGTGGGATATGGAGATTCAAATCATTGGGGTTCTTGAAGGAACCATGGGAAGAACCATGGACATGGTGGTGCTCGGGATGGAAACAATTGAGACCGAGAGGGATCTCTTCCTGCGCGGGCTTCTCAAGTTCACTGGCGCTTGGCTGGGGAGGGGCAACATGGTCGTGGCAGACAGTGTAATCTGGGCACATCCCAAGCATCTGGAAGACGTCTTGGGGGTTGACTTCAGTCTGCTGAGGGAATGGTTGATGTGTGAACATCCCCTGCAGGTCCCTCTGGAAGTCATCGCATTCAAAATGGCTAGCAACATTGTGTTCGCAATGATTTGCATGACTCTGGTAGGAATGGAGAAAATCTTGGTGGTAGCAGGGATCGATGGCACCTGGGAGGGTAGGGTCTAGCGACTTGCCCTGGTCATCGACGAGATCAGGGGCCATGACAGGCGCAGTTGACGGCAAGAGACCGGATGTGTCCAGGGACAAAGGGGTATTAAGCCCGAAGAAGGAGTCAAAGGCACAGTCCTGATCGTTCGTATCGTCACAGCAGTGGTCTTCGAAGCAAGCAGGGTCTGTGTTCTCACAATGAGTCTCGTCACATTGAGCAACGGAGCAGACAGTCGAAGCGTCGCAGTCTGCGAGGCCTTCACATACTGACCCACAGTCTAGCGCGCAATCCTCGGCCTCACAACAATCATTGTTAGGCGGCTTGTTGTCGGCAAGCGCGGTGTGGAGTTCAGGCTGCGAACACTCCCACTGGGACTGTGAATGGGAGCCCGAGCTGTCACCGGAGGCTTTCCCATCGATATTAAAACCCTCCCAGTGACACTCGAGACAGAAATCTCCGCCTTGGGGTTGATTCGACATGGTGCGCGCGGACCACGTCTGGAGGGGCAGATGAGATGAGGGAAAGGATGGTGAGACGGGTAAGGCCAAAAACCGGTGTCACCGGAGGATCAGGTACCGCCAGGGGGGGGAAGTCAAGGGGTAAAGAGAAAGGAAACGAGCAGGCACGGCAGAAAGAGAGTCTGGAGGGTGTGCGACCGGCTAGTGGGAGTTATCGTGGAACCAGGTACTCTCCGTAGTTAGGGTACGATATCCGGTTGATAGCCGTTGAATCACGTAACCGGGAGATCGCAAGGCCACAGTAGCATCCACCCTTCGATGTATGTCGTTCCAGAAATGAGATCAGAGTATGCGCTCATATGTGGCCATCCAGAGGATATGCAGCTCGTCTCACAGTTGTGTCATGCGCCGTGGGCAGCGAATCGACTCGGTTGGTCGAGGATCAGCAAGGCAATCGGAGAAATTGGCGAGAGATCGTCGTGCAGCACAAGATTCCCGGGTAAAAAACGAGGACCTTGTAGGAGAGAAAAAAAGAATAGGCGAGATTGAAACCAGTAGGAGAAATCGAAATCGAAATCGAAATTCAGGGGAGGCGGGGGGGGAAGCAGCCTCTGCGATTTCTCAATTGTGAGGATGAGGACCTTGGGACAATGGGGGAGTGAGGACCTTGGGGGTTAGGCGTCATATCGGTAGTCGCAGTGGTAGTTTGTACGTGGCGAATGGTAGTGCGCGTGTTGGAAAGCGGTCAACCAGGTCCGATCGCAGTCATGGTGGAGGTGTAGGAGTATATATTGCTGGGAGGAGGGGAGGAGCTCTTAGGGTTGCGCAGAAGGAGAAAGGTCGAACCGGCCAACATTCCGATGACCTCGTGGAAAAGAGGGAAAAAAGACCCTCTGGCCGGATGACTCAGCATGTCTTCCCCGCGATCATGGGAATCTCCCGGTGGATATAATAGTACTGGGAACTGGGAAAGCGTAAATGTCAAATGAGTCGCATGGGTGAGACGACTCGGTAACCATAGCTGTACTAGTATCTGGTGATAGAGATAGGTTCTCTCCGGTACGTAGTCAGGGTATGTGTAAACTGTTGTCTCTGCCTGAGGCATCAACTATCTTATCGATAACTTTAGTTTCTGCTGACTCATCCCACGTGCCCCGCCTTACCGCGGATCTCCCTTTCCCCTTCCGCCTTCCTCCACCCCTACCTTTAGGTGTAACTGAGTGCTCCTTCCCTAGGTTCAAATCATATCACTCTAATCCAAAGGGGAAGGCGCGTTGCATTATCACCCTTATGCGCTCTTTCCTCCATCACATCACCATCACCATTACTATCACCCGACCACCAACCTCTCCCCTTTCTCCCCCTTCTACCTTCTCCCTTCCCCGCAACTTCATCCAACTCCGCACCTCCGTCCACCCCCACAATGGGAAACATTTGCTCGCGCGCTTCCAACGACCCCGAAGCCTTCTCCAGTCCCGGCCGCGTCGTCGGAACAAATCCCTCCAATCAATCCGCTGCCCCACGAGCCTCCGTCCCCGCAAAGGCCAATTGGAAGAATAGCCCGGGTCGAACACTAGGCGACAACGCCGGAGCGCAAGGCGATAGTGACGAAGCCCGATCCAATGCCGCAATTGCTGCCCAGGTGAGTAAACCCGAAGCTGCACGCACTTCTGTCTTGCGGAATGCCGAGCTCCCAGCTACCATGGTTTGCGCGGCGATCTACAACGCGGGGATGAGATCGCGCTAATGCTAATCGCTGTGGGGTTATAGAAACGGGCCGAGACCGCATCTTCCGGCAACAAGGGCAAATTAGGGTCCAAACTGGCAGCGCAAAAGGCGAAGACTCAGACTCAGACGCTCAATGAGGCTAGTGAGACAGAGCGTGCGACCCGCGCCCAGGACGACCAAAGGGAGGTGGCGGCTTATCAATAGAGTGGCCATTTGTGGCAGAGGGAGTTATCTGAGTTCTGCCGGGGGGGGGTTCTTTCTACTGCGGGAATTTGCTGCATCCAGTGCATGTGTCACATGCTGCATTTGTCCTTTTTCATCTTTTCCTCCCTTTCTTGAACAGTTCTTCAAGCGTCGACTTTGTCGGTATTTTCGGTAGTTCAGCGCCAATACGGAGTACATATTATTAATTGGAAGCCTTTGCGGTTAGTTTTAGAGAATCATTAGTGATTGCTACCAGCTCCCCTCGCCAAAATAGCACATTCCTAGGAGTATCTCAATCGTTGACTATTTTCCCCATCCAGGGACCAGGTCATGTCGGGATCATCGGCATCGGTGGGCCGATCGGGACTCGCACCGCACCGGCCACCGGGTTCCCCGCACCTGGCTGTTCCTGGCCCATACTACGCCACACTTTCACTCAAATCAACAACAGATCACATACTAGTACAAACATGGCGACCCCAGCACCCTTACAATTAGAGCCTCTGACGCTGGAGGATACGCCTGCTCTTACTGAACTCTGGTTCGCAGCCTTCACGGACCCAGAACTCCGCCGCGTCTTCCCCGACACGCCCGCCGTCCGCCAATGGCTAACAGACGCAAACCGGCACGACCTTACCCACAAACCCTTCCAAAAATACATCAAAGTAATCGACCCCATATCAGCAGATCAACAAGGCCGACCCCGTATCGCCGCCTACGCAAAGTGGGATACCTCCATGCCCGAAGAGCGCGGTGGTCGCTATCCACCTTGGCACGAGGAAATGTCCTCGTCTCTGTGCGATGAATTTTTCCGGAAGGAAGAGGAAAATAGAAAGCGTGTTATGGGTGAGAAGAAGCATTTTTGTAAGTTCCCCCACCACTTCCTCCTGCGGCTTTTGGGGATGACATTCCCATATTCACTCACTTACGAGAACGATTTGTCAGACCTGGATACTGTTGCAACACATCCGGATTATCAGCGTCGTGGTGCTGGGTCTATGCTCGTTGGATGGGGTTGTGATCTTGCAGATTCCCAGGGTGTTTTGGCTTATGTTGATGCTAGTAAAGAGGGTGCGCCGCTTTATGCTAAGTTTGGGTTTGTGGATTATAGCAAGCCCGGTGAAGAGATTGCTTCGATGGCGCGCATGGCGGATAAACAGCCATGAGCCTGAAGTTGAGAGATGTATTTTGGCTCTCGTTTCAATTCGAATACACATGGAAACATCGAATGTGAATAAGCATGGCCCATTGGCTAGTCTAGGCATGTTATGGGAATTACCAGTATCTTTCAGGGCTCAAGTTCAAGTTGGAAATAGTGTTGTATTCTTTGTGGGAAATTTAAACTATTGTTTAAGACAAAGACCTTCCTTTGGGGGTAGAAGTCCATACCAGTCCAGTCCCAATTTATCTTCAGGATCTGGATCGGGCATCTGATAGTATTCATCATATCGCCACCAAGTTCGATCCTCCCAGACATCCTCAACAGGCTGCACGCCCTCGGTTTTCATTTGATCGCGAATTTCCTCAACGCCCTTCCACACCCTCAAAATATTCTCCCCGGCAACTTTAGTCAAGTGTTCTTCCGTCGCGCCCCGATCGAGAATGGATTGGAGCAATCGCGGGTAGTATTTCACATCCTCCAGTTCTGGTATTACAGATGCAATTCCGTCAAAATCAGATCCAAGGCCAACATGTTCCCAGCCAATCTGACCCGCGATATAGAATAGATGATCAAGGACCATGTCCATCGTCGCTTCCGATCGTCTGGTCGTCACATGCTCAGGCACAAATGTCACCATGATAATGCCATTGTTTTCACGCACTAAGTCGATCACCTCATCCGGGATGTTACGTGCGCTGTCAAAGACTGATTTGGCATTGGAATGCGGAAACATCACGGGCGCACGTGTTAGAGTTATAACTTGTTTTGCGCAGTCCTCAGAAACATGCGAGCAATCGATAATCATTCCTTTGGTTCTGGTTAGCTTTATGGTGGCAGGGCATGCGTTTCTCGGGGTCGATGTAATCATTGTGAAAAGGATTATAAGTACCTAATCTGTTCATCTCAATAACAGCTGAACGCCCAAGTTTCGACAAGCCGCCATGGACCGGTCCCACTTTTGAGGTTGAGCTGTCTGCAAACGCATTATTGCACACGTGAGTGAGAGTGCACTGGCTCAGAAGAGGATCAGTAGCACATTCAATCTAATAGACTTGCATTTGTTGTCACTCACATATCGCACGCCTAAACTATAAAATGCGCGAATGATTCCAATACTATTACCCGCCATATGTAACCTAAGAAGGAAGAACCAGAAATAAAATTCTTTCAAGTCTCAAAATTCACCAGGGAAACATACCCCTCAATCCCAATCGAGCATGCAATACGCACCTTTCACTTCATCCGACCCGCTAACAAGTTGAAAGATACGCGGATACGACTCTACCAATCGAAGCGTGAGATCAATCTGCTCAGTCGCGTCCCGAGCCATATCCGAATACTCCGCCGTCGAGAAATTCTCAGCAGGCCTCAGACACGGGACACATACTGACCAGAATTGGCCTCCAACAGCGCCTGTCCGTGATTGTGGTTAGCGTGGTATCCCTAGTCACGAGATCTCGCCAGTTTCAAGGATGCTAATAGTGGGCAGTATGTATACTAGGACGATTTCAGAAAGTGAGAGAGGAGAAGCACTGGCAGTCATCTATTTCTTCACAATTGAATATATGTGGCCTTTAATGTATTACCAATCAACATATGTGCTGGAGGGGCTAGTACCATAGTTGTGGCACGGCCTCCATTTAATGAAAAATGCCAGAATCAGGAAAGTTTCAATTGTGTTATCTGATTAAAGAATGCACAATGATGCGATTTCAGCTCATGGGCGCATTGCAATTGTATTTAAAGCCGAGTGGACTTTTCTTCCGAGCTAGATCGATATCCATCCACGGCCCGATGTAGAATCCACCCATTGGGAATTCGACTATACACGACCTCCTAGATCAGGAAAAACAGAGCCAAAAACAGATCTGAGGTCCTGTATTTGATTGTCCATGATCTCAGTGTTGTCTGATACGAGAGAATTTAACATTTCACTGTCCATGAAAGTCGAGGGTGGTAGGGTTGAATCGCAATCTGTCTGTTCCGGCCCGGCGCTTATCAAGAAAAGCTGTATATTCGTGAGCGAAGGTAATAGTGGATGGAAGAAGTTTAACTTACATCCGAGTTCATGTCACTGAAATCTATGTCGGGTGCATAATCCCAGAGAGGCTGAATTCCCTGATGCATTTGTGAATTTGGAACCTTGATTGCAGGAATTTCACTCGAAAGATTGAGAACGTATTCCCGGGCAATCCCAGTAAAACTTGATATGATATTCCCCGGAAGCCCCCCTTGAGAGGCGTAGTCAATCTGGCCAAAGAACTCGGCAGCCTGATCAAGCAGATTTAGATTGTGAGGGGTCTCCTTGTGGCAGGGATTATGAATCACAAAATCAAAAATAATAAAGACTGCAGATAACGGCATGAGCCCTAGAATGCTGACCTAGTTATTAGATTTCATGTTGCGATCGCCATTGGGGGGAAATTTTGGAAGTAGCGAGGATGCTCACAAAACTGGCATATGAGGACCAATATCAACCCAGCGCAGCAGGTCAATGACACTACGCGCTGCGTTTATCAATTCCCATTTATTACCTCCGCATCGGGGCTTACCATCGGAATCAATAAGGAGAGACACGCGCTCCACGCCGAACACTATATGGTAGTACAAGTAGTGTGTCTCTATCGCGATCATTCTTCTTGTTGGCGTCTCGAGCTCGCTCGCTCTAAATGGCTCTTTTGGGCGAAATACCATCGGTACAGATAAGCGCCATTCTTCCAATCTGCGTCTTACATTCTGGATAGAAGCCAAACGGACGGTTTCTGGTCTCGAAGAATAACCTGTCGTAAAAAGGGTGTTGTAGGTAATCGATGTCAATCTTGCAAGCTGAATGGCGGACAAAAACCAATCATAATCTTGTATCATCAGTCCCTCCGGCACAGTGGGAATTCCAGATGTGATATCATCATCTGCAAAAGTCTGTTTAAGGATTTCTGTTAGAAATTTAGAACGAAGCATTTCGAGTCGGAAATATGCTATATGTAGAATGTGACACACAGAGCTGTTGTCATCGGAGAAGGAGGCGATCTTTTCCAGATGGTATATTGTCCAAAATGCTCTCAAGTGAGATTCTTTCAGACTCGAAGATTTGTGGTATCTGAGTTTGTGTGCCATTCTAGCGGCCTCGAATATCAGGTTTTGATCTAGATAGAGGCAGCAAGGATTCATGGCTAAGATAGACTGTCGGCTGAATATTAGCTTTGTCGAAATGATTAACCAAGGTCGGAGGCTCCCACCATCGCTATCAAGGCCTTGAAAGTCATTAGCTAAGTGTTTGAAAGCGAAAAAAAGGAGCTTTAATCACCTGTGTCTTTTTTAATGAATACGGAGGAATCAGGAGGTCCGGAAGGAAACCAAGACTTGACTGGAACAAGCTCCACGTTATCCCCGAGCCTGGTTTAAAACTTCCACCACCACAGTACTGACTGCCAATGGCAAGGACAGCATGGTATAGTGCTGAACATGCTTTGCCACAATCTGATATCCCGCCACGCTGGCATTCAACAGTGTGCGAAGTGAAATCTTGTCTATTAAGGAACGGGTAAAGCTGATGGGTATTGCGGAAGTAAGCTGTTAATATTAGTGATGAGCTCCGTTTGGCTTACTTGGAATTAGACCTACCATCTATGTACTGGTCGGCTTGGTGCCGATCCAAAGGTGGCTGGAAGCTGAATTCGAGCGAGGGCTCAGTATCAGAGCAGACTCGTGATACAAGAATATCTTCCAATTCTTGAACAAGCTCCGTCAGTATAGGGGAGCCTAGGCGGTTCGCCAATGAACTGATGCGTTTTGCGGTGAAGAATGAGATACTAGAGCTGTTTGCTTTATCTTCGTCAGGTCAGGTGGTCTCATGGTCGGGTCGCTTTCAGAGTAGTACTTCGCTCATTGCTGGCCTTTGTAGCTTGAAGGTTAGTAATTTATCCACGGGGAGTTAAGTTGCTGGCATACTTTAATCACGGTAAAGTCCACGTCGGATAGGTCCAATGGATAGATTCTTTGCGGCCCCGCTCGTAAAATACGATCGATAGGGAGATCATCACCATTTGGAAGCGGAGATTGAGCCAGAGGACTCGGAGTGTGTTCTAAGACGGAAATCAGTTAATTACCTAGATTTGTAGCGTACGTTCTCCAAGGAATGCTATGTACGCGTAGTATATTTGCGAATAAATCTCCGCTTCATGGGACTGAATTGACAAGACTCTCTGCGATTCTATGCGAGTTCATACGAGTATCAGTAACTGTGACATATCAATAAAAAGCCGCGAGGACATACAACACAATGAACACAGGTGGACGATTCTCCCGCATTTCTTGAGGGCTCGGCAACTATCGACAATTAGGGGATTGGTTCAGCTTGCGTACTGCTGTCACAAATTCAAGACGCGTTTGCACGCTCAGGTGAGATATATACTTATGCATCGAACTTTTCGGGACCGGCATTGATCACAGGATTGGTTGAGTCGTACTACGGACCTGGGACATGGATTCCGGTGCCTATAATCCATTTTGAACTGCGGTAATGGCGGCACCTATGTGGTACATTTGAAAGAGTGCCTAGGTGGTCTAATTGTTCACTTGCGAGGGGCCATTGGGGGCCACGGGGGAACCTTCATCCGTCTCATCCACCGAGCTCCGAAAATAACATGCTAACAATACTGACAGCACCGCTTTCATGACTATGTTCTTTGTGAATAGGTTAATTCTAAGGTTATAAATTTATTTGGATAGAATTTTCGACACATGGATGATGTCGTTCGAATCCTTCTTGTCACCTTAAATGCTACATATGATAATCATGTTCCTCATAAAGCTGTTGATCATAAGTTGTGATTGGTGGAGGTGGATCAGGGGTTGTTGCTGGGACACTCAGCTGGGGCAGACGGGGATCAATGACCAGGTGATACGAGTCAAGTCGGAGAAAGAACAGTATAAATTGGAAAAAAAAAGTCTGAACCTTCTATTTCGTACGATATTGACCAAGGTAAGTTGTAACTAACGCAGTCAACTTAACCACACCTGACAGCCGACCTCTGCTTGATGGGTGGATCGGCGTCTCCACCTCGATGGCACTGGCCGGAAATGTGAGCTGGGACTGGATCGACCGGAAATTAATTCCCGTCGATCTAATTCATACTATTGTTTTCAGCAAACGCCAAACCCTGCTCAGACACAACTTCTGAGTTTTCTGAAAGATGCGGAACGATTTATTCTCCGAAATCTCCCACTCATAGAGAAAGCCCCTCTACAGACATAAGGTGGTGCACTATCTTTCAGCCCAATCAATTCGGAGATTCACACCCGCTACTGGGGAAACAGACTTCCATTCGTTCGCAGTGTTACAGGCACCGGAAAGAATTGGGATCCATGTTTACACCTTCAATACCCCGAGGCTAGTTAGGAAAAAGTGATATTCTTGCCTGATGGGAAGTCCTTCTAAGGTGGACACGGGATTTTACAAGTCGGCAACAGAGATGCTGGATACACCCCTTGGCTTTGAACCGTCTCAATTCAGCTTGTATCCGGAAGGGGAGGTGGAATGGCTGAGTAGAGGTGGTAAGAAGCTACTTATGATACCTGTTGACTACAGGGGCCGCCCGTTAAATCTAGGGGAGAAAACTCATGTGCAGACGAACTTCAGTGGCCAAGTGGTTTTCCTTGAGTTTGAATATATTAGAGGATTGTTTGAGGATTCCGAGAAGCCAGTCGAGAGAAGAAAGATTGAAATGGACAATGGATTATCCTGTCTATTTATCTTCCGTTCCTTATCCCCTCTGCTACCGCGTAGTTATGTATGAACACCAGCCTTGCGAGGTGTGCTCAGTTCAAAAATGCCTAAGCCTTCTTGCTACCCCTCCCTTTGGGAACCTTGAAAACCCAATAAAGCCCAAGGCCTGCGAGTATATTAACAAAAATGTAAACCCAAATCAGCCCAAAATCTCGCCACCTCGTGCTGTAAGAAATCTGAAATCGTTCAAGAAATTCGTTCGTCGTGGCTAATGGACAGTATTGGCAAATATCCTGCGATGCAGGGTTCAGGACCCGACCGCCAGCTGCGTCGATATATGGGGCGAGGAAATCGTTGCAAGTAAGGTTTCGAAATGAACCCATTCGGAGGATCTCGTGATCAGCACAACTTGCTTCCGCGTTTGCGACTGCGTTCGACATTATACCCCCGACGAGATATGTGGCTGGTGACACACGGTACATGAATTTCCAGAAGGCCGGAAGGTCGGCCAGCGGTACACCAATTCTGTTTTCACTTCTTAGTGTGCTGCAAGGAAACGGAATTAAAAAGGGCTTTACTCACCCACAAAATAGGATGCACAGCATCCAAAAGAGACTAGTGAGTACGCCAGCGGTTTCGGGAAGGTCGATCCAAAAGATGGCAAAGTGGGCAAATGTGCTGGTGAACCAAAGATAAACCCATAGCGAAAGGAAAACGCCAAATCCGCGAATGGCTTGATCATCGGCGGTGGTATTTTGGACGAAGCCGACGGGATAGTACCAGCAAAAGTACATTATAACGGCCATTAGAGTATGCCAGAAGAGCTCAACAAAAACGTTTGCCAGTAGGTAGGCTAGGAGAAGAATTAATTATATCCGATTATGACATTACCATGATTATTAGTGTCTTGAATGTGACTTACTTGTCCATCTATAAATTTTCGACGGCCCTTCACGTGCCTCATATAGCGCCCGCTGGGGCAGAAAGATAGGCATTATTTGCTCGTTGATGTTGATGAACACAACGAGTAGCATGAAAATAGCCCATAGCTGATTCTGAAGGCCTTGAATCGAATTATCGGCGTTGAAGCTAAATCCCAGATAGAGAGACTGAAAGATCAAATAACATTAGCCGGTGCGTAGCAGGAAGAGCCATGGGAAAGGTTTGCGAACCGAAAGAAGGATTAATATAGTTTTTGACCAGATATAAGTTGGAGATCTCCACAAGTGCGTCCAGGTTCGCCGAAGTACTAGTCCAAATTGAGACCAGAAAGAGGCCACGAATTCTTGGTGCTGTGAACTGTTCTCATTAGTGATACCGTCATAATTTGTGCGGTCTGTTGCATGCGGGGTTCGCAGATGATAAAGCTCTTCTTTGACAGCTTGAAACTCGGGAGAGTCTAGCCATATTCGGTGCCAATCCGGTCCATTGGTGCCATTCGTATGCGGCTCTATCACCTGTAACATCCACTCAGCTGGATTGGCACCAGCTGGACATGGAGTCGCATTGTTCTTCTCGAGATATCGAATGAGAGTCGAAGCACCGCAACCAAGATCTTAATTATGATATCATCAGTGATTGCAAACCAATGGAATTTCGTTGGGAAAAGAAAATCACTAACCACCAAAATAGGCGGTTTTACCCCCCGGTGCGATGAGTAGGAGTCGATCAAACTGGTCGAAAAGAATAGCAGACGGTTGATGGATAGTGCAGAGAACTGCTTGGCCACTGTTAGTCAACTTTTTGATAAGCCCTGAAATTGCCCATGATGTCTGCGAATCCAGCCCCGATGTCGGTTCGTCGAAGAAGACCAAAAGCTGGGGTCGAGCGGCCAGCTCCACGCCAATCGTTAAGCGCTTCCGTTGCTCGACATTGAGTCCCTCCCCAGGAACACCGATGACAGCATCTGCGAACTCTCGCATCTCTAGCGTATCGATCACATGTTCCACGTAGTTGAGCTTTTCAGACTTGGGTACTTCCGCGGATTGTCGAAGAAGGGCACTGAAACACAGAGCTTCGCGGACCGTCATAGTGCTTAGGTGAAGATCTTGTTGTTGAACATAGCCGACCTTGTGCTGAAAGGAAGGGTCTGTGGGCTTTCCGTTGACCATTGCTTGGCCACCCACGACGCCAGTGGTAACACGGGTTGCCAGAACATCTAGGAGAGTCGTTTTTCCTGCCCCAGACACTCCCTAGTGGTAGTTGTTAGATCTTAATGTTCATTATTACAGGGATGAGAAAATACCATAAGGATTGTCGACAAACCGGGTTTCACCCAGCCGTCAACATGATCTAAGAGGCGACGAGTCCCGTCTTTGGCTTTGTTATCATAGCAAATATCCTCCCAGTGAAAGATATCCCTCCCAGACTTGGAAATAATATTTTTTTGCGGAGGCAAAGACGGTACTTTATCTGCGACGACGGGACGATTTTTTTCTTGGTTCTCCGAATCCACGGTTTGAATATCTTTTGGGCCGAGAAAGCCCCTAGTACGGCTGAACACAAGAATTTCTCCGCGCGTCTTGGGAGGTTTTGCCAACTCAGCCGCTAAGATGTAGGCAGGGAAAAGAAAAGCCACAAACGAGAAGAGAATGCCAATATTTCTACCCGATGGTTTTGTTAGCCGGAACATTTCTTGAAATTCTTTCACATTTACTGACCTCCATTTATGGACATCGTGGTAGTCAAAAGACTTGCCGATATAGTCATCTCCATTGACAATATTGGAGCCGACCACCGAACCAACAACAGAGCATACCTGCGATGCGGATGGCAGCCTTGTATACTCTGGCCCATTGGGTACCATGGTTGCGCATGGAAAATCTCGGCCGTGGAATTCGTTGGCCATCAAGGCCTCAAAGCCATATGAAAGAGGATTGATGTACGCCATCCAACGTGACCACCCCGGCATGTATGCTGGCGGGGTAGTAAATCCGGTATAGATCATCAGTCCAAGGCTCAGAGCTGCAGTAGGTATCATTGCTTGATCAGGGGTCCTGGTTATAGAAGCCAATGTGCGAAAGAGAGCCGATAGAATCAGGGTGGTGAGAAGTGTAGCAAGGCAGAAGAAGAAGAAAGCACCTGCTTCTCGCTTTAACCCGGCCATGAAGTAGATTATTATATTAAAAACAAACATGTTGATTATTTTGTAGGGCAGGTCGGTGAAGTAGCTTGCGATGGCCTGGGCAGACTGATGGTAGAAGGCGTAGCGATTTTGCTTCTCGACGACGGGACGCTCTGCATAGATGGTCAAGACCTGAAATCGAATTAGTTAACGAAGAGATAAAAGAGAAGATTACAGGGCCTACTTACTTCAAGCTGGCTCCCGAACGCGTTGAAAAGCAGTGAGAAGAATATTAAACCCCCACGGTAGTAGAAGGTAGAGGTGTCAGGGCTGAGATCGTAGAACATGCTTCCCAGAATCAACGCCATAATGACGTTGAAAAGGAGGGACGCTATCGTGAACCCTGGATCAGCAAGCAGTCTCCGGTAGGCACGCCATAGAGTCAGAAAAACTTGTTGGAAGTATGATATGGTGTAGGGAGACCTGGCACGCTGCTGCTTCGCTTGTTCGGCACGTCGAGATTTGTCATATTCCACCATTCTAATCTCTGAGGGATGTTTCTGCTCATACGATGCCACTTCGAGAAGTAGCTTCCTCCGTTGCTCACTTGACTGCCATCGTTCTGAAAACTCTACTGCTGAGCGAGGTGCGGATCTTTCAAACCCGGGTCGCACCCTGCGCTCCTCCGCGCTCGTCATCGATGTTAGGAAATCGGGGATGGTTTGTCTAGGGGGGAGCTACAAGACATGTCAGATTTGGAACATTGTCGAATCGGGGTATATCAGAGGCTCACAAAAGAATCCCAGGTTCTCAAAATAACCTTTTGCGTGGGTAATATGACCAAAGAATATTTGTCTGCCTTCATATAACAATGTCACCCGATCAAACATCTACCATTGCAACTGTTAGAAACCTTTGAAAAAGTGCGAAAGGACAGAAATATGAATTGGAGACTTGCATCATAGGCTGACTGTGGTGCTTGATACAAGGTGACCACCGAGGTTATATCAAGAAGATCTGCCTGGAGTCGTAGGTTGCTGCAGAAATTGATAGCATTGGCGCTGTCCAGGCCCCGGGTAGAATTGTCCCAACACTGGAACTTGGCTCCAGTAAGAGATGCCTCTGCAATGCTAACGCGCTTTCGCTCTCCACCGCTAACACCACGTACAAAATCGTCTCCGACCCGAGTATCGATGGTATGGTTCAGGCCGAAGATCGCCATCATGACATCGCGACGAACTGTATCCAGCTGCTGGCGAGTGAAGCCACTTGGGACATGTCTAACAGAGCTTGCACGAGATGCGAATGTCAAAGTCTCACCAACGGTTAGATGTGCCAAGTGAGTATCAAGCTCGGCGTTGTACAAAACATCCCCGCGAAGTGAAGAACGAATCTTGGAAATTTCTAAGCCTCGAAAGTTGATATATGACTCCGGCGTCACTTTCAAGTCTGCTGTTTCCCCTTCCAGGGATTTGAGAAGTGTCGAGCATCCAGAGCCGGGAGGGCCTAGAACAAGCAACATCTCCCCTTCTCAACGACCCCCTCGAAGTCGCGTAGAATATCCACCCGTGGGCCCTGTCGATCTCCACCGAGCCATCGTGTTAGGTAGGTCGCGGTTTCAATCACGACACTTGCTGTGGTCTTCTGAAACTCAGCATCAGTTCCATATGCAAATACACCCAGTTGTTTGAACGCAACACCAAGGGATCGAGGAGGTGCAGAATCAGGATCCGATTCTAGCACTCTGTTGAACTCCTTGACCCAAAACCGGGCATCAAATGCGGGTGATAAAGGGTCGAGGTTACCCCCAGGCGTCGGTTGTAATAAGTGCATGTGCCCTTCTTCCGAGGCCGAAGATAAAGACAATTGCTTCGCAACCTGTGCAACTGCGTCACCTAAATTGTTCCCTTGTCCAGCTTCCGAGTGATTTTTATGATGATGTTTGGGCTGTAAAGATTCTCTGCTCACTGCAGCGTCGTTAGTTTGAAGGTCATGACTCATCGTGATGCGTTTGTCAATCGTGATAGAGTCCAGAAGGGCGATAGAACCTAAGAGCCCGCTTTATACATATTCCCAGCTCTCCAACGTGCAAATTAAAAAGTTCGGGGCTCGGTGCTTGGCATATGAGGAATCGGAGGAACCGATCGCCCGGTTCATGCCTCATGGCCCCATTCAGTTCGGTGTTCGGTACTTGGCATACCAAGAAGGCGTGGATATATGCAAGCTGCACTTTCTCAGTAAATACTACTATGTACTGTATTTACATTGAACGAGGTTTCGTCCCGCAGCCCTGGCGATCAGTGATACCTGCTCCCCATGCCTCTCCACGATGAAGAGCCAAGTCAAACATACGAAGTGGAAGCTGACTCCACATTCTTTACACTCTTGAGATCTCGTGGTATGTGTACGTAGTAAGGTACAAATGAATATTCGTGCCAATTATTACGATATCTCCGCTTAGAATGACATGTCACTTTGTGCAGATTATTTACGGTGAATACTCCTTCCAAACACATCACGATCGACGACCTAGCGATATCCAGGAGGCCATGTAGGGCATTTGCAAGTCTTCCAAACCTTCTTGCACTCGTAGCAGAACTCATGTCCACAACTGGAAGGCATTAGTTACTTCGCAAGCATACCCAACGGACCCATTTCGATTAACCATAGGCACTTACCGGCACCAGATATGAGCGCATCCACTAGACAGACTAACCATAGCGTGACATTTCGGGCAGCGTTTCCATTTCTGCTTTTTAGCAACCTTCAGCAAGCTTTGCAAGGCCTCATCCATCGGGCAGTCAACACCGGGGTGAACAGGAGAGCGGCAAAGTTCATGCGTCTGCTTCTTGCAAGCTGGACAGGTAGCAATCTCTTGGTGAATTGCTGTCTTGGGTATAAATTTCGAACACGTTGGCTCGAAGCAGTATAATCGATCTTTGGCGGAATATTCGATGACTTTCTCGTCAAAGGCGCGGATCTGATCGAAGTCTAGTATCTGGAGTAAGCTCTTCGGCTTGACGGGTTCATTGCAGCAGCGGGGTGGATAAAGCTGTTCGTCTTGCATCGATATTAGGAACATGGTTCTCAGACACTCGCGACAGAATGCATGTCCGCATTTCCCGGCGAAGGTCTCGGATTCCTTGAATGAGTCCAGACAGGCTGTGCATGCTGTGGTGGCAGTTTCGCGGTCTTTCTTTTTTTTCGAACGAGTATTCGCTGATGGCCTGGTGTCAACTTTGGTCAGAATCAGGTCTTCATCATCGCTTCCGGTCAAGTCGATGACCACACGCCCCGCTCGGTACTTATGTTTAGACTCGGGGTCATCGAAGGTGTCGATATCTGGTAGGCATACTACTTCCGGGCCGCTGCGGGAGATGTGTTTGCTTCGTTTGCCAGATCCGAGTCCTATTCGTTCATCTTCGCTGATTTCGATGGCGAAATTTACTTCGAGAGCCAGTGAGATATTTTCAGCGATTCTCTCCTGTCTCTCAATCTCGGTTTCAAGGGAAATCAGAGCAACCTCACGGTCATTTAGGGCCTCGTCCACTCGCTTTCTCTTCGCGAGAGACTTTTCGACTTCTGTCAGGTCGAGTGCGTCACGATCGTCACGGAGCAACTGCAAGGTTGCGCGGAGATCGGTATACTGGAGCCGTAACGCAAGCTTCTCGCTGTCGTAGTCATCCATGGTGGGGAGTAGGTTGTGGCGGAGAATATATTTCGAGTGGACCGGCCCTGGGTACCTAGGTAGACCATACTAGTATTGAGTAGAGTAATATATCCAGGCGGAAGATCGGTACTCCTACTTGAAGTTGGAAGTGCCCTGGAGGTGGAACGTACCTGCATGAGATATAGCTGTAAAGCGAAATGCTGAAGGATCAGAAGCAACAGACACCAGCGACGGGCGAGGAGCAAGAGGAGGTGAAATATGGTCAAGAAATGGTGGATCTCGATGAGTAAATAATCAAGGTTGGGTCCGGGAGTGGTGATAGTAGTGAGCTTGAAGAGGCTACTAGTATAAGTAGACAGACAATTCACTGCAGCGGCAGATACGGACAATAACTTCATATACAACACAAGTTGCAAAGAAAGAAAGAAATTTTCACCTGTTCGAAATTTGACCCTTAGGCAAAGGCAAGCATACCAGTATCTATTGGGAAAGGCCGCATCCATATGAGTGACAAATTGTGACAGCACTCTAGGGTTCAAGTTACGGTCACCTCAGGCTCCAACCAGGGCTACCATTTATAGTATCTTAGTACTAGTACTAATTCATCAAAGTTTGTTCTGAACCAAGGATACACTTTCACATTTTTAGGGTATTTATGAATAGTAAGTGATAGAGATATGAACGGAGGAAATAATAATTTTAATTTTAACCCGTGCACGCTAGTGGCATCAAACTGCTTAGGAATCTGTGGGGAATACATGAAGAAAGAACTTGGACTTCATCAACATACCCAATATCCCATCATAATATACTAACAACCTTCAGTGACCACTTAAATATCTCTTGAAGAAGATAAAAAAATAAGAATATAATCAACCAAGCTACCTTGAAAAAGTCCCCCTACATCCAGTGTATCATCATGGAACGGCATTCGCCGGGCTTCATTTCAATCAGCTCTCAAGAGTGGTATAATACAACATGTCCCCAATAAATTACATCTCCACGCTGAGAAGTCACTACCTCCAAGTAACCCCTCAGACAACATTATACCGGCCGCTAGCCGGAGCGCGGGCATCGCTATCCGCAGCGGCGACCGTACCCTCCTTCAGAAGACGCATGAGCTCCCGCATCGCATTCGTGACAGATATCTCGGTTTCGCCCTCGACAAGGATGTAAAGTTTCGCAAGGTCATTGGGACCAGGTTCCTTGCCAGCAGCGTAGAAGTTACCCTTCGTCGTAATAGAGGTACCACTTGCTTCGAGGATCTTGGCGACGTTTGTGCGATTCGTGACGGCCCATCGTGCTTTTTCTGTAATCAAATGCGGTTAGTCAGGGTTCACGGAATGGGACGAAATGGCAGAGTGGAAGAAAAGGCGAGGCAAAACTTACGGGGAAAGTCGTTGATCTCCAGCGTAGCGTGGAATGCGCCAGCATCGGGGCCGCGGTTGTCGATGGGGACGCCGGATCTCATGACGCCGGCCTTGCTCAAACGGGCATGGATGTCGGCGACGGCAGATCCGACTCTGTCCAAGGCATTCTTGCCGCCTGCACTGGTGTCCTTTTCAGTCCTGTGTACGGTAATCTTGCCATCCAGATCGATACCCTTGGGCACGCCGGGTAGAGGAGCCGGAGCCGGAGCCGGAGCCGGAGTAGCGGCAGATTGTACGGAAGAAAGGGCCTTGATAAAGCGGTCTTCGTTCTTGTCTGATTTCTCTTCCTTGGCTTCTTCCTCCTCGTCGTCGCCACCGGTTTTGTAGGTGCGACGCTCACGCATGCGGGTCGATTCACGTTCCTGGTCAAGTCGCTCCAGACCCTTACCACCGAAGCCGGAGGCGCTCGCCTTTTCTTTGCCAGCCTTGACCTTCTCGAGGAAATCGTCGACCATTTTCTGAACGGGCTCGGGGATCTCTTGACCACTCTGCTTAAGAGCCTTGGCGATGTCCACGGAGTACCGTTCCTGAGTATCAGTAAGGAATGTGACGGCGGTTCCGGTGTTACCAGCACGTCCGGTACGGCCAGCACGGTGCACATAATCCTCTAGATGGTTGGGGGCATCGTAGTTTACAACAAGCTTGAGCTGTTTGACGTCCAGACCACGAGCTGCGACAGATGTGGCAGTCATGACGGGAAAGATACCAGCTTTGAAATCCTCGATAGTAGAGTCCCGATCGATTTGGTCTTTGCCGCCATGGATAGACCCACAAGGATATCCCTTGCGCATGAGCTCGTGGAGTAGGTTATCTGCCGATTCTTGTCGTTCAACGAAGATAAGCGTGCGGGCATCTTCGTTTTGATCATCCGCATAGAGGTTGCCCAGATACTCCAGCAGACGAACGAACTTCTGGTCCTCGTTGCGCACTTCCACGATCTGGGTAATTTCTGGAGCTACCACACTCCTTCCACCGACAATAATCTCAACCGGCTTTTTCAAAGCTTTCCGGGCGAGGGCCTCCATGTTTCGGGGGAAAGTGGCGGAGAAGAGGACGGTCTGACGATCTGGTCGAACGTTGGCCATGATTTTCATCACTTGGGGTTCAAATCCCATATCGAACATGCGGTCGGCCTCGTCGAGTACGCAGTACGTCACACGGCGGAGGTTGGTAACTCGGCCACCATTGGCTCCGAGTAGATCAATCATTCGTCCTGGAGTGCAAACAACAATCTCTGCACCTCGTTTCAACTCAGCAATCTGGTCTTTGATCGGGGCGCCGCCGTACGCACAGACAGCACGCAGACCGAGAGCCTTCAGGAAAGGCTTGCAGTCCTTGTGAATCTGGGTGGCAAGTTCGCGGGTGGGTGTCATGATCAAACTAATAGGGCCCTCCATATTGTCAAGCGGTCGCTGATCTTTGATGTGTCGGAACATTGGGATAAGGAAAGCCATGGTTTTTCCAGAACCAGTCTTGGCAACACCGATCACATCACGGCCTGACATGATCGCAGGAATTGCCTGGGCCTGAATGGAGGTCAACCCTTCGTAGCCAAGACGGTCGACGACATCCAGAGTTTGGACACCCATTCCGCACTGGGACCATTTCTGGACAGGCTTCGGGATATCGAGGCCGCGGACCTTGATGCCCTCCAACTCGTGACGTAGGTTGGCTACCTCTTCCTCACTCATATCGGCAAGATGACTGGGTTCGTGGTAGAATTGCTTTCGGAATGGCTCATACTCAACCTTCTTGTGATCCACTGTCGGGATTTCTTTCTTCTTCTTTTTGTTGGCCATGGCAAGAACGTCATCAGCGTCCTCCTCCCCTACGGCCGTGATAGAAACATCCTCGTCATCTCCAAACATTGCTTGCGGTTGATGTGCTTTCTTTTTAGCAAAAGAGACCCCAACCTTTTTCTTAGGCGGCGCTGTGGCCGCGAGGCCGGACATGAATGCATCCAGAGGATCCACATTCTCTTCCTCCTCGTTTGTGTCGACCTCCATTTCAGTAGCTTCCGGCTGCTCGTTCGAAGCATCTTCCATTGCGACATCTCCAGTTGGTTGAGATTCAGACGACTCGGGAACATCTCCTTGTGTCTGGTAGGTGAGGTTTTGATTTTGAAGACGTTCTTCACGTCGCTCTGCTGCCGCTCGAGCTGCTGCCGCGGCTTCTTCTTCGGTTCCACCATCCTGCATGTCGACATCATCATCTTCACCAACATCATCAGCGACACCAAATGAATCCTTGCTATCATCAAGTGGAGGGGTTGGGAGACGCTCAAATTTTTTGCGCGTAGATTCCTCTTCGCCAAATCCCAAGGTCCGAGACGCAGAAGGTTTTTCAGTACCAGAAGACTGCTTTGAGCTCAATCCAAACCCGCTCACATTGCCCTTAGCCTTGAGAGGGGCGGACGCCGGAGCTGGAGCGGCTGCTGGCTTTGGCGGCACCTTGGCTGTTTGCGGGACCGCAACATCGGTTCCTAGGACGGCAGAAGGTGCGGAGCTGGTGGCTGTTACGCTCTTAGCGACGGCCTTGGGGTCGAACTTTCCGGGGTAAGAGGCAGGTGTCGCAGTATCGGTTGGGGTTGCGGGGGTCTGCGGGGAACCAACGGCGGGCGATAAAGCGGACTTGCGATCAATGGCATCGAGAATGTTCCGAGCACCTCCAGCAGCTGCTTCTTGTTGTTTCTTCTCGCGCTGTTCAGCCTGCTTCTTCTTCCAGGCCTCCAACTTAGCTAGTCGTTCGGCCTTTTTCTGTTCGTCGGTCTGGGCGGCGGGGGCGGGGGTCGACTGTTTGGATGGCTGTTCAATGTCGTCAGTATCGAAGTTCCACAAATTAATTATATATGCGCAAGACGTACCTCTTGTGTACGAGACCGGGAACGCCGATTGGCGCCGCGGTCACGGCTATCATCCCGTCTCAGACTTGTGCTTCAAATCAGCGGTATCATCTGGGCGCCTGCGCTCACGATCGCGTGAATCATCTCGCCTGGGTCGGTATTCTCTGTCTCGGCTTCGGCGGCGATAATCACGATCATCATCGCGACGGCGGTCTCGGGACCGATCTCTGCGATTGGGTCGATAAGTGTCTTCGTCGCGTCTGTCTAAGGAACGATCGCGTCGGCGAAAGCCATCTCGATCGCGGCCATGATCACGATCACGGTATCGGCGCTTTATTTCCCAGCCAAAAGAGTTAGACCATCGCACTCGTTGAGCCTTATGCGCCGACTCGGCGGGGCGGCGTTTATGACATACCTCTGGGCTGCGAGACCTGCGGTATCCGCGACCATCGTCCCGGCGATTTCTTTCAAATCGATCATCCTCTCTGCGAGGGCGTCGCGATGAGGAGTATGTGCTGCCTACAGGAGATGGTGAGCGAGTATCCCCGTGGCGAGCCATTGTTGCAGGGCAACGATGAGTGAGTATTACTGCAAACTCAAAAGCACCGGGATGTCGAGCAAATAGGCCTGCAAGGATCACCGCGCTTCCATGTAAGTTGGTGAGAAATAAAGGCTTTCGGGGGCCAACGGTAAATCTGGTGTTGCTGAGGTTGACACCAATCTACTTCTGGTAGAAGTAGAAGATTGATCCAAAGTCAACCGATATGGAGAAGACCTTCAAGTTCCAAATGTTGCTGGGCCGTCATTTCCTTGGGGGATCGCCGTTATAGGTCACATGATGACACTAGTCCCAAGGCGGAGGCTTGTTATGCTTATGTCATCGACTTTGAGACGCCCAGCCTCCTGCGACTCCGCTTGCGTCAGGGAGAGCCTCCTCTATTAGCGTTGCGCTGCCGATTCTTTAATTGGTGATTTTATTGATCGGACTCTCTAGCTACATACTACACATCATCTCACCATGGCTTCACAGTGGGCCTCCCGGCTGGGTGCCCTCCGACACCTGCAGGTCGCCAATGGCTTGTCTCGCCCTACTCGTGTGATCGAGCTGCAGAACCAAATGCGCCAACTTTCTCTCGCCTCGAGCCCCCGTTTCACAGCTCCCCTGGCCGGTCCAGTCTCTACCCTCGGCTCTCAGCAGACCCAATCCTTCGCAACGACATCTGACAGCGCGAAGCCCAAGCGTGCGACTAAGACCAAGACCAAGACTGCTGCCACCAAGCGCAAGAGCAGCACTTCGACCAAGAAGCCGAAGAAGGAGCTTAGCGAAGCACAAAAGGAGAAGAAAGCGAAGCGCGCCGAGATCGACCGTCGCAAGGAGCTTGTGGAGAAGGCACTCAAGGAGCCTGCAAAGCTGCCGCAGTCTGTCCGAGGACTTGCTATCAAAGACGCATTTGCTGAGCACCGTGGACAGCACGAAGGTACTGTCGCGATCTTCAAGGCTGCCGCTGAAAGCATTAAAGAGAAAGGCCCCGATGCTGTCAAAGAGGTATATTTATGCCAACCCCCTACCTTTCCCAGCGTACCACTTTATGCAAAGTTGTACTAACCTCAAGTAGCAATATCAAGGATTGGCGGATAAGAACCGCGCTACTAACGAAGCTGCCTACGATGCTTGGGTTCGATCCCACACCCCCCTGCAAATCAAAGAAGCAAACAATGCTCGTCGAGCCCTGGCCCGTGATCCCGCCCGCAAGACCAGACTGTTCCTGATCAAGGACGACCGACTGGTCAAGCGGCCCATCTCAGCCTTCTTGCTGTTCAGCAAGGAGCGCAGCTCCGGCACTGACTTCAAGGATATGGCGTCGGCCCAAGTCGACGCTGCCAAGAACTGGCACTCCCTGAGCGAGTCTGAGAAGGAGGTACGTCACTCATCTTTTTGGCGTTGCGCTATATCAAGATCCAGATGCAGTCACTAACATAGAATCTCCTACAGCCCTATGTCAAGCGGGCCGCTGAGGATCGCGAACGTTATCACCGCGAGCACCTGGAGGTCTATGGGGTTGAGGCCCGCCGGTCATCGTCGAAGGACGCATGAATCTAGATCGATCTCTTCCAGACTGATGATTGGTATTTTCTCCTGTGATACGGATTGGGTTGGAAAATGGTTGGGTATAGGTGGGATGGTGTCCGAGTCGCCCTTTGTGTGATTATTCTTTTTTTTTCTTCTTCCTTCTGCTTTGCTCTGCTATACTTCCTGCCCTGCTCATTTTTGTTTCCTTTTTGTATTTCTTAACACGTGACATCTGCATGTCGCTCGATTCTACTTTCCTATGTTCTTGTATTGTAGCTGCTTCATGGATTGATGGATTGAATGTCACCTATCTCCAACATCTCCGCTCTCAGTGGTGGAACCATTTTGTGTTCGGTCCTAGTGTCTAATCTGCGACTACCGTATGAGTCAAGTCAAGCGCCACTTAACCTCCACTGTGGAGGTTCAGTTCTAATAAATGCACACTGTGGGTAGTATATGGGCACATCTTCTCTTCTTCATACATTGATGTCGTGATCGTATTATCTGGGTCGTATGTCGATCTGGCACCGTGCGATTAAAAGACTAGCTATTTTGGTACTGCAGTGACAGGCTTGAGGTGTAGTGTGTTTAAATCGTAAAATGGGTGTTGCTTTAGTGGTGCCGAGGTGTTTCCATAGCGGAGAACTTCTCCCCCGCACTCGGGTCCGTCGAAGTGGCGGTGAGAAAAGGATGTGTTGCGCGCGTGCGCAGAGCAGCCCAAGGCAGATGAAACCTGCAGTGATCGGGGAAATAGGTGGGATAGTTGGAGGGGTCGTGGTATGAGAGAGTTACTGTTCCAAGGTTACTAGATATTGTTGTCGAGGTACGAGTATAGTAGGCAGTAACTATGAAGAGGGCTCAGCAGAAGTACGGACGAGTAGTAAAGTGTATTACTTATGGCTCTACTAACTATTGGGCCTGCTCCACACTGGCAGTACAGAAGTGCAGAGGTACAGAAATGGTACTTCTACCTGAATCCTCTACTACTTCTACTACTATAATACTACTCCTCCTCCTCCTAAAGCATTCCATGCAGACGGGCCTTCCCGCGGACTGAACTCGGGCACCCAAATCCATGGGCGGGCACGAGGGGTTCCATGGTCCGTCCATCCAAGTTGAGTTTATTATTTACATTTACATCATTTACACTATTTAACTATTTACATCATTTACATCATTTACATTACTACTCGTATATTTGTTGTTTGTTTTTATTATCCCAGCAACTAATAGCTGTGGAATATACTCTACTTGCGGTGTCGATATGCACGGTCGCAGAGCATCATGGCAAATGCATTTCAGCGAATCGCCCGCTATGGCAAGGTGCAAGGGCCCTGAGAAAAAGTGGATGATGGAGGGGCGCTCTGGTGATCGATAGGCTCGGGGATCCATTTGCTCTCTCTGCCTCTGCCTCCCAGGTGCGTCTGCAGGTGATGGCTTGCTTCAATTTGCACCTTTCAAGTTCTTGGGACACCATCACATCCAAGATACTGTGCAGTATTACGAGTAGTTCCAGTTCAAATTACTAATATTGTGTTGGGACTATCAAGTCTGCGATTGCGACTATAGGATATTTTTGCGGCGATCGGGGTTCGTCCCAGCCTTCCATTTTTTATTTTTCATTTTTTCCTCTATTTTTCTGTTTTTCCCGCCGGAGTTCGTAGCTTAAATGGATTGTCTCGGGAACAGGCGTTCGTGGGCTTTAAAACAGGGGGGGAATTGAATCAGATAAAAAGTATCGAGAGAGAGTAAGTATTCTCTAGTGACTAGTATTAGTTGAATATCAAGATTCCTCCAGTGTCCCAATAACCACGAGAAGGGTATACTTACTCGTACTAGTATCGTTGCTGTCTACATTTGTACTCCGCTGGGACGATCATCCTCCACCGCCCCAACTCTCTACCAACCGAGCAGAGGCAGATGTACTTTTCATCCCTGCCTCTCCCTCCTTCAGCTGATCCCTACTTTCTCCCTGGCTTTCCTCCCCCTTGGTGGCAAAACACGATCTGAATCTTCGACTTCCTCAAACCTGCCCGCCACGAACTACGAAGTACGAACTACTCCGCCCACCACCGATACACCATACACCATACACCCCGGTAGAACTATCGGCACTCTCCAATCAAGCCTCAAATCGCGCTGGTCGTGCTGGGCGGTGTTCTCATTTTATCCGCGTCTTACCGTCTCGATTGCCTCGATCTCCAGCGAAATCGACCCTCCGTCGCAACTTCCTTGACTCATACATAACCCAGCGATCCTCCGCGGGGTCTTTCAAGTCCAATCACCCCATGTGTTCTCCCCCATCCTCCAGCGAAACAGGTCTCTGATCTGGCCAGCGCAACCCCTGAGTCAACCAGGCGCATGCGATTTCGATTTCGACCTCGACCTCGATTACCGTTATGGAAGTGTACGCCCCGGCTCTTGATACCCCCCGCGCAGGGTCCGTCGCAAAGGAACAACAGCGCCGAGAAGATGCGGTCAACCAATACATCCAGGACGTCCGGGACGTTCTCGTAATCGGGTCTAAGCCATATAGTCTATCGCAACATAGACATGGATATATACCAAATGCCGAGCTCTGGAATGAATTGGAATTCCATTCGCCTAGACTCCTCCCGTCGTACACCCCGCCAGCTCACCTTCCTCCTCCCCCTCCACCATCCTACGAAGATGCGCTCGCCGATATCCCGCCAGAATACTACGATACGCTCCCTGCTCTCGCCGAGCGACAGAGCGCTAAATGCGACTCGTCCGCGCCCCCTACGCCTGCGACGAAATCCCGCTCTGCAAAGTCGCATTCGTTTTGGAAAGATGCGCTTGTGGATTTTGATGTCGATTTTGGTCATCCGGTTGGTGTTCGCGAACATAAGAAGAAAAAGCCGGCGGCGGCGAAGAAGGCCACCCCGGCTGCTGCCCCCGCTGATACTGGCGGTGGTTCGGATAATACAGGAGGTGACGCACCCAGTGGTGATGGGGGTGGTGATGGAGGAGGTGGCGGCGATACGGGAGGTGATGGCGGTGGAGACGATGGGGGCGGCGGCGGTGGTGACGATTGGGATGCTTGGGGTACTAGCGGAAGTAAGAAGAAGACGAAGAAGCAGGAGGAAGAGGAAGAGGAGGCGCGCAAAGCTGCCGAAGCTTCTGCTGCGAATAATCTCAGCTGGGCTGACGAAGCAGATGGCGGCGGTGATGACTGGGCTGGATTCGCAGAAGTCGGAGGGAAAAAGAAAAAGGGCAAGGTATGCTTGTGGTTCACGGTTTCTCATTCTCACCGCGTTTCGTATTCGCTGACCTCAATCCCAGGAAGATGCTCCGCCGGGTGGCTTTCAAGATGTCAGCTTGAATGATAATGCACCCCAGCTTGACTTGAACTTCGATTCTGGCCCTAAAACCGGAGGCACTGGTTTCAGCTTCGGTGGATGGGGCAAGGATTGGAATACTGGCGGTAAAGGAGACCCAGCACTTGGGTCCATTGGTGATGCTAAAGGCACGAATCCCTGGGCAAATAATTCTAAGAAGTCAAAGACCCCTGGCGGGTTTGATTTTGGGGATCTTGGTCCTCCGGGCCCGGATCCAGTTCCCGAGGCAAAGGAAGATGATTGGGGCGCCTGGGGTACTGCCACTGGCAAAGACAAGAAGAAGAAAGGCGACCCCGAACCTGAACCTGAACCTGAACCGGTGGTCGAGCCCGAGCCCGAACCCGAGTCTGAACCTGAAGAAGAACTTCCCCCAGATCCATCACTTGAGACTTCGTTCCTGGGCCTTTCGAAAAAAGAACAGCGGAAGGTCAAGAAAGAGTGGGAAAAGAAGGTGAAGGATATCGAGGAAAGGAACAAGCCGATCAGGGAAGCCAAGGAAGCCAGGAAAGCAGCCAAAGAGGAAGCAGCTCGGAAATCCCAGGAAGAAGAGGAAGCCAAAGCTCAAGAGGCCGCCGCCGTGCCTGAAGATGACTTCTCCTGGGATGTGCCCACGAAATCCAAGGACAAGAAGAAGAAGATAGATCTTCTTGCTGACCCCTTACCAGCGCCAGACCCACCCCCAGCGGGTGACGACTGGATGGGTAGCTGGGGTACCGCTGGTAAGAAGAAGGATAAGAAGTCGAAGGCCGAGCCTGAGCCACTGATCGAGGATCCCCCACCGGAGCCAGTTAAAAAGGAAGAGGATTGGGCTGGCTTAAATGTCACGATCAAGGACAAGAAGAAGAAGAAGGGCAAAGAGCCTGAGCCTGAGCCGGAGCCTGAACCAGAGCCTGAACCCGAACCCGAACCCGAACCAGAGCCGGAACCTGAACCTGAACCAGAGCCGGAACTTGAACCATTATATGAAGGGTGGGCGACCTTGTCCTCCAAGGAAAGAAAGAAGCGTGAGAAGAAGTTAACACAGAAGGGCCTTGGTATTCCGGGCAAGGATGGTTTCGAGCTTCCTAGCGATAAGCCGGCCGAACCAGAACCAGAGCCAGAGCCTATACCTGAACCTGAACCTGAACCCGAGCCGGAGCCTGAACCAGAGCCAGTGCCTGAGCCAGAGAAACCAAGCGACGACTGGGGTGGCTGGGGTGTGACAGTGAAGAAGGACAAAAAGAAAAAGAAGGGCAAAGAAATCGAAGAACCGCCACCACCAGCACCTAGTCCTCCTGCGCAGGGCCTTACTCCTGAGCCCGATGCGGATCTCCAAAACGGCGATGACATCTGGGCTGAACTTGCTCCGAAGAGTAATAGCACGAAGAAGAAAGCCCTCGAACCCGCCAAGGAAGAAAAGCCTGCCGCCAAAGGTTTCTGGGGAAGTTTGATGGGCAGCTCTGCGAAACCCAAGACAACCAAGAAGGAAGCCCCTCCCAAGAAAGAAATACCAGAGGAAGACCTTCTCATCGATGTTGGGGACGATCCTAAGGAACCCGAGCCAGAACCTGTGCCTGAACAAGAACCAGAGCCAGAGCCAGAGCCAGAACCCGCACCTCCTGCAGCGCCAGAGCCACCACCCGTGGAGAAGTCGAAATCCAAGACAAAGACTTCAACCGCCAAACTTTCTGTGGCCGAGCGTATAAAAGCCCTCGAGCAGACAAAGAAAGACAAGGCGAAGGATCTGGGTTCTAAGAGCAAGAAAAAGCCTGAACCCGAACCCGAACCTGAAGTTGTCCCTGAGCCAGAGCCTCTAGAAGAAGAGAAGGAACGCTCTAGTGATTATCTTCCTGGCAGCTTCCCCGATGAACCCGAAGCGCCTCCTGCCGAGGCGGAGCCCGAACCAGAGCCAGAGCCGGCTCCTGAGCCCGAACCGGACCTGTCAAAAATGACCAAAAAGGAGTTGAAGAAGTACAAGAAAGCCCAGGCTGAAAAGGAGGCTGCTGCTGCCGCCAAACCACCTACTCCACCCCCTGCCGAGGAACCACCTGCCCCAGAACCCGAGCCAGAGCCAGAGGCAGAATCTGCAGATGAAGGTGCCCCTCCAACACCTCCACCGGAGCCTGTTGAGGAAGCTCCAAAGTCATCGAAGAAGGACCGCGCCAAGGTTGAGAAGACGGGTAGTTCAGGTTGGGGCTTCTTCGCAGGTGCTCCGCCACCAAAGAAATCTAGCAAGAAAGAAAAGAAGGTGCCAGAGGAGATAGAGCCACCCAAGAAGAAGGAGAAGGAGAAAGCGCCAGAACCAGAGCCACAACCAGAACCAGAACCAGAACCAATTCCAGAGGTAGAAGATTCTCCGCCCGCCAAACCGAAATCTTCCAAATCAAAACCCAAGGAATCCGATCAAGAGCCAGAGAAATCATTTTCTGACCGTGAGAGGCGCAAGGAACGCGAGGAAAGACGGGCGGAGCGGGAATCAGCAGATCGCGATGCTCGTTCTTCGAAGCAGCAGCGTGCAGCAAAAATGTCTAGCTTCATGTTCGGTGGACCTCCTCCGCCACGAACAAAGTCATCTCGTAGACCAGATGGTGCTGCTGTGAAGAAACCTTCATCCAAATCGGCTTCTAGGCGTGCATCTGAAGATGTGGATGAAGCTGTTATGCCTTCCCCTCCACCTGAAGACAAGCCTGAGGTATCGGATAAGGCCGCTAAGCTGATGGGCATCAACGCGTCGAAATCGAAACGGGACCGGCCACGTGCAGAGAGACGGAAGTCAGGTAAGACCACTGTTTCACCTAAACTATTTGCAGTAATAACTAACACTTGCGTCTCCCGCAGCCCGAGATCCTTACGCTATTGAAGATGATGACTTGGTCATGGTTGATAAAGAAGATGCGGAAGACCAGTCGCCGAAGGAGGGTTCCAGAGGATCTGCACCTACGAAGCGAAAGTCCAAGCGAGAGGTGAGACTTAAATTCCAGAGAATTGATCAGAAAGAGGGACATTCAATAACTAACGCCGAGTCTGTTTAGCCCCGACCCCGAGGCGACGATGAAGATGCCGTCATGGTCGATGCAGAACAAGCTCGCGGAGGTCCAGATGTTCTATCAGGACCTGATGACATTGCTTTCGTCGATGCGCCTCCCAAAGAGCGTCGCCTAAAACGATCCAACACGGCTCCTCCCAAGAAACAAGAAGGCGGAGGAATCATGGGTCTTTTCGGTTCCTTGAGGAAGAACACCCGCCCCGAAATGCCTGATCGTCGCAAATCCCGCTCATACCGCGACGAAGAATCGAAGGGTTTGACTGAGACAGAGCGTGAAGACCGTCGACCACGTCGAGAAGATCGTCGTCGTCGTCCCGCGAAACCCGATACCGACGCCGAGGGATTCACGACAGATGCCGCAGGCGCAGCAGGCGGCGAAACCGAACCCGAAGACGCCGAGGCACGCCGAGCAGCACGTCGCGCAAAGCGCTCTTCTCGCCAAGCACCTTCCGAAGCGCGCGAAACGGAAGCGCGTGAAGAAGAAGAACGACGCGGACGCGCCAGACGCAAAGAGAAAGAGCGAGCCCGCGAGGTCCGCGAACAACAGGCCCGAGAAGAGGAAGAACAGCGCCGCCAGGCTGAAAAGGAAGCACGCCGCGCTGCACGCGAGGAGCGACGCGCAAAAGAAGAGCAAGCAGCCCGTGAAGCAGAAGCAGCTGCCGAAGCCAAGGCCACTGAAAGACGCGAACGTCGTCGCCAGCGCGAAGAAGAGGCCAAGGCCAAAGCCCAGAGCCGCCGCCACTCCCGTGTTGAAGAACCCATGGACCCATACGCAGCTGAAGAACAGGAGATCGATCGTCGTCGCGGCTCGCGAACAGAGGATCCCAAGGCTCGACGTCGCAAGTCGAAGGCTCCGCCTCCACCGCAAGAACAACCTCGTACATCCCCATACGACAGGTCAGGCGGTATCAACCACGGCGACACAGGCGGGCCCAAGAAAGACAAGATCTCATCGTGGGTCTACTCGCAAGCAGATGAACCTCCAGAACCCCCACCCATCATGCCCACGGTCCTCGACATGCCTCCCAACGAAAGGGAACGCCGCTTCTCTTTCCTCGGACGAAGAGGTTCGTCGCGCCGCGCGCCGCCGTGCGAAACGTCGTGCCAGATATGGCGATATCCCCGACGAAGAGATCGACGAGATTCGCTCGCGGAAGAGAGAAGCTCAGAGTCGTGTGAAGAGTTCTTCGGGTAGTGGGGACTATGAGCGTGATCGTGGCGCACGGTCTCATGGTAGTCGGCATGGAGATCGAGAACGGGAGCGTGCTGCGCCCCCCGAGCTCAGGTGGGAAGAAGAGCTGGTTTAAAAAGCTTACTACGTTTTGATTTGGGGTTGGCTGTTTGGAGATACCAAGTACTCTCCGGATTATGTACATGTGGCGTTGGACTTTTTCTTCGTCGGTTTTCTTCCCTTTTTTTGGTTTGGGGACTTTTTGTTCGTCCCAAGTTTGTTTATGATGTTGATATGGCATGGGTGGCTAGCTCCACTGCTTTATTCCTTTTTACGACAGATACGATACGATTACTATGATTGCAATATACTACGATTCATGCTTGATACCTAACCTCTATGCTTTTGGTTAATAGATAAAATTATCGACCTTCTAATGGCAGACTAGTAACTACTTGTTCCCGTTCAAATTATAGATCAGTGCGGTCAACAAGGGGTTTCAAATGTTTGCAACAATACATTTCAGGTACTACAAATCCCTGGGATCAACTTTCGAGATCGAGCCAGCGCTAGAACTAGTTCCGCTTTCAGTTCAAGATGTAAAACTGCAGGTTTCGGGTTGAGGCTGTCAGAGTGACGCGCTTCCCATTATCCATGCCACCCCAAAAGCGGACTCGGGGTATATATCTGGTCTCGCTGTCAGTGACCATCGCAGCTAAAATTTGCATTTGCACTCGTTCTGGATCTTTTTGATATACTATTTCTGAAAGCTTTGCCTAATCATTAGTTAGGTAAGGTCATTCCTTCGAGTTTTCTATCCAGTGTCGTTAGTCTAAGATTCCGTGACTACTCAAAATGTCCAGTAAGTGTACCGACGGATGTGGATTCGACTAGTACAGAGAGCTTACTAGATGCACCCAAAGACTTGGCCAAAGACTTCGCCGTCGGCGTGACTCCGGCTCGGCTATTCCACCATAAAACAGACTTCGCTTTTTCAAAGCTCACGACTATAATCGAAGAGCTTGATCTACTAGATCATAAAGCGTTAGATGATAAAATGGAACCGAAAAAAGCTTCAAGTTCAAAAGTCAAGTTTTTGGATACAAAACCTAAAATAGTCGAGTTTCTCGAAAGCATTCGTGATATTTCTTTGACTAGTACGCCATCTCTTTATATCGACATAGAGGGTATTGATCTGTCGCGTCATGGCACCATATCCATCCTGCAGGTTTACGTCCACCCAGCCGACAAAACCTATTTACTAGATATACACAGCTTGCAAGAAAAGGCGTCCTCGACGCCGGACTCGCGAGGAACAACTCTGAAGAAAGTCCTAGAATCGAACGAGTTCAAAAAGGTTTTCTTCGACGTGCGAAACGACTCGGACGCATTATTTGCTCACTACGGAATCCACCTTGCTGGGATCCAGGATCTTCAGTTAATGGAACTCGTCACTCGATCCTACAGCAAGAAATTTGTCACAGGTCTTGGCAAATGCATCGAAAAGGACGCTCCGATTACATCTACTGAAAAGGTAGATTGGAGCCTTACCAAAGAACGCGGTAGGCGACTCTTTGCGCCAGAGTATGGCGGCAAGTACGAAGTATTCAACAATCGCCCGTTGTCACAGGATATCCTGCAGTATTGCTGTCAGGATGTTGAATTCCTGCCTGAGACTTTGGAAGACATACGATGATAAGATGACCTCGAAGAAACGAGAGTGGGTTGTGAAGGAGAGTATCAAGCGCGTGAATCTATCTCACATGCATAATTATGATGTAAAGGGAAGAGCAAAGGCTCTTGCCCCTTTTTGTTTTTTCTGAAATCTATTTGCGGTATCTAGGCAAGTTGTTCTCGTTGCTTTTCTGGCTCTATGAAATGCATATTTTGAGACTATCAGCCGTTATGAGAATTTCCGCAAGGAGGTCAGAGATGAATGAAACGGATGATAGTTTCATTGGGGAAGACATGTAGCATACTCCGAACAGTTCAATATAGCTATTAGGTACATAAAGCTTCAACCTATTTTATTTACTAGTATGCATTACGGCGCTCCATAAGCGCAGGGTGGTCAGCAGTTGTATATACTAGTAGGTGTATTTTACTTAGGTACCTGACTGTCCCGAAGGCTGTCTGTAACTTCAGAGTCTAACTTAATTACTAGTAGTGTTCCCTATGCGAGTTTGGACAAAGCTACAGTAGTACCACAAATGTTTCTAAAGCCTATATACAACTACTGACCACCCTGCGTTTATGGAGCGCCGTAATTCAGGCTCTGAGCCATCGTTGAGATCGGTCAAATACTAACATCTATTGCACCAAATGTGAATTGCGAGAATTCATACATCTCCTCTTCTCCCTACCAAGTCCATCAATCAACACCCTCCAACGCTTTCCTGCGATTCTCCAAATAGAACCGCCCACCCTCATAAAGACTCAAATACAAACTCATAGAAACAGCTGTCCACCCAGCGCGAATAGCACCACCTTTAAACAACCCTCTCACGCCATCTTTCTGTACGATCTCCCTCCCAACTGCAATCGTCCCTTTCTTACTTCCTGCAGAAACCCTCTTTCCTTCAGCGCCCTTCTTGTCTTTAGACCCAGCCCCACCATCCTCACTGGCAGACAACATGACCCGTGTCTTGATAACATCAATTGGCGTCGTAACCGTCGAAGCAACAAGTCCAGCCAGCGAAGCCGAAGCACCCGTCACCCCAGCCCGCTCAATAAGTTGCTCCCTCATCCCATCCGGAGATCTACTACTCGCATCCGCCGCTGCTTGATCACCGTCGAGTCTCCGAGTCGTTCTCGCTCTTGCCCTTCGTTTCCGTCGCCAGTCAATCGCATTAGCACGCAGATACTCGAAGAGTGGAAATTGTAAGCCCGTGAATGGGAGATTACGGCCGACTAGCGCGGTATATCCGCTCCAAAGGTGCCAGGGTCGAGACCTAAAGCGGGAGAGTACTTGACGCATGGCTTTCACGTTTGTACTATTTTTTGGGGCTTGGTTGTGCTTGTGCGAGTGGTTAGACATTTGCGAAGACTGGACCATTTGTGCGTTTTGTTTTAGGACTTCTGCCGGTGTGAGGATTAGACAGGAGACCATCTCTGCGGTTGATGAAGCGATGGCGTGGATTATTGGTGTTGGGAGGGAATGGGTGAAGGGTAGTTTGAGAGTCGTGTTTGAGTACTGCGTATGAAACTGGGTTGTCTTTTTGGTCGAGGTTGATGAATTGTGCAGTGTACTTTTTACTGCTTCGTAGGTTGTGAAGAATGCTCCTGCTGTTTTGCGGAGAAATTGATGTTAGGAGATCATTTCTTTTACTCTTCGATTTCGTTTTCTTTCGTCAAAATTCAAACAACTTGGGCCTGAAGGAACTTGAAGACGAACATGATGGAATTGTGGAGAATACCACGCTCCATACCCCTTGGTATAAACCACGGAAAAGAACATCGCGTCTAATAGCGCCGCTGCGTACATCTTTGAAGACTTGCTCGTAATTTGGTGATTGAATTCTGGTTTTTAGTGTGTCGAAGGGGTAGACTATGAAATCAACGACCACTGCGGCGAAAGCTCCGGCCTGTAGTATCGAATTTAAGTCAACATATCTTCAAATTGAATGCTCTCCAGGCTCTGCTCCATTGTTTCTGGGTTTGGGCTGAACTGTCGATCGACGCGACAAAGTGCAAGTGGATCTTCAGGTGGGTATATACTAGTAACAGATGGATCGACTTACAACCCAAATGTCTGAGTGGGTGTTGTACATGACAGATAGTTTGAAAGACGAGAAAAAAGTCTAGATGATGAAAAAAGAAATATTTGCAATGTTATCTACAAAATTATCCTCTCCGCAAACCTGTATGACAACACTGGCGGATGAAGTCATCCATATCACGTGAGATCGACTGCCCTATGCGGCTTAGGGCTAAATGATCTACGAGGTACAAAGCGGAGTACGTTCGAGTAGGACCTACAAAGTAGATATCTTGGAGAGCCAAATATAAATAAAACGCTGCAATCATGTCTAACATAATTGTTTTCTATGGGCGGATGCGAGTCCATACATGTCGCGTCGCACACATCAGACAGGAAAAAGAAAAAGGGACTCGACATCGACACGGGTCATACAAAAAAAGAAGAAGAGGAAGTCGTATTAACATCCAGAGAAACATTTTCCCTCCCTACGCCGTAAAAAGGTTTCATGCAATCCCAAAATAGCCGTTCATCACCTCACCGCACACTTGCACTTGCACTTGCACTTTGCATTTATTTCGCAACCTCACCGGGCAGCAGGTTGCCCTTAGCGGCAAACATCTTGCCGGTAGTGGCCGAGACGAAAGCGTCGACCTGGCGAGAGAACTGCTCCACCTGGCGGGTGTTGAGCATGCTCTCCAGGCGGCTGGGCTCGGCGGGGAGCTTGAAGAGGCGCTGCCACTCATCCTCGGGGAGGAGGGGCTGCTTGAGGGCGGCGCGGGTGGCGTTCTCTTGGGTGCGCTTCTGCTTCCAGTTGTTGATCTTCTGCTGCTCACGGCCGAGCACACGCTGGTAGTACTGGTAGTTGTTGGTCTCGGTGTTGTGGGCCTCGATGCTGTCCAGGAGGAGGTCGCAGTTCTTCTCGAGGTAGGGATCGATGTTGAGCGCCAGGTTGTCGAAGTTGGGGGTGAGGATGGAGGATTTGGAGTAAGGGCTGGCCTCGAGGGCGGCGAGCGAGGGGGGAAGGTCGGTCGGGGCGGCGGAGGGGGTCTGCAGCTGGTGGATGAAGGAGGTGATCAGGTGCGAGTTGTGGATCTCGACGGGGAGCTCGTCAAAGATGTCTTGGTAGCGGAGGGTGGACTTTTGGAGACTAGAATGATGTGTTAGCTGTTTTGAGTCGTTTTCACTCGCGAGAAGTTTGGTCGACTCGGCCGTTTCACGAGTCTTTTCGTGAGTCTGTGGTACGTACTCCTCGGAGTTGAACTTGTTCTCCTTGAAAGCCTCGACGAATTTGGCGGAGAGGCGGAAAGCGCGCAGGCTGAGGCTGCCCTGGGCACTGCGGCTAACGTCGTGGACAAGGGCGACTGTCCGCTCGTTCAATTCCTTCTGGTAGAAAAACTGGTTCTCGATCACGTTCATGTTGACGAAGTTGCCCATGTTGGCGCTGGTGTACCAGCCGACGCTGTTAGCGTCGACGTTGACCTCGCGCACCATGCGGATCATCTCTGCTTGGTAGGCGGCGTTGGCCTTGACGCGGGGAGCAGAGGCAGCGGGGTTCGGGGCGGCGTTATCGAAGTGCGACTCGGTGGGCAGCTCGACCACGGGGAAGGGGAAAGAGTTGGTGATCTCGAGGGTGCCCTCAATGTCCATACCGACGAGTGCGCCGGTCGCGGTGGTCGGGAAGGTCTGGTTGCAGTGCTTGATGATTTTCATCACCACCTAAAGCGTTGGATATGAGTATTTCTCGCTGGCGAGGGAAGGGAAGATTTTCCAGATTCGAGGGGATCGTACCAGGGCCTCGACCTTGACGGCCGCGATGGGGGATTGTACTCTGAAAAGAGATATTAGCAAAGAGACATGGCTGTAGGACAGATTTGGAGACGTACTCGGCCATATTGACGTGGGGGATGTGTTGGGATGTGAAAGACGAAGGTGGATGGCAGCCCGCGAAGGTTTGTGTGCCAGCCCGACTTTGACAATCCTCAAAGGAGTTTAGCGTGGGACGGCGAGTGGTAATACCATACGGTTATCTTTGGTGTGGATGGAGGGGCAATACCGTATACATACACCGCCTGGCAAAATTACCAGAAGTATGAATTGAACAAGGAATTTCTACAATAATGTTACCCAGAGATAATATTGTCAGTAAGATAGAACGAAGCTAGTGGTGTGAAAAAAGGATCTCATGTTCCTAGATCTTAATATCCTGAGGAAAAACAGAATTAAGGGAAGTATGGAAATATTAATGCCACCTTGGAAGTACTACCTTAAGTAAGTAGACTAGAACAGATTCCCTAGTAGGTAGAACTTGAAACCATAGATGGCAAGTACCCGGGTATAAATTACTAACTTGCTACTAGTCACCAGATGTTTCCATTGTCCTGTCAAGCTGATAGAGAAGACTCGGGTATTAGGATCTATCTGACCACACCCATCCTAGGATATATAGAACTATGGCAAACATCCGAGTCCCGAGGTCCTGAGGCGGATTCTCGATAAATAGCCCCAATATACCTAGGTGTTCGGGACTGACCTTACAATGCCGGTAGCATCTGTGGTTATTGTTGAATTTGTGATTACTATATTCAACTAGTACTAGTAGCCAATGCAGTGCCGTCCATGCCGCATCTATAGATCCATTCATCACATGAAAAGCAACAACCCTCCTAAGTAAACATGGAACAAAGTAAAGCCACTCAATTAGTTGTACAACTGTACAACACTTTGACACAAATAATCCCTCGGTCTTCTGTGTAACATACAGCATATATTAATCCATTCAAACCAATCTAATTACTTTACCCCGCAATGGAAGCCATTGGAATGTCCCACTGTTATCGACGAACCCAAGCCTTATCGAGTTGACGTAGCCCTTACCCTTGGGAAGTAACCTTGGAAAGTCCCCTGGATGTCCCAACCCTCGCCTCTCACCTCGAAACATACCAAGACCATGGCCACCGAACCAGGCAAACGAACCGTTTCATACGGACGATTCCACAATCTCCAAACAATCTCTGTGGCTACCCTCCCACCGCGCCTCGATGGCTTTTGGGTCATGTACGCTCCCCAGACAAACAAACACCCCACCATCTGTCGCAACAATTTTACCATGAACTAATCGGAGAAAAACAGCTACATCCACGGCGGCGCCTGGCGCGACCCAACAATAACAGCAGACAGTTTTGAAAAAACTGAAAACATCCTCCGCGCAAACCCACACCTCCCCATCGCAGGCTACGCCTCAATCTCATACAGACTAAGCCCTCACCCAAACCACCCCCAAGACACCGAAGAAACACCAGCCGAGTCCCTACGCACGGCAAAACACCCAGACCACATCCGCGACGTCGAGGCCGCACTAGCCTTCCTCCAAAACACATACGCCTTCGGTGACAGGTACATCCTAGTCGGACACAGTTGCGGCGCAACACTAGCCTTCCAAGCCGTCATGGGCGCCGTCGCGGGACACAGGGAAGTACGATTCAACGGAGGTGTGAACGATTGCGGCGCTGGCGCCGAGAATATCTCCAGTTCGCCAGGTCCCCTGCCACCAGCGCTGACGTCGCAACCTACCGCTATTGTGGGTGTGTCGGGGATATACGACCTGCGCAAGCTGCGCGATGATCATCCCGGTATCGATGCCTATCGCGAATTCATTGAGGAGGCGTTCGGCGCGGATGAGTTACTTTGGGATACGGTTTCGCCGGCGCAGATGATTGGGTCGCGGGGCGTGGAGGGTGGGTGGAAGGGAGGTAGACTGGCAATCCTTGCTCATTCAAATGATGATCAGCTTGTTGATCGGGGCCAGATGGATGTTATGTATGAGGCGTTGAAGGGGTGGGAACGGGAGAAGGCGACGAGGCGGCGTTCTTCGGCGCGTCGTTCTTCTGCGACGGTTGAGGAATCTGGGAATGATGATGGGAGTCGGGCGGTTAGGACGATGATCATTGAGGGGGAGCATGATGAGATTTGGAGTGAGGGGGAGCAGTTGGCGAGGACGATCAAGTATGCGTTTGTAGAATTGTTGAGGATGGGCATTGCGCCTGAGCCGGAGCCGTTTGGGGGTGAAAAGGTTCCTTCTCATTGAGATGGGCTTGTTGATGAGAGTTCGTTACGACCATATGTCTGTTTTTAGCATGCATCTGGCATCTTTAGAGATTTATAGACTAGACTCCTAACAATTCTACGAGACATGATGATTTAAAAGTAACTTTATATTTTTCATTTCGTGTTTTCGGGCGGAGCAGTATGAAGGGGGAATGTAGATACAATTGTCGGGGAAACACGATTGGCCTGTGGGAGGGCCATGAAAACGCCATTAGTCGTAAACGCATATTACGCAAGATCAGGTCATAGGAAAGTCCCTCATTACGCCGAATATTTGCTCATGAATGAGATCCAGGTGTGTATCAGTTGCCAAGATCCATGCGGCCCGATGCCGCATCTCCAGCCACCTTCTCCGTCTTAGCGGGGATGGGCTCCTCGCCGTATTCGTAAGCGTCATCATCGCTCTCGCTCTCTTCAATGAACCGGTGACTGATGTCGAACTCTGAAAGACGGTAGCCAAGATCTTCACGCTGGCCGTCTTGCCAACGGGCGAGGGCTGCGGCGGCGTGGACCTTGAAGCCATAGATGCGAGGCTCAAATCTGCGCATGCTCTTCTCCGGGTTCAAGGCGGGGTATACCTGGAAAAGGATGGAGTGGAATGATGTGCCGAAGTAGGCACCGTCGATGGAGGCGTGACGAGAAGACTTGGGGTTGTAGATGTCCTCGCACTTAGGGCAGTACAGTTTCACAGTGCTCATGTTGGGAAGATCGGCCTGGCCCATAGGGAGAAGAGGGTGCCCGTCACACATAACACGAGGGCATTTGCCAAAGTCACACTTCTTATACTTGTCGAGCTAGAGGTATTCATTAGCTCGAACTTTGTAGGGGGGTTGGGAATACCAAAGCAGGAGTAGCTTTATGACTTACCATTTTGGCGAGGCCGCGTGTAGTCACAATGTATCTAGCATGGACCAACCCATAGAGATGACGGGCAGATTTCTCAATCTGTTCCCGCAAATCATCATCGGCATCTAGGTCGAACACATCCGTCACGAGGTCGAGAGCGTATTGGTAATAGGGAACCTCTGTGTTCAGGCCAGTAAGATTGAACCGATCCGTCAGGTAATCCTCGTCGATTTCACAGAAGTACTCATTTCCTCGCGAAGAAACGAACTAAAAAATAACCGAGGAGTGGTTAGCTAACATGATCATCAGATAAGCTATGCCCGGCATCTCCAGGCCCAGTCATCGTGTTGTCGCGGGGCACATCAGTGGGGCGCGCGGGTGGGCTGGAAAATGCCGGAAGGAAATCACGGACTCACCCAGTCTCTCCAATAGCTGGTGTAGTCACTATCCGTTTCACTGTTGAAGTCTTCCATCATGGTAAAGGCCAGCTGGTTGACCGGATCCGTTCAGGGCGGCTTCCGCGCAGTCGCAGATAAGGGCAGGGCGAAAGGCAGATATTGGGCGGATCAACCCCGGGGTGCTGGAAACCCCGACTGCGGCACCACTGGGCAATGCCGTAGGAATATTCGTATCGAGTTGTCGAAAATCACGGTCGAGCCGCGAGAGGGAGGGTGGTGAGTGGGATGAGCTGGAGATTGGGAGACTCGAGACTGGATTTGTGCCCGCCAATTCAGGTGGGCATGGGCGGTGAAGAGTACATTCTGCCGGATATTTATACACAGGGCGGTGTAGGATCTACATTATACAACGATACGATGCCCTCCCTTTACAAAAATGAGAAATATTCAGGGAATCGATTGGAAAGTCATTCCATCAAGCCTAGAAATCACTAGAAACATCCCCAAAAGATCACTCATTTCTTTGCCAAATCCCCACTTCGCCATCCTAGAACGATGGGTTCGCGTTCGCAACCAACTGAGCAAAGTATGCCTGAACACTTCAATTAGCCAATACGACCAAATATTGTCACCAGAGTGTCGAAACCTACCTGGAACCAAGTACCGGCCTCGGGGGCTGGCTGAAGAGCATCGCTATATCCACAGTGGGCGTCATACCGTGCCGAACTACTGTCCGAGGTGCCATCACTTTCACCACCTGGCTTGACCCAAACAAAAGCATCCTCCAGGGCATCACCAGTATCGGTAGTGGGCCGAACACCAAATCCAGTGCCCTTGACATTGCACCAATCGCCCCAAGCATTCTGCTGAGTGGGCTGGACACCATTGCGGCCTGTGAGGGTCAGTCAAGATTGTTCCGCATAGGCAAGTGTTCAAGAACGTCCTTCTTGCTTACCGGTATCTGTGATGAAATGGGCATCCCAGCCTGCGCTCTTCAGAAGCGGCGCCATGGCGTTGATATATTTCTTCTCGTCGCAATTGCTGTCGCCTGAGGTGTAGGAGGGGCAGCTGGACAAAGACCAGCCGTTGTAGTTGGCAACGTTTGTTGCCAGGCCACGCAGCGAAGCGGGCTGGGAGGCATTGTTGTAAACTTGAGCGTAGAGCTGAGCTGCTGGGCTCAGATTTGCAGGCCAACCAAGCCACCCAGCATGTCCTATAGTCAAGGAGTCAATCACTGCCCGGACTTGAACCTGATTAATACTAGTACTCACCAGCATCAAGGTACATCGCCACGTTATCCAAATTCAATTGGGTCACAGCATAATTGGTACACTCGAGATAGGCATCATGAGCATTGGCACACTTTGAAACTCCCATATTGGTGACCAGGTTGGCCAGGCTGTCGGGCTCTGAACTGGAGTTAGTTCCCGATTGTTTATTACTCAGAGCTTTCTGACCCACCAATGACAAGAATAGTGTGTACATCCGAGTATTTTTGAAGAGTCGCACGAATGTTGTCGATGTATGTCTTATACTTCGCGACTCCGCCATCAGCGATCGAATATTCGCCATTACTGGCAAGCGCAGCACAGTCACGGTCTGGCAAGTCGTAAACAACGAAAATTCCTGCGTTGGGTGGGCTAGCACCAGCTGCGTTCTTTGTCTTGATATCAGACAGGAAGTCCCCCATTGTGGAAACCTTGTCAGCCGTGTCCCTGTAACTTTCGTCAGCATACTATTCGTCTATAGTTTTCTTCCAGAATAACCCAATTGAGACTCGGATGAGGTAAACTTACAACCAGTAGAAAGATGGAACCTTGGCTGCCGAGCTCGCTGCTGCTGCCGCAGCGCCCGTCATGGAGGGTAGCGCAGATGCTGAAACTTCAGATGCATAGAATGTATTAACATACTGCTGATACCCCGAAAATGGATTGCCAGTTGCGGCAGCCCTTGCAGTGATGGCTGGATTAGCAATAGCAGCTGCAGCGGCAGTTGTAGCCAACAGTGGGATAAGGCTGATAATAGACCGCATCATGATAGTGCCACTTTAAGGATCGACTGTTCAAATGCAGCTTGTCTTCTTGGGCGTTTGAGAATGAGTCGAACTTGAATTCTCTTAGATGGAAGCGAAGGGTTTTATATCGAGGTATTTAAACTATTTTCTTCTGTTTATTCAGACGCCATGGCGGCATTCGTACCGTGTTTCCGAAATGTGTCTCTTGCAAATAAGGGTCCAGGTACGAGGCACAGGGCCACGGACTTTCTGCAGGGCTACCCGTGAACAATGCACGTCAGAAGGATAGCCCCGAAATTTGGCTAAAATGAATCGATGCGGAGTAAGGGAAGCTTGCATTTGCCTGAAACTAACTAGAATAAAAGCGCAAGCCAAGGTTGTTTCGTGCGGGCTGGCCTCCCCGTCCCCAAAATGGATGCACGTCGCCGATCTTCAGCATACATTGCTCATTTACTTTCTTCATAGAAGCTTGCTTGATTATATCTAACACGGGTTAAGGGCCGCGTTTGTTGGACGTTTTTGGCACGGAATTTCAGGGGGGGTTTTGATTAGAGTCAGGGTCGTGCATGTCGTGGTGTGACTCTGCAGACTCTCCCCGTGCTACGTGGTGGCTATTAGTTATTTGCGGGGAATCCTGGGGTTACCATATACCCGGGTGATGGATTCTTCAGAAACTACTATAGCCAGAATGCACCGTGACGAAGGTGGGCATCAAATGGCACAAAGGGGCTTGACACGGGCGTAAAGTATGGTCCACAATTCGGCATTGTATTTGGATAATCCTACGACTGTGGATACGAGAAGAAAGAGCGAGAAAAAAGAAATAGATTGATAGAAAGGAAATGTTGAGTGAGTGGAGTGGTATCGCGCTATCATCGAGTATCAGGCATGAGCCTGTATCGTCCAAAAACAGATAAATGAAAATGAAAAAATCAGAAAAGAAAACTCCGAGTCCCGGTGAAGTTACTCAGCGACGTGCGCTATCACATTCGGCCAAGAATTTGTAGATTCCGTCGGCGCCGTCATATCCGGAAACAGAGTTACTATTGCCGGGACTGTCTGTGAAAAAGGCACGATCTCCAAGCTCGCTAATATTGATACTCGAGTAGCCAGATGGCGATGATGTCCAAGGATTGTTGCCAAAAAGTTCGCTGTCCTCGAAGCTGATTGCACCGCCAGATTCCACACCAGAATCTCGGCTGATCGGACTGCAAGTTTCTGGAGTGAGCATACCGTGCCAATCGAGGTCATTCGAGTATTGGGATTGCTTCTTGGGGGCTTTCTCGAAGTAGTATTCGGTGTCAGATGACGGGGCAACGCTAGGGGCGAAGGGAAATAGTAACGCCATGTCAGTGCCATTGCGAGTACCAAAGTCCTCATCTTGTGTGATACGGCCTCTTTGAACTCCAATTTCATCACATAGACGATCAACGGTTTCTGCGTCACAGCCTGGGAATCGGACGCGAATGGTAGATCTGTCATGGAGCATGATCGGAAGATCACCCAACGCAGAAAGACGCTCGAGGTCGTTGAGTACGATGGAGAACTCTTTCAAAGAGCGTGCAAAGTCTCCAGACAGAAGATCGGCGAGACCGTCTGAGTTCAAGGTAGCTTCCGCGGGAGCTCCGGATTCCTTGTTCAGGGCAGACACCACACCAAGAGCAGTGATAGTGGGCGAGAGTTGAAAGTCAATGTATGATCCGGGAGCATTCTGGGGGATGGCGGTCATCTTGCGGCCGGCCTGGTCCTGAAGGACAGTGACAGCCTTGTAGCGCTTCTCACCAGTGCGAGGATCAATTCCGTCGAAACGGACTTTCTGGCCCGAAAGAAAGAATGCCCGTACGCCCTGGGACACATTCTGGATGACCTGAGCAGGGGCTGCAGGGCCATGGGAGAAATACCGGGCTCCTCCAAAACGACCGGCTCCGACAGCATATCCGCCAGCGGTACGCCCAAGGGTGCCACCCGTCAAGTTAGGGCGAAGGGTTGACGCAAAGGGGGCGCGACTTGTGATCCGGCTAATGTTTGACGCAACGCGGGAGGTCTTGTAGGCGCTGGCCTCTGCTTGAGCTCCAGATCGAAGAGCGGAGAAGAAAGCACCAGCAGCACGGGTCGAGAAGTGACGGCTGCGAGCTTGGCGGATGGCGGCGACTCGATTGATGGGTTGTCTGGGATTGATACGAGCGTAGGCCGGTTGATAACGAAGCGCAGCTTGTTGGGGTTCTGGTAATTTGGCTCTTATGGCCTTAGAGGCCTTCTCGTAGGCAAACCTGGGGTAGCGTCAGCGGGGAAGCCCATTGCTAGTGGTGATCATGGCCACACATACCTCGCTGCTCTCCATATTTTGGGGAGCAGCAGGTGCCCATTGGCAGGCGCCATACTGATAGATTGAATATATGTTTACTCACTAAGTAGTGAGAGTTGTTGATGGAAGGAGTCTGGGGGGATGCCTGATGACGCGGGAGGAGGAGACGGGCTTATCAGTGTTTGGCCTCAGGCATAAACGTGGCGGTGCTTTGCCACGCACGTGACTGACCAGACCTCATTGGAGGAACAGCAGTGTATACTGTTGGCTGCATTGTAGAACTCATCATTCTGTCAAAAACTTCTGGATTTTCAAGGTTGTGGAGTTGGGAAATGAGATTTAGTAGGTAAATGGGTCTGAACAGCTGATTGCGACGAAAGCACTCTCTTGAGAATTTATTCCAATATAAGAGTGCTTGGCATCGTCAGAGAAGGACTCTGAGCTTGAATGGTAGGACACCCCCGTAGTACTAATTCAGACATGGCCAAGATTTATGTGGTTGTCAAAAAGCTCACCTTACACCTCAATATACTTTAAAGTAGTAGCATCTTTCTGTAGGATGATTTCGCTATTCTCAACACAAAATCGGGCATCAGCCCTACTTCCCAAGGTTCAAGTTGTCGCAGTCTCTTCACCGCCTTGGCCTCACGAGTTTGATACTAGAACATTCCTCACCATGATAGCTTCCCGCAGTTCCTTGTCCCTTGTCCCCTCCATTCGTGTGCTAATCGAGTCGCATCTTCCTTCAAGTTCACGTCTACTTGTCACTGTATATTCTTGTGCTAGATGTTCCATCGTCGGTAAGCCGCATTTTCTCCTCTCAATACTAAACATGGCTGGCTGAAACATGGTTTCCACGTAGCAAAAATTCCCAAAAGCCGGGAAGTGAACTAATCGATCATTTCCAACAATCCTTCGGCGGTATTATCAGACGACGAAAGAGCGATGGACAGCACCCGACACATCTCTGTAGCCTGGGTGACATTCAATTGCCTGGAAGGTATGAGGTAGAACCCTTCTTCGACCGTACGTGATAGAGGACGGGCTCTTGGAACTGGCATAGTCCATGGCGCACGTACACCCGTAGACTATGGTGGTTTAACACGATGAATACAGAACCTCCCAGTTTTCTCCCAGCCTAGACCTAGGAAGCATGCCGGGCCTCGATTTTTCTTCGCCATCGAGGGATTCTGGATTAATGCCCCCGGGCTTGCTGGCCAGCCAGCATCCGGGCTGCTATACACCCAAATCAAGTGGAATGGGCGCAATTCTCCATAACCAGGCCGGCGATCTGCACTCCCCGAGTCTTTACTTGACAGCGAATCCCTCATCTCGTATACATGCTGTCCCAAATACTCAGCCAGGCCGTAACCAATTCGGCATGCAGTACACAGCACCCCACGACGTTCAGACTATTCCGGGTGTCCAACAACCAACATATGCGCCAACCGAATTCACATATCAGAACTGGGATCACGGAATACTGGACAAATTTGAGACGTACCCAACATTTGATAACCTCTCTATTGATTCGGCACTAGCGGCACTAGATCCCACCATAAATCTAGCCGCGCCGACCGAGGATTCACCCCCCGAGGCCATTCCTAATGAATTGCCACATTCCCAAGGGGAAAGGTCAGTTTTTAAATCCTCCATTCTGCGGCTGATCACTTCTGATTAGGATACAGGCTCCGTTACCATGTAGCTCTACGAACCCGGACCTCCATGGTTAAGTCTCGTGATGAAGATCCCATATCATATCTGAACAAGGGACAGGTCTATGGTCTTATGGTTATGGATTTAAATCCGCCTGCAATGACCCCTGAAGTGCTCCGATATCGAACCTTTGTCCGCGTTTCTTTCGATGACGAGGAGCAACGATCGAATCCCGCATTATGCTGGAAACTGTGGAAAGAGAGCCGCGGCACAACTGAGGCACAGCAACGCGGTAGCGACCTCTTGGCAATTGAATTTGCTGCCGAAGATAAGGATCAACGCCATATGCAGCTTGAACAAGTGTGCATTGACGGATTTTGTGTTACCTGGACTGCTGAACGAGGCGAAAGCACCAAACGCTGCCAGATACCCTTACGATTCAATTTCCTGTCCACCGATTTCAGTCATTCAAAAGGAGTAAAGGGTGTTCCGATCCGACTTTGCGCGAAGACCGAGCTTCTGTCACTGGAAAGTGTCGATGAGCCGTGTGAATCAGAGATGTGTTACTGCAAGGTCAAACTGTTCCGGGATCATGGCGCAGAGCGTAAAATTAACAATGACATTCAACATGTCCAAAAGTCGATTGCAAGGCTAGAGCAGCAAATCAAAGATGTTCCGCTGGGAGGTAGATGTAACAAACGTCGGCGGGCAAACAATACTTCGACGGATATGAAAGACTCGGATGGATTGGACCATGGGCGTATTGGGTCGAGCTTTGGAGAGTGTTCGATTGAGGACGACCTGCGGAGGAAACTGGCTGTTAGCCAGAGCATGCTATCGTCAATTCGTACAATCAGCGTTCTGGCTCTTCGTGGTGAGAAAGGGGATGACCCTGACAAGTACCCTATTCACTTGACAAAGAACCAAAAATCAGCGGAGGACGTGAGAGGTACAAGTATTGAAGGCCAAAGCCTTGACCTGCCATCTCAGCTAACAGCTAAGCAGCCGTCGAAACCAAGTAAGGCATCTGATCTCCACACGTCATCGACTTTGTTACTCACTAATATCTAGCTGCCTGCTTCTTTATTCGAGCCAACAACGAACCAAACGACGTCTTCCGTGCGATCTACTTACCGGAACGCACGGCCGAAGAGTTGAAGAAGAAGATCTGCGAGAAGTATCATATTGACCAGTCAAAGATTGAGCACTTACTGCGCATCGTCAACGATGATTTGAAGATTATAATCGACGACGACCTTGTTGGTCAGCTTCCAGTGGGGCAGACTATGATCGTCGATATTTGCGAGACCACCAGTGTTGTTGATGGCGGTTCTTGTTTGAAGGAGATTCGGTTGAAGTATTGATATCAGATTGTATGACGTCATATTACAGTCGTAAGGAATGGGGACTAATGGCAGTAATGCAGGATCTCCGGTAACAGAGCGACCCTAGGACCCCTCCTTGACCTTGGATAAGAAAGATAATGTGGAATGTGGCGTACTGTACATAGCCACAATTGATTAGGTCGAATGAATTCACTCCGTCATTTTCGTCACTATTTCCCCAGATGGGATAAACCCAGCTGTTTGAGTTTGAGTTTGGCAATAGTTACTAGTTTAGTCTCTGGTTGTGGCGTCCTAAAACCGGAGTAAACAAAAGTAGTACAATTTACGATACGAAGAAACAGGGTTTGGCGTATCTAATCAATGACGTAGGGTGATCCCTTACCCGTATATAACCCCGACAACCATCGCCCAAAATATCAATCAGTTCTATATCTACAAAATAATCAGATTCATTATTCAAACCTCAACGGGAAAAACTAAATATCACAACTATGGACACTATTAAGGTTTGAGAAGCCCTGGAGTCATCCTCGAAATGAAAGAAAAACATCGATTAATTTTCAGCACAGGACGCCGCCAACTACGTTTCGGAGTCCATCCAGGGCGCCGGGGCCGAGGCCTCGAAGGAGGCCAACAAGGAGGTTGCGAAGAATGACGAAGCCAAGCTGAGCACTCGCGCCAGTGCTGCCAAGGATGCGATCGTTGATAAGAAGGACGAGAAATCTCATGATACCAAGGCCGATGTTTACAAGGGTAGGTCATAGCTCACTATCTGGTGTTAAATGAGAATAGAACTTGAATGCTGACAAGGTTTTAGAACGTACAAAGCACTGAACTTGACTCGATTCTTTGAGCCTTGGAATGCCACATTGGGAACATAAATTTACTACTACTACTAGTAAGAAGGGGTTAGGTAGTGCTGTTTGATACCACCAGTACATATATTGATAGCGAGTTTGACGGCAATTTTACTTTTTCAACTAAGACAGATCATAAATATTGCTTATAAATGACCACATTTATGAACTTTCACGCCTCCCAGCAGACCTAATAGTAGCCTAAGTATTGTCATCTGGGCTGTAAATACACCTCCCACCTCGCGGCAAGGGCAAACGTATTGCTGTATCAGCCCGAACAATTTGTGAGATGGTTTTCAATTTCACAGGCATGGTCAAAATAAGTCCATTCCGGATCCCATTGCATCGCGTTCAACAACCGCTCGGGCGACAACTGTCAGGGCGACAATTATCGCCCTGGAATGTTGTTTAGGAGTAATTTCAAAGCACGAATTTGTCGTGTGGATCTAAAAAAAAACCCAAAAAAAAAGGTCTGCGCTCCGAATACGGTAGCGTGCAGCATAGTGATTCCATAATTTACGCATAAGACGATGCGAATCCGGTACGGGTGTTTCTGAAACAATCAAGAGCTTCCTGTCCATTTTGCGCGGTGAGTTAATCAAGCACTAGCTTTTTTATGAAAGCAACAAAAACTGGTTGTCATCTACTATCAGGACAACATCGATCCTCGCTCGGATGAAGTAGGCGGAAGTACAACCATTTGGCAAACAAATCAATCCAAAGATTGGAAGGCTTCTCCATGGCCCGAAGTATATTAGTACTAATCTCTAAATTATCTTATACAGCGGGGCAGCTTGCACGAGGCTTCCACTCTGTTTGACTTTTCCTCCGGTCCTCAATTCGGTATCGGAGCTTTTCGACACGCCGACAATCATTTTTAGGATTCCTCATGCGAGTAAACGCCCCGTGCAGGAATAAATATGGGTGGTACTCTGCCGATCACCTCGTATTCCCCGGGCTATGGGGTGGACCCTGCGGCATCACAAACCCCTTCGCAACACTCCAACCCTTGGTGCCAAGAAATTAGCAAAGTGTGAGGTGGTGATAATTGGACACTGAACAAACCTTTGCCGTATTGGCCCTTGGCATATGCGGCTAAGTCCGCGAGGACCAAATTTCATCCCGCGAACACGAGGTGCCATCAAGGGGAAATGCGCCTGAGGCTGAATTAAACATAAGATGGGAAAGCCCCGCAAAAGTCTGAAGTCTGTTCATCTCAAATTGAAAATTCACTTTCGCATCGACAACCTGACTGTTTTACAAGTAGTACTAGTACCTTCGTGGGCACGTCCTAGTCCAAAGCCATGAGGGCCACTTCGATTCTCTCATTACTATCATGCCTCGCCTACTCACCATTGGCCTCGGCATGGATATATACCTGGCACTCTCCAAATGATACGCTGCTTTCTTTTCAGGGGAATAAGCCCCTGAGCTGCAAATCAATGAACAACCCCATTGGCAATGTGTTCAACTGGGAGCCCCAAGATGGGCACTGGTGCATTTTCATGTACTCAAATTCAGATTGCGATAACGAAAATGTTGGCTATACATGCAAAGATTGGGAGTGGGCGAGTCATCCTCGTCAAAACACATTTTATCTTTCCAAGTGACGAATAATACTTCTGTGTTCCTCGCCACATCCACATCGTCAGCATCAGCGACCAAGACTACTACCTCCGAATCATCTACAGCAACCGGTGCCACCTCCACCACACCCTCTGCCGCCACCGCCACAGCGACCAGCGAGCCAACAGGCTCAGATAGCAAGGCTGGTCTATCGGGTGGTGCGATTGCAGGAATAGTGGTGGGAGCTTTAGCAGCTGTGGCTATTGCTGGCATTCTTCTCTTCTTTTTGTGTTGGCGACGACGAAAGAACAATGCGCAGAACATCGACGATACCCGAACAGAATCAGCAACGGGCATGGTGGAGCTTTCTAATTCTCACCCCGAGGAAGAAAAGGCATCCATTTCAGAAAAGCCTCGATCTCGACAGGAGACTCTACGGGAACTCAAGGGATCGACCGCTGCGTCGGAGATGGGGCCTGGGACCGAGAGGCACGAACTTCATTCACCTGTCGTGGAAAGACATGAGCTGTATACGGAGAGATATGAACTAGATTCGACACATCTCGACGTAGAGAAGAAATCTTGATCGTCCGGAACCGCATCTTAATATGAAATAATACAATTGAAAAGGAGACGTGAAGACGCGCATGTTATTCCACATGTTAATAATTGATCGGGATTGTTTGATATACTTTGTTTGAGATTTCATTGAGTTCTCTCTGACCGACCCACTTCTGAGTAAGGTGCCTTGTGATCGTCGAGAGAGAAACTCAGTGCTAGATAGTAGTTCGGATCGAACCGAGAAGTCTAGACCGTTATTTATGGAGCGACTTAGGGAGCCTCAATCGCCTGTCTCAATGCCCTGACGTAAGAATTCTACAACGTGCTAATTCGTTAGTCCCCTTTAACAAAGTGGCACGTATTAGACGTATTATGCTAACGCAAATTTACCGAATCTGCTGCCGAACCTTTGCCGATGGCTAGGTGGCTTTAGTAGATCAATCTACGCAGACTCGGGTCAGAGGGGACCAATGATGCTATTTGCACCCAGGATAAACTATTAATCTGGAAAGACTTCCTGGGAACAAGAATCTAAAAGCCGTAAAGATAATTGTTGGAAACTCCATACGTATTTTCAGAGATTGCTTTGAACTTGATTTCACAGCAAATCGGTGGGGAATAAAAAGGTGCGGACGGCCACTATTTGGAAATAATACCTCTTTATATTCCTAAAAAAATTAGCTGACATATCAATCTTCTCTTCGGAACCGGCCGTAAACCTTCTCTTTCTTGTAAAATGATGTTGCCTGCGAAGGAGTGTGGCTTGGATTTTATTTCAAAGGCGCCAAGCGGATGCCAAGATCGTCCGCGGCGCAGCTACTGCTTTTTGGCCCTGTCAGCTTCTCGGAGATCATACCACTTAACTCCGGTGCTAACAATACTGGCCATTCGAGCTTCCAAGACACAATATTATTTGCTCACCATACTGCACTTGATGACTTGCTCCACACTTGGTCTCGATCTCCCGGCAAAGACTTGATCTCGGCGTTTTGGTGATCGACAGTGGTTCTTTAGTAAACCAAGGTACCATAGCGACCGACCATTGCTATCTATATAAGGATATCCTGTTTTTTTTTTGTCAATTCGAGAAGTTGTGCAAACCATTCTATCATATTATCAAATCCAAACGAACAGCAAAAATGACCCTCCATTTGTCATTTCCTCTTCTGCTCGCCTGCGCGTTCCCAATCATTTTGGCCGCGCCATCATCATCGGCCTATCTACAAACCGATACTCCAACCCAATTTCCAACAAGAAATACCAATGCCGAACCTTTACTTTTGGTTCCCGAGGCCGAAGGAGATACCGGCGACAATTCAGAGACAGGCCGACTACTTTCTCGCAATGACGTATCACAAGAACCTGTGATATATGGAAAAGACGACAGCGAACGACAAATAGCAATGTGTGAAGCCGGATTTGTGCGTTCTTGTTATGCTGCAGTGGAAGCAGGAAATTCAGATACCAGTCCTCCGTTCACGACTGATACTCTCGACACAGACTCGCCCTTTACTTTTCCTTCCACTGGCTTCCTTGTTGCTACTTTCGCTGCCTTTTGTATTCTGGCTATGATTCGCAAATCTCTGGGTCGGAGAACTGCTCCTCAGCAAGAGGGGAAGAAGTAGAAGGGATCAACAAGTTGCACCACTGTATGCCTGATTTGTACTAGTTGAGAGCAAACTTGGAGTATTTAGAAGACTCCGGGTGCACTGGCTCAATAGCTGGATTGTCGATGGCACGACTTATGATTAATGGATCTCATGATTTAAACCTTGCTTCTGTATTCTATTTTTGATTTAAAGTAGCGCCTGAACAGAGTCCATAAATAGCAAATTTTATTTTGATGCTCATTAGAAATCAAGTTCACCCGTTCGGAATACTTCCGCCCCATGAAATTGGAGAATTGAGTACCGCTTATCTTTCATGGGCCCAGAACTCGAAATCATGGTATTACGATTCTCGCCGACGAGGCAATTGTGATAGTACCATGATGGAGATTAATAATATGAGTACCTGTTAATTCCCTTAACAATTTAAATCCTGTACGTACTACTACATACTACTAGTAGTAGCTAGCAGGGCAAAGATGTCAGCATCTCGCATGAACTCCACTCTGAAGACCCACTACATATTCCTTTGATTCCTTGGGTGTGGAAAATAGTAAATAATCACTGTCAGCACTTTTGATAAGCCCTGTTCATGACCGCTGATACAAGGTTTCTACAACGTGTTTACTGGTCGTGCAAAAAAGTATTGCAAGATGGGAATACTCGCTGGCAGTCTGCTGTGGCAGACGGGTCGATTGCTGCGAGTGTGGTGGGTTTGTCCTTGGTGACGGAAGTCGAATGATACCATGAAAGAGAGAGATCATGATGAAAGTGTTGTGATGTTCTAGACAAAGGAGGGAGGCTGTAGTAGCTATAGGCCGATCTTGAGAGCCTGAGACATCTGGCCTAACCTTTAATGTCAAGAGCAACATGCAGGAAGCCCTGGTGTACAGAGGGGAATAATATAGCGTCCGTGGCTACATTTGCCAAGCGATTTATCAAAGCCATACTGGACGCAGATTGAGATTTCCAAATGCAAGTGAAGTCGAGAGCGTCACAGTCGTTGGGTATATAGTAACCAGAGCACAGTTGTGTCAGGGACGACCACCTGGAACACGGCTGGGTTTTTTCTTAAAAAAAAAAGAAATAGGATCCACATTTTCAAAAGGATGTCGACCTCATTTGAGAGTAATGAATAAAGAAGCGACTGTGAGCAATTTCGAATGACGTGGTGAGGATCTCCAAATAGGCTGCGAGTGGTTGCGAGTCACTACGACGATTACTCCAAGATAGCAGATATTCGAGAAAGAAATAAATTTTGGTATCTAAAACCTATGTACTCATAAAACCATCATCAAGTGCCAGGGGGGGGAATGCAGCACTATTTTACTCGTCATCACCGAAGAAAACCTTGATGGGCAACCAGTCGTCGCCGCAGACCTTGAAGCGGTCCTTCAGGCCATCCAGCTGAGCAACTTCATCATCGGAGAGAGTCAGACCGTCAATCTCGAAGTTGCCGTCAATGCGAGACTTGCTGACGGACTTGGGGATGACACTCCAGCCCTTCTGGATACCCCAGACCAGCAGGACCTGCTGGGGAGTCTTGCCCTTCTTCTCAGCGAGCTCGAGGAGGGTAGCGTCCTTGTACAGAGGAGAGTTGGTAGAGCCCAGGCAGGAGTAACCGGTGGAGTGAATGCCCTTGGAGGTGTTGTAGGCAACCAGCTTGGGGGGAGGGGTTGTTGGGGTGCAGCTCGATCTGGTTAACGGCGGGGACGATCTTGGTGGAAGGGTCGTTGAGGAGGATCTCGAGGTTCTTGATGCCAAAGTTGGAGACACCGATGTTGCGGACCTTGCCGGTGGCAGGGAGCTTCTGCATCTCTTGCCTGTGAAATTCAAAAATGGGTTAGAAAGACGTTTTCGAGTGAGTTGTCAGCGCTGCAGTGAGAGTGTGCCTACCAGGTCTTGATGAAGTTCCAGTCGGGGAGGTGCTTGGACTTGTCCTCGGGGTCGGTGGAGCTGGGCCAGTGGACAAGGTAGAGATCAATGTAGTCGACACCGAGATCCTTCAGCGAGGAGGCAATTCCATCCTCGACACAGTGGTGCCAGGTGTTGTCCAGCTTGGTGGTGAGCCAGATCTGCTCGCGGGGCACACCGGAGTCACGGATACCAGCACCAACCTCAGCCTCGTTGCCGTAGGCCAGGGCGGTATCAATGTGACGGTAACCCTTCAGAAGGGCATCCTTAACAGCAACACGGACCTCATTGGGCTTGGATTGCCAGGTTCCCAGACCAATGGCGGGGATCTTGTCGCCAGTGTTGAGAGTGTAGGTCTTTTGGGTGTGGTTGGCCATTGTGATGGTTTGTGATAAGAGGAGAGGGGAAGGGAGAAGAGAGGAAATCAGAGAGATGTAAAGTAAATGGGATTAAGCCCAACAAAGCAAGGGGCTTGAGTCTTTTATAGGAGGGGGGAGTGCGACGTAAAGTGGGCAGGTCCAAGCAGCCACGATGTCGCAACCAGTGAAGATGCCCCGCTTTGAATGTGGGGGTTCTACGAGTATCTCTTCCTTTTGCTTTGCCACGTTGCCCGGGATTATGCGATTTTTTTCCAATCGGTGAACCGAATACAATTCAGCCGAGCGGATGGACTACGGTAATCCGATCTCCGTAGTGGCGGGCATCCTTGAGCATCGCGGGGCTCCGGAACACATTACTACCAGTATGATGCCATATGGGGGATGTATTCCGGCTAAATGCAGAGGATATCTACCAATCAGCGGCTTGAATTGGCCGTAGATCCACTCCATATCAGTGAACCCTGCTAATTGCAGCAGTCTCGATTCTAGAAACTTCGTTTGTACTCCGTAAGTGAAACAAGAAAGGAACTTGAACTATATAGAATTATTATAGAAGTTTCCAAGTTTAGAAAGATAGACATAACCTCGACCGTACTACACCAAATCAAAGGTCGAGGGGCAACAAGATAAGCTTAGCCGGAATAGAACCACCTTTATAAAGTACCACATGCGGCGATCAGCCTCGATGCAAATATGCATCATCCTTGTCGGATGTGCCTTGAATCTTCATTTTCGCAGATCTTCTTCTTTGTATCCACCGCGCTTGTTTTTTAAAGACATCACTACTACTATTAGTAACAGAGTAATTAATATTCCCGCGTAACGCTCCAAATTACCCACGACTCCACGCCGGGTAAATTGGGCCTCGTCTTCCCATTCTCCAATTCTACCGAAGCGCTTCTCCAACTTGAACTTTCTCCACCCCCAACCAATCGGGGAATTAGCCTAATGGCTGTCCATGCTGCCGCTTCAATTTATCAGCCACTTTCTCCCCAAGTTATCTGACTGAGACGCATTTCAGAGATCCATCATCTCCAAAGTGCCGATATGGAGACCAACGCTTTCCGAAACCACCGTCTCAGCTCGATAGCTGCCAGCGACTCAAGCCCGAAATCAATATTCAAATTGACCGACCTCAACGGGAAGTCGTAGATTTCCCGTCTGGTCTCCAGCGGCGCTGGCGCCGCCAACTCCGCCAACCCCCAAGAAGCTCTGCTGCCCCGTGTCCATTCCTGTCAGCTCCCCGTGGAGCTATTCCAGCTAGCTGTTCTCGGAGCCTGCCTGGGGATTCTTCTTCGTCGGCAAAAGTAGAGCTACATTCCAGTCGAGAGTCACAAGACCAGATGGTTGTGTTTTTGAAGTCAAATTGAAGCCCCAATTTTAACCTAGTGACGAACTGATCACATATGCTCTCATGGTTGTAGTATTCCCACCTCAGTTATGCTGTTCACCAGCCCAGGCCCATTACCCCCCCTCGGACGGCAGCAATTTGAGCACCGCAGCCTTCTCGCTCGTTAGAAACCATTCCTCACTCCTCACCGAAAGTGTACAGTACTCGCATCTTCAAAGTTCCGCAAGGCCCACGGGAATCATTGCGACGATCAATTCCGGCGAATGGCAAAATGGAAATATTCCATGAAGCTCTACTACCACGCAGGGTCTCAATGATGGTCAATCATTAGCTTTTGACTTACTGCCCACGCCAAGAACAAAATGCCGTACCAGTAGGCTTTATTTACCGAGCGCACAGGCATAACGGAAAACAGTCCTTGTCAAGGATGTTCTTGAAGGTTCGCGACCTGCAGGGCGGCTGCGGCACGGCTCTGTGTCAAATAACTTGTGACTTGCACAGATGAATACTATATCTCACATCCATGGATATTGAAAGGGCAATCTTGGAACTTGAAGCTGCACATATCTGGTTCAACTTGCTACGGACTCAACACCTGGACATACGACTATAAACACGAATCTTGGGCTTATTTGGACTGTTCTAAGCACGGTACTAACTTGACTTCATCATACCACAGATCCACAGCCCATAGACCAGAAATATATCAAATCCGAGTTTTACTTTTATGTACCTTGTTCCTTGACCACATTTCACTAATTTGTAAGGGCCCGTCACTCTCAGTCGGGCCGGATAAATTCACCGCCCTCGGCCTCGGAGCCTCCCAAGCTCTCTCTTTCCCCACTTCGAAACCAACCCCATATTTCATTCTTATTGCCCTCCCCAATTATTCCCGATTGCCCCAACATAATGTCCTCCGGATTCGTGGCATCCGGTACAAACGAGCAGCCGGTCGAGCGGGATGACGACTGGCTGCGCGCCGAGCAGGAGCTGGAGGAAGAGCGTCGGCGCAAGGTGGAGATGGGCAAGCAGAATGATGGCAAGAGCCTGTTCGAGGTGCTGGAGCAGAACAAAAGTGAGTATAATCGGGGACTTGAACACCATGGAATAGGCCATCCAATTTGTCATTGGTGCCTTGCCGTACCGCAGAGCGAACGTGGCTAACATGTTAGGATGATCGTTCCACAACACAGTGGCCAAACAAGAAGCCTTTGAGGAGAAAACCAAATTGAAGAACCAATTCCGCTCCCTCGACGAAGACGAAGTTGACTTCCTTGATTCCGTCCTCGAGTCTACTCGTGCCCAGGAGGCCGCCGTCAAAAAGGATACCGCCGATCAGCTAGAAGTCTTTCGCAAACAACGTGAGGAGGCCGAGAAGGCGCTTCTAGGTCCCACAACGTCAGATGTCACTCCTGCAGAGGAGGAGGAATGGGCGATCCCGGCGCGTAAGCGACGCAGGGATAAGAAAGATTTTCTTCTACCTGGGAAGAAACGAAAGGCTTCGTTGGAGGGAGGAAAGGATACGGCTGGGTCTCCAGACGCGAAAACAAATCAATCGAGCCAAAAGAATGGGATAAGTGCTACTGGCGCGCCACCGAAGTCATCGCTTAAGCAACAGCCTGAAAGCGTCAACGTGGCTAGTAATGCCACAAAGCCGTCAGCCGCACAAGGGAGATCAGATGCGACCGACAAAGGCCAATCACAAACGAATCAACCGAAGAAAGAAGCGCAGACTTCAGCTCCAGCTCCGGCTCCGGCGGGGCTTGGACTGGTCGGCTACGGGTCAGATTCCGATTCGGAATAAATATAATCGCATATCAATTCGCGGCTATGATTGGATTGGCTTGCACCGGCGTATGCCGAGCTCCTGTGTGACACTAACCATCTTTTAATGTAAATATACCCCGGATAATGTTCTGGTAACTCTTGTTATAATAACATCATCATCATGCCCCCACTGTTCCAGCAATCACCATTTGGGCCCAGAAATAAAGCGCATAACCCATAAAGATCCGGAGCCACCCAGGGCTTTTCGGCCCAGAAGATCTCCCAAAGGCATTCTTCGCAACAAAAAGGTCGCTTACAACAAACATAGCAGCTCCCAGGGCCCGCGAGGCCAACCAGCTGGTTGGAACGGTCAGCGGGGATGTGGAAGTAGCGGCAGCAAACATCGTCCCGATGATAACAGCATAAACCGAAACCAATGGCTTCATATCCGGAGCAATATCGAGGTCCAGGACATTGGTCTGAAGTGAGGAGTGTGGCTGGGGATATATGACACCTAACCACTTTGCAGCGCCCATAGTCCCTACGAATGTGAGGGCAAAAGTCGTCCAGGAGATCTCGTAGGAATTTTGCAGGAAGGCTACAGTGTAGGCAATATGGGCTGCTGCGAAGGCGACGATACCGAGTTGGAACGATATCGATACTTTTCCTTGCACTTCCGACTTTCCGGAGGCTGAATTGTTGCTGTCCAGACCGTAGAATTCACGCCGTGAAGGAATCAGAAAGAAGTCGCCCAGCATGGAAAAGCCAAGACCGATGGTAATGAGGCGGCGATAGTCTGACCACTCTTCAGATGGTAAGAGCAGTGGGCTGCTAAGAAAAGCAACCGAAGAAAGCATTTTGAACACTGCTGTGCCCGCGTGTGATTTGGATTTCCATTCTGAGAGAACCAGCAAGGGCAGCGAACCCAGCAGCAAGCACGCCGAAGTCGAAATTGACATATCGGAGGATTTGTGGAGTCTAACAAGGCATGGAATGAAATAAGTGTTTGGATTATGTTCCAGATGATCGTAGTTCAAGAAGCAAGGTGGTCAACAGTCAACCCCACCCGGTTAGTACTAGTAGAATATGAATCTTCTGTCACAAGCAAATATCCAAACTGTGCGTGCGCGAATTTGGCCGAGGCGCGATACGGAATTGTAATATGTTCCGCTTTTTGACCCACCCTTATGGCGATGAGAGTACGAGTATATAGGTCAAATTTGTTCACTTATAATCTACTAGTATCTAGTACTAGTACCTACATGAGCAGGCTCAGAGTTCCAATTAGCTAGCAGCTGCGCCACTGGCTAAAGCACTACACAAAATGTTGTCATGGGATATCTAAGGGTTCCGAGACGTTTCCTAGTCCTCCGACCTTGGAAGGTTCCGCAATAGTATCTTGTTTCTCTATCACCTAGGAGGGCATTACTATTATTTGCGGTAGGTCGATGATATTGAAACTTTCGGGTTCACAATTGGGCCGCTATCCTCCCCTGCTATTTTTTGACCGCATTTGGACTTGATAAATCCCGGGTCGTACTACTAGTATACATATGTACTAACCGAGGACGAGAGAGACGATCATGAGATATGTGTAGGATGGATGAACTAGCTGAGGCTCAAATAACTAGATTTAGCGGTGTGGACTGACTAAGTCTGCATATATCCCGGAAATATCCATGGATACTAAGCCCATCGGCATGAATGACGCAAAGTTTTGCCAGGAAACAAACTACCAGTACGATGCTCCTTTCGCTGCACTACTCATAATGTTGAGTTTGCAACTTCACCTCTTGCTCTTCAACCTTGCGCTCCAGATCATGGGTGAGGTACTCCTCCTTGCTACTTCCCGGGACAAACCAGGGAGCGTTGGTGAACATATAGTTCATCTCCTCAAGCGGCACCTTCTTCGTCTCCGGAAGCAGAGCGTAGAAGAAGAGGGCATTGGTGAAATTGCACACCACGAAAACGAAATAGAACTTATACTTGATATGCTCCATGGCGATGGGGGTCACCTGGCCGATCATCGTGTTGAAAGCGAACGAGATACCCGTCGCGATGGAGACACCCTTGGCTCGGGTACGGGTGTCGAAGACTTCAGCTGGGATAATCCAGGAAAGCGGACCGCAAGTGCAGGAGAAGGAGAAGTTGTACAACCAGGTCATGATAATGAAACCCCAATGGGCTCCGGTGTTTGTGCTGCTAGTAGGGAACTTCGCCATCAGGATTGTGGCAACGATGAAAGTGAGACAATTTCCTAGGTTGCCGCCGATAAGAGTCCATCGTCGACCGAAGCGGTCGATGAATAGAATGCAGAGGAATTGTGCAATGAGGGCGATAACCGAGTTGATAGCTTGGTATCGGAGAGTATCGGCGCCGGAGATACCGATTTGCGAATAGATATCAACAGAGTAGTATCTAGAGAATGAAAATTAGAGACAAATCTACCTGGACGATATATTTTATACTCACTGGATTGCAGAAACACCGGTCATCTGGACAGAGGCCTGAAGAGCACAGCAGAGGAACAATCGACGGAAGGAGGATCGGTTCGTGAACAGCTCAATGTAGGATTTGGCCTCGTGTTCATGCTCGAAAGTGATGCTCTCTTGAATCTGAGCATATTCGGCTTGCACCCAAGCATCAGTTTCATCTCCATGAGCGTGCAGCTTCGCCAATGTCTTGAGGCCCTCCTCGGAGCGATTATGATCGATGAGCCAACGGGGTGACTAAATGCATGTTAGAGCGCCGTAAGGGTTCTAGGTAAACCACAGGATATCATACCTCAGGGAAAAAGGTGATCAACAAGCCCAGCACCACGGCAGGGAGGATTTGCAGACCCAAGGGAAGTTGCCATTGCGCACTGTTACTGGGGTCGAACCCGACATAAGTGCCGTATGAGATCCATGAGGCACAGAGAGCACCGACTCCCAGCATGAACTGTTGCAACGCAGTCACTCGGCCACGAATCTTAGGGTGGCAGATCTCAGCCTGGTAAAGAGGGATGATCATAGTCAAGAAACCGACACTGGAGGTAGGAAGCCGTTAGTATTTCTACTGTCTTTTTTAGTAGATGAAAAAGAGGTCACTTACCCAAATCCAGCAAGGAATCGACCGCTGTAAAGATACGCGAGGGTCTTCGCAGCCGTCTGGAGAGCACCGCCGAGACAGAATATAAGGCATCCAAGAGAGATGGTGCGGCGACGACCAAGGTAATCACCAGCAGGGCCAGCTAAACAGGCTCCGAAGAAAGCACCAGTAGTAAACATAGACACAACTAGACCACTTTTCATTTTCACTGTTAGCACCCACACCAGCGAACAAAGCTGAATGGAAGCTCACCTTTGCGTCGAGTTCGCTTCAAATTTGTCCACGAACGACTGACAGACAATAACCTCTGCGATAACACCAAGATCATCTGGAAATAATTAGCGGAGACGAACTGTGAAAATGAGCTGCAAAATTAGTAGGTTTTACTACTTACATCCGTAAAGGAAAGATCCAACGGAGGCGAACACGCCGACCAGGAACTATTAAAAAAATTTAGTATTCAAGATACTTTGACATTGCACATTAAAAGCCGTGTTTCATACCTGGTACCATGCCGGTGACATACGCATGGTGAACTCTGTTCTTTGGCAACGAAATTAAAAGATTTGATCAGAGGCGACCCACGATCAGTAAAGGACGGGGAACGAAATCTGGGGATCTCCACAGAAAAAAAACATCAACTCCACCGGGGGGAGCTGTCATCTACATATAGTACTACCATTCTGAGTCCAGACGGCATAAAATCGACGAGGCGAGCTGCATCGCTTAGGGTTCGGAGAAACAAACTCCTTAACTCAAGCCACACAGCTGATCGCATCGTGTGGCATCGACAAATTTGACCTTTGTCAGAAATATCCGGGATGGAGCTATACTCCAAGTGGACGGTCACGAAGGCCATTCGCTAACCCGCTAACCCGCAGATCCATCTCCGCAAATTACACCTCCCGAGGTCGTGCCGAACTCCCCAGGTCCTATTAACCGGGCATATCTACGGAACAAACAGAGCAGAGCTGTTAGATTCCACTATCTACCGAGCCTGACTGTCAGAAAATGGTTCGCGAGTTCTAACACCAAGTGATCTTTTGCCGTTCGTACTAGTATGTGGCGGCTGCGTTTCCCTTGCTGCGCCGTGATTGACGGAAGATTTCCAGGACTTGGCGGCACTTCAATCTGTCAGTCCACAATGCCGAGTCATTGGGCGATATCGGTCCCCTCGAACTGTTAGCCTCTCCGTTCTCTGCCCACTTGCCCACTTGAGCGCTTCAAATGGCCGGCCCCTAGCACCAAACGGGCATCGTCGTTTGCGCCAGCTCTTTTTGTCCACTCCGCTTGGCTGGGGTCTCGACTCTGCCCCGCAGGAGATTTTCCGCTTCAAGGTGATAACTTGGGTCGTCTTGGATAGAATGGTTGAAGCACGAGATGTACGCGCTATCATTATGGAGTGAGTGTGGATTCGATGGACTCTGGCGATTGGACTGAAAGGAGTGTACTTTTCGTGCGACATTTCTTCCCCGCTCGCTTGATCCTTGATCAAACATCATCCTGGCTCGAATTTCCTGACCTATAATTTCCAGCCACCGGACAGACGTGAACTTGCTTGTAGACAAAGCTTCTTCCTCCTGAGGCTTCTACGCGATTTGAGTTGCCAGCATGACTACTTTCACCAAGTTGGGGGACCAAGACACCTCTGTCATCTCCGTTCATCCTTCGCGTCGGATCTCGAAGATTAATCCCAACATCTATGCTGGTTTTACTGAGTAAGTGTGGTCAATTAAAAACTACCAGACCGCGCATGGCATGACATCGAACTCGGAGACAATATATGCTGACGCTACCCTAGGCATATGGGCCGATGCATCTATGGAGGCATCTACGAGCCGGGAAGTCCACTTTCCGATGAGAACGGTTTCCGGAAGGATGTATTGGAGGCCCTGAAGGACCTCAACATCCCTGTTGTTCGGTATCCCGGTGGTAACTTCTGTGCTACCTACCACTGGCTCGACGGAGTTGGCCCGAAGGACCAACGGCCATCGCGGTATGTCAATCCCAGCTTTATAATCCACCATTCCATTTTCGTATGACTCTAGTAAAGGGTTCCTGTATTGATTTATTATTAGACCGGAGCTTGCATGGCTGGGAACTGAGACTAACCAGTTCGGAACGGATGAGTTCATGAAATGGTGCGAGGTGATCGGCACGGAACCATATCTGTGCTTCAATTTCGGAACCGGTACCCTGGACGAAGGTAATTGATTACCATCACCTCTTTATACTGATTAAATCATTGACTGTTCCATAAGCACTTGCCTGGGTTGAGTACTGCAACGGTACTGGGAATACATACTACGCGAACCTTCGCCGAAAGAATGGCCGCGAGGAGCCATACAACGTACGTATCAGACCCAATTCATTTTCTATGTCCAAAGACTTATAATCTTAGGTCAAATACTGGGCCCTTGGAAATGAGACATGGGGTCCCTGGCAAGTTGAGCAAATGACGAAGGAAGCATATGCCCACAAGGCACTGCAATGGGCCAAGGGTAAGATTACCCCAAAAGACCCCAAAACAACCGTTCTAACCTTTACGCATAGCTCTCAAACTCTTGGACCCCAGCCTGATTCTCATTCTCTGCGGTCAAGATGGTACCGCAACATGGGACTACTACACTCTCAAGCACTGCCTGCTGCCGGCCCACTCAGCCCTTTCAACCAGCGCAGTTCCATTAATCGACATGCACAGTATCCACCTTTACACCTGCTCTAATGACCACCTGCCCAACGCAACTGCGCCTTTAGCTGCAGAACGAGCTATCGAGATCACCTCAGGCCTGATCGACCTGGCCCGTATCGAAAATGGCGTTCCGCCAGAGCAGCTCCGTCCAACTATCTGCTTTGATGAATGGAACGTGTGGGACCCCATTCGCGCAGAGGGGAGCCAGGGTGCTGAAGAAAGCTATACGCTCTCCGATGCGCTGGCTGTGGCCGTCTGGTTGAACGTCTTCGTGCGAAAGAGTCGCGATCTCGGCATGGCTTGCATCGCCCAGAGCGTCAATGTGATTTCGCCGCTCATGACGACGAAGGAGGGTATTATCAAGCAGACTACTTGGTGGCCGCTGTATTTGTTTTCGAAGTTCATGCGCGGCTGGACCGTTGCGTCGCATGTTTCTTGCGGTACCTATGAGGGTGAGACCTCGCCGAAGTGGTTGAGGAGTGCGATGGAGACTCCTTGGTTGGATGTGAGTGCTGCGATTGGTGAGGATGGCTTTGCGAATCTGGCGGTCGTGAACATTCATGAGCAGAAGGACTTCGAAAGTAAGGTCGATGGAGTGGTTGGTGATGTTGTTGTCTACACTGTTACTGGTGAGGGTATTGCGGCTACTAATATGAAGGGCCGGGAGGAGGTTGCTATTAAAGAATCCAGTTGGGATGGAAAGGGGTCTTATGTTTTCCCCAAGCTTTCGGTTACTTTGCTGAGATGGAAGGCAGAGTGAAAAAGTGCTGCATGTGAGACTGCCTTAGAAGTTCGTGATTTTTCTATATAAATACATCAAACATCATCAAACGCATCCAATAAAAACTGCCTTACAGTTCTTACAGTCTCTTCATCTTATATGCATAGCAGGGATAGTAGTAGTAAATATTCATTTAATCTCTAGATTAATTTAATCTCTAGATTTCACTAGGCCTGAAGATTCTCCGTTACATCGTTACACCTGGGCATATAATAATAAGGTATGGGATGATGTCGCCTAGCCGTAGGTCACATTTCGAACAGTTCCATCCTCATCAACATGAACATTGAGTCTAGATGAACAGTCAGTGAGTACTATATTGGAATATTTAATGATACTAAGGCGATCTGATAGCTTGCATACCTCTCGGGGCGGTGGTCCATGGTCTGCATGTCACCAGGCTTCACGACGCGGTGAGTTTCGGGTAGGTCCTTCTTTGCGAAGGACTAGTAGAGGCAGTGGTGTTAGAGTAGTTCGAACACCGCAATACTTTTGAAGACAAACATACCACCTCATTACTTGTGTCGCTAAGCTTCTTGCCCATCAGCTTGTTGACCCACTCGGACTTATCGCCCATGTCGGAGTTGATGCCGGGAACAACGAGAGGCATGATGAATGAGACTGTCGGTTGAATGGAATTAAAATGATATTTTGGTCTTCTGATAGATGCTTGATGGAATGTCAGAGATTATCAGTACTAGTAGTTGTAAATGGAGAGTGCTACGTCAAGGTGGGCAGGCATCTATATAGACCCCGATGACGATGACGTAGGTGTCAAGAGTGCTTAGTCACTTGCACCGCCAGCGAGATTCGTGAGATTTTCTGGGAACTCCTCAAGTTCAAGTCTCCAGAGGTGTTTCATTGGCTCATAGTCGGAGATAAATGAAGTGATGTGTTGTCGCTTGACCTTCAGGGAAGCTTGATGTCATCTTATCTGGACTTACCAAGGTTGATTACTGCTGGAAGGCATCCCATCACATGGCAGTGGATACCGGACAACCCAAGAATAGCCCTAGTAATACTATTACTATTAGTACCAGTACTTGTATACTTCGCAATGTGTATGCTTCGCGATGCCAAAGGGAAGCTGCGTGAGGAGGCTGCGATGGCAGCTGCGATGCACATCGATTGTGTTGACTGTTGACTTCAAATTCGACTTCGACTTCTCCTCACCTTCTACTCCCTCCTTCCTTTCTCCCTTTCTTCATTCTTCACATCTCCAGCACCTTGACCAGATTCACTTGCAACTACTCCACTGGATATATCTGCCATGACTTCCTCTTCGCATGGTGTCGTGACATTACCGATTTGGTCCAAGACAACCACAGCTGGCCCTAATCCTCTGGACAAACACATCAATGATAAATTCATCACCGTCGTTGTTTACCCTCGACAAGTCGTCACAATCTTCCCCGAGCTTGAGAATGGCTTGGATCCGAACCATCGAGCCAGCCCCTGGATCGTGGAGAAACTTGGCTCGCAAAAGCAACAAGAAGACCAGGAGCAAAGCGAGGCCTCCGCTCCTCCTCAGAACGATGCAGCTTCGAAAGAAACAGAGGGCATAAAGGACGCAACTCAGGACGAAATGCAATCAAAGGCGCGGTTTTGGAGTGAAAACGCCGCTACTTACAATGCAGCAGCAACCCCCATCACATCCGCAAAGTCCAAAAACGTCGCCGTTACAAAGTCCACCAAATCCGAATGGGGCCTCGACAAGGGTTCTATCGCCGCGGTCGTCATCATTTCAATCTTGACCTTCGCCTGTCTCGCTTTTTTGGGATATTGGTACGTTGCAAGAGAGTGCAAAGCGCGCCGCTGTCGCCGACTCCGTGCAAATGACAACCCATTCGACCAATCGTCCCTCACACTAGGCGAAGAGACGAGCAAGGCGCTGGACGAGTTCCTCATGAAGAATGTCGAGCCAGAGCGCACTTCCATCATGTTCAGTCGCAGTCGATCGCCATCCATCACCTATGCCGTTGACGAAGCCGATCGTCGAAATACCAAGGCCTCTCGAAACAGTTACGAGGCGAGTCTCAACAGTATACTGAGAATGGACCACTTGGCTCGTGAATCAGCAGATGGAGCAAGACCCAGCTTTATAATCTCAGATATGACCGATTCCTCGGGCTCGAAAACCATCTCCAGTGGTTCGAAGAGTGATTCGAGCTGTTCAAAAACCATCTCGAAGAGTAGTAGCTCAAGTGGTTCGAAGAGTGGTTCAACTGATCCAAATGGTCGTGACTCGACACCACCAACAACAGTATCAACAGCAACACCACGTGGATCTCTAGAGCTCTCCCCGCGAGACTCGGTGGGATCAAGCATACTCCCTCCAACTACGAGATCCTCGCAACTGTGGGCAACAACATCAGCCGAGACGACCGAAATGAGTTCCCTTCTCAGCAATGACCAGAAGAGCCCGCGTTCCTCGCTTTTAAGTTCCTACAGCTCAAATATGTTACCCAGCTCAGTGAGCTCGCTGGTCCCCTCTTATTCTCGCTCCCGGCGTGCGTCCAATGCATCCCAGTCTTCGGGTCGATATTTCGTTCAGAACCCCGTCCACTCTCTGCCCCGCATGATCAATGATTCTGGCAACTCTCGTCGCAATCACCACAGGTCTTATAGTAGCCGGTCTATGACTATTTCGCCCATTGAAGAGTCTCCTGACTCTTTGGGTACCGCGCCACCCGCGTCGTTGTTCCGGTTTTCTGATGCTTCATGAAATTGGTGGTAGTTTATAGTGTTATAAAAATACTACCTGGGGTTGGTGTTTTGGTGTTTTTTGAATCGTGTATTTCCTTGGAGTCTTTTTGGGTCGGTGGAGACATGGGCCATACTTCACTTCGACGGTCCGCATTACTAAAGAACTGATGAATGTATTTGTTAAGTAGTTCCGTCTCTATGCAGTTGGGAACGGGATGTGTAGTATCTTCACATCGCAAAGTCCTAATTTGAACGGAAAGTTGGCCTTGCATGGTTCTTAACCGTTACCCTACCGACCTAATATTATCAAAGAATCGAAAGAATGATAACACCCGTAGCTAGCGACGCTTCAGCCCAACCTTGGAAGTCCTGATGAGATAGTAAACTTGCCATGCAAATACTAGTAGCTAGAGCGAGTCTAGAGGAACTTGAAACTTTGAGGAAGCCCCGGAGCCTGAGACCCTGGCCAGGGATGAGCAATGTACTAGTAGTGAAAAAAAAAGATTCCCGCAAAGAAAATGTATAGTCCTGGATCATGTCCGTCATGAAAATATACAAAAATTGGAACATCTCGCTAAAAAAATAAATAAACAGAAAGACAAAAGGCAGCCATTACAGAAAGCTGGAGATGGCAGGGGAGGGAAGAGAAGTTATCCCCCGATGCATCGAAGAGAAATAGTAGAAGAAGTTTGCAGTAAGCCTTTGCAGCCATTTACAACTTCTTAATTTCCCGCACACTACGTAAGCAGCGCTCCATGCGCTTCCCACGTTCTCTCTCTCGCACAAGGGTATCCTTTACAAAAGCGCGAATAGCGTCACGGCCGACCTTTTCGCGCCAAGTCGTCCACCCGGCTAATTCGCCCACGACAACATCCTTGTTCCATGAGATCTCCTTTGCAAGACGGCTTGAGTCGGCCTCGCCGTCGCGGATCTTCTTTTCCAGATCGCGGACGGACTTTTGTCGTGATTCTTCGAAGCCGGGTAAGTTGAGGTTGAATTTGCGCGGTAGGGAGGAGGATATTAGGGATGAGCGGGACCGGGAAATTGTGCGGTTTGTTGAGGTTAGGTTGGACATTATGGAAAGAGGGCGTGAGAGGGATTTTAGGATTGCGGCGGTTGTGTTGTCGATTGAGGTTAGTGCGGCGATGTATTGTAGTAGTGGGGAGGAGTCTGTGCTTGAGGTTGATAGGCAGCTGCCGTAGCGGGCGAAGGCAGTTATGTGAGATGTAGGGAGGGCGTTTGTTGGTTCGCGGAGGGTTGATAGGACGGTTGCGCAGAGTGAAACGGCGTCGGCGATGTCCGAGGCGCTATTTTGGAGGGCGTGGCCGCGGCGGATGAGGCTTTTCGTGTTGACGTGGGCGGCGCGGACTATGTCCTGGGCGTGTGTGACGAATGATTCGGTATCACGCATGCCTTCAAGGGTCACGGGTGAGAACTCATCGCTGATTGTCTCGGTGAGAACAGCTGCCTTGCTGCGAGACCGATCGGCCATCATTTCGGGCTGCAGCTCTGGGACGAGAAAGAATTCCCAGAGCATTTCGTGTGTGGCGAAGGTTGGATGGGCCAGGAGCGTTTTTAGAAATCGGTCAAGTTTGTCTTGGAGGTCATGGAGGATAGATCGTGAAGGCTTCGAGTGGACTTGGAAAGGGTTCCGGAAATCAGCCAAGGAGGGCACGTAAGACGCAGGATGTTCGACTGCAAGCCACTTGGCAAGGTTCTCGAAGTCGGCAAAGCTGCGACGACAGGTCGTCACAGTGTACGTTGTTGAGCCCGGTCGTGAAGAAGCTACTGTGTGTGAGGGTCCGTATGGTGCACCCGATTTCAAGATGAATCGAACTGTGGCATCCTCTACGAAGAATGACCGTACCACAGTGGTCACTCGACCGGAGGGGTCTCCGCAGGCCGATGGCGGATGAGACAGTAGGATCAAATCGTCTATACGGTTGCGAACCTCGTCGTCTTTTGCGAGTTCAACGGCCGTCAATCCACGTGCCTCCTTGACATGAACGTCGACCCTAGGGTCCATGAAGAGAATCCGGACCTGCTCAACTCGGCCATACTTGCTAGCCATCATCAATGGCGTGAACCTCTTATCGTTCGTGGCGTTCGGGTCACAGTCGCTCTCGGTGAGGATACGTGTTGTGATTTCGGGGTCTCCAACGATATGTAGGAGGGTATTTCCCTTTGCATCAATATGTGCATCGACTTGAAGAGGTTTTCCATTGCGTTGGGCTTTTTGAGCAGCCGTCAGTGCGGCTCGTACCATGGATTTGTACTCAGGGTGATCGTAGGACCGACAGAGGGCAAAAAGTGGCGTTTGGCCATGTTTGTCGCGTTGCTGCCAGGGGAGGATATTGCTGAGCCTATCGAGTAGAGACGGCGTGTTGAAGAGGTAGTGTGCAACAGTACGGCCGTGCACATCTGACTTCGTCAGGTACATAGAAACCACACTCTCGTCTGCTTTGCTGAATAGAAAGTCCAGCAGAATACCAACGACTTCGATGTGCGCGAGCTGGACGGCTGCATTTAACAGGGTCGTGCCGTCAGCATTCGTATCCTCAAGGACATCCTCTAGGGGATAAAATTCTTCTAAGCTCAAAAGATACTTCAGGGCTTCGGTCTGTCGGCTCTGCACTGCCATCATCGGAATCGAGTCCCCTGCTGGGTCTTGCGTTTTGGTTAACGTTTCAATAGAGCTATCACCCTCAATGTTGCTGGCCATGGACCCGATGGTGGTTGTTCTTGACAAGAATGATACTGCAGATGACTCTGAAAGGCTGCGAACATCCATTGAAACTCTTTTAGTCGGCCGAATGGAATCTCTTCGAGGCGAGGCTCCACCCCAGGTCTGGAAAGGAAACACATGCGACAAGGGCGGCGCTTCAGAGTCACGCTCCTCTGGGGCGAAGTCACCGTTTGTGATTACCGAGTTGCTGTACACAGAGGATGTCTCAAATGGTGACTCCTCTAGTTCATCCGAACTGTCCGTTTGGAAAAATACAGACTTTCGCTCAGGCTCAGGAGTGACATCTTCATCGATAGAGTCATGGTCTCCGTTGGGCTCCAATATGCCCTTCATATCCGAGAGTCTCCCGCACTTGGTAGCTTGCCATAGACGTCGATTGCGAACACTGGCTCGTCGAAGACCGGCGGAATCGGTCACGAGGTACATTAAGACGGCTTCAAATGTACTCAGGGCATAGCCCATCTCGCCGCTGTCTACATCGTCAATGTAGATGAAATGCTGCATATACAACAAGCGAGCTTGAAGGTGCCGGATCTGTGATCTAATTACCACGACCAACAGCAGTGAAACCAGTACATCCGCGTTGATCGTCAAGGGTGATTTCCCCTTCTCAGAGGCCGGGCCATCTACTCCATCATAGCTTCCGGGGTATGAGATCACCTTGACGGTTTGAAGCAGGATATTTAGCATATCGTGTGGACCTTGAGCCTCCCCAATCTTGCGAAACTCTTCAACGCCACGAGTGAGGCGACGAATCACTTCTCTTTTACCTTGGCGCCCGCCGTCCACGGATATTCCGACTTGAGTCACATCAATGCTTTCCATGTGTCGTATCCTAGAGTCCAGCTCCGAATCTTCGGATTGTCGGAAAGCGCAGAGACGGGGGAAGAGAAGCGGTTCGTGAACTTGCTCGGCGACATAGCGTTCGATGAGACTTTCAACAAGCGGACCGGTCAGATCGGTAGTCGCTCCGAGAAGTGATAATTGCTGCTTGTCGACCAGCCGGAATAGATCAATTGCAGCGGTGACTGCAGTCTCCAGGCTCCGGCGCATCAGGTCCTCGTCATCCTCAAAATATTCATCGGAGTTGAATGGCAATCGCCCCCGACGTGACGACCAACTGCGAATGGACGAGCTTTCATCTGCAAGAGACTCCGCGCGTGTAAACCGTCTGCCGCTCTCACTGCCTGATGCGGACGGTGAACGGGAAGGCGGAGGCGGCAGCGGCTTTCCAAGCTCTTTTCCAAATTCCTTAAACAATCTCTCCAGCCCCGGCTGCATTTGTCTTGCGATCATCGGGAAGTTGGCCAGCAGCTCCCCGAAAGATTTGATCTCCTGCTTCGGTGGAGAGACGGTGGACTCGCCATTGCTGCCCTTTTTATCCAATGGGATCGATTCAATCTTTCGGGGTATTGATCCAGGGACAACAGCGGAAATGATCTTGAATGGATCGAATGTTCCAATCAATGGGCGTGAGATGTAGTAGACAAGCCATGGCCGTGAGTCGGTAGAAGGGGCATAGTAGAGCGCGTCGGACAAAAGCTGAGCCTGAGTGAGGGATTTGAAGCCTAGAGGGGTAACATGGTCAACGCGACAGCTTTCCCGAGCAATTGCTGGACTCCGTACCTTTGTTGCTGTAGACAGAGCTTTCCTTGATTATGACGGTTCTTCCGTTGAAGGTGGTCAACTGCTTCGCTTTCCCTCGATTATCTCGCACATTGGACTCGTCCTTTCCATTCGTAGAGCCCGAGTTGATCGGAATCCGTAGCACATGGCTGCCCAGAAACTCCTCTGACGCGACGAGGTCGGAGTAGAGGATATTGGATTCGCGGTCCCGCGAACCGGTCAGGGACTCCGTGGTGGGAACAAGAAGGACCTGTACAGAAGAGAAAAAAAGAAGATCCACTGGTCAGCGAGTCCGATAGATCCGAGGGGGGGTTTAGAGAAGCTTGGCTTACATGGTTCTCCACGGGTATACACTGCCCGGGAACAGTGCTTCGAAAGAAGGCACGGAGGAAGGGATTTAGAGGGTGCATCCAAACGGTATTGGACGGCCCAGCAAAAGAAAACCAGCAATCATCAAGTCAAGTCGTTTCGGATTCTATGACAAACGCAAACGTGGGGATTGTGCGCGGTGAACGGGTTTCGCGGGGAAGAGCTTCCGGCGCATTCAACTGCAGGCAACAGTCCAGGTCCAGGATGGAGTAAAAGAGAAGGGAAGGGAAGAGAAGAGAAGGCAGTCTGAGATATTCGACTCTAAAGGGAGAGAGAAGTCGAAGTGGAAAGGAGGGCTAATGAAATGAAAAGAAGCGACAATCGTGAAGTGGTCTCGACAGTCACAGGGAGATTCCAAGGTGAACTTGAAGGTGATCGCTCCGCTGCGGGAGAGCTGCTGCGCTAACCGCGTTGGGCTGCTCAGGGCATCACTAAGTATGGCTAGTATCCAGCCCTGGAGTGATAGATGTTTATAGTATAAGTAGGTAGAATATTGTATTGCATATGCTGTGCTTGAATTTTACTATGGTACAAATGGTACAAATAATAGATGATGGATGATGGCCCTAGGCCCAAAAGTCCCAATATACTCCCCATCTCCTACAGCTTTCACATACACTCCAAGTTGTGCTTTCGCTTCTGCCTCTGCTTCTGCTTCCTCTTTCATAGAAGCTCATTCCACGCATACCACGAATCTCCAAACTAACCCAGTCTGCGGACCTTGCGACTGCGGGTACCACCAAACTTAACACGCGTAGAGTCGGTCACCCGGTTCACCAGTCCACGCACATTGCGACCTTCATTTCCGAGCAACACCTTGGTGAAAGCCTCCCGACCCTTACCGAATCCACGGAAAACAACCTCGAGCCGCTTAATCTCCAGCAAATAGCCACGTTCTTGGATCTGCGACAGAACGTGGGAAGACAACTGGTAGGCGGGATCAAACCCAGCACGACCGCCCTTGCGGAAGCCAATCTGACCGGTACCCATAGACAACAACGGGTTACCGTTCGGTCGCGTCAGAGTGAGGATTGTGTTGTGTTTATGGCAGTAGACGTGGAGGTGATGAGGAGGGGCGCGGTCGGCGTAAGGGTGTCGCATCATATCGGCTTCCAAGCTCTCGGCCAGTCTGCTGTAGTCGGATGTATAACGCGAGTTGGAGGAAGATTGGCCTCCCTGCATCATCTTGGTAATGGCAGACAGAGGAGAAGCCTTATCGGCGCTGCCGGGGGCTCGGTCGAGGATCTGATTCTCCAGGGATCGCGTACGCTCCAACCTCGAGCTACCATCTGCTTGCTGCGAGGAGGAGGATGTGATGGAACGGACACTGCTAAGACCAGCCGAGCGAGAGATATTTTGCCGGCATACCGAAGGGAGCGTCTTCGCCAGAGCGTTCATAGAGAAAGAACTCATGGCGTGGAGTACTGTGCCGATGTGTCGGCGGTGACGTTGGGGGCACGAGAAGGGGGGCTCCAGGAATATTGACCACTCTTAATTCAATGGCGAAGGAAATATGTCGGTATTCAATTGTTGAGCAGATCAGAGGATCAATTGATCTAGGGTGACGCGACCGGGGAGGAGAGGGGGTTGAATCGTAGGCCGACGGACCGAGAGGGCGGAAGGAGAACTGGAAGTTTTTCGAAGGTCTTGGCATCTCGACTTTTTCCCTTACTCAACCTACTTTCCCCGGTCCAACCTCCGTTTCTCCTCATTTGCCGTCCGGGCTGGGCTGGATTTTATACTTCATCCTTCTTTTCATTTACCTCTTCTAATCTCTCTCTTTCTTTCCTCTATCTTCCTCCTACCCTCAGAGCATGATTTCCGCTAAAATGTCCACTGCCGCGCGTGCGGCGACCTTGCGGTCCCAAGTCGCGGTCCTCAAGTCAGGATCTCGGGCAATGTCATACTCGGCTTTGCCTACGCAGACATTGAAGACTTCCATGCAAGGTCAAAGAACCCTTCAGCAGACCCGTTCTCCTGTATCCCAACTGGTCTCGCCATTCGCCGCCCTTCCCTTGACCAGATCTTTCCACGTCGCCACCCCTCTCTTCCAGCAACAGCAGCAGAAGCAGCAGAAGGACGAGAAGAAGCAAGGAGAAGAACCCAAGTCGGAGCAAGAGGGTGAGGAATCCAAGGATGAGAACAAGGAAAAGAAGGAGGATGCTCCTCCACCGCCACCTCACGGCGACAAGTCCCCCTGGCAAGTGTTCCGCGAAACTCTGCAGACCGAGTTCAAGGCATCCAAGGAGTGGGAGGAATCTACCAAGGCTCTGGCTTCTTCTGCCCATGAGTTCAGTGAGAACGAGAGGATCAAGCGTGCTCGTGCCGCCTACGAGGCTGCGTCCGGCGCCGCCGGTACCCGCACTTCCGCCGCCCTCAAGTCGACTGGTCAGGTCATTGGAAAGAGTGCTTCGTGGACTTGGAACACTACTGCCGTCAAGGGTCTTCGCAAGGGTGTCAGCGCCACTGGAGAGGGTCTGGAGAAGGCCACGAGACCTGTTCGTGAAACCGAGGCGTACAAGAGCGTCAAGGATGCCATTGATGATGGCAGCAGCTCCCGTTATGGTGGATGGACGGAGAAGGAGGAGCGCCGTATGCAGCGCCAACGTCGCGAGCAGCAGGAGCTGAAGTCCGGCAAGCGTAAGATGGAGCAGGCCGTTGAGGACCCCAAGTACGTTTCAATTCTGCATCTCCAAATCAAGCCCCTCCGAGGATCTTAGTCACTAATTTGTCTCTAGCGCCGGTACCCACGTTACTCTGCACAAGGACGCCGCCTGGAAGGAGTCATGGCGCGACTTCAAGGATTCCAACCCGATGATGCAGAAGCTGTTCACCTTCCGCGACGTTTACGAGGAATCCGAGAACCCCCTCATCAGCACAGCCCGCAGCATCACCGATAAGATTGGAGGCTTCTTTGCCGAGAACGAGACTGCTCAAGTCATCAAGCGATTCCGTGAGATTGATCCCAACTTCAAGATGGAGGAGTTCCAGCGCGAGCTGCGCGAATACATTCTTCCCGAGGTTCTGGACGCCTATGTCAAGGGTGATGTCGAGACTCTGAAGCTCTGGCTTTCCGATGCTCAATTCTCCGTCTACGCTGCCCTCGCCAAGCAATACACCACCGCTGGTCTGAAATCCGACGGCCGCATCCTGGATGTTCGTGGTGTTGATATCTCTCACGCCCGTATCCTGGATCCCGGTGAAATCCCCGTTTTCGTTGTCACCTGCCGTGCCCAGGAGATCCACGTCTACAAGAATGTCAAGACTGGCAAGCTCGCTGCCGGCATGGAGGACAAGGTCCAACTGGTCACCTACGCTATCGGCATGACCCGTATCCCCGAAGAGGTCAGCAACCCCGAGACTCGCGGCTGGAGACTGATCGAGCTGCAGAAGGCTGCTCGTGACTACATCTAAGGTGGCAGGCTGGTCTGCCTCTCAGTGTGCAATCCTCCCTCCTCTCGGCCTCTTAACCTCTTGAACCTCTTGCTCTACCCGTTTCCCTACTCTTTTTCCGTCCCCCCCAACTGTACAATATGACTGTTTGATATCTAGCCACGTGGATCTGGCATCTTTTTCACGGTTATGTACCCGACCTCCTGACTTCGCGCGGTCGATGTTCTTTCTTCATGTATTAATGTTCTTACTTTGTCTCTTTTCCCTTTTTTGTTCTTATGGCGCGAGTCCCTTTTCCAGTGTCGCCTTCCCCGGGCTAACTGGAAACGAAAAAACCCCTATCCATAGACTTGGACTACGCGTTTGGGTTGAGTTGGCCTGATGGCATTCGGTCCTAAGGTGTTTCGCGGCGTCTTATATGTTTCTTGCATTTTCACTCTCCCCTCGACACCGTCTGATCTGCATGTGGGCCGTCTATCTACGGTCATTTGAATTTTTAGTTGTGCTGTGATATGCTGCGCTGTGTGCTATGGCTTGTGGGTCTTCCTGATAATGGAGATTCGGAAGGCAATTGTTGGAGTTGCATTGAAGTCGTGTACATATTATTCAAGGAGAATGTATTTTGTGGTAACCATTTTAATTTGTTTGGCATATGACTTTTCCTGCCCGCTTTCCAAGGTTCATTAGGGGTAGGGATTGAGTGGGTGACCATCCCGCGTTGTCATTGCTAAGAAATCGTAGAGGGCATGACCAATACTGATGAATTGTATTCAGATTGCGAAAGGATAACAGAAATGAGCAGTTTAATAGATTGCTGGTGCATAAAGTAAAAGTAAACAAAAGAGTGAGCATGTGTATCGTGGGATGCTTGGTGATGGTATGGCTTTGCTTCTAAGAAGTGAATGTCTTGGCACGTAGACCCCTATGGTCTAGGGGAACAATTGGTTCCTCCAGGAAAACCCATATACGCGATAGGAGAAGCTAAATTAGGGCTGATCTTGTTGCCTTTTTCTCGGAATTTCTAGGTTGCCGGCGACCAACTCCTTTTCTTTTTTTCTCTTATTTTTCCTATGACAATTTCCCCATCATCCAGGTTGTGATAATAGCAGTTAGAGCTTTTTAAGAAACAGGAAGAGAGTTGAAGAATCAGTAACGAAATGTGTTCGTGTCTAAGAAACGCTGCTGCAAATCGAAATCGCCACAAAAGCATCATCATCGTGTCTTTTTCCAAGGTCATACATGTCATCCAAAAACGTCTATTGCTGATTATCGGCACCGCGACCAGCGCCGCCAGCGCCGCCACCACCACCCATCATGTTGCGAGCCCTGTACGTAATCGTTAGTTGAGGATCAGGGGGGAAGCCGAGGGTGACGGATCAACTTACATATCGGCAAGGTTAGGGTCGCTCATGATGCTGGACATATCAGGCATGCCACCACCCTGACCGAAGTTCTCGGCCATCTCGCGCAGACGGGGGTTGCTCATCAGGTTATTCAGCATGTCGGGGTTACCCATCAGGTTTTGGGCCATCTGGGAGAACATGGGGTTGCTCATCATAGAGCTCAGGTCGGGCATGCCACCACCACCACCGCCAGCACCGCCGCCGCCAAACATACCGGCCAGCGAAGCAAGATCGGGCATGCCACCGGCACCACCGCGGGAAGCGCCGGAGGCGGTGTCAAGCTCCTCAGAGGGGGGGCTCGCTAGCACGGCTAGCCTCCTCGATCTTGCGGTTGGAAGTCTCCAGACCGCGCTTCATCGCATCACTGCCACCGTTGCCCTCAGCGGCAATTCCACTCTCGTAAGCCTCCTTAGCGGCATGGTAGTCGCCCAGGTCGAAGCGGGCAAGACCCAGACGGCTCCAGGCCTTGGAGTACTTGGGGTCGACGGTGGTAGCCAGCAGGGCGTCCTCGGCGGCCTTCTCGTGGTTGCGGGAAGCGGAGTAGGCAGCGGCGCGGTTCGAGAGGTAGATGGGGTTGGCGGGGGCGATGTCCAGGGCCTGGGTGTACTTTTCAATGGCGGCGGGGTAGTCCTTCTTAGACATGAGGGAGTTGCCCTCGGACTTCAGCTTGTCGGATTCATCGGTGGGGGTACCGGCCTTGGTAGGCTTTTGCTCTTGGGATTGTTGGGCGGCACCGGCGTCAGGCTGGGGGGTGGACTTGTTGCGCAGCTTCTCGTAGACACTGTAGATATTGGCGAGGGATTGACCACCAACGGCCTCCTTTACGGCTGCCTCGTTGGAGGGATCCACCTTGAAGGTATCGGCAATGCAAGACTGGGCGATCTCAATCGATTCGGCATCGTCGGCGGTGAGGGTGCCATCCTTCAGGCTGGAGCCGAGGAAGTCGATGATAGCCAGCGCAAGGCGCTTGTTGCTCTCGGTGGGGGCCTACCAGTGGTGCATGGTCAGTAAAAGTCCCATTCCTCAGTGCAGGAGTGTTCGGACTCACCATAGTAAACAGATATTCCTTTTTTTGAGAGGTGTGTAAATATTTAATAATGGAGAGAAGAAGAGAAAGAAACGCTGGGGCTCTCCGAGAAAAAAAAGAAGCGAATGGATGCTTTTTGATGCGGGGAGCAAGCAGCCCCACGTGACACCGCTTATCGGCCCCGTTGGTCGCAGCTTCCCCAGTTTGAATGGCCGCGGTTTCTGTTTTTGTGTCTGTTTTTGTTTCTGGTTTGCGCCTTCCTCTTCTTTCCTTCTTTCCTTTTCCTTTCTAGTCAGATGACTCGGATGACTCATGCTTCTCCTCAAGTGACCTCCGCTGTTGCCGCTTTGAAGCTTTCTCCTTCGCCGCGCCATGTACTGGCCTAATGGAGTTCCCCGGGTCTACGCGGTCAACGGTCCAAACATTGTTGTCTCCGAGGATCGTGAACCCTCTGACCCTCCTCCAACTGGCCAACTAAACTCGATTGACGAGAATAATGATACCGAAGAAGTCGCGGCTCCAACCAACCAAAGCAAGGAACACAATGATGGAACAACCCCCCACACGGAGACCCCAAAGTGGGAGGATGAAGCAATCAATGGCCTTTGTGTTTCACGCTCAGGGCATATGTTTGCGACCATAACAGAATCGTCAATCTCCTTATGGCAAACGAGAGTATGTCTTGAGCAACCCCGCGCCGTGTTTCAGCGGCATTGGGATCTGAACTAACACGCACCCCGGCAGCCAACAGCAGTGGTAGCCGCCATAGCTCGCTCCTCGTTCTCTCTCAAGACCTATGGCCCGAATGTCGCCCTACTCATGCACCCCGATTCGACAATCCTCGTCGTTCAGACACACCATGGTTACCTCCTCACATATTCGGTAGCCTCAGACCCAGCAACTCGAGTCTACCAGCAGCAATTCGATCACAGTACAAACCCTCGCCGTCAGCAACTTACCCACTTTGCCGCCGTGGAAGACGCAAATGTCGTCGGAGATATCAGTATCAGGTTCCGTATGGCAATCAAGATTGAGTCCGGGATTGTCAAGGCGCTGGCGCTTGACCAAGAGCTGGTCGTGGCCACCCGGAAACCGTCGGCCGTACAATGTATTCGATGGACACCCGAGTCCAGCGGCTCCCAGACTACGTCGGAGGTGTTGAACCATATTCTGAACGTACCGAAGAAAGTCACAATCACTGATATGGTTTATGACCGGGCTATGAATCTCCTGATATGGCTCACAAGCAATGGTCAGGCATATACAGTACAACGGCTTCCTGGAACACAGCAAGATCCCGAGTCGCCCAAGAAGCTTTTCCACGGGCATTGCTTTCACGATCCCAAGGATGACGGCGAGAAAGCTTTGAAAGTAACGGTTAATGCTCGCTTCTCGTTATTAACCGTCTATTGCGCCAGTGGGGAGATCCTGGTCTACACTGCCAAAGATTACACAGGCAATGTACCGCTCTCCCAAAAGTTACATCTCCCTGCGTCGCCAGCTACCACAGGGGCGTTGACCTTTATGAACTATTCGCCGGACGGATACTGTCTCTTTGCCGGTTATGAAAATGGGTGGACGACATGGAGTGTCTTTGGAAAGCCCGGTGGTAACAGCTTCACAGTTGATTCTACCCTAGCAGCATCAAACTGTGAGGAATGGTTGACGGGAGTCTCGAATGGCTGCTGGATTGGCGGCGGGTCTGACATTATCTTGTCGGCACAGAATGATCGACGCCTGTGGATCTTGGAAACAGCTCGCAGTGCTTTGACAGGTTGCTTCTCAGCTGTCAATCTCGCCCAAGGCCTGCTGCAGACCGGGACCGAGTTCATACTCTACCGTGGACATGATCTTCCAGAATTAATGACGATATCAGGCAAGGATTCGCTATGGCACCATGGCCAATACCCCCCCGGCATACCTTCACTCGCAATGGCCGATCCGGTCCTGCGTCGTGTCCCAGGATGGACGGTATGTCGCAATCGCAGGCCGGAGGGGACTGGCACATTACAGTGTCAACAGTGGCAGGTGGAAAGTGTTTGAAGATTCGAAAGTGGAGAACTCATTTGCCATTCGAGGGGGGTATGTGCTGGTACGGGCACATTTTGATTGCCGCTGTTGAAAGCGATGGATCATATGAGGTATGTGACTTACTGGTTCCCAGGTCTTGCTCACATAAGCTTATGTGATGACTATAGATACGTCTCTACTCGCGCGAGGATGCTCTCAAAGAAAGCTCCGTTATATTCACAGAGTATCTTCCGGCGCCGGTGGTATTTATCGGCCCCTCTGGAGAGGATTCCATTTTAGTCTACACCTATGACAACATCCTCTACCACTATGTCATAAACTCCACGCAGCCCCAAATCACCCTTGTTCCGGTCGGACAGATTGCTTTCAATGGGATCGTGAGGGCTCCGACTCGAGTTCGTTCCATTAGCTGGGTTTTGCCTGAGGAGCAAATGCGTGAGTCCGGCTGCTCTTCAAACCAGACGATAAATACTGATGCAAAGGTAGACAATGGCGACCCTTCTCAAGACGTGAAAGTTGCATCCGTGCTTCTCCTTGTTGATGGCAACCTCGTTCTCTTACAGCCGACGGTGACGGATGGAGGCGACCTCAAGTATGACATGCGAGTCATCTCTAATGATGTAGAGTACTATATCCTTATGCGCGACCAACTCGCCTTCAACTTCTCGCCTTCGGTAGATGAGTCCCTACCGAACAGCCCGTCTGCCGATATGGCTCTCGCGCCATCTCATAGCAGTCTCTCGCTCAGGGACTCGCTGTGGTTGTTCCGAGGCAAGGATCTCCTTGCCTGGAATGACGTACATGATGTGCTACAGCAAGGAACAGTGCCGGCACCACTCAACATACCCCTCGACTTCTACCCTCTGTCGGTGTTGTTGAATAAGGGCATCGTGCTAGGAGTGGAGTCTGAAATAACGCAGCGGCGTGATGTCACATTTACCACGTTGAAATTCGCCATTCGAGTATGTTAACTGGCCTCTTGAATACCGGAGATCGTTGTATACTAACATTTTCGCAGACACATCTCTTCCTCCCATACTTCCTCCAGTACAGTCTTATAAATCTTGGAACACCTGCTACCCTTTCTCTCTGTCGACACTTCTCCCATCTATCCTACTTTGCCCACGGCCTCGAAATCCTGCTCCACCATGTCCTTGATGAAGAAGTGGACAACGGGGGCCGTGCAAACAAATCCGAGGACCCAACCGTACGCGAAGGACCACTTCTACCTACCGTCATCGCCTTCCTCCAAGCATCACTGCCAGCCCGCGAATATCTTGACATTGTAGTACAGTGCACGCGAAAGACGGAGCTTCGCTTCTGGCGCACACTTTTCACCTACCTACCTCCTCCAAAGGACCTCTTTGAGCAAGCCTTGCGACTAGACTCCCTCAAAACAGCCGTTGGCTATCTCCTTGTTCTCCAGGCATTTGAGGACGAAGACCACAATCACGACGGCCAAATTGAAGACTATGTTGTTCGCCTGATTGGCCTGGCTTCTCGCAAGGGAGACTGGGAACTTTGCACCGAGTTAGCCCGCTTCCTGATCGCACTTGATTCCTCGGGCGAGATGCTACAGCGAGCGATTTCCCGTGTTGGTCTGCGCCGATCTCCGACGAATGGGACGCACCCGGGTCTTGGTTCCAGGACTGGTTCGGCTGCTAGTGTTCGAGGTCTTGGGTTGAGTCTCCCTGTTCGTACGCCTTCGTGGTCATCTCTCTCGCCGACTTCATCTGTATCGCAGCATGCTGGTCGAGACGGTGATGTTTCGGATGAGTATCCCCAGTCCGTGGATAGTCGGGATGGCTCATAAACTTGAAGCATAATTTAATGGGATTGATGGTACCCTGGCAACTGTATATACTAGTACCTCTGATACATCCAATAATCGATATTTTCAAACCGAGATAAGACGCGCATACTAGTACTACTAGTACTGTTACAACCTCTAGGGCTTATAATTGGATTGGGCAACTTAGTAGCATGGGATGAACTCAATATCACCTGGGCATCCATCTCTATACCCCCGCGGAGCCACAACTTGAAGAGCCCTGGGCACAAAATACGGACAACCTTGGAAAATATTCAAGTTCTTTTCAATTCCGAGTCATCAATCATTCATCAGAGGTATATCGAAAACCTATCCAATCCAAACCCGACAATCATCTATCCATATAGTACTTAGTAGTAGTACTATAGTACACATTCCTTACACCATTCCCACCCATCTAATCCAACTGCATATTCCACAACCCATCACCAAGATAATGCCCCTCATCCATAACAACACCCTTACCCTTACTCTTCATCTCCTCGGTACCAACCTTAAGCGTACCAACAAGACAAACCTCCTCCTTGCCCTCGGCCTTAATAGCAACAATCTGGCCCGCCTCGAGAGCATTCTCTTTCTCGGGCAGACGGCCACCGGGCGAAGTCAGACCGGGCGCCATGAGCGCGGCGCCGGAGAGCACGAAGCGGATTGCGCCGCGGTCGATTTGGATTGTTGGCAGTGCGGATGGGAATTGGTGAATTAGTTTTAGGTGGGGGATTGGTGGGCCGTCGATTGGTTGGAAGAAGAGGGGAATTGAGTCTATTGTGTAGAGGGTTACTCTGTCTGGGCTGTTGTGGGTTGTTAGTGAAGTTGTTTAATGGATGGTTGTATTGGTGCTTGGGTTGGAAGTTGGAAGTTGGTCGGAATGCATTGAATGGGAAAGGACGGGATAGGACAGGATAGGGTATGAATGGATAGGATATGGCTGGGGAAGTGATTTGGTTTTGATTCCGAGTTCAACATACAGTTTCACAGCCTCGAGAGATCCCTTCTTAGGCATTATTTCTTCAATATATGGCTCGAACCCCGGGTACGCATCCAGCAGCCTCTGGCGGAGACCGCGCTGCACCGAGGACTTGACCTTTGACCGGTTGCTGGTGGGGATTCTAATGGATAATAGACATGATTAGCTCTCGAATTTCTGAAGACTTGTTTGTGTGGTATGTATCCTCATTTCGACTCCCGGGGTCTCGAGCTTGTGCTGCAGTGCAGTGCAGTGCAGTGCGGTGGTAGCTGTTGGCCCATCCATCTTTCCTAATTCTTTGGCCCGGGACCCCAGTGAAATATTTTCAGGGTCCATATAGCTTCGGGAAGCATCACTCACTCTTTCTTGAACATGGTGCTGGTTGGTGAGTGTTCCTTGGTGCGGCGAGGGCGAGCAGTCCAAGGTGGGATGCGCGGGGAGGTCACGTGATGATATCAGATTTGCGGCGGGCTGCATACAGTACGAGTAGTAGTAACTATGGCATGGCAATGGCATCGTTCATAGGTTTCGAGCTTGAATTGAAAGATGGTCACTGTCTAGTCATATTGGGTTACAAATATGAAAATCTGAGAACACATTCTACGTGCTATAGTATACAATTGACAGATAAATGAGACTTCTCAGGGTGTATCATTTCCAAAGCTTATAGAACTATCTATTCTGCATTTAGCTCTTGGCAGCGCCGGCCTTGATGAGCAGGATATCGCCGTCCTCGACAACGTAATCCTTGCCCTTGGTCATGATCTTACCAGCGGCTTTGACGGCAGCCTCGTCGCCAAGCTCGCGCAGCGTGCTGTAGTTGTAGGCAATGGCCTGGATAAAGGTCTTCTCGAAGTCGGTGTGAATGACACCGGCAGCGGCAGGGGCCTTGATGCCCTTGCGGATGGTCCATTGACGGACCTCATCCGTACCGGTGGTGAAGAAGCTGGACAGGTTCAGGGCGGTACGCATGGTGGTAATGGCCTTGGGCAGACCGGACTTGGTGCCTAGCTTCTTGCACTCCGCCTCGGCGGCGGCGTCATCCTGCATCAGGGTGAGACGCTCCTCGAAGCAGGCGGAGATGGGCAGAATGGGGCAACCGGGGGTGTGGGTCTTGCACCACTCGAACAGACCGGGGAGGTACTTGTTCTTCTGGCGGATGTAGTCCTTCTCGCTCAGGTTGACCAGGTACACGACGGGCTTGGCGGTGAGCAGGAACAGAGGGTTGATGGCCTCAACCTAGAACCATTATGTTAGCAAGGATGCGCTGGACAATGATTTGTGTGATTGGTTGAATCGAGATGAGACTCCAAATGGCTTTCAGTATAAACTTTCTTCTCAAGACGCCCCCTTCTTTAGGAGGGACGTTCGACGAGCTGGGTTTATTGTCGAGCTTATAGCTCTTATTCATCATGAAAAGGAGTGGTGGGTTGGGTGCAGTGAATAATGGGTAATGGAAAGATCAAACGTACCTCCTTGGGGGGACCAGTCACCCTGACGGATGTCCTTGCCATCCTTCAACCACTCGAGGACACGAGTAGTGGTGGCCTCCTCCTCCTTCAGCTTCTTCATCTCAAGAGACTGGCCACCACGGCGAGTCTGCTTGGAGAGAGCATCGAGAGCCTTCTCGACGAACTCGATATCCTTGACGCGCAGCTCCTCGCTGATGATGGTCAAGTCGCGGACGGGGTCGACATCGCCCTCGACGTGGATAATCTCGGCGTCATCGAAGCAACGAACCACTTGGTAGATGGCATCGACGGCACGAATGTGAGACAAGAAGTTGTTACCGAGACCGGCACCAGTGGAGGCACCGCGAGTCAGACCGGCGATATCGTAGACGGTCAAGTTGGCGGGCACAACCGACTTGGGCTTGTAGTGATCGACGAGCCAGTCGAAACGCTCATCGGGGACGACGACGCGAGCCTCCTCGGGATCAATGGTGGCATAAGGGAAGTTGGCCGGGTTACCCAGCGAGGACTTGGTGATGGATTGGAAAAGCGTGGACTTGCCAACGTTGGCGAGACCAACCTATATAGTAAAATCAAGCCATGGTAAGCTGTGGAAGAGAGAAAAGAAAAGAAAACTTTCCAACTTGGGGAGAAAGAAGGGAGGAAGAGAGGAAAGGGGGATGCATCGGCTTAAATAGTTTGTGTGGAATTAAAAAGTGGACTGTGCTGAGGAAAAAATCGCACAGAAAAAAGGAGTGGGGTCCTCACATACGATACCGCTCTTGAGAGAGTTGCCGGGGCGGCCCAGCAGGACCTTTTCTTGAGTTGCAGCCTTCTTGGGGGGCATTTTATTGGATTTCTTCTTCTTGCTGGAGTAGAAGCGACAGGAAGAAAAAGGTGGGATGAGGTGGGGGGAGATGCAAAGGCGGAAGCGGGCGCAGGGTTGATTCTGTTGGCTCCGAGTCTGGAGCGGGCGTGTGGTACTTAAAGTCAAGGCAGGTCCAGCTGCGGATCGATCGACGAGACGAAGGAGAAAACGGGAGGAATTGGAGAGCGACGTGATGACGGGGCCCACTGGGTGACAGCGAGCGAGGTCAATTGATGAAGGAGGGTATATATTTGGAGATAAAGAAAGAGAGAAAGAGAGAAACTTCAACTTCTTGAACGAGCTCAACGGAGCTTCCCTCGATGTCATCGGAGTTTTCTGCCGGATTAGCCTCACCGCTTTTGCTTACTCCTCTAGTCACGTGATATCCAAGCCCTGTACGTCATACTATCCGGAGTACTACCTAGGTACATTGTAGGAGTATACAGAAGTATACTACCACGAATACCATACCAAATGTAGGTACTACCTAGTAGGTAGTAATCCCAGAAGTGAACTCCAACTTAAACCTTGGCTAGATTATTTTTACGTGGTGGCTGGTGCTGTGCTGGTGGTGTGACCATGTTGATATATACTAGGTACTCTCCAGTACTGCTATCCAGTACCACCAGATCCATACGAGAACGAGAACGAGGAACGACTCGGAGGAACTTGAATAAGGCTTGAAGCATCCATCGTACTGTTAGCACGAAAAATCACTCGTAGTATCTAGACACTCGCACTCGCACTCGCATTGGCTGCCCAGCCGCGCTCAACCTAAACCGAAAAGGACGCGCACGCATCCCGTCTTGCCTCTCACAGCCTCACTCAGACTCGGCCGTATGACCGGATATACAGTAGCACGACTAGTACTACATATCTAGTAGGCAATCCCCACCAGTGCGACCCAGTGTATCATCCACTCCTACTACCATCTTGGCATTCTTGCACCTGGGCATATTTCAACTTAAAATGCCCCAAATTAATGCAGACGCAGATGACTGCTTCGAGTACACTACAGGGAAATGGATGTACGCTTAACTTTACACAAGTTCTCTGCACTTCACACTTCACACTTCACTAACAAGCAACTTGCATCACAGCTACAATGACGCCCTCAGACACTCCGAACGGAGGAAAATCTTCAATATCCCAGAACTCAAACGCCTGGCAGCCCACTCAATCAACCAGTCCGAACATGATCTCACCGGCTTCAAAAAGCTCGCCGAAGGTGGCTTCAACCGAACCTTTTTAATCACCATGCGCGATGGCTTCCAATTTGTCGCACGCATACCATTCCCCGTCACAGAACCAAAATCTCTCCTCATCGCCAGTGAAGTCGCGACCATGGACTTTCTCCGCTCGCACGGCTTCCCCATCCCCAGGGTCTTCGGCTATTCCACCGTTGCCGATAACCCCGCGGGGACCGAGTACATGTTCATGGAGCTAGTGACAGGAACTAACTTGGGCGATGTCTGGTTCAATCTATGCGAGCAGGAACAGACCACCATTATCACGAATCTCGTCCAGCTCGAGTCCAAATTAATGGCCCTCAGATTTCCCGCCAGTGGAAGTCTTTATTATTGCGACGATCTCCCCAACAATTATCCTCGAATTCTTATTCAACCCAGCAACGCGACTAATGAGAACTCGAAACAGTTCTGCATTGGCCCAGATACATCATTTCGATTATGGTTTGGCAAAAGACTAAACCTCAACGTAGAACGCGGTCCCTGTAAGTGATCACTAGTCCCATTAATTTCCAGAACTACCTGTTACCAGAGCTCTCCCCCCCCCCCCTCCTCTACTTAAACAAATCTAACATGCAACCTTTCTCTGCCCCAATAGACCAAGACTGCTTCGCAGCCCTAACAACAGGCGCCACCAAAGAAATCGCCTACCTCTCAGAATTCGGGAAACCCCTCCACCCCTTCCAACGACTCCGCCGAGAAGTCCACGCCTACGAACCCCAGTCGCACAAGGATCATGTCCAAAATCTAAAGAAATATCTAGCCATAGCGCCCGACCTAATCCCCAGCGGAGAAACAGACCAATACCTCCACCGACCAGTGATCCGACACCCAGATCTCCAACCAAACAACGTCATCGTAACAGAATCCCTCCAAGTAAAAGGTCTAATCGACTGGCAACACAGCACCATTCTCCCGCTCTTCTTGCAATCTGGTATCCCCCTCTCAGTAAAGAGCCAAGATATCGTCGACCCGGGATTAAGCGCGCAGGACTCGGAACCGACTTCGCCAAGTCTGAGCCATAAAGACAGCGGCAGCGAAAGTGACATCGACAGCGACAGCGACAGCAACGACCTACTGCAACCAGTGGGAGATAGCACCAGTAAGCCCAGACACCACTGGACTTCAAAAGAATTAGAAATCTTCCGCCGCCGACGCCTACACCGCGAATATATCAGACAAACAGCGAAACTCAATCCAGAACATTACGAAGCTCTATCAGAGAAATACAATAAGCTTCGTCGCAGACTCTGGCACCACTCGGGTGATCCCTGGGAAGGAGATATCATCACCCTGAAATCGGACTTGATAGTTTTTTCGCGACGTTGGGCCGATATCACCGGCAACACCGATGCTGACTCGGATGCCGATTCGGATTCTGATACTGGGACGGGGACGGGGACGGGTAGTACTCGCTGCCCAATTTCATTTTCAAACGAGGAGGTTAGAGAGTGTCTTCGATTAAATGCCGCGCAGGCCGAAGCGGATGAACAATTTCAGGAATGCCGGGATATTGTCGGGGTTGCTAGTGAGGGGTGGACTCCGATTGCGTCGTATGAGAAGGCCAAGGCCCGCGCGAGGAATTTGAAGATGGAGGCTTTTCAGGCGGCGGAGTCCGAAGAGGAGAGGAGGAGGTTGGAGGAGAATTGGATTTTTGATGATTTTGATGAGGTTGATTATACATGACGACTCGTACCTAGCCTGCATTCAATTTGTCCCTATGGTGACGGGGGAAAGAGGGCTATTGATTGTTTCATGGGAGAGGGCATTAATTCAAATGAATCTTTCAAGTTGAAGACACGCACAGAAGGGGAGGGGTGGAAAGACCCTGAAGATATGATATGATACAATTGATACAAACGAAAATCCCCTTCTCTTATTGCTAATGTAAAAAAAAAAAAATCAAAAAATCGAGTTCAAGCAGCCATGCAGAAACCGGATAGATACCTTTCAACCATGGTCCCGCCCGACCAAACAAGCCAATGTGTAAACGCCGACTCGGAACCCCGTTTTAAAGAAAGCAGAAAAGGGTTTAATAAGAATAGGGAAAGAGAAAAGAAAAGAAAGAAATGCAGGGAGAAACAAAGCCAAAATATCCTAGATCTAGAATCATAGGTCCATCGCATCGCCTTCTTCAGCTCCAACCACCATATCAAGCAACTTGGCGTATGGAACAGTCACGCGCTGAAGTTCGCGGTATTTACCTAGAAAACACACCCAATTGTCAGCAAAAGAAACACGAGAAGAGGAATGAGCGAAAAGAGGGAAGACGAGAAGGTTGAAAAAAAAAACATACCAAGAGCAAGAATCACTTCCTTAAGTAGAGTCTCCCGCGGCCAGCCACACAGATCCTCCGAGCTCTCGCGCCAACTCCGGCCATCGCGCTCATTCTCCTGCAACCTCTTCACAAACTCAGTTCCTTCTTCATCATCAAATAAACCACCAATTAACCCCTTGAGTAACTCCTCAACCTTCATCTTTTGCCCCTCGGCGCCAATGCGCTTAGCATACATGTTGAGATAGAGTCTGAACTCCTCCTTCGCGCCTAAGGACAGAGCTGCAGCCATGCGGTTCTCAAGATGCGCGATAGAAACGCTCGACTCGAAGGTTTCGTAGCCTTCGCGCGAGAGGAGAACTTTGATAAGTCGTTGGAGGAAGTAGGCCCGGCCGCGAAGAAGGGTTTCGTTCGTTGTGTTGCGTTCCAGGAAGGGGATGATGCCGGCTGCCACAGCTGCTTTGTCTTCTTTGTTGTCTGGCTGGGGGCCGGATGCTTGCTGGAGATTGCCGATTGGAGTATCCGTTGAGTTCCAGTATTGACTGCCGACAGCCCACCAGGATTCTGTGATGCGTTGCCAGGAGTACATTGATGGGGAGTAGGAGTATCCTTCTCCGTTTGTGAGTGAGACGACCACGCGGCCTTCAGAGTTCACACGTGCGTCTGTGATGGCCGGGGTCGGGGTGGGGTTGGCGCCGAGAGTGTGGATTGCGGCATCGAGGACGGGTTGGAGGGAGACGGGGGGGGTGTGGGGATGAGAGGTGCTTTACGTTCCAGACGTAACACATGCCGACGGAGGAGATACACATTAACCAAGGTCCATTGCACTCTAGAATGACTGGCTGCGCTTCCAGGACGAGGGCGCTTACTAGTCGGCGACCAGCTGGTGTCCAGATGTAAAGAGAGGCGTCCTCGCATCCTGCAGCCCACATATGTTGGTTTCCGGTAACGAGAAGGACAGGTCGAGGGAGGAAGTCTTGCCATAGTGGCTGCTCACCCCGGGAGAGTGTGAGTCGGACGGGCTCGCGATCAACAGCACGGCCGGTCAAGCTGGCTGGAGATGGGTTCCGAGCCTCGAATATCACGTCTACCCGAGACTTGCTAGTCGATTCACTTCCAGTAGCACCAGTAGCACCAGTGGCTGCAGAAGATGGTGGCTCTGTAGGCTTTCCACTAGAATCGAGAGCCCGCAGGATAAAGGTTCGGATCTTAGGAACTGCAAGCCGTAGTTGACTGACCGACATGCAAGGGTTCGTAACTGCAGGCCGAATGAATTCCGGAGTAGGTTGCTGTCCATTTGGTGCAGGTTGAACCTGCGCAGGGACTAGTCCATCGGGCGTGTTGGCCATGATCGGGGTAGCACCATTTTGACTTGCCAAAGCGACGCGCTTCTCGACCTGGTTTTCTTCGTCGCCTTCTAACTGGGCAATCTTACGCTTATTTCCCAGAAGAAGAGC